GCCTGCAAGCTTTGACCGACTCTTCACATTGACCGAGGACACCGGATTGTCCTCTTTTGATGTAAAACAACTACCAATTGATCTAGTCCTCAAGATTGTTGTACCCCTCTTGTCGCAGGTACATGATTCAACACTTTCACAGGCTGTCGATGTAAGTACTTCATGAGAGTAAAACTTTCCTATTTGCTGACATGGTTCTAGGCTGTTCGTACTCGATATCAAACAATCACCAAAGATCAAAACCTGCAACGGCAGCAGCAACAGAGAGCAGCTGCCCAGGATGAGGATGATGACTATGAGCCGGAATACCAGCCCATGGACGTAGCGTCTGTAGTTTCAGAAGAGGCCAGTGCAGTTGCGGCAGAGGTAGCAGATCTACAGCCAGAACTTGTCTCTTTGGGTCCCTTTGTCCTGCCACAGCCCCCTCCACTGACCGAAGAAGAGGCCGGAGAAATCGGACGGAGTGCTGTTGCACGCGTGTTTGGGATGTTGAACGCCGCCGAAACATCACCTGCGCCTGCCAAGAGCCAAGGCCAACAAAAGCTTGGGTTCGCTAGGTTGGCAGGCAGTACATTTGACCGGGACGCATGGTCTGTCCTCCTTGCAAGACTGGCTACAAGGGCTCCTGCCGGTCTTGAAAATGACCAGCAACCCAAGGAAGACGCCCTCCGTAAGCAAACGACTATTTCCGACTCTATCCGCGAGACGCTCTATCGGTTCATCTTGGAAGATTTCCGTGGACGACTTAACATCGCCATTATCTGGCTGAATGAAGAGTGGTACAATGACCGGATCCAAATGAAGAGTGCTGCCAATCAGCGTGACGACACCGAGGGAGACTCAGAACCGACTGTGCCTCTGAATTACGATACCTGGGCCACCCGACTTTTGGATGGCTTCCTTGCTTATTTGGACTCTCGAGATATCAAGGTGCTAGTCCGTTTTCTCAGTGAAGTCCCTGAGATCACGATTCCCATCACTCAGCGGGTGGCCAGCTTGGCCAAAGATCCGGAACGTGTGAACCTTTGTGTCCAATCATTGATGTATGTCATCATCTGTTATTTACACTATCAAGAATCCGCTGCTAACTTTCTTCTAGGTATTTGATCATGTTCCGACCTCCAGCCCGAGAGATGTGCTTGAACACAGTAGAGGATGTCTACCAGACTTGTAAGTATATACCCCCCCCCCCCCTTTAGTGTCCACTGGTTTTGCTTATATCTAACACCCGAGGAATAGACGAGGAATCCCGACATGCTGCAGGCAAAGTCCTCACCAAGTGGCGCCCGCAAAGTAAAGTACTGGAGCCAGTTGCAAACGACGCACCTGAATCATCAGAGGCAAAGCCTACTACTTCAGAGCCATGATCTTGTTATTTGTACTACTCGATGGAAAGGAGATGATGGGATGAGATAAGATCCAAAAAATTTCCACAATTTTGAATGCTGGGCATTATCAGCTTCATTCTTCGGGCATTATTTTTTATTGCACATGTGTTCGATTTGATACCTTCCAGCCCCCGTTTCGTTATGCCTCTCTTCTAGTGTATTCATCTTATGGGTTTACTCTTTGAACATGTCAGATTTACGATGCCTCCATCTTGATTTGTCTTTTGGGATCTATATCCGTTTCTAGTCTCAATGCGTTTCATCGCAGCATTGAGGTTTATTCAGTAGTATACGTATCCCTCGCTAGACTTGATCTTTCGCCTCTTGTAAAGACCGTCTATCACACTTATAGAACTTGATAAATTTCTAGACAAATGTAATGTTTGATGGAAGCGTTGTTTACACCTCAGTAAAAGCCACTACTTTGATAGATGGAAAGCTCTTTGTAACGAAATCTTCTTCTATAAACGGAATAATATACATTTCTCTATTTCACTGCTACTTGTACAACTATCATCCATACTGGAACCCTCAAACATTCTCCGTTCCTGATGTCTCGGTCTTGGGTGGCCACTTCACCCTCCTCTCCGCGCGAACATAGAGGTTATTGGGTCGAATCAGCTGGAACATGGGATCATACTCGATGGGCTCATTGCCCTCGCGAATGAACTTATACCGGAAGATGAGTTTCGGAATGAAAACCTTGATTTCCTGCAAGGCAAAGTTGAATCCAATACACATGCGCGGGCCCATGGCGAATGGGATATACGCCGCCTTGTGTCTGTTCTTGACCTCATCGGTGTCCCAGCGGTCCGGGTTGAACTTATAAGGATTATCCCACAGATCGGGGTTATTGTGGATGTGGTGTAGCGCTGGGAGAATAACCGAGTCCTTGGGAATCTTGTATCCTCCCGGAAGCACTAGGTCAACCTTGGCCGTTCGTCCTGGTTGGAAACTTGGGTTGTGGCGACGCTGGGTCTCCTTGATGTATTTATCGAGGAAGTCAAGCTTGTCGGTGACATCTGCTGTGATCACGGTGTTCTCGTCGATGTCATTGTCGATGAGCTCTTGAAGTAGCCTCTCTTGCATACCGGGATACGTGACAAGACCGTAGATGAGCCAGGATAGAAGAGAACTGGTGGTTGTGAATCCGGCTCCGGTGGCGACGACGAGAGCCCAGATCAAGCTTGACTGGGGAAGCTTCTCGCCCTTGTTGTCGGTTGCGCGGATAGCATAGTCTGAATGATCTATTAGCATCTATGTATATAAGAAGCGGACCGGGTAATATATGGTAGCCACTTACCGATCATGTTAGACGCCTTCAGCGCTGCATCTTGGAGTGGTAGGTCTTCAACGCCACTACCTTCAGCTTGTTTGATTGTCTCCCCGACAATCGTTTCAACTCTCGTTTTGCAGTTTCTGAGCTTCTTGGGATCGCCGAATGGCAGCTTGCCATACCAATCTCCCTTGGACGAGACCTTCTTATTGAGAGAAAGAACTCCAGCAATCAAATGCACCATTTCGTGCATCGGTGCGTCTCGATTCGAGAAATGTTGGAAATCCAAGCCAAGTGTAAGCTTACCAACTGCTTGAGACCCAAGCTTCAGCATATATTGATAAACATTCCAGGCTTCCCCCTGCTCATCAAAGTCATCAAAGACCTTGAAAGAATCCTCCACTGTCTTCTGCATTGTCGGCGCATAGTGACGAACAGCCTTAGGGCCGAGAGCTGGCGGCAAAAACTTATGAGCAACCTTCCACTCAGGAGTGTCTGTATCTCCTAGGAAAACACCAGCCTCGGGCTGCTTCAGAGGATAGAGAGGGTGGGCCGGGTTGATCTTTTTAGTGAAAAAGTCGGACTCGGCAAAGACGATTGCGGAGATAGCTGGATCATTTGTTTGATATGTCACACGGCCGAGATTGGTTGTCTTGATGACTGGGCCATATTGTTCGAAGAGACGCTGGTGGTTGCCGAGGTGGTCTGGGTAGACTTCGAAGAAATTTCCAACATAGGGGAGACCCCTCGGGCCTGGTGCATCACGGACAGCGTTTCCATCTATGGTGATGGCGATGGGAGTGTTGGCCGAAGTGATCTCGGCGATCTCGTTCAATGGGAGGTCTTGGGCTTGGAAATCGATGCCTGTTACCGATGTCAGTATCCAAACCCTAGAACTATGGCTTTTTACAACGTACCACTCGACTCGACGATTGCGAAGTGAGCTGCAATCAAGTCCTTAAGTCCACCCAAATCACTTTTGGGGTCCACATCGATGTTTCTGGCGGAAGAGACTGGCTCCCCAAGGAGGTAAAATTGCTTTGCCGGCATTTTGAGTGTTTGTGATCCTAATTCAATCTAGGGATTCAAACTTATATATTGACTGCTTAATGGTCATCAAAACGGGATCCCGGCCGTTTCATAGTTCGGGCTCCTCTCCTCGGGTTGTGGGTCAGCATGGACTTTTCCGATTGGCTCTGCCTACCTCGGAATACCGAGCATAGCTCGGAATGGCAATATTTCCTCGGTGATATTCAAGATAGCAGAGTTTTCAGTCTTTACTCAATCTCGGTAAGGGAAGATTACGGAGCTACACAAAAATAGCAGGATTAAGCAGGATTTGAAGACATGCCATCCAATTGGCCATTCTCGTATCAAGAATCCTGTGCAACATCTCGACGGATGGGGTTGCCGAAAACGAATTCTCCTATATAGAAATTAGTGATCAGGAGGCTAGACATCTAGACTACTGAAGAAATACAAGAACAGTGGGCCGCTTATGCGGCCTTGTGATATTATTTTGGTACATAGTCTTCTCAGATATCATTTTCCGATATTTCCTCTTCTTGCTAACCCGGATAATTTAGTCACCCTTTTCTTGTAGGTACCGGCTTATTCTCGTCTGTATAGCTAGATCTTTAAGCTTTCCCGGTACGTTATACAGCTTTCATTTGCCATTTTATTTCTGATAGGCTGCTTCGTACAATCCACGCCAGCCGCAGTAGCAGAACTCTATAGTTAATCTCAATCTATTTACTTAACCATATGGATCCTCTGAGATTATATATGGTATTTTACACATTTATACGGTCTTTAGGATTCGAATCAAGATTCTATTAACTGGGGATATGCCTAGGTGGCAAAGGCCCCCGGGGCTGGGTGACCCCGGTTGTGTAGAGCTTAATAAAGTCCTGCCAGTCAACATCCCGGTGTGATAGCTTCTAAAACCTGCTATAGTGTACAGTACAAAGATGGAAAAGCGTAAACTGTACAGGGAACTTTTCTATGTATAGTAAGGGACAAAAGCAGGTAATCGCGGATGCAGCTCCCCTTCTTAATGACATGGGACTTTAATAGCGTGATTTGTCTGGCTTAAAATGACAGGGATGTTATAGGCAAGGCAGGGAGAAGGGATCTGAAGTGGGAACCACCGCTTGTAGAACTATTGATGTCATCGAAAGCTACAAATAGTAACCTACATCGACCAATAGAGATATATAGTAAGCTAGAACATCTCTCAAATATATTGAAATGACACACATTTAATTCGCAAACAGCTCTAATATACAGTACAATATATAAACATGAAACAAACAGAGTATACAGTCAGATACGTCCTAGAAGCAGAAGATCTCTTCCGTCATCTTTCCGACAGCACCAGGAGCTTTAAAGCCCGCAGCCACCAAGCACTTCTTTGAGGCGTTGACCATCCCTGGTGGACCACAAAGCATAATCTTGGTATCAGGTGCAGGGCTAGGCAATCGTGCAGCCATGACTTCTCCTGTAACGTATCCCTTACCATAAGCCCAGTTGTCAGAAGGATGGTCAAGCATATACCAGAGCTTGAAGTTCTTGGGATATCCTCGTGCAAAAGCCTCCAGTTCTCGACGTAGAAGAATATCCTCTTCGCTTCGGTTGGCGTAGATCAGGCTGATTTCAGTCGTATCCCGATCATCCTCGCAAATCGCTCGGATGAGTTGGTACATTGGGGTGATTCCAGTTCCACCAGCGATCATACCAATCTTCTTGCAAAGGCCGTTGTGATATTTCATACCACCTTTCGGGCCTCGGAATTCCACTTTGTCGCCAATTTCCAAAGACTCAAGGTATTGTCCAGTGAGAAGGCCATCTGGGTAGCATTTGATAACCAGCTCCAGCTTTCCAAGATCCAGGTTGTTAGATGTCGGGGTATAGGATCTCGAAACAGAGGCACCGTTGACCATGGCTTTAATAGCAACATGCTGACCTATTGGGAGTCCAATCACGTCCCGGTTATTGGGAAGTTGAAAGACGAAACGGTACACATTAGGCGATAACTGTTCCTTTTGAACGAGCGGGAGCTTTTTGTAGTTCTTGGGCTCGAGGAAGCCCTTCACAAGATGTGGGTCTTGCTTCTTCATTGTTGAAGCTTTCTTGTACGGACGGTACTGTGTGAAACCAGACTCGACTTCAGTGAACTTTGAGAGTTTAGTTCCGATGGTGCCGCCGATCGCAGCGCAAGCGAGAGTGGCAGCAGTGACTCCACTCAGAAATCCACCACGCAGAAGGCTTGTGAATGGAAGTCGAACCTCAGAGAGTCGTAGGGAGGCTGGGGCGTGCTTTGCGAAGAAGGTAGCCAGGGCTTGGTGATTTTTCGAAGAGACATAAATCAGTGCTGTGGCGGCAATTGTAGTTGCAGCTTTGAGCACGATTGATGACTTTTTGGGCGTTTCTTTATCTGAAGAGGTTGGCTTAATCACACGAACAACCTTTCGTTGGACAAATTCGTGTGCATCCTTGACAGTACCAACAAGGTATGTCTCCAAAATTTCATTCGCATCCTCTGAGTGGCCGACGTCCTCATATGCTTCTGTTGCATCTGTACCGGCGACGTCTAGCAATACATCTGCACCACCGGGGTGGTCACGCACATAGTTTGTGATGTCGTACACTGGATATGTTAGAAGATTGAACAAGATACTTTAGAAGGGAAAGATTACCTTTTCCATGAATAATGACAAAAAGGTCATTTTTTGTTTTATGAGTTGCGACTTCGCTCGCATCGAACTCTTTCAAAGCTGCCATTGTGTAAGGAGGATGCAATTATCAATTGAAGGTGGGTTTGTGTCGTGACACAGACAAATGCTTTATAGTTTTAAAAACTAAGCTATTTATTATTTCTATAAAGATTTTTTGATTAGCAGTCAACTCCAAACAGGGGACTTTCCGAGGTATAGTACCTCGGCATTAAGCTCCACATAAGATATAAAATGGGGCTCAACAAAAGGATCCACCGATCCACATTAGGCATTTGCCAATGACGCCTCTTAACTCAATCTGTCCCTGTACGGCCCGAGTTTCCGAGGAATGAACCAATATACTTCATCCTCGGTATTGTGTTCTGTTGACAACTTCCTTGATCTGGTGTCCTTATGGTTGAGTAGTAATTAGTGGGCCTCCGAGGGATACGCGGAAGAGAAATGGCAATGGCGACAAGACATAAAAGGAACTTATCTGCCACAGCAATTGGCCTAATACAACTAGACTACTTCATACTTGAACTACTTACTTTATTTACAACATGTCATCGAACTGGGAACCCCCTCGCAACTACCGCAGCCGCACTGTTGCCGTTCTTGGCGCAGGTGTCCTCGGCCGCCGAGTAGGTCCGTATCTCACCCATCCAGCGTCTTATTCAATAATTAATATACTGACAAAATTCTGGTTCCAGGATGCATCTGGGCTTCAGCCGGCTTTGATGTTAAGATTCGAGACCCTAGTGAGCAACAGCGAGTAGACGGAATTGCGTACATCAAGGAAAATGTTCAATCATACGCCGCCAAAACCAACAAAGTCCCCGGATCATATGAAGCCGTCGAAGACATGAAATCTGCTGTTGAAAATGCCTGGCTAGTTATCGAAGCTGTTCCCGAGAAGCTCCCACTCAAGATCGCCACTTTCGCCGAATTGGAGGCCCTCGCTCCCGAAGACTGCATCCTGGCTTCCAACTCATCCTCATACAAGACTGCCGAGATGATCGGTCAGGTCTCAGATGCCACCAAGACGCGCATTCTGAACATGCATTATTATATGCCGCCTGCGTGTATGATTGTGGAGCTCATGACCGATGGACACACCACCCCGGAGATATTTCCTTTCATGGTTGAACAATGCAAGGAAGCTGCCACAAATCCGTATGTCGCAAGAAAGGAGTCCACTGGGTTCATCTTTAACCGGTTGTGGGCTGCGGTGAAGCGCGAGGTCTTGACTATCTTGGCTGAGGGCGTTTCAGTTCCCGAGGAGATTGATGCTATGTGGAGTGAATTGTTTATCCAGGGAGGCATTCTTCCCTGTCAGACAATGGACAGTATGACATCCCTTGCCTTCTCTGATTTTATGTGAATTTGACCGCTGACACAAAATTGTATAGATGTTGGTCTAGACACCGTTGCCTTCATTGAGGGCCACTACATTACTGAACGTGGACTTTCGCCCGAGAAAACCATCAACTTCTTGAAGAACAATTACCTGGACCATGGCAAGCTAGGAACAAAGTGCTCGAAGGGTGGCCTATACCCTGCTAGCAACCCGACTCCTACCAAGGCCGATTCAGAGAAGCCGGAGATCTTGGTGTTGGACCTCGGGCTGTCAGCCGCCGCGCCCAGCATGACAACGGGAGAGATCCTTCGGGTTTCCGCAGACGGCAAGAACCAGACCTCGATACTTAAAGACCAATGCTTGCCTGATGGGCTCGCTGTAGACTCGACCTCTGGTCGCATGTTCTGGACTTGCATGGGCGTTCCAGGAAAGCCCGACGGAGCCGTTTACTCCGCCAACGTGGATGGAACCGATATCAAGACACTTGTTGCTCCAGGAAGCATCAATACACCAAAGCAGCTCGTCCTTGATTCCGAGGCACAAGCCGTCTACTTTTGTGACCGTGAAGGATGCCGAGTCTACCGCTGTGCCTTCGACGGCTCCAATCTGGAGGTTTTGATTGATAACACTGGCCGTGGCATGACCCAAAAGCAGAGTATCTCTGAGTGGTGCGTGGGCGTTGCTGTGAGCCCCAGTGGAGGTAAATTTTATTGGACTCAGAAAGGATGTTCCAAGGGTGGCGAAGGCCGAATCTTCTGCGCCAATATCACAACTCCTGAGGGCCAGTCAGCAACCGCTCGAGGTGACGTCCAGTGCGTCATCGCTGATCTTCCCGAGCCAATTGATCTTGAGGTACACGAAGCCTCTAGCACACTTTACTGGACTGATCGTGGTGAAATCCCATGGGGCAACTCGCTGAACAGAGCGAAGTTGGGTGAAGATGGTCTCCTGCAACCAACCAGTTCCCCTCGGGGATATGAGATTCTTACCAGGGGTCTAAATGAGGCAATTGGTCTAAAGTTGGATTCCGCCAATTCTCATGTATATCTCACTGATCTGGGTGGATCTATCTACCGCTGCGACCTGGATGGCAAGAACAAGGAGAAACTTCACTCCGATGAACACCGGGCCTTTACTGGAATTACTATCCTATAGCCGTGATGTATTATATGTATATATATTAGATAGTTCTGCATTTTACTTGAATGTATATTGTTTGAATTTTATTATAAAGATCATCTTTTGTATGGCTAAGAATTGCCACGAAAATACCCTCGACATCCTGTGTAACAATCTGTACTCTGTAGATCTCATATTTTGCCCCCTCCTTTTTTTTTCTTGCTTTCTTTTTCGTTATTTTATCTTTATCATAGTGAATATAGCCTGTTTCTCTCTCAGTGAAATCCTGATTTACATAAAAAAATACTTACCTCGGAAACCTCGGGAAGTAATACTGGGTCTCCTCGGCAGTCTCGGATCACTTTTAATATACTGGACGAAACTCGGCAGATCGATACATTAGTACTTCGGAGCTAGTATCATCATGTCTACACGCCGGTATCGATCGGCTGCCGCTTGTCAAAATTGCCGGCAACGCAAAGTCCGCTGTAGCGTGACAGTGACCGGTATCCCGTGTATAGGTTGCACGCAAGATGGCCGAGAATGTCATGTTCCACCGACAAAAACCCAAATGTGAGGTTTGCTTCCAGATTGATAGAATCCGATGACTGACCAATATAGCATACGTGAGAGACACTCACGTCGACCTGCGTCTGTTGGCAGCCCACCCCCTAACGCAGATTCCAATGGATTGATACCACAATCTTCACTTCCACAATTATCACCTCCACGGTCGTCACTGCCACTTGGTGCATTCCCAAATGAGGCACCTTCACATAGTGTAGATCGCCCTAAGCAGGCTGACATGAGGAGTGTCTCTAATCCTCCCGAGTATTCTCGGGGTCGGGAGGAAGAGCAGACTGGCGTTGAAATCGCCACCAAAGTCCTTGGGAAAAACAACCAACCTGGCCAGGCGCCTTTCTATACTGGTTTGTAGCACCCTTCGAGCACTTTTAGCTGAAGCTAACACAAAACTCAAGGTGATTCGCCTGGATTTGGTGCTGTCTTTGACATATGCACGCCATCGGACCAGCCTCTATCAAGGCATATCATGCTCAATTCCAAGACATCCGTCTCACTATCTCCTGAGGATAAAGCATACTTGCAGTACAAGGGAGTCTTCAATATGCCACGAAAGGAAACATGCGATGAACTTCTGCGGGCATACTTTCATCATGTGCATCCCATTATGCCTGTGATTGACGGTACAACGCTTCCACGACTCTATCCCAGTGGAGACGGTCAACCATACAATCTGATCTTACTATGGAGCATTTTCTATGCTGCAGCAAATGTGAAGCCTACTTCCGCTTGAGTGGCGTTGCAATCTAGCTAACATGGATATAGCATCTTCCGGCCGATACTTGGAAACTCGAGGGCTTTTCGTCCATGAAAGCAATGAAGGAAACTATGTACTCTCGTGCAAAGGTATGCAAACCAGTATTTGATGTATTCTGGGGTTACACTGGACTAATGACTTGTTCTTAGTGCCTGCATCATAATGGAGGTGAGACAGACGACACCGTTCTCCTTCAATCAGCACTTCTCTTGGGATTTTACCACTCCGAAGCTGATACCTACACTCAACCGTGGTTTTGGCTTGGTATTGCCATTAGCCTTTGCCAGACAATGGGTCTGCATCGTTTCTCCGCTGCAGTCTGCGCCAATTCACCAATCAGCGAAGCACAACAGCGTCTCTGGCGCCGCCTTTGGTGGACATGCTTCTTCCGAGACCGTTGGCTAAGTCTCACGATGGGCCGTCCATTAAGAATCAACACGAACGACTGTAACACTGTACCACCATCTGCAGATGATATGCTGCGTGATTTTACCGGATTACCCGAATCCATATCGGCAGCATACGTCCCAAAGGACCTGCCGCAGCTAGCAGATTATTGGGTGACAATAATTCAACTCACTCAGCTATTGGGAGAGACTCTCACCTTGTCCTACCAACCATATGGAACCAGTTCGTCTTTCCAACAAGTTGAAGCCCTTGAGCAAAAGATTTTGCGTTTTCAACTTCCCGAGCACCAGGAGACGGGACAAAGTCCCCTTGCAACGTTTTACTTGTATCATTTACAGCTTCATTACCAGTGAGTGTTGACGCCATATCGATCTATGACAGCTTCTAACAGCCAAAAGAGCATTCATAATTACCTTCTACCGCCCTTTCATCACAAAAGCCCCGGAAGGGCTCCCCGCATCCCGTCAGGGATCATGGCAGGCCCACGTCCGAAGCCAGATCAATACAGCTGCATTACAGACCAATGCTATCCTCGATAATCTAGCACACGAGAAGTTATTAGGATTCTCGGGTCCAATGACGTGAGTGCATAACTCTCCTGCAAATGATACCTTTTCTGACAGTTACTCTAGACCACCGCTGTTAGTCCCAGCAATGCACGTTCACCTCCTCAACTGTAAATCTCCAGATCCCGTTTCCCGACGTCTGGGTCTCAACAAGATTGAGGTGTGCATGATAGTTTTGGAACAGATGCAACACACCCACCCCTGCTCTTCTGTCTTCCGAGGTATCTTTCTCGAAGCCATCCGTTACATTTTCCCAAATTATGTGGCTCAAACAGTTCTCCCTGAGTTGGCATCTGAGTCTTCTCCACCGCAGGATGTTTCCACCGATGATCCTATGGCAGGAATAACAATCGATGAAAATGCCATCGATGCGCTAATGGATGAGGTATCGATTTTCAATTTTTGGGAGTCCCTGAACAATATGCAAACTTAAGACTTCTGGAACTATATACAAGCTAATACATATACGCCACTCTTTCGAGATCTTGCTATTTCAAGTGTATAGAACTAATACTAATACCGTACGTAATAGTTATGTTTACTCCTGTACTTTTTAGATGCTTCGGGTTTGAATGGTAAAATCCAAACGAGAACTGTAAGCTGTTTGTACAAAATGGTAAGCACCAGGAACAGGCTCACTTTAATCGCAATGGCCAAGCTAGCAAAGTTCAGTGAGCGTTTCGAGGGGACTATTACTAGTGGGGTTAAGAGGGATTGAGATGTAGTTTTAAACTTGAATGATTGTTGGTGGAGGGTATAGCTGAAATTGTCCACTAGTGGGTTTGGTGAATCGGTTGGAGGCAAACCATCCCCCTATACATAGTTACATACATCCTAAAAGCATTGTGCGACATCTAGATCATCATAAAACGGAACTTTCAGAAAATCCCTTATAAGTTTTGTGGTTTAACGTAAAGTGAGAGTAGATATTGCTGATGTACTAAGAAGTGTTGAGTGATTTGTTTCTAGTTGAACCCCTGGTCCTCCAACATCTGCACCACCTTTGGATTGCAACCTACTTGGGCGGCCATCATTGCATCTGGGAAAAATCCTTCTGGGTGGTTGTCATGGGCACCTCGATCCAGCAGAATCCGCACCACCTTTTCATTGCCTATCATCGCTGCCGACCGGAGTGCGTTACCTTCTTTAGAATTTCCGGCATTGACATCGACACCTCGATCTAGCAGCATTTGCACCGCCCCTACGTGCCCGCAGGATGCCGCCCTTTGGAGCGCATTGCCAAGCACATGATGCGCTTGACCTTCAGTGTTGAGCTCAGCAATTCGGTCCAGCAACATCTGCAACACCTTTTCGTGCCCGCCGAATGACGCCGATAGAAGCGCCTTATTGATGAATTCACTTCGGGCGTTAGTATCGGTACCTTTGTCCACCAGCATTTGAACAAACTTCTCGCATATAGGCAGGGATCCCATCATGGCAGCTATCTCGAGAAGATTGTTATTGAAATCGTTCGTGCGGGAGATATCAATTGCCTCATTTTCCCACCAATCCCCCACAATACTATCCAGCGAGAAACAACACATGGCGAAGATAGCGGCATCCGTGGGTTTGAGAGCATGGATTGCATTCCATGTCAAGTAATGCTTAGGGTAAGGGATATTGCATCTTCCATGGAGCTCAAGATCGTTCCGAGCCTTTGGATACCATCTGCGGTATTGCACGCTGCTTTGATTGGGTGATCCGAGGAATGTCTTCAGCAGAGAACCCAACTTGGCCATCTCGACGTCCTTTGCTCCGTTTACATGGTGAGGCCAACAGTGTCTCATATAGGCATGGAACGGGTGAAGAGTATGGAAACCATCATCTGATTCCACTGGCTTCAGAGGACTATCAGTGTTACCTGGCGCCTTCGACTCGACCTTAAACTCGGCCTCCAGCTTGGCGTCGAATTCCGAGTCATCATGCTCATACTTATTGATCATGTAAGACAAACAAACACTGGCCGCGTGATAATGGGCGTGCGCAGTGGACCAGTCTTTTTTGCCCTCCAAATATTCCCGAACCGACAGGTGTGGGAACCGCCATACATCTAGCTGGGGGTCCACAACAAGGAAATTGTTACAAACAGAGAGCAATCCTTGCTCATCCACAGTATCAAGTTTCGGTAGCAGGTCTCCCTCCGGTCCCACACGAAGCGCAGCTAGAAGTTCGACGCTACTCAGAGGTTTCGATGCAGACATTACCCAGCGAAGAGCACGCTTTACAAACAGTTGATCGTACTTTCCTTGGCTTTCAATCTGTCGCCAGACTTCATCATATGTCTTCTCAAGGCCTTCTGGGAGGTGTTCGAGGAGATCAAAGACGTCTCGGCGGGACTTGCACTTTGCAATCTGATGGATTTGCATATCAGCCCACTGGAACATCCCTTGGCAGCGTTCTAGCAACTTCGCAATGATATCGGTTTTCAGATCCTCCAATGATTTGTTGATCTTTGCGAGCCTGTTCATTTTATCATGAAGGAACTTTTCGATATCGCCTTGATTATCGTCTGCTCGAATGCCAACATTGGGGCTGCTGTTCAGCAAATTTTCGATACTTGGATCAGGTCGGCTTGAGATGAATATTCTCACGACTGGCTTAGACTCCGCCATGAACAATTGTAATGCTTCAATGAGTTCATCGCGCGAGGCTGGATCACACTCGTCTAGAGCATCAATAACCAGCGTGGTTCTCTGATAGATATCTAGAGAGGCCAGGATCTGGTCTTTGCACTGCCCAAAGCGAAAGTTCGTGCCTTCCTCTCGGGCTTCTTTGCAAGATGCCTGGAGTTTAGCCTGCATGGACGCAGGATTGCTTCTAGTGGTTGAAAGCTGACGCACAAAACTTTGGAGAATGGTCAGGGGCTGCGTATGCTTCTCGTCCCGGCCACAGTAGAAAAAGGCAAAGCCTTCGTCATTCCCTTTGCTAGGCTGGTCACGGACCCAGTCAATCACAGTGGATGTGAGATATGTCTTGCCAGTACCTGGGTTTCCTTGCAGCCAGAACAGAGTCGACGATCTCTTCGCTTTCCAATCACCAAAGTGCTTATGTTTGAGCAGCCACTCCCCCGTGCCAGGGGTTCTAGCCTCTTGCACAGTGTAGTGGTGCTTGCCGAACGGGACGGCTGAAATCCACTCCAACAGCTCAATGCGCTCTTTTTCATCCACATATTTGAGGAGACTGCTGACGCCCTCATCCACCCGAGCGATTGGTGCCTCCAAAGTATGGAGCATTTCATGCGTGAGTTTGTCGGAGTCCGAGCTGCGCTGGCTCTCGCATGCATTGACATCTTTGATAATTTCTTCTTCTTGCTCAATAAGAGCCGCAAGGCTACCCGTTGCCTTGCCCGGGTTCACAATTGCTTCAAGTATACGTCTGCCTGTGTTCGCAGCAAGAAGTTTCTGTGATTCGGCCAAAAGGTCTAGAGCACTTGCATACATTCCCACCAGAGCGGTGTCGAGGTTCGACTGTACAAGCGACAAGTTGGCATTCGGGTCCTTGGGTAAGTGAATCGTTTCATACACTTGGCCACGGCTAATAATGCGAATAACTTTCTCTGCTGTAGCGAGCAAGGCGCCCATCTGATCACTCTCATTTACAGGAATCTACAACGTTCATTAAGCATCCAATCTCCAAACATGAATATTATTAAGGGTCAACTTGTCACCCACCTGCATCAAAGATTTGACAAGGTCCCATGGTAGACTGGCTTGGGGCGGCGCAAACTGCACAGCAATATCACCGGCCTTCGTCAACCAGCCAACAATGCTCGTGGTATATTCTCGGAGAACAATCTTCTCACCACCCACATTGACGTGCCAGAATTTTTCCTCGCACTCTTCCTGTTTCTTCTTTGCCTCACTGGCAAGACTATTGATGCTCGATTCCATGGATCCAGATTTTAAATTGTCAAATCCCATATCCTTCAGAATGGATTGCTTCTCAGAGGGCATTCTATTGAAAGCATCCTTCCATCGGTCTTTGTCTGGAGAACCTTGCTGCGCGGAGGGTTCCTTCTCAGGATGTTGCGAGCTCGGCGCTTTCTCCTGAGTAGAAGTCGCATCCGCTGATTGTCCTGACGAACCTTTTACAGGAGATTTGTTGACATTTTCTGGCTTGCTCTGGGTCTTAAGTCCCGACGTCCATCAGAAACTTGTTAGAAGGTACACAACCACACTCAGCTGATCATCACTTACTGGTTGCTTTGGGGCATCCTGGCTAAATTTCTTCTTAGAAAACTTGCCTTTTAGGCCAATAAATGGGTTGCAGCAAGACATTGGGCCAGTGCAATAGAACTGCGCTTGTGTGGATAGATGAATTCAAAGAAATTATTCCTAGGAGTTGGGAACAACAATTTGACTTACCATGGAGGTCCACCATTCAGCTGATATTCCCGACGATCGTACAGTTCGGGAAATGATATATTCTTGATCTCCACACAATCTTGCCGTGCCGATCCACTTATATCGGTGTAATCCAATGATGTTCCTCCATGTCTCATGAGTGATGTATTTGTGCAGGATCAATGGCTATACGCGAACCTCTTCCAGCTAGATCTACCCCGCAGGTCCCAGCCACCAAACATGAACATAACATTGAACACGATTTGCCCACTGCCTGAATAGGCATCATGCTGGTATGGCGGCCTCATGGTGGACACCTCTTATAAGGATCAGGCTGACATCCAGACGCTGCGATAGCGAGAAAAGGGTTACAAACATTAGACTCAGTGAAGAAAAGGCCAAAACGAGAACGGAGTAAGTAACAGTATTTCTCATGGTTCATGGTCTAATCACCCTCCTTCAAATGTTCGTATTCGAAGTGGACCCATTGGCCGAAGTACACCGAAGATAAAATCTTCCTTAGCAATATCGGGTCGTCTCATTATTTATTCCAAGATTATAACCAAGACAAACTTGATAAACTGAAATCATTTGATTGAATTTCAAATTCTCAGAGTTTCCTAGGTTGCCCTGCCTTATTCCACTTGTTCCAATGGAGTTTATGTTTCACAAGTTGAATACTGGAAATATTCCCTGTGGAATGATGATCCACATGAGTTTACTTTCACTTGTTTATATCTAGGAAATATAGTATATCTATAAGGATATATTAGTCTTTCAAAAATCCAGGTACTCAATGCCAGGCCCTTATTCAACATTTAAAGCTTCATTCCAATCTAGTAGTTTTAAGATGAACATACTCAGCATCTGAAACTTATAAATCACTATATATCTGCCCTCTATATCTCTTGGTTTAAGCATTTCTGATAGATTTACAATTACGAGCTAACTAAGTGATTTATTTAGAAATAGATATTTATTCAGAAGATTATCCAGTAGGCTCTTCCGCCAATGTGTGCCTCACGTGCAGCTAACATTCTGCTGCTTGGAGACGCACGTTTTCTCTTATTGACCCTTCTCGATAGAGGAAATGGAATGAACATCATCGTCCCTCCCTATAAATGCAGACAATCTTAATCGTGACCTTCCTGCCAATACGAAACAATTTGCTCCACTTATGCAGCTACTTCTCTACTGGTGTCCGATAAATGCTAGTGGAATTACAGAATTTCTCCAGGCTTTTCTGAGACCGCTCGTCCACTTTCACTGTAACGGCCGTGCCTTTGGATCTAACTGGTGGTAGTTCATCATATTCACCACCTTCTTGCCATTCATCCAATAGGAGAAAGTCAAGATGATCAAACTATCTATGGCCTATGGCAAACATCTTGTAGACGTGTGCACTAAGGCTAGCCATTTTGAGACCCGCTAGACCCACCTGCCGCACTGCCATGAACTGCGCGGTAACGCTAGCTGACTGTGAACTAGATCGAATTGGATGGTATCTGGAGCTATCCTACTCAGATCTCAAATCGGACTATCCCAGCGCTCGGCGATGCTGAGCCTGATATATCCGCCTTTGCGGGAACAGCTACTAGCTAGAGTTCTAAAATGGCCTCATCTTCACTGCGTAGTGACATGGCCACTACGCAACTGCAACCCTATTCGCAATGGAACCTGCGACAGATTTTAAGAAACTCCCAAATGATCCCAAACTCGACACCGACCCAGGCCAGAGTGATAAGAGCACCACTGTTGCACCGGTCACTGACGATGCCGAAAAGCAACCCCAGGCTGACCTGAAGCCAAATGAGTCGCATTACCAAAAACGCGCGAGATCGAGGTTGGAAATGAGTTGTCATTGTGCTGGCCATCTATAGCTTGCAATATTTATTCGCCCTCGACCAGACCGTCGTAGCTAGCGTCCAATCCGCAATTTTCGACCAGTTGAGTTCCGTGGGCAGGCTTTCATGGGTCAGTGTTGCCTTTCTCGGTGCTGGTGGAACAAACTTGGTATCAGTATCAAATTCGCCAGCCGCGGAGATCTAGCACACTATCACTGGAACGGGGTCTGCACTTTTCGACAACATGTCATCGGATGATCGGCTGGAGGTGTTGGTTGTGATCGTGTCCGTACTAAGCAGTACATACGCCTTGGTCAGTCATTACAGCTGGATCGCTGGTCACCGGATTGAGCCTTCTTCTAAAGAGAAACAGGCTATTTGTGACTCCAGCGACAGCAGCCTGACTAACTCCTTGCGGAGAGTCCTTGCGAAGAGAGTGTTTGGGGAGAACATAGCCAATCTACCGGTCAACTGAGCGCCCTGTACGGGGAAGCGGGCCGAGGAGAGAAAGTGTAGCTTAATTTCGCTCAACTTGGTCTCTGAGGCTTCGAGTGGCTGAAATGGCCGAACCTGGAAGACAAATACATGTAATGATCCTACCAAGAGTGTGGGTGGCTGTGAATATCTTAGGCGGTAAGAATAGGGAACAAGAGAAAGGTGTTGAAAGCCTTAGGATATCAAATAAAGCCGTATGTACATCAAGACGCACAAATCCACCAGAGAAAGCAGACACTAGAGGGAGAAAAGAAAAAGAAACTCCAATGCAAAAGATGTTTCTCTACCACAGGCACGAGACAAATCCAGACCCCATACACTCCATCAGATGATACAAACAAACAGCTTTAACCAGATTCCGTTCCATTCAAATAAAGTCTTCGAATCCAAAGTTAGAAGTAATGACAACGGGAGTTTCCCACATGTGAACGCTGTTGAAACTCAAAGACCCCGGATTGGTATTTCATTCATGCAACACGAAAATGACAGTCAAGATATATTTGCTGCTGGAGCAAGAGCTGAGTAGGAAAACAAAGGGTTTATCACAGGAGAAGACAAGTGCACAAGATGCATGAAAGAGGAGGGTAGGAGACTCTCGGGGTATTAAGAAGGGGTGTCGACCAGTCAGTTCATAAGGAATCGCCAAAGGTAATCGATCATCGATTAGGCATGTGATTTGAACCAGACCCTGTAGAAATTCCTGACTGGTGAGCGCGGTAATGTACCACATCAACAGGTTTTGACGGGAGGGATGGGGAGGTCTCCCGTTGGAGAGCGGCTGAAGGCTGGAACAAGCCTTGGCGGCCAGAAGGCGGAGAAAAGATGTGGTTGCGGGATGGGGTGTCGGTAATAGGAGAGCGGTGTTCGAGAGCATGGGTGAGATGCGGCTGTGATTTCCGCACATCCAAGGGAGATGAACTTAGTGACCGGAATCCGGATTTGCGATGATCGCCATCATAATCAGGGTTGCGGAAAGGCCCTTGCGTCTGGTGTCTTGGATCGTGATCCATGCCGTAAGGGGTATTGTTAGCCGATGAGTTGGCAGCAGAGGCATTCTCAGGAATGGTGGATGCAGATCCATTGGGTGCGTTGATGTCTACCATCCGCTTTTGAGCGGCTGGCGTCGCATACGATGACGGTTGTGGATGCTCAAATGTACGGCCTTGTGGTCGAGGTAGCTGCGAATGCTGTTGCTGCTGCTGCTGTTGCTGCTGATGGATAGGATGCTGTGGGTTTGCCCAAGGTGTTCGTTCTAGGAATGCTTCTTCAGCCGAACGGAAGGCATTAGAAGACATTGTAGACATGGTGGTCCGTGGTGGCATTGCTGATGAGTGTCGTGGTGCCGAAGCACGAGCCTCGATAGGAATCTATACCTACTATCAGCAACTAACCAAATTTAAAAATATGAATATGACATACCCCCATCTTTTCAAGATCATCATCAAGTTCGGTGGGCCGTGCACCCATCAAGGACGGGGCAGCTGGGAAGCCAACATACTTGGCTACACCAGCCATAATTGAAACCTCCTGGTTGTATGCGGTCTGATGTGCGATTTGCTGGGACCGACGGGTGGGGAATGGGATGATATGATGCGGGCTGAGCTCGTCTGTCTTGAAACGATCATGCTGAATGGCATAGAACTGCTTGCTGACTGCACTTGAATGCCTCTCGCGTGCATCCCGAATCCGCTGGTAGTATGTGCTATGGGCCTGTGTTCGCTCGGCCAAACCTTTATGCATGAGTGACTTCATGCGGTATCGATACAAGTTTTGCTCGTATTTGATCTTGGCGTCCCGGTAACGTTGCACACACTCGATCTGGCGTAAGTACTCGGGATGGGTCGGGTTGGGACCGGTAAGCATCTCCAACTCGCGGTTGAGTTTGGATATCCGTTCGTCATAAATCCTATTATCGTAAGCAACGAACCATGTGAGAGATGGGGCAATCTTACTTGTCACGTAATGTTGCAAATTCTTTCTCAAGTGTCGCCAGTGAATCCATAGCAGACATCTTTTTCACAGCTGTACAGCGCATTAGTATCTATGGTGCCCAAAATGGTTCATGAATATGAACACTTACACTCTTCGGCTCGAAGAACTGCCTCTGCATCATCGGGCTCATCTCCTCGTTCCGTAGGCTCCTCGTCTTCTCCAAGAATCTCATCAGCAACATACTCTATTGTGGCCTCAACCCCTGCATCCGCCTCCTCATCGGCGTCTTGGGTCCTTCTTCCTTTCCGCTTACCCTTTTTGCCCTTTTTGCCTTTCGAGGGTGGGGCTGGGAGGTCCGACTCAGGAACTTCGTCAACCAGTATGCCATCGTCATTTATATCCATGGGATTGCTGAGAGGCTCGGGTGAGAGGGGGGTATCATCATCGATCGGATCACTCAAATCACTCTTGATTGAGTTCCGGCGTTTCTTCGTGGGCTCTTCGTCGCTGACCTCAACGCGTTTTCGTTTCTTGGCGAGACTATCTGGAAGTTCTTCTGAATCACCTAGGTCGCCCAGGTCTGGAATATCTTCACTCAAACCGTTGTTTTTTGAAGACCGTCGCGGTTTGCTAGGAGAGTCATCCGCCACAAGCGCTTCATCGTCGACATCATCGAGTGTCGTAGATTGATGAAGCTTGCTGGGACTTGGTCCAGCACTAGCGGCACTCAACACGATGTCTCGTTTCCGGTTGTTGTTGTGTGGAGAATCCTCGATGCGCTCGGTTTCGGCCTCCGAATCATTCTCCATTGGCTTGTCTGATTTGATGGGATCTTCGAAGTCGGATGGCTCGTTGTCCGAGACATCGTCGATCTCACTCAAGCTGCTTGAGCGTCCATCATCGTCCATGAGCGGGTCATCGAGAAAAGGGTTCCGCTCGCCATTGGGGATTGTGGACTCTGCCCCCGTTGTGTGGCCAACGGAGGGCTGTTCTCTGCTCTCGGCTACCTCCATGGACAATTATGAGGCAAGAGAGCTGGCGCAACAAAATATGAATGGAGAGAAGAAAGGGTTGGGGATATTGGGTGGTTGATTGCTTGCAGCGAGGTTGAGATTCGCCGCAGGCGTGAGGTGAGGGAGGAAGGTCACCGATCCACCAGATGGTGTTTCGATCGAGAATCTGGAGAAACCACAGATCGAATTAGCTCAATTGCCATGTCAACTCGGCAAAACCAGAAAAAGACGGAGATGGTGGGCAAAAAGTGGTTGGTGGGTGCGAGAGATAGGTCAGCGCCTCCAGAAGGCGGTGGTGCGGAGATTGATCATCGAACGCCCCAGAGTCGGTAACAATCGTTCAGTACAGGGACTAAAGGCCGCGCAAAGCAAGTGTACCGATGACAGTAGTTCCAGAAGATAGAGAGATGCTCCCTCCTCGCGAAAATGACCAGATGAAACTCTGGGATTGATGTAGAGTCACAAGCGACGTACCGTTTCAACAATGCGCCGGGAGCAACGCCGGTAATGAGCACAGCTGCTCGCGACCGAGCACGATTCCCAAAACCACCGCGTTCCTGAGACGCGAGTTATCACTTAAATCCAAGCCCACGCGTGTCACCACTATTGTAGGCTGTAAAAGCTTTCGGTCCGACGAATCCTGCGCAGACCGACTCTGGAGGGCGAGGGGAGGATGGCTAGGAAGCGGACAAGACGAGGGTACCGAGTCGCAGGGGGGTTGACGGCATGAAGAAGTGGCCAGGGACCATAAACAAGATCAAATCAAAGATCAAGGATGGGAAAACACAGCCGAAAGAGGGGGTTTCAGCAGAGAAAAGCAGCAGATCGCTATGATGGGGTGCAGCAACAGAAGCGAGTGACCGCTGATTCTGCCGCGTTGCGTTCCGGCGAGGGCAAGGCTCACCGCCCGAAGAAAAAAGAGTATCACGTGAGATTGTAACTGACGTAGCTGCAGGTGGAAAGAGATATGCCATTTTGTATAATAATATGTTGATATTGCACTTTTATACCCGGAAAAATATGGGAGAAATACAGAACAAAGGATATGTTAATCAGTCTCACTATGTTAGATGGTATAAATTCACATCAGCCATCCACAGGCTTACCGCCTAAACCCAAACAAGAATGTCTCAGCCTGGAATACGTAGAAAGAAGGCGACGCTTATAACAAGACGAAAAATTAATACAAAATTCTCCATAGGTGAGATTCACACATATCTACCATATACAACGAACAATGTACCTTAGGAATATTCATCTCTTGAGAGTACTGGTCATGTGATAAGCAGCTTTCCGTGCCAAGACCCGATAAGCAGAAACTAAAGGAAAAAAAAAAGTCGGAGCTATCATCGGCGCTGTGTCAATCGCAAAGCCACGTCTTGATCACTCACTTTTCAGACGATAATACAGTCCGAACACACATCAAAATGGGCAAAAAATCAAAGTCATCCTCCAAGACGGAGGAGAAGACCAGCAAGCCCGCTGTCGCTCTTCCCTTTGCCGGGGCATCTCTGGACCCAACATTGTCCTCGCTTTTTGCGCAAAGTGTACGTCTATCCTGATGTATAACTAATGGAATTTGAATTGACAATTTCTAGGCTGGCCCCGTACAAGCCCCTGTTGTCAAGTATGTCGAGCCTATCCAACGGGCGAAAAAGGATGAAGGTGATGCTGAAGAGGAGGACCTCTCATCTGCCTCAGACGATGAAGTAATGGAGGATGCCCAAGAAAGCGATTCTGAGCCCGCAGAGGAAAAAGAACAACCTACCGATACACAGAACCGGAAACGCAAGCGTGGCGGTGCCGGTGAGGAGGTCGAGGAGACATATATGCGTCGCATTGCAAAGGAGGAGGAGAAGGATGAGGAAAAGAGAAAGTCCGAATATGCAAAGCGCCAAAAGAAGACCGAACAAGAGGAAGGTAGCGAAGATGGTGAAGATGGTGAAGATGACGAAGGCGACGACTCCGACAAGGCATCTGGATCAGAAGATAGCGATGAAGAGGAGACCGCCCCTGCCCCTGTGCACGAGAGCTTGACTGGTGCCGCTAAGGCTGATGAAGTTGAGAAGTCTAACCGCACTGTGTTCCTGGGTAATGTCTCTACTGAGGCTATCAGGTCCAAGACTGCCAAGAAGACACTTCTTAGACATCTGGTCTCTTTCTGCTCGACCCTCCCTGAATCCACCGGCCCGCACAAGATTGAGTCTATTCGTTTCCGCTCTGTCGCATTCGCCAGTGGTGGTGGTATTCCCAAGCGTGCTTCCTTCGCGAAGCGCGAGATCCTCGATGAGACTACACCCAGCACCAACGCCTACGCTGTCTACACCACTCTCCATGCCGCACGCAAGGCCCCTGCCGCCTTGAACGGCACCATGGTTTTGGACCGTCACTTGCGAGTTGATAGTCTTGCCCACCCCGCAGAAATTGACCACAAGCGCTGTGTCTTTGTCGGCAACCTGTCTTTCATTGACAGTGAGACCCCCGAAGAGGACGAGAAGACTGGCAAGAAGAAGAAGGCTCGTGCTCCCGCCGATATTGAGGAGGGTCTCTGGCGCATTTTCAATGCCCACACTGGAGGCAAGGACAAGAAGGCTGTCAAGAAGAACGTCGAGTTCGTCCGCGTGATTCGTGATAGCACCACTCGTGTTGGCAAAGGATTCGCCTACGTCCAGTTCTACGATAGCAACGGTGTTGAGGAGTCGCTTCCACTCAATGGAAAGAACTTCCCGCCCATGCTTCCCCGCAAGCTGCGTGTCACTCGCGCCCGCAAGGTCGCTAAGAAGCGTGAACCTTCCGGCCCTGAGGGCAGCAAGTCTCGTGTAGATGAGGCCCAGAAGACAATGCAGGGACGTGCTAATAGGCTCTTGGGCCGAGCTGGTGCGGCTAAGGTCAAGGCCAGTGCTAACAGCACCATTGCTGGCAACTCTTTCGTGTTTGAAGGTCACCGCGCTACTGAGGGATCATCATCCATCAAGATGAAGCAAAAGAGCCGTGGCTCGAAGGCCAAGCGAGAAAGCAGAAGCAGCAAGCGTGCTGCCGCATACAAAGCTGCTGGTGGCAGAAGAGGTTAAAAAAATAAAATGTATTTTGGCGTTAGGAAGGGCATTTGAATATACATTGAAGAATGACGAAATTGTGCATATGTACCTGAAGCATATAATATTCTAGATCGACCGCCCGTATTCCACAAAAAGCAATTGCGGAGCTATAAATGGGGATCTTGACGTCATTTTCAACGATCAACAGCCACAATGACGATGAAGGTTTAATTGATAAATCACATGTGTATATACTTTCTTTCCCCACGATTATTTAAATTCTTGGATATCTACATTTAATTTTCTTTTAACAAGGTCAATGGATTCAAAACTGAATCACTTATGTTTCAACCTCCATGTGGTATGAGGGATGAGATGTATGAACAATTCGAACAATGGCTCAGTGCTATATAGCTAACTCGGGTAGTACAAAACGAAAAGGGAATTGAACACCATACTTGATCTTTGTGTGGCGCCGTTAATTTAGCCGAATCATCTACTCTATTCCAATGTCCAACATTGACATTTGTACATGCCCAGGTGTCACCGAACATAAATCGCATACAACCATGGTACCTTTCGGACTTCGCACGGGAAACCAGCGCCGGCCCCATTGTCAATCCTCTGCAGATACCGACGGTACAGCCTCTGGTCTAGAACCCCAAGGATTTGATCCCACCTTGGCGGATGTACTCAATGTTCGGCAATTGTTACAATGGTACCTCCCACGTGGTCTGCCCGAGGAGCTCGTTGATATGATCGTTGATGCTGCGGAATATTGGCCTTCGGTAGAGCAGAGAATGCAAGATCAATGGATTATTCAGAAAGACCGTGATCAAGTTTTGCTGAAGACAGTTCCCCTTTGCTATGATCGGAATGTATATCCATCCGTGCGCAAACTAGCCAATGGGACCTACGCTGATGATGAACTTCTTTTTAGAGCTTGGAGAAAGAATCGAACCCCACCCCTCTACCTCATCGCGGAGTACACCCTTGTCGCAAGATAGTCTTCCATATTTCATCGCACGACCAAGGCGGCGGGCGGCGCCGCGACAACATGTATGAATATTCGTGGACTTGGTTTGACACTGAAGTTATTCGCGGGGCGCATAAGAGGAACATGTACGTTGATGGAGTTGAGCAAGAAATCCTGGACAATGAGCGTGGACAAGTCCGAAAACACTACACCGAGGCAGATGCACTACTATTGCCGCGCGACAACAAATTGCAAGCCAATGGGGCCCATGTGAGCGAAATGCAACACAATACCATTGTGTGGGATTATCGAGACGATATCCAGGCAGACTCGCCAGAGGCTTTTGAAATTGAGAAGAACCTGGGTCGTGGCCGGCTTACTCTTGATGGACATGGAGTGCGTGAGTTGGAGGTTGGCGATTCGATTGCCATTTGGGCCCGCGCAAGGTTTCCCGGCTGGTCGAACCACGTTTCCCGAGCGATCGTGAGGATATACTGGGCTGTATAAAGGAGCGGTGAGATTGACGACAGACATGTAGATATAAAAGTCTGATTTGAGTTCTTTTTTCGTCTGACAGTAATGACTGATTAATCAGAATAATACTTTGGTATTCTGGAATCTAAGAGCCAAGGTTTATGACACAGATTTCGCAATAATGATAGATCATTCGTCAAACCAAGGGTCATCAAGAACTTCTTTCGCTGACGCTCTTGCAGATGGCTCGAAATGCAATAGCTTTCCAACGATCTGTCCTAGCCTCACTATGTCCTGACGGGAGAGATCGGGCCTCGGGCTATCGAAGTAAATTTCTTCTAGCCATTCCTGCAAGTTGTGACCGGAGATTTCTGTGGCCCTGCTGTCCTCTGCTTTCATCGTATTCAATTTCTCTTGCCATCTTTCCGGTAGATCATCTATTGCCATCTCTCGCATTTGGCCAACAAGAATTGCGGGCGTTATCATGGTGTCGAAAGGTGGCTGGCCCGCGAATAGTTCAAAGAGCTGCAAACCACTGTCAACTTTTGTTTCTTTTTGAAGTTTTGCCCGAGGACAATTTCCCTTACCATGCAGCCCATGCTCCACAAATCGACACGATAATCAATGGGATCTTGAAATACAACTTCCGGTGCCCGAAGAGCTAAAGGTGTATGTAGTGTTTCAGGAATAGCAGTGTGCAAAAATGACTCCCCGAAGTCGATTATTTTGACAGTCTGAGCCAGATCCCGAGAATACCTGGGATATGAGGTGGGCCTCACGATGTATTCGGGTATCCCAGGTTCCAGATCTTTCCCATCGCGTCTTTTGACATAGCCAATATCTGGTTTACCTAGCATCTCAATGAACATTTCCTCTGTTAAACCGTCTATGCCTTGCATTGTGAAGGCCAAATTGCGGGTATGTAGATCTATATTAAGTGAGCAGTATACGAATGTCGCTAAGAAAGTGATTTACCTCCATGCCCAATCTTTCGTTGGTGTAGACTATCGAGCCCGATCAAACATTGCTTGGCAATACTTCTGGCAAGCTTTCCAGGAAGTCTACTACCTGGAAATTGTATATCAATTGTATCTGGAACATTGGGCCCTAGAAGTTCATAGACTAGGCATTTATGAGATCCATTTGGGCCCTTTATGTAGAAGTCATCAAGCATATGCACTATATGTTTCGGGCGAGGTTGATAAGACGCAAGCTCTTTCATAGTTTGGAGCTCTCGCATGTCCTCGCTTTCTGCAACGGAAATTTTGACAGCAACGTATGTCCTTTCCCTACAAGCATTCGACTTTCCCGTTAGTTAGGTAGAACTACCGCGAGGCACATCGGCTTATCTGACCTTTGATCTCTGGCCGCCCAAACTGTGGAGTAGCCTCCCCACCCCAGTTTATGGAGCACCTTATACCTTCTATCTTTCAAGTATTCCCCAAAAGTGAGCGGGTGATAGCCACCTTGTCGATAGCGATTAAGTGGCTCAGCCTCAACGGTAGAAATGTAAAGGGGCTGGTACACCTGACTCTTGTTTGAATGGACACATATGGTCCTAGAGACAATGCAAAGCGGTGAGACCCTCCTTAAAGTGGTAACACGGGTCGGTATTATCCAAGGGATGATCATGAGATAAGACCGGAGTTTTCTGTGTATAGGGTGAGGGCAAAGTGATCGGATACCCAGGTGCCTTGCGGGTCAAGGCAACGGATGATGTGGTACCTTGCCGAAAACAATAGCCAATGACATGCATCCGAAAAAGGAGCCTCATACCTAGCACCCCTAGCGCAAAAGCCACCACCAATTGAAACTGAGGCAGGGGGAGGTTACAGAGAAGCGAAGTGAGAGTAAAGTGAGGGGAGAAGTGAGAATAGTGTGAGAGATAGAAGGTGGAGGGTGCACTCTATGATGATCACTATGTTTTGATTTCTCATGTCGGAGACTGGATTTTACGGGCTTATGGGCTACAGAAATAGGCTGATTCCGCACTCTTTACTGTCAACATCTGTATGTTCCGGGAAGTATCCCACCCGGCGTTTGGCTTTGAGTTCTTGCTCCAGTTGGATGAAGCGCCTGCATACTCATACGCTATACAATCCCAGGAAGAAGACGTGAACCAAGATTCGAACTCCCTGCTGCTTTCCAAAATGGTATTTACGCCTAGAGGGAAAAAAGATACCTACGCTTATTCATCTACACGAAACTGGAGTTCACTACTATTCATTATGCCTCCCATTCGTCGCCGCACCCTCAAACTCACGCAGAGAATCTGCCTCTGTGCAATTCCACCCTGTAGCTCACCGAAGAGGCTTCTAAGAGACCTGGCATGGCTCACTTCACTATCGCCATCCTCAAGTTAGCACATTACAAATATATGAACAGCAGAAGTTACCATCTTCAAGAATCCTACTATTGCAGGAGCCCATCACACACGAGCCAGCCCGATCATACTCCGCACGCCACAGCGATGTTTGCAACTGAAGAGCAATTCCGACATAACATCGCCCAGACAGCTCATATTTACCATAATCAGCAGGGACAATATACCGGCCATATTCTATTTGAAAGAGAGAAGAAGTCGTCGGATGAATGAAGCATGTACTTAGGACATATGTGCTCGTTGCCGCATTATGTTAGGAATGAGAAATGAAACAAATTACGAGGATTCAGACCGCCACCTCGCGTACTCTTCAGTATATGTATAGCCCATATATGTATAGCCTCATTAGAGTAATTAAAGTTCTGTATACTTACTAAGCCCTGATTGGCCCTGAAGGCACCAAATTGATCACGCCATTCTGCCAAGCCTGTCTGATCGACGCCAAAACAACACAATATAAAGCCAACGGCCTCCTCAAGCTACTTTACTTTTTATTTCTCTCAAATTTTGGACGTCATGCTGTCCAACCGTGTACTTACAATATTCCCACATATGCCATGAAAATGGGTGTTATCCCATGAGCACCTCTTGCCCTTACGGATCGACGCTGCCGACAGGCCGACGGGAAGCGCACAGTGGAGTTCAGTCGCCGATTCAACGCTGAGTCACCGAATGAGTCGCCGTCTGATAGCTACTGAACCATAACAGACCGCCCAAACGTCAGGCAATTTTAGGACGAAGATCCCCATTGGGGCAGAATGGATTGGCCATTATTTGCCGATAGACCGGCGACCCATCTCGTCCGAGAGCTACATGTGTCACAGGGGACCTCCAACGAGAATGACTGTTCCCGCTCTATGGCGATGTCCCGGCTGGATGTTGCGTTATCTGCATGAAAATACTAACATTCCATCGCCGATGATGTCGCTCCCTGGGTCTTGGCCGATACCTCCCCCTTTTTAAACCCCGACCATGTCACGATATCTGCTGTGAATCTGTTTAGTTATTCAAATAAACACCGGTTTACTCCGTACATTCTTTCCATTCCGCTTTGATTTGCTTCCCATACTTGCTTTCCTATTCTTACTCACATCTTTCAATCATCCAACATGGCTACTCGGAAATGCGCCGCGGTTGTCGTAGGAGCCGGTCCCGCTGGAGTCGCCGTAATGGGAAACTTGTTGGAGCGCCAGCTGGGTACAATCGCATGGATTGATCCCTCTTTCGAGGGCGGCAGAGTCCATAACAAGTACCGCGAAGTTCCTAGGTTTGTACCGGATCATCGACACGTAAACACAGACCGGAATATACTAACGAGAATACCTTTAGCAACACCAAGGTTTCATTATTCCAAGCGTTCGCAAAAGCCACGCAACCTTTCCAGAAAGTGATCGATAACACCAAATCACCTAATGCATTCACCAAATTGGCCAAACTCGACCAAGAATCAACCTGCGCCCTTGGTTACGCAGCGGATATGGTTCGCACCCTAACAGACGGTCTGCTCAAGATGGAGGAAGTATACGCATGCCATGGCCTTGTCAAATCAGCAAACCTGAACGAAACGGTTAGTGATTTTGCTACACTACTTCTGTACCGAGACTAATCACGACATCAGACCTCCAACTGGACCATTTCCATTAAACAGAATTCATCCGAAGATCTCGAGACCATCGAGGCCACCCGCCTGATCCTCTGCACAGGCTCTTTCCCCACAACAGCCCCCATCCCAGTCGCAGGACTAAACATCCAACGCCTGGACCTCGACCTAGTTCTCAAGCCCAGCGATCTAGCAACCACCCTCCCCACAGACCGGCCAATCTCCGTCGCCATCGTCGGCGCCTCCCACAGCGCCATTCTCGCAATCCTGAACCTCACCCAGCTCGCCCAAACCTCCCACCCCCTCCTACGCATTAACTGGTTCACCCGTCACGCCCTCCGCTACGCAGAGTACAAGGACGGCTGGATCCTACGCGATAACACCGGTCTCAAGGGCCTAGCTGCGAACTTCGCCCGCGCCGAACTAGAAGACGACAAGCTTGCCACTTCACCTGCTGGCCAGGTCCTGGCCAAGATTGACTGCGCCGGCGGACAGGAGATTGAATCCGCCCAGTACCAGAAATACTTGCCCTCGTGTGACTATCTCGTCCAGGCGGTTGGGTATAGCCGTGCCTCGCTCCCTACTCTCACAAAGAATGGCGTGCCCCTTCTTATGAGCTTTGATCATGATACGGGCGCGTTCCACGAGCCTGGTAGCGCGTCTGATATCCCCGGGCTGTTTGGTGCTGGTATTGCGTTCCCTGAGAGAGTCGTGGATCCTCATGGAAATGAGGAGTATGCGGTTGGGTTCTGGAAGTTCATGAAGTTCCTGAAGCGGGTTGTCCCGTCGTGGGTTGCATGATTCTGTTTGGCTTTTGTAAAGTTTGTGCTTTCTGGTTTACAGGACACTGACGAGGTGCCCGTGCATTGTCTAGCGGGCTATGATTCCAACGTTTGATACCGATTTCTATGGAGTAATTGGCGTTCTGGGCGGCTTCGGGACCTTTTTATATAATTTTATAGCTGTTGCAAGCTACAATTAAGAGCAGGTGTTCTTTTGCTCAAATTTACCACGAAATGTCCTTGCCATTCATCACTAGTTGGGGCCATAATAATCAGCAACGCTAAGCCCGCATAATTCGAATTGGACGTCCGCGTATCCAGACCTCAGGACCCGAAATATATTGAAGGAAACATATGGACCAACGGTCAGAAAGTGAGCAACTAGCGGAGTTTTGGCCATTGCCTAGTATGGAGATCTACAATTGATACTAGTCTTTGAAGATATGAAAGCAAAAAATGCATTGGATTGTTCATCATTTGAGTCGTATACCCATCTCCTCCAACATAACTCCAAAGTAGCCCTAGTCATCAATGCCATATACCATCCATCCCATAATCCGGTCACATCACATCATGAAATACCGTGGACACATCCAATCCCACATCCCTCCCCCTACCATCTATTTTATTCAAATCACAACATAGCAACCGCAAAAACAGCAGCCACAACAGCCCCAACACCACCCCTCACAACCCCAGCCCCACTATCAGAAGTCTGCGTCGCAAACGCCACATCACTCCCAGTAGCCGTAGCACGATACTCACTCTGACTAGCAACAGCCTTCTGATCATACCCCGTCGCCGAAACGGTATAAGTAGTCGAAGCCTGCGACCAAACAAGCACAGTCCCACTGGGCGGCGCCGAAACTGTTCCACCAACTTCATACAGAGTCGAAGTACCGTTCTTAGGGAAATCGCCTGGCTTATAGAACTTGTCTATATCTGTGAATCCAAGGTCCCGGCACTTCGTATCCTGGAGCGTTGCGTCGCATGACGACCATGCCCAGTTCGGGAGGGAGGTGTATAGGTTTGGGAGGTCGGAGGGGAAGAAGACATCCCACATTCCTACGCCGGCGAGGGTGGGGTTGGTGTGTGGGCAGATATCCCATGAGCTGTGGCTGTTAGGTGATTGTTTACAAAGTTTGTTGGTTGGGGGGGTTCACTTACGCGGAGATACTAGCACTGGCTCCGCAGCAGGCGCAGTCCGAGGCGCGGTTGGCGATATCAAGACCGTTGTTTAGATTCGATAGGTCGGGGATGTTGCCGATGTCTGCGGTGAGTTTGTCGGTGACGTCGCGCATGCATTTTATCTGCTGGTTGCGGGATGAGAGGGTTGTTTGGGTGACTTTGCCTAGATCGCAGGAGCAGCGGTTTGGGGCGTTCGCCGGGGGTGGCCAGAAGGGGATTGGTTCTTTGGCGCTTGGGCAGACGGCGAAGTATTGCTGGACGAAGAGCTGGTATTTGCAGGAGTAGACCTGGGTATTGTTAGTATGTGTTTATGGACTTTAAGGGTGTTCGTTTGAAAGGTGTATAACATACCTGGTTCCAGCATGACTCCGCCATACAATTTATATACTTCTGGTGGGACTCGCAGCCACAATCCACGGCACAGTTGCCATTGCCGTTGCAGCCTCGGAGACAGGAGCTCCACTTGTCCGCGACATCCCTGTTGCACTTTGAGTACTCGGATGTGGAGGCGCAGTCTTTCTCGGTGATGTTTGTCTGGGCATTGGCTAGGCCGGAGAGCGCCACTAGGGTTGCGCCCGCGAAAATGAATTTGGATAACATAGTAGATCCCTGTTCTTTGGATAGATCTTAAAGTAGATATATCAGAAGGCAGCTCTGGCTTGAGCTTTCAATGGCAACTAAATAAAAAGAATCAACCCCTAGGGAGGATGCAGGACTTTTATAAGCAAATGCAGAATAGTCCACATTCGAATGGAAGGAAATCCCATGGATCTTACTCGGGCCCATGGCAACTGTATGCTAGGGGTTCGATCATTGCAAACCCAGCTGTCATCGTTCGCAGCAAGCAACCAATAACGGACAGCCTAGCGTGACAAAGTAACACAAAGAACAAGCTGGGCCATTAATATTTCAAAAGAAAGTGGATGACGACGATCCCAGTTTCCGCATGGCTTCTGCATCTATTGCATATAGGCAATCACATTTCCTTGAGGGCCTTGATAGATCAGCGACCGGGTCCAGAACCCGTGGCTTGACTGAATGGACTGGAAATTTTAGAATTTCCAGCCAAACCCTGCATAATGCTAGGGGTCTTGCTTTCCTCACGGCGTAGACACGAGGTGGAGTGGGACTGTTCCTGCGATGGACTTGTGAAGACCCTTGCTTGGAGGTGAGCTTTTGATGACGTTGGCGGGGTGTTATTAGTAAGGCTGGACTTGAGTAATATGGTGATTTTGCTTGGGGCTCCCATGTTGTTCATGCGGTGTGTCGAGAGACATGCAGGCTTGGGTGCTCATGCCAGGGTTGCTTTATCATAGCGCGGGTGCCTAGCATAGCCTGAGCCCTAGGGAGTACAAGAGTACAGCATACAGCACCTCTAAATATTGAGAAAGAAGTACGGAGTAGTCCAGATGGTAATGATATCGTTCACGGAGACTTGAAACGTCGCGTCGTTCGGATTGTCATTTCATCGCAGTGGTACCTAGTGCATGTGTGAGGGTCACGAGTCAGGCACAGCAAGTTTGAGACAAATTCCAAGGTCCGTATGGTCGGAATATATAGTTTTATGTACCTCTATGGAGTATAGTTTGGGTGTTCATGTGTAAACCTTGGTATAAAGTCGCATTCTCACCACAGAGATCAACCTGGAATTTAATACAAAATAAATCATAAAATTAGGAAAATTAAATTGAAAGTAGACAAATTAATAAAAAAAAAACCAGAAGTAGAATGTAAGCCCGAAATTGTGTTCAAACGTCAAATCCCACCCTAATGGCCCCAATAGTCCCAATTCTGTGGAGAACAGAAAATCCTTAAGGAGATTTGCGATTTTGAACTCCATTATTTACTGGGGTAAAAGAGTCACGAAGTCCGGACTAAACCCCCTTACTGAGACCTCGTATTTAGTATCCGAGGTAACATCCATTTGCCTATAAAGCACAATAAGCCCTTATAAAAGGGAAAAGGGACTTTTGCAAATATTTTAGCGAGATTAGACTACAATTAAAAGTGGACGCGGGACGATCCAAATTAATTATTTCCCCCCTCATTTCCGACGATCAAAGAGATTTGACACAAGTAGATTGAGTATATCATTAACGCTGGGGCACACAATAGAAAAAAATACAAAAAGCCATCACATAGAGATGGGATGTTTTGTACAGCCCCATAAAAGGCAATAAGACAAATTGATTGGCTGTTTCAAATACAGCCAATCGGAGAAGTGAAGGGGAAAAAATATGTATATATCAATAAAGCATATGAACACGACTCTAGGTCTCGTTCATGACAAGATCGGTATAGAAATTTACAGCATCAAAGCACCGGCAACAAGGGCCAGCAAGCCACCGGAGACACGGTTGGCAACACCGGCGTTAGCGGTGGGCACGGTGGTCTGGGCAGCGGTGGTGGAGGCAGCAGCGCTGGAGCTCTCGGGGGTCTCACTAGGAGTCTCGCTAGGGGTTGCGCTGGCGGAAGTGCTGGAAGCGGTGGTCATGCTGGGGGAGCTGGTAGGCTTGGACGAAGCAGTGCTGGACTCATCTGAGGTAGTGGTGCGGGTGGCCTTGGTGGATGACTCGGTGGTGGACTCCTTGGTGGTGGACTCCTTGGTCGAGCTGGCAGAAGAAGTCACAGAGACGGTGGAGCCCTCGACGGTGAAACGACCGATGTAGTTGTAGTCGTCGCTATCGTCATCCGAGACGATCTTAATAGTGTAGTCAGGCTGGGCGGCCAGGCTAGAGGGCACATCCCAGGTGTAGCTACCGCTGTTATCAATGTTCGCTAGGGAAAGTTAGTAGGGGATGATTGAGTCATTTTGGAATTGTGTTTGCTTACAGGCAATGACAGTTCCGGAGTTACCGGTCATCACGGCTCCCCATTGCAAGATCAGGCTGACAGTGCCCTTGGTGGTAGGGTCCCAGGTCAGGGCAGTAGGCTCGCCGGTCTTGAAGGTGTAACCATCGGTGGGAATGTTAAAGGGGTTGGCTTTGCTGTCGGCCACGGCGACGGCGGCCATGGCGGCCACAGCGAGGGAGACGAAGAAACGCATTATGTATATATATAAGGTTGGATATATAAGGTTGGAAATGCAGAAGTGGGAGATGCAGATTAAAAGAGTGAAATCGTACAAAAAGCCTCAAAAGAGTGGAAGGCGTTAAAGAGGCGAATATGGAAGAAAAGGCCGAATACCCGGACACGGGGGGGCCATTTAGGTTGCTTTATAACTAGTAAAAGGGCATGTGCCCCATGGAATAAGGAGCTAGGTAATGACCGGCAAAGTCAAAGGGAAAAAGAAAAACAAATATAAAAGAAGCAAGGTAAATGATTGGCCATTGTCTATCCTTGAGAGGATCCGCGAGGGCCCGAGAGGACCAAAGAGGAGTAAAGAGCGAAAAAGATAAAAGCGTGGCGTTGATTCCACGAGTCTTTGGACCATTAACGGGCCATTTTGGTCTCTCTTGGCAGGGAATGACTGAAATTGACTGGTCGAACCTCGAGGTGACCTTAAATGACTATATCCACTTTCGTCGGCTATAGTCACTTCGCCTTGTCTTACTATTTTAACAGGTCTAAGATAAATTTAGATTGAAAACCACAACTTGAAAGAATTCTCTCAAGTTATCTTCCTTTTATTTTTTTTTTTAACTATTTTCCTCGCGTGTTGACAAGGTTCGGATCTTCATCCAAGTTATAAATTCAGCCAAAGCCCCCCCTACGCCTCCCAAGCTATGACCATTTCACTTCCTTGCGTATGAAATGTTTCGTATCTTGTAGATCCAGTTCTGACGCTAATTTATTGGGGTATCGTGTGGGGCGTTAACCAACATATCATTCTGACCGAGCCAGGAGATCACTTCCATTGCTCGACGGTCATCGTCTTCTGCCTGTCGGTCCAGCAACTAATCCATGTCAGTACAATTTCAATAGCAAAAATCAATGGAGCTCCCACAGCTTGATAAAGTCCCTTGCGTTTCGTCTCTTTTGCCTTCTTTTCTGTAGGCTTTGCCTTGGTCTTTCGTTCAGAGTCATTCTCATGAAGGAATTTACACTGGTCGCCACGGTTACAATGCCCATTACGCGCAAAGTAACGGCACACAGTCTTTTTGCCTTCGCGGGGTGGGGGTGGGACTCGCTCTGGTCCCGTGCGACGTGAAGTTGCTTGCTCTGGCGCGGAGTCGTCACTTTCAGAGTCGGAGTCGGGATCTGAGCCAGAAGCATCCGAGGAGGTCCAATCACTGGCCTCATGATTGGATGTGATCTCCATGTCATCCAAGCCATGGTCAATGGGGTGTTCGGTCTTAATCGTAGCCTCGAGATCTTTGGACTCGAGCAGGATTCCAGGATCTCCCTGCACCTCTGTCGCGTGGGAAACGGGGTCGGCTGATTGGACAGGCTCTGGGGTTGGGCCAGGCTCGGTTGGTATAATTATATCCGTCACTGCAGTTTCAGGTCCAGCGTTGATGGCTGGCTCTGGTACCGGATCTTCGGTTTCGGTTTTAGTAGTTGGTTCTGGTAACGGGGTTTCGGGTTTAGTCTCAATAACTGGGTCAAGGGCCGGATGTTGGGGCGCGGGTGTGATACCAGTATCTTCCTCTTGGCTAAGATCTGCATTTAGGCTCAGTGCCTCCTTCTGTAGAGCTTCCATTCGGAGACGAGCAGCTTCGGTCTCAGCCATAGCTTTTTGGATCCGTTTCTCCTCGCGCTCAAGGTTGCGCCGAATCTTCTCCCTGCGTTGCGCATTTGTCGTTGCATCTGCAGTTTCTGTCTTGTGTTCGTTTTGCTTTTGTATATGCTCTTTTCGCTTTTCCTGTTGCTCTTTTTGTTTTTGTAGACGCGCTGCCTCACGGGCTGCCTTTGCTTCCTCCATGGACTTCTTCTTTTCTTCGACCCGAGCTTTAGTGGGGAATTTCTTCCTACGCTCTGCAATCCAAGCAGCAATATCGGATGGTGTTTGTAATGTAGATGTTTTCCCTTTGTATGAGACCTGAAGTGGTGCAGCATCACCTCCACTTTGCGCTAGCTTTGCTTCTTCGTCTTCGTCAGCCTCTTCTTCGCTTGACTCGTGTTCTTCGGTATGAGGGGTCAGTCCGAGCTGATTGTGCTTCCGTTTTCTCTTCTTTGTCTTCCTATTAGGTGTGGAGTCGGCGGCTGGTGGTGGCTTCGAGGGCAGAGGGTTGCCGAAGCTTGGGACGGCAGGAGCAGCGGGAGTCCGTGGTGCAGTTGCTTGGGGCTTGTTGAATGCAGATGAATGATCCCGCTTATGGTTGTGCTTGGGCTTCGGACCCTGATTGCCGTGCGCATGAGGTCGCGGCCCTCGTGTTTGCCCTGATTGAGCTCCCATGTATGGCGCCGCACCTGGCATGTCATTGCGCCATGACATGGGGGGCATCATTGGTTGATTGTTTGGTTGATGGCCATGAGGAGGTGTCGGTAAGCCTTGCATGTACGTCGGGGGTGTAGGAGGGTAAGGTGTGGGAAGGTTGTGCGTATTGTAGTGTTGATAGCTCCCCGAAGCTACCGACTGAGGATATTGTTGAGATGGAAATGAGGGCGGGTTTTGAGGATTCTGAAAAGCGGGTGTTTGTCCATGATGGTAGGGTTGAGGAGGCATATAAGATGCTGTTGGAAGAGGTTGAGGATATCCGCCATACACTGGTTGCGCGTAGTTGAACCCTGTAGGAGGAAGGTATGGCGGCGCTTGTCCACTTGCTGCATGATTACCTCCCCGGCCTCGGTTGCCTTGTCCTCTTCCACGTCCCCGCTGACCTCCGCCATGTCCCCCATTGTGTCCGCCATGTCCGCCCCAATTCTGTCCGTGTTGGGTCGGGTGCTGAGTCGGCGCCTGAGTCGTTGCCGGCGGCGGAGGCGGCGGGGGCGGGAAAGAAAACCCCTGTGAGGTCATGACGAGAGCCTTTGGGGTTTCCAGAGACTCCAGCACAAACACAGGAATAATCTCTTGGATTTAGCGTGTTAGCGGAGTTGAGGTTGAGATTGAAAGCTTCCGTTCCGGAGTCACGTGAGAGCGGGATTCTGGCGGACGAAGAATCTCAAAAGGTTTTCGATTGCTTCTTTGGGTACGACAATGGTAAAAGGTGAAAAGAGACTCACATCTGGTCACTTTGTTACTGTCTAATCAATTACATACTTCTGTCTATACCCTCACCATCATTAAAATGTTTATCTTGGTAAGTTTTATGTCCATATATAAAAACCATGTCTAACTAACGCTGGCAGACTACCATATCGGACTTGATCCAGATTTCGCCTGAGGATTTCTCCAAGTTCAGTGCAGTCGCACTCGAAGACAACATTAATGCAAAATACGCCAATAAAGTGTGGAACTCAGGCTTTTTCTTGCCAGTTTCTTAGTGCTGATTCTGCCCTCTAGGTCATTCAAAAAATTGGCCTTTGCATCAGCTTCTATGACCTACTTGAGTCTTCCGATGGCCTGATTGGCCACGGAACCGGTTTGGTTAATGTCAATGGTGAATGATACTACCTTCTATCAAGTCTGAGATCTATACTGACTCTTACACAGTTAAATTCCGCATGATTGTCTTCCGGCCTTTCAAAGGAGAGATCATGCTGGGAAAGATTTCTAGCGGCACAGAACATGGAATCAAGAGTCCGTTCCAATCATGAAAACTCAGTCCTCCTCCAAAACTAACAAACTCCAGTTGGCCTTGAATTCTTCAATGACATTCTGATCCCTCCGCAGATGCTTATGGAAAAGTCCCGATTGTGAGCTGGTCCCACCTCATACTAAAGGTTAGAAATACTAATGTGTCTTGCAGTGACTATGCCGAGCAGGTATGGATCTGGGAGAGTGAAGGTGGAACAGAATTCTTCTTCGATGTAGGAGAAGTTGTTCGATTCCGAGTTGAGTCAGAGGAATGGCATGACCAAATCCCCAATGCACCAGATGTTGCGGATGAAACTCCACAGGAGAGGCGCCCTCCGTATTCCATTCTGGTAGGTTTCTCCATATGGAAGTTTCTTAACTCTCACTGACGATCTTCTAGGGCTCTATGCAAATGGGTGGCACCGGACCTATCACTTGGTGGTAGCCTGGATGTCGTCATTTGTTAAATTAGACCGTCTTTTTGTTGATCTATTGCGGCCCCTTCTCAGCGCCCATACAATTTCTTTCATAGTCAGATCAGATACCCATACGAATGCCAATGAATACATAGACCGAGTGATTGTACGTAATATGTCCAGCTGACAATGTAACGTAATATCCTAAGGTTTATATTGGACACGAGGAGGAATTCAGAGTTGGCCAGCATGCGCATCTAACCCTTTTCAAAGCAATAGAAAGACAAAAGATGTATACAATGATGTTCCAAGCAAAGGTATAGACCAATTAGGAGATACCGGCAAGTACCGAACACTCCGATACTCCGACGCATCGGAGTGTCCCACTTTGATTCTCCGAGAAGAATTGGCCCGGTGGAGCACCGTCGGCCTCTCGTCCAGTCGTAATCCTGCGATTCATCGCCATCTGCCCCAGAGGGATTGATTGTATGTAAAATATAATCCGTTGATGAATTTTTTTTTTTCGGTTGAATTTTTCCAAAACATCCCGGAAGCAGCCATTGTACCTGTTTTCGCCATTGATTATCAATCAGATTCGCAATCCGAGTTCTAATTTTAAAGACCGAGTCATACAAAGATCTCATCTTATCGATAAACATATACCCCTCGCCTCTCTCTCTCAATTGTCTTCAAATTATCTTCTCTATACACAATGGTCTCCACCACAGAAAACGGACACACTGCTGAGCGCGGCTTTGGGACACTGGCTGTCCACGCTGGCTCCCCCCACGACCCGGTGACCGGCGCTGTTATTGCTCCGGTAAGCTCATCAATCTAGCCCTGGAGAAGATAAGACGGTCCTAATAATGCTATTAGATCTCCCTGTCGACCACATATGCTCAGACCAGTGTCGGAAGCCCCGTCGGTCTGTACGAGTACACTCGCAGCTCCAACCCCAACCGGTCAGTTTACTAGTACAGACTCTCAACACATTGACCAGGGCTAATACTCCCGCAGTGATAACTTCGAGCAAGCCGTCGCAGCTCTCGAGCACGCCAAGTACGCTCTTGCCTTCTCCTCCGGCTCCGCCGCTACCGCCAACGTTCTCCAATCCCTTGCTGCTGGCTCGCACGTCGTTTCGGTCTCCGATGTTTACGGAGGTACCCACCGATACTTCACCAAGGTTGCTTCGGCGCACGGTGTCCAGGTCACCTTCACCCCTTCCATTGAGCTGGATGTGGAGCAATTGATCCGCCCCGAGACCAAGCTCATTTGGATCGAGACCCCCTCCAACCCTACTCTTGGCTTGGTGGATATCCGGGTTATTGCCAACATTGCCCACAAGCACAACATTCAGGTCGTTGTCGATAACACTTTCATGAGCCCCTACGTCCAGAACCCATTGGACCACGGTGCCGACATTGTTGTCCACTCCGTCACTAAGTACATTAATGGTCACTCCGTGAGTTCTTACTTTCAACCTAGGGTTTATCAACATCAAGTTTGCTAACTGAAATCTAGGATGTCCTGATGGGCGTGGCCGCCTTTAACTCCGAGGCTCTCAAGGAGCGTCTCAGCTTCCTCCAGAACGCCATCGGTGCCGTCCCCTCCGCATTCGACTGCTGGCTCGCCCACCGTGGTCTTAAGACCCTGCACCTGCGCGCACGCGAGGCAACCAAGAACGCGACTATCGTCGCCATGGCCCTTGAGGCCTCCCCTCACGTTATCTCCGTCAACTACCCCGGCATTGACTCCCACCCCGACCGCGCTATTGCCCTCAAGCAGCACCGTGACGGTATGGGAGGTGGTATGCTTAGCTTCCGCATTAAGGGTGGCCAGAAGGCTGCTCACGATTTCTGCAAGTTCACTAAGGTCTTCACCCTCGCCGAGAGTCTGGGAGGTGTTGAGAGTCTGTGCGAGGTTCCCTCTAGCATGACCCACGCTGGTATTCCCAAGGAACAGCGTGAGGCCGCCGGTGTCTTCGATGATCTTGTGCGCATGAGCTGTGGTATTGAGGACTCTGTGGATCTGCACGCCGATGTGATGCAGGCCCTCAGCAAGGCTGCTAAGTTGGCTTAAACGCGACTCTTAATTGCAGTGTTTTGGCTTGCATTTAAATACTATCTAGAATAGACTGCATTGGTTGTTGATCACTTGGATATGACATTATGAGTTAGAGAATTACCACATCATATACTTACAATTATTACAACCCCAAGACTCTTAAAATAGTATTTGAATCCATCATGTCCAAGAGACTGTATACTCTAATTCTGCCTGAGGCTTCATATTGCTTAGTCATCATTTCACCCACTGCAATTTTTTGTATGGAGATCAGATCACAGCGTCTGTGACTAGAAAGCCTTGGAACCGAATTACTGTTTAATCAGGTAGTCCTTGCATTTGAAGAGGATATTCTGTCGGAACTAGTGCAAGTTTGTCGGCAACGTGCAATTCCCACAAATTCTCGACACCAGGTCACAGAAAACCCACCTACACAGTACTAAGTGTTGGGAGAATATACAACCATTTTATTAAGGCAAAAATGGCCTTCAGCTTCGGATTTTCTGGGGATGATATCGACATTGATGATTCGGAGATCAATAAAGATTTCACAGATGTGCCCTCCCATCAAGCCGTGGGCAATTCTCTTCCCGAGCTCGTGAAAGCGGTTAAACATGACATGAATGAATGGGTAAGTGATCAAGATATTTCTCAATTATGTGTATTGTGTCACTGCTTTTGTCAAAGAAATTTTGAGCTGGCAAGTATTTCTAAATCCCAGTTCGGGCCTATGAGATACTGCCATCTATCATTGACAAGAGGATGGAAGCATATGAATATATTCTTTTGTAATACATTATACCTTTTCAATTCTCAAAATCTAACTAACATAACAGCTTTCAATCCTTCCCTCTCAAATCTTGTACAATAAGCTCGCAATCAGTGATACGCCTCTGGCCGTCGCTCGTCGAGAGATATTTGACATTCGCACTCAGCTCATGGCCGAAGACAGCGCAGGCCACGATAATGAGGAGCTGATTGCCGGTATTGAAAAAGGCGACATCACGCCCAATTTCTACGAAGGCGGCTTCAAAACCTGGGAATGTGCCTTGGATCTAGCTAAGCTCTCCGTCAATGAGGACATTCTTAATGAATCCCCCGAGAGCCCGGTAGACATCCATATAATTGAGGTTCGTAATCATATTGTGGAAGATTTCCCCAACATTTACTAGTAAGGCAAGCTAACATGAAGAAATAGCTTGGCGCAGGCACAGCAGTCCCATCATTGACGCTGTTTGCCCGTCTTCTCAGCCAAGTCGAGCCCGGCCAGAGCCAAAGAAAGACACTCTTTACCTTCGCAGACTACAACTCGGACGTGCTCCGTCTTGTCACGCTCCCGAATCTCCTTCTGACATGGCACAATAGCCGTTCCCAAACGGCTGTTTCGGCCGCGTCGACTGCGCCAGACCAGGACGAAGAGCTGGATATCACGCCTGAGCTGGTTCAAGAATTCAAAGATGATCTTGCTCAGCGTGGGATCTCGGTTGATTTCGTTTCTGGGGCTTGGTCGCCCGAGTTCGTGGATCTGGTCTTCTCGTCTGGTAGTGGCGCCCGCAAGACTCTGGTTCTTGCCAGTGAGACAATTTACTCACCCGCATCGCTGGCGGCATTTTCTGAAACGCTTTTGGCGCTGCTGCGCCGCTCGAACACTGTATCGGCGAAAAGTCGGGCTCTCATCGCGGCGAAGAAGGTTTATTTCGGAGTTGGTGGCGGTGTTGATGAGTTCCTTGCTGTGCTTCGTAATCTCTGCGCGAATGAGCTGGATGTGCAGCAGAAACTGAACGTTCAATCGGAGGGTGTTGGCAGAGTAGTTTTGGAGGTTGTGCCTTCAAACGGGCCCTAGAGTCAATTTGATAATAATGAATATCCAATCTCAGCATTGAACGAATATTCAGCGAGGGTCTAGGAGTTAGGTTCAAAAACAAAAGAAAATCCAATTATCAGGTGCTGGATTGAACGTCAAGTCCCAACGTATATGTACATGATTTTTCCTCCACACATGTCTATTTTAGACAGCCGACCAAAAGAAAAACGATACCCCCATTTACTCATAGAGCGACACAACCTTGCCGTCCTTCATCCGCGCAACCCGAGACTCCTCAATCTCCTGGTTCTTGCGCTGGTAGTGAGCCACGACATGGCTCAGGTCGGCCTGCGAACCGGGCGAAACGTTGTAGGGAGAGCCGGCGTTCATCATACTAGAAAAATCACAATTAGCATACAAAAGCATTTCCGGGGCAATAGTATCACATACTCAGGCTGGAGAAGGGAATAAGCCTCGGGTGGGCCCTGACTGCCGAGCAAGTGGCGGTCAGAAGCAGCCTTCTCCATCATAGCGGTGTGGATAGCATTGCGCTGCTCGAAGACCTCCTGAGAAGGAGTCCACTTGCTAATGAGGTTGGAGATCCAAGACGGCGAGCCGGATTCCTCGTTGGACTTGCTGACGTGGTAGAGGAGGAAGGCGGAAGCGATGGAGCCGCAAGTGACGTAGAAGCTGCGCTGTTAAGTGGACATGGAATGGTTAGCGAGGTGGTCGTGGGCCATTGAGATATTTCTCTGCTTCCAGACTCCGGTCTGGTCGCGATGGGCGGGGGAGCTTACGCCGAAGCTTTCATTCACGGGCGCGTGGGCGCCGTGGGAACCCCAGCGGCGCTGGGTGCGCAGCAGTAGCCGCGTCGAAGGAACAGATCGTCTGGCAGCGAACATTGTGTGGAGGGAAGCAATTGGTGGTAATCGATGACCCTTTGGGAAGCGATGATAGGGCGAGGTGGAAAGTGAAAGTCGATGGCACGTGATGTCCATATTGGGGTTAGGGCCATTTTCTATCGTAGTCAAGTGTTGACGAACATCATTCTCGATTTATTTAGATAGTTTATTATTTATTGTTTATTAGTCTATTAGTCTATTATTATCTACTATTATATGAAATATTTCTGATACTATCTATATTTGAATTTATCTGTTATGTTCTTTCTCTCATATCTCTTGGATCCCATGCCATATTTAGCACATTGCAAGACTATAATAGCGACAATAGTACGGACTCTGTACTACTCTGCAATGTACAGATAAAAAAATAAAATCCAAAATTAAAACTGCAGCCCGATCTACTTGGCATATGTTGTAGACAATCATATTATGTCTATGCTGCTTGAAGCCTCATCTAGTAATATGTGCTGTCCGATGTTGTCCGATGATAGCCTCACTATTTGCTTTTCAAGGCGACACTAATTGGGTGACATTCTCTGTACATCCTTTTGATATATCGCCTCGTTTTAATTCATGTCTGGCCCTGAATTGAACATGTCAGCTTGTCGGTGTCAACTCCACCCCACTAAGCCTTGCCTTTTGGAATTGCCCAAACCCACAGTTTGATGCCCAACTGCCATGGCGTCTCCCAACTGGTCTCGCTTCAGTCCAGAATGCAATATGAGTGGATTCGATACTTCTTTGTGCCCTCAAAATTCCATATTTCCCGGTACTCGCGTCTAATTCACGGCCCTCTCACACATTTGGGGGTGGATGGGTATCAACACGCTAAGGGCCGGTCCGCTATTGTGCCCAGACGTTATGCTAATTTTTTGAGATATTTTGTGAAATTCCTTCTTTATATTTTTCTTTCCTTTTTTTATCTCTTAGCATTCATTGTACTCTCAAGTATCTACATTTACTTGCATCTTCATTCGTGCCCACAAGGGTTTCAGGTTTCCTGCCCGATCAAAGCCACTTGGCTTACACTTCTAAATATTGCAAAGTCTTAATACATCCTAACTATAGTCAACTTTTGGGCTATATCTTGAGGTATCGCCACAGGGCTGCTTGCAAATGTACAGTGCAGTTGTCCCATATGATCCGAACTATTACTCATATGCTCGATTTAGTACACTGATCCTATTGGTAACACGGAGTCTTGGGCACGCATCACTCTACCGCCATGGCCGCGGGCAGCAAGAAGTCTAAGGCCAAAGACAAGGCCAAGGCAGCCACCAAGAAGGTTAAGAAGGGGAAGAGCCCAGAGGTCACAGAGACTCAGACAACTACAACTACTCCTGCTCCTGGCAGCCCTGAACTTACGGCGCAGGAACCAGACGTAAAAGACCAGCCTGCTATTGACGCAGGCGTTGAAGTAAAGACGCCACTTCCTGTATCTGCATATGAGGTATTCGACGACGAGACACCTCAAGACAATTCCAAGCCTGCCGCAGATCAAGCACCTGTACTCGACAATCCTGTATCTGCATACGAGGTGTTTGACGAGGAGACACCTCAAGACGGTTCCAAGCCTGTCACAGATCAAGCACCGCCTGTGCTTGACAATCCTGTAGCTGCATACGAGGTATTCGACGACGAGAATACACCTCAAGACAGCTCTAAGCCTGTCGCAGATCAAGTACAACCTGTACTTGACAATCCTGCATCCGAACACGAGGTACTTGACGACAAGACTGCGCCTGCACCACAAGACATCCCTGACCCTGTCGCGGATTCACAATCGCCTGTGCTCGAGAACCCTGTATCGGCATACCAGGTGTTCGACGACGAACCAGCACCCAAAGACATCTCTGAACCTGTCGTGGATCAATCACCACCGGTAGTCGACAAGCCTGTTGACGAAGCACCACACTTGGACGCACCGCACTTGGACGAGCCAAGTTCGACTCAGCCTCCTGTTGAGGACACTCAAATCAAAGAGCCACCTGTTGAAGAAGCAAGCTTGATTCAATCTCCCATTGAAGAGCCAGAAGCAAAGGAGCCTTTGGAAGATCATACCAAGCAAGACCAACCCAACCAAGTCGAGCACCCCGAAGAGAAAACTGTAGTGTCATCGCCACCGGCTGACCCGTTCTCCCCTGTGGCCGCTTGTGTGCCCTTGCCTTCACCATCCTTGACTGAAGCACGGTATATGTCAAGTCCCTCTCAGGAGAATCAACATTATTATCCCGGGCCATATTCTCCTTACGCCTCACCCGTCCCCTACTCTGCGCAAGCACCTTACGGGTCACAAAACCCATACACTTCGCCAAACGGCTACGCTTCGCCCAACGCTTACGCTTCACCAGTGCCGTACGCTGCATCCCCAGTGACGTACGCCTCACCAAACCCCTACACTTCGCCAGTACCCTACGCCTCACCTGCGTTATACGCCCCAGTGCCATACGCTGGTTCCCAGGCGCCTTACAACCCGTCTACACCTTACGCTGGCTCTCCAGTGCCTTACAGCTTACCTGGACCCGCCGCTGGTTCCCCAGCGCCCTACGCCCCATCAGTAGCTTACACGTCATCGCCGGTGCCCAAAGTCAGCAGCCCGCTTGCACGTTCCCACTACCCCCAAATGTCTCCAACTATATCACCAACTACAACTCCCCCTCCTGAGAACCCACCAGCTGCACCGATGGCTCCTCCAGAATCGCAAGCCCCTTCTGTGGCCCAAAGTGTACCGCATTCTCTACACTCTCCTGTCATGAGTGCTTCCGGGATGGTCCCTCCTTATGGATACTATTCTCCTCATCACCAGTCGGAGGCCCATTATATGAACCGGGGCTATAGCATCCCTGATACATCATATGCAGCATCATACCAGGCCCTTCAAAACCTCTCTATGGCCAGCGGCTATCCCCAAGAGAATGGGTCTCCCCCAGAAAATGACACTGAGCACATTGAGCTTCTTCAACGCATCCAGTCAGCCATTCCGGACATCAACCGTCTCCTTCATGGGTTCCGCAACACACACAGCAAGCTCTCAAACCGAGAGGCTGAAATGAAGCATATTGGAAGCCAGCACGAACAAGCTCTGAATCACAAGGAGTACTACATTGAAGCTCTGCAAACCCAAATGAAGAAGACTGCCAATGAAAGTGCCGAAGAACAAGCCAGATTGAAGCACACTATCAGCGAGCTGCGTCTTGAACTCGGAGATCTGCAAGAGAAGCAGAAGGACCTTGAGGATGGCCTAGCTGTCCACCAGAAGTCCAACGAGGAGCTTACCGAAACCAAGGTCGTACTCGAGGGACAAATCAACAAACTCAACGAAAGCATCAAGGAGTCAAAGGAGACCCATGAGAAGGAGTTGGAGAGTAAGAAGGAAGAACAGGAGAAGGCTCTCGTGGCACAGAAGGAGGAGCTTACCGAGCTGTTCGAGGAGATCAAGGCCGAGGATGAGAAAACAGCAGCCGAGAATCTGGAGACTCGTGAGCGCGAACTTCGCGCTGAGCATGACGCTAGTCGAGCCGAATGGGAGAAGGAGAAGGCCCAATTGCAGGAATCCTTTGAAGGCCAGCGCACCGAGCTAGAGGCCACCAAGGCGGAAGTGTCATCCCAGATCGCTGCTTTGGAATCCAAGGAGACCGAGTTGCAAGCCCGACTCGCTGAACTCTCAACAACACGCGAAGAACTAGCAGCCAAGCTAGCAGAGCTCGAAGAAACCCACAAGAAGAATGAAGAGCTTCGACAAAGCCATGCTGGTGAATTGGACTCCCTACGACAATCCCACGACGAACAACTCGCTGCTGCCGCCAAAGAACTGGCTGACAAGATCGCCGAACTGGAAGCTCACTTCAATGAGAAAGAGAAGCTTTGGACAACAGAGCGGGCTGCCTTGGAGCAGCAGCTCTCCGAGAAAGATAGCGAACTTGCCAGTGCTGAGCGAGAGAAGGAAAGATTGGAAGGTGACGGAATTGTCAAGGAGCAGCACCTTCAGCGTGCAGTGGATGGAATGCGAATGACGATCGATAACTTGGGTGGAGATTGCGACAGGCTGAGAAAGACACTGTCCAGCCTAGGAGAGGCCACTGACCTCAGAAACACCAAGGGCGATCAATTCTTGTAAGTGAGCCCTTGAAGTCCTCTAGATTTGCATTTCTTTTGGTTCTTTCTTTTTCTTTTCCTTCCTTTCTGGTTTTCGTTTCTTGAAGACAAGTCATTCATTCTCGATATTTTCTTTGTCAAACTGCATCAGCGAACAGCGGACATACATTCTCTTATAGACTCATGTTGATATGTTGATAACGATAAATGGACACGATCTAATAAACACTTTTGTCTTTAGCTTGGACTGCTTCACAGAGCTCTCGCAGCTCATCCACAATCTATCCAAAGAGCATTTCGGATATCTCCCCATCGACCCCCCAAAAGACATCCTATCCAAGATCCCATCCGAACTCCCACCATTCCTTGACAACACCCCAGCCTCCCGCGAACTCCGCTGTGCCTACATCCAGCACATCATCTCCAAAACCCTAACCTTCAGAGTCTTCCAACCCTTCCTCTTCACCCTAGGCCGAAGATACGACAAAGCCGACACCTTCTTCCAAATGCTATCAATGGACATCCGCCGCAAGTCCGTCCGCCGCGAAGCTTTCTGGCGCCAGCAGACCCTAAAAGCAGCGTACACAACCTCCGACGCCAAACAATCAATCAACGTGGCCGCAGCAGTCATCGTCGACGAAATCATCGACCACATCAAGCACTTCGCCGACCGCAAGGAACTCGACCCACTGATATTGGGCGTGCGAAAGATCGTCAAGCTTGCCGCAGAGACATGGAGACACGCTCGCGTCGAGCGCGAGCTTGTCCTCGCTAATTTCCCCGCCCCGGACGCGGAGAGTGTCTCGAACGAGGGTTGGTTGGAGTACGCTGCCAACAAGGAGCAGAATCAGACCCCGTCAAATGAACCCACTCGTCATGTCGTGCTGCGCATCTTCCCGCGTATTACGCGCGAGGCGGCTCATGAGGACTTTGCTAGCGATGAAGAGAAGGCTACTGGCTGCACTTACTCGCAGGGTATTGTGCTGTACTCTGATTCGCCGGTCATTATGGGGCGGCTTCAGGAGTTCGCGAAGAAATCTACCGAGGCTGTGGGTACTGAGTCGCCTCCTAAGACACCTTTGGCTGTTAAGGCCATTGATAGGTTGGCGCAGATTGAGGGTTCCTCTCCGAAGGTTATGACTGTTCGGTCTGCTCCTACTAGTCCGAAGGGTCAATTTAGGAGTCTGTGATTCTGGTCGTTTTGATGACTTTGATGTATTGTTTCTATAGCGTCTGAGCCATCTTTTTTCTGTTGTTTTTTTCCTTTGTTCCTTTCCTATGTTTCCTTTTGTTGTTCCTTTTGTTGTTCCTTTAGTTGTTTCATTTGTTGTTCATCTGTCTTTACATCTTTTGTTTCACCGCACATCTGTTTTGAGATTTTATTTGGAACGCTTCAGCGGATTTGGATTCGATTCTTATGTTGTGTTTATATTTGAGTATTTATAGCCTTGAAGATTGTATGTAAACAGCAACAATGTTAGCGAGTTGGAGAATACAATCACTGCATCACTCTGATATATATATTCCAGTTTACATCGTAGATCACATCTAACTTGATCAAATATAATTTTAGATACATCACTGAACTCATGAATCTCGAATAACTTTATCTGACAATCCATTCATTTTGCATTAGGTGGTTATTAATGCAGTGTCGGCTAAAATGTCTTGCTATTTATTTAGAAGTGGATCGAGGTCCTTATACCCCTGTAAGAAAATGCAACCTTCTTTTGACCCTCAGCTTTCTGCTGAACTTCACAATAATATCTGAGAGCATGCATAGATAGGTACTGGACAAGGTGTAGCTTCACTTCCACATAGTACATGGTGAGAATCTTCCAAACCTCCACTTGACCTTCCGGCTTAAGCCCCAACTCGCTCAATTATACGGCCATCGAAATTCGCCTGCATTCCAAATACGGATTTCCACGTTTTCTATTCTCTATGAGTCTCAAAAAAGGGGGGCCTTCTCTAGTTCTCAATTCTTGAATAGTGGGGAGATCGGTTTGTATGGCTATATCTACGAACATGCTCTACTAACGCGGATGAAGTTGGTATCTCATTAGTTCCGCTCTTCTAGTGTTTAATTTAATGGTAGCATAAGAGATAGATTCGGTAAGGACACTGAATTACAGTTTCATACTAAGAAGAATGTATAATCGATATCTAGATGACGTTGAGGTCTCTAGAAGACATCGATGTATTCAATTTTTCAAGCTATATCACAAAAGGCGAGTAATGCATGCACCAGGCAATGCATTCCGAAAATGAGTCGAACGAAGCTATTTGAACAATGAGTTAACTCAGACAAGAAGTCCGAAGGATACCCGCGTAGACATCTCTACGCTTGAGTATTCTTGACGTGGTCAAGAACACCGCACTTGAAATCGTCGCTCTCAAGGTAGATGGTGTAATGATCATCTGGGGACTGGCCAGAGGACAGCTTCTGGCCATACTGCCAGAAGAGATCAGCAGCGTTTCCGGGGGTGTGCAGAGCGGTATCCTGCCACTTGATCGAGTCGGTGCAGTGATCATCCTTGATGCCATACTCCTCGAACATGCAAGGCTTTCCAGCAGCATCGCAGATCTTGGCGTGGGACTTGACCCAGTCATTACCCCAAGCATTGTCCTTGATACCCCCTAGGATGGATTAGTGTGCTGCGTGTTTGCGATACTCAGAGGATAGACTTACAGTCAGCCACGTAGAGGTGGAAAGTTCCGAAGTCGATATCAGGGGCCGCAAGGTTCTTGGCGAAGTCATTGCCTTCGGTGTTAGTGTAAGGGTAAGAACCGTCGGATCCAACAGTTAGACCCATGCCCTCTATATCATTGGTTAGAATATATCAACGGTCTTGTTTATCCCAAGAAAACTAACCTTCACCGGTGGTGACCATGTGGTTGGGATCGAGAGACTTGATGTAGGCAGAAGTATCGGCAACCCAGGTAGAGATGATATCAGTCTTGCAGCCCGAGCAGCGAGGCTCATTGGCCAGCTCCCACGCGAAGATGGCAGGGGAATCACTGTAGCGAGAGACAACAGCTTTGATGTACGCCTGGTACACGCCCTGGATCTTCTTGTTGGTGTACCATTCGGTCTTGCTGCCTCCGTAGGCATTAACGTAGGCGTTCATACCACCATAATCATCCCAGGAGTTGACGAAGGGAATGATAAGTTTGATGCCGTACTTCTCAGCAGCGGCAACAACAGCATCAAGACGCTTCAGACCATCGGCGCCAGTGTTGATGGTAGTTTTACCGGTGGCCTTGTCGTGGAGCTGGAAGTAGACAGTTCCAGCTGCCGGGACGGTGTTGACATCGTTGAAACCCCAAGTTCGGAGGATCTTGAGGCCACTGGCCTTCAGGTTCTTGAAGACGGAGTCAACATCCGCGTCCTTGGTCAGGAATGGCAGCCAGTATGAGTTCGTGCCAGCGAAGTACTTGGTCTCGCCGTCGATGTTGAACTTGAGACCATCAGCCTTGGCAAAGGCGGCACCGCCAGTAGGCTTAGGGAGCAAAGGAGTGGACGAAGGGTGTGCGGTCGAAGAAACAGAAGTAGAGAAAGTTGATGATGCTGGGCTAGACACAGCTTGAGCGGAAGCTGCTCCAATGGCGGAGAGCAAGGCAACGGTTGACAAGGAACGCATTTTTGAGGTTTGGAATACAAGTGGAAGGATTGTTTGGAATGCTGTTGATGATAGGATTTGAATTGAAGGAATTGTGAGCTACTTTATATTTCCTCTCGACAAGGAGTTACCATTGTCGGTCTCTAAGTTTCTAAGTTGTAGACTGAACCCCAACCCCTTGAAACCATATTGTCGATCTCTTGAACATTAATTGTCGAAATGTAGTAACTCGTCGAAAAGAATACGGAGTTATTGAGAAGCACATGCAGACAGACTGTAAGTTACCCCGGGAATACTGTGGTTTAACCTCACCAGCTGACGTCGATCTGCACAAAGGCGCCACACTTAAGATGGACTGATGTTGCGTCGTGTTGATCCTTAAAGGAGATTATTCGGAGCCATAAGTGGGGTTTTACCCTACTCGGATATATCATGGCGGAACTCCTCAACATCCTCCCGTGCCGATTTGGGCAATTTCCGTCTCCTTGGATTTTGGGTCGTGAATTGAAGTGGATATTATGCCGAAGACCGCTTTGTACCTGAGAATCATGCATATGAATTCCCGTCAATGCAGAAAAAGGCGCAAATGCGGAGACTCCGCACTCAAAACCCCGGATTTCCGTTTATCTCCTTGCAAAATCCGGTATACAACTGTTATTTTCTAGAAGAAGTACTCTTTTACAATATAGAGATCTAATTCTACTATCTCGGAAGCTTCGGAGTTGTTTTCTCATCGTTCACTTTAGAGTTTGAAACATATTTCTCCTTAAACCTAACTCGAAACCAAGACCAGTTTCAGACAATATCAGTTATCAGATCACTTATAAAGTACCATCTCACAATATGTACAACATATTCAGGTTTTAGTCTATTACAAGAAAATACAAGAGAGTCACACTCATAACACTATGTCGATTTGGTTACGGATAGGAAAAACGGTCTGTTTCCTGATCTCACGGGCAAGGGCAAAGTAGGGCAAGGTTAGGTTGTCTTGCCCGTGCACTACTAGTTGGTCGAGCATGTGTGTGGCGTCGAAAAGTAATCAAATAACACATTTAGTAGCATCGCCAATGCTCAAGAAATGAGAATCAAAGGAGTTTGACTTTGGAGGCTTGAAAATATCTGCTTCACCAAAAATATGTATCCAGTTTACCAAGTATAAAGCCTCCTGACCTGGCCTCGTTCTGGGGCACTTCATTCAGAATACAGTCTCTACGCCTTCAAACTCACATTCTATATTCTTTTCAAGAAATCACCATCACCTAGCTCAAAATGAAGTTCTCCCTTTCATGTGTTGCTGCTCTCTTCGCAGCTACGGCGCTGGCCTCCCCAGTGTCCGATGATGCTCTCGCAAAGCGAGACGATCGTGGTCATTACAAAGTTGGTGGCCTTGGAGCACACAAGAAGGCAATTCTCAATGCTGGCGGCAACACTCTTGACCTTGCCATTGCCATGCTCGAGATGTAAGAGTCCAACTATGATATCCCCCATGACGATCCTAACAGTTGATTATAGCGACGATATGGAAACTTCCCACTATCCCTATGGGGACAACAAGGTCAAGGACGCAGCGAATTTCGGTCTCTTCAAGCAGAACTGGGGCATGCTCCGTGTCTGCGGCAAGCGCTACGGCTTTGTCGGCAAGTCCGAGGCCCAGTGGAATGATGGAGCACTTCTCAAGTAAGAGACCCATAGATCATATGATATCGGAAACACTTACTTATTCTCTGAAAGCTCCAATGTGTGGGCGGATGTCGCCTCTCGCTGGGACTGCCAGGAATACTACGGGTATGACAAGTGGTTTGCTGGTCACCGCAACGGTGCTAGCGGGCTTGATAATCCTTACACCGAGGACATTCAAAGTGAGTTTTCAAAGATACCGTTATAATTGTGATAACGACATTAACCTTCTTTTAGATTACAAGTCGGCTGTCCAGTGGATCCAGAAGCAGATCGACAGCAACAGCGCGTACAAGACCGATGATACTCGCTTCTGGGTTAACGTCCATGCCATCTAAGCATACCGTGTTTAAAACTCTCAACACCTTTGTTTTGTGACAATTGAGCAACAGCATAGCACAGAATGATGGTACGTTTGGCGAGAGTTATAAGCATAGGTCTTGTCTTACCTAGTCCAAATATGAAGTATATGGGGCGTGAAAATATACTGCACTTAACCAGAATGGAAAGAATTTCCGCAAACGTAATGCGTATTATTGGAAAATGTAATACTAACTAGAAGCTAGCAGATAAGCTTGAAATCCAGCTCTTTCTGCTGTAACATCCTACTGAGTCCAGGGCTTCCTTCCGCACGTGAGTGCCCAGGTGTCAGGCGGTGCTTATTTATTTCTCATCGGGCCACACCCGTCGACGGGTGGACACCCACAGGCCATATGTAAGACCATATAAATAGAAAGGATATGCACACCCTCATACGACAAGATGTTTGCTGAACTGTGTATTGAAACTGTAAATTTGACAAGATGATATAGATGTAGAAGCAACCTGTACAATGTGCGTACATGGGTATCAAAAGGGAATGACTAGAGCTTGGCCTCCGTTCCAATTGCATTCCGGCGCATTTGCCGTGACGACACGTCGGCAGGCGCCGGAGCTGCGGCATTTTGGAACAGTTTCCGCCCAACAAGATCAGACATGGTAAGAACGCGCGAAGAAACAGTTGCACCGTCCCGACGGTTTTTGCTGTGAATCGGTTAGTATATTGGCTGACGTATTGTGAATTAAAATGGACCCACCCTTCGCGACGGGACTGTGCAATTAATTCGACAAAGTCCCACAGCCGACCGCCATCTAGAACCTTCCCAGTACTTTTGTCACGCTGGGGTGCCCATTCAGGAGCCAGCCTGAGAGACGGACCGGCACGCGATCCTTTGTTCTTGGCAACCAAAATGATACCTTCTTCTTCAAATCGTTGATAAGAATTCTTGAGGGTCTCCTTGTTGACTGCCTCGAAGTAAGAGAGGTCACCTTGGTGATATAGCGTTTTACCGAGCTGCGAACGTGAATATTAATGAAATAGTCAATATAGCCCGGGGAGACAAAACTCACGACTTGAGCACTATCTTGCGCTTTCTTCGAATCGATCCAGACCTCATTCGGACTGTCGAGAGGTGGCGTCAGCCCAATAAGGGACACAGCGCCAAGCCAAGAGGCCTCGATGAAAGGCCAGATCAAGAAGCAGTAGAAGTCATAGTTTTCGCGACCACATAATCGCTCAGACTCGCTCAATTCAACGTAAAGAGGTGTGGTGGACTCATCACGGGTGATTTTGATCACATCATCCTTCTCCAGCCCACGCAAAGTTTTATCGAAATTGTTAGCCAAGCCTTCAGGAGGGAAAATGAATTCACCGCGGAAAAGCTGAGACAAGAATGAGACTTGTTTCTTCAAATCCTCGTAGGTGATTCTTTGATTAGCGGGCCCTCCACCTTGCTTGATCTTTGTGTACATAGCCACAGAAACCAGCGCTTCAGTGATGAAAAGGTGGATGAGCATGTTACGGTAGAATGAAAGTTGGAAACGATCCACCGCATAGTATGTTGGCTCGACTAGACCCGAAATCTCACCAACGAGTTTGGGCCCTAGGACCTCTAGCGCACGGTCAACCACCGTCTCCGTTGGCGAGCGATAGAAGTGTGCGACCCTGCCACCTTTGGCTCGCACCCGCTCGCAAAGCCAGTCCAATCGGCGGACTAATTCAGCTTTTCCGACTCCGCGGCCGCGTAAGGTCAAGAGGACGGTTCCCACAAGGGCGGTTGGCATCATAACAGACACGTCGTTGATATCGGACAGAACCCGATAACCGAATGTTCTTAGAATGCGGCCTCGATCACTATAGCTAAGTTTATTATTGATGTCGGTGCTGGGGCGATCCAGTCGGGTGAGCTGCTGGCCAATGAAGTCTCGGAGACTCCATGGCTCGTGGAAACGAACATCAACTCGGCCTAGCTTCAGGGACAAAACTGAGGATGACGAAATGAAATCAGCCAAGTTCTCCTTTGCCTTCGGTTGGCCAAGAAGTTCGCTGATGTATGACCTAGAGAATGTGTCAATGTTAAAGTTCATAAAAAGTGTTAGAGTGCCAGCGGGGCTTCATACTCAGTCTCAATGACCTTGTCGTACTGGGTGCTGACAGGACAGATGATGAGATCTTCAACCCGACCTGATAGTAGACTATCCATGATGAAGCTCAAGATTCCAAACTTAGGTGAAAGCAGTTTTCCAGTTCTGGAGCGACCACCTTCAATGAAGCATTGGAAGTTGAAGCCCTGTTGAAGGAGGGTATCGATATAAGCTTGTACGACAGTATTGTACAAGGGATCGTTCCCAAAGCTGCGTCGAATCCACATAGCGCCTACATACTGGTTAGTAATAGCTCAAAGCTAATAGAAAATTGTCTTGCAACCGACCTGCGTGTTGTAAGAAAGAGCCCAGCAAAGGGATATTGAGATTGTCACCCGCAACGATGACCGGCAGAGAAATGCCTAGACGGTAACAAATAAGTTGCAGGGAGACGTAATCCACGTGGGACTTGTGACAAGGCAAGAAAACAATCGACTGCTTCTTCTTGGCAGCAGTTTCGGCTACAGATCTTATACGCAAGACTTCCTCGCTGGATACGTGAATTCCTAAGGTGGAGGTCGTTTAGCATTCGCTCATGATAGATGTATAGCAAAGGAAATTTACCTTGATGGTAAGCACGAGTCAAGAGCTGCGTGCACATATAATAAGCACCTCGAATAAACCGTTTGCTTTCCATCTTGCAAATCATATTTTCCATCATTGTGTCCACGACTTCCCGAAGATTGCCTTCAATCTCAGTCCGGCGACGGGCCCGTTTGTCGTCTAGAGTTAAGCCTTCATTGATTGCCAGCAACCCTTCTTTCTCTTCCACCGCGAGTCGGCGATTGGCCAATTCAGTGACCTTGTTTTGCAGGAGCAGGCTGCCCAATATGGAAGTCTTCATCCTTTCCGAGAAGCCAGAATAGAAGATCGGCTGGCCGATGGGTTCATCATATGCACGCCACCCCGTGCCAGACATATACAGGCTCACTTCTCGGAGAAAGTCCAAGGGGTTCTCGCGAAATCGCACCATATGGCGAACAAGGTTGCGTTCGGTAATTTGTTGCTCATTTTCAGCTTCCGGACCGCCAGTGAAGCCAGATGGATGGATTGTCAGCTGTGAGCTGACGATTTCCAGATCTGGCGCCGAGTGGTCATCGGCTATTGCCGACGTGGGCGACTTGGGGGCCGGCATTTTATAGGGGGAGGGGGGTCGGAAGGGCGAGAACGGTTAGACTTCAGCTCAACTCACACGAGGGCGCGGTTAGGTCCATGGAAGAAAAGAGGAGAAATCGAATGGGAAGCTCGAAAGAGAGGAGGTGCGGGACCAAATCATAGCTTGAAACCCCAAGCTCTTAAGCGGGTGATCGCCCCCCGGATGCTTTTCGGACTTCCCCAGGATTAAACCGAGGCAGGTCACGTGTGGACTCAGGTATGCCTGTAGCTCTCATCCCACTCTGCCTATCTAACCTCTGCATATTCGATTGACCTTATTCATTATCCTCACAATGTCTCGTTTGGTCAGCGGAGCGAGATCGCTTTCGAGTATGTCTCTTTCATTGGAAATTATAGCTCCTGATAAGCTCACTTTATCCTAGCGACGGCTTCATCCCTCTTTGCCGACGCGACCGCAGCTTCGCAATCTGTTCGCCAACCATCCAGTTTTCAAGTGTTCCGCGATGTTCCCTCACTCCGGGGACTCCGACGCCAATTGTACCAGAATGACCGCACTGTAGGCTTCGTTCCTACCATGGGCGCACTTCATGAGGGTCATCTCTCCCTAATTCGACAAGCTGCTCGCGAGAACACAGACATCTTTGTTAGCATCTTCGTCAATCCCACACAATTTGGAGTCACGGAAGATTTGTCTAGCTATCCCCGTACCTGGGATACAGATGTTGAGAAATTGGAAAAGCTGAATGAGGAGCTCGAACGGTTGGGAGAGAATAGTGCAAGTGCCGGGCGCATCACTGCCATTTTCGCACCGACTTCGAAGGTCATGTACCCTAGTCTGCCCCCTTCCTCGGAGATTAATGGGGATGGCTCGTTTGTCACAATCACCCCGTTGTCCACTAAACTGGAGGGAGCTTCTCGTCCGGTATTCTTCCGGGGCGTGGCGACAGTCTGCATGAAGCTCTTCAACATCACAACCCCCGACCGTGTCTACTTTGGCCAGAAGGATGTGCAGCAGACCGTGGTCATCAAGCGCATGGTAGAGGATTTCCATGTTGGCACCGAAGTGCGAATTATTGAGACTACCCGTGAACATGATGGCCTGGCGCTGAGCTCCCGGAACGTCTACCTGGGCGACCGGAGACGAAGCGTCGGACTCACCATCTACAAGGCACTGAAAGCCGCCCAAGAAGTATACCTGGCCGGCAATAACAACCGGGCAGATATCCTCGGGGCCGCTCGTAATGTGTCAGATCGTGTCCTTGCCGAACAGCAATCCCTTTCGCCATCTGAGAGAGCACTTTACGAAGTCGACTACATTTCTCTTGCCGATCCTGACACTCTTGACGAGCTGGAAATCGTCGACCCGGCCAAGGGTGCGGTGTTGAGTACCGCATTCAAGATGGCACCCCTGGAAGAGTCCAAGCCAGGCGAGGACTGTGGATTGGGCGATGGCAAGGTCCCCGTGCGACTGATTGACAACCTCATTTTGGATCCTCGTGCTTGATACTATATCGAATACTCTGTAATGAACATCTAATACTTTAGCACAGCACGGCTTGCAAACAAACCACTTACATACAATGCTCAAAAGCAAGATAGACTTGAAATTATACAAATATATCTCCATTTACCATTGCAAGTCCAGATGTAAACAAAGTAGGGCAAATCCTTAGGGTGGAGAAAATTTGCCTGAGAGCCTGGAAGTCTTGGCACCGAAAAAAAGTCTCGAAAGCTTTTGGATCGCCGGTCGAACAAAAACCTACACAACTCCCCTCCATTTTCACCGGGGATCTCCATCTTTCAAAATGGCCGACGATGGAATGCTTATGAACTTTACCATTAGTGACACTGTCATCAAGCCTGAAGCCAAGTTCAAAGGAGGAACATGGCGAGACCGACTGACCGCAAAGAAGCGCTCAGCACACCGAGGCTCCGATAAGCAGCCTGGAGATGGCAATGCGTCCGCAGAAGCGCGCAATGCGGCATCGAAGAACCCGAACCAGATTCAACTCGGTACACGGCCCGTGAAAAGACAGAAGACCGAAGACTCGTTCAATCGTCCCAGCGCCCCGCGCTCTGGGGGTGATCGACGACCACAGCATCCACGAGACCCCACCCAGTTTGTTTCCTCGCTCTTCACTAGCAACCCCGAAGCGCGCAATGTCGAAGAACCCAAGGAGGAGAGAGAGGCAGAAGACGCCAAACCGACCAATGCGCCGATGATCGACGGACTGGATACCTTCACGAATTTGGGCCTGTCTCCCAATCTTGCGACTCATCTGCTCACAAAGCTGGAGCTCAAGGCCCCGACGGCTATTCAGACAAGCTCAATTACACAATTGCTAAAGGAGGAAACCGATGCTTTCATCCAAGCTGAAACTGGTTCCGGAAAGACTCTGGCTTATCTCTTGCCGCTGGTACAACGGATTATGGATCTCTCAAAAGCGACGAATGAACATAACGATACCCAGGTCCACCGAGACAGTGGATTGTTCGCTATTATTTTGGCACCCACCCGTGAACTGTGCAAGCAGATCTCCGTCGTGTTGGAGAACATCCTGCGCTGCGCGAACTGGATTGTGTGTGGAACGGTAATTGGAGGAGAAAAGAAAAAGTCAGAGAAGGCACGATTGAGAAAAGGATTAAACATTCTTGTTGCAACACCTGGTCGATTGGTAGATCATCTCGACAACACAGAAGCTTTGGATGTCAGCAATGTGCGGTGGCTCGTTCTCGACGAGGGTGATCGCTTGATGGATATGGGCTTCGAGGAGGAATTGCAAGGCATCGTCAAGAAACTTGACGCTAGACAGCGGCCGAGTCGCGTTCCCGGTGTGCCTACACGGAGAACGACAATTCTGTGTTCTGCAACGCTGAAGATGAATGTCCAAAAGCTGGGAGAAATCAGTTTGAAGGACGCGGTACACATCAAGGCCGACCCGAGCGAAGAGGACAATGAGAAGTCAAATAAGGACGAGGAGGAGTCATTCCGTGTCCCTGCGCAGCTCAAGCAATCATACGCGATTGTTCCAGCTAAGCTACGTTTGGTCTCATTAACAGCCTACTTGAAGAGGACGTTTATGCGAAAGGGATCAGTGATGAAGGCGATTGTTTTCATGTCTTGCGCCGACGTAGTCGATTTCCACTTCGAGCTATTCTCAAGGAATCAAGACCGCGAGCAACAAAGGAAGAGTGACGAAGAACAGAAGGATGACAAAGACGAAACGGAAGAGAAGGACGAAGAAAAGGAAAAACTATCACCACACGGCACCATTGCTCCCGGTAGAGCCTTCTCGACCCCGACGAATCCGGTCCTCTTGCATCGACTGCACGGCTCCCTTCCCCAGGCTGTCCGAACTGCTACCCTTGGCTCTTTCGCTCGCAGTACCGAGGCTTGTGTCATGATCTGTACTGATGTGGCTTCGCGTGGTCTGGATTTGCCCAATGTCGACTTGGTTGTCGAATACGACCCGGCCTTCAGCTCTGATGACCACACTCATCGTATTGGTCGTACTGCTCGTGTAGGACGAGACGGCCGTGCCCTCATCTTCCTCCAGCCTGGCTGCGAGGAGAACTATGTCGAAGTCCTGAAGCGCGGCTACCGCGATGGAGGCAAGGCGCTCACTCGCACTGACGCAAACGAGATTCTCAAGCGTGGCTTTGGCGGCGACAAAAAGAAGAACTGGGAGGAGAAGACAACCGATTGGCAGATGGATGTGGAGCGTTGGGCACTTGATAACCCGAAGTATTTGGAAATGGCTCGACGGGCATACCAATCTCATGTCCGAGCGTACGCTACCCACACCGCAGCTGAACGGAGCATGTTCGACATTAAGGAACTCCACTTGGGTCATCTTGCAAAGGCCTTCGCCCTGCGCGATCGACCAGGTAAAATTAACGTTCCTGGTCTGCGACCTGGACAGGAAGACACCAAGAAGGACTTCAAGGCAGCACGAAACGGTGTTGCAGGCAATAAGAGAAAGGCTGACGAAGCCCCATCTTCCACAAATGTTACGGACGAGGCTGCTCGCAAGATGAGAGCCAAGATGAGAGAGCATATGTCTGGAGCCAACGAGTTCAACTTGGCTTGATCTTTTGCTCTGTGTTCTTCGAAAAAGCATGGTCACATGGTTGTTTTATAGCATTAGCATTTATCTCAGTAGATATCCCATAATGAAATCTTCCCGTCCTTAGACCCAGCCGCTAGCCAATGAGTTTGTTGTACTTTCTGATTCCGCTGTTGCTGCACTGCTGCAAGAGAGTAGCCACGCCCATCGACGGTCGTCGGTCCTGCCGTGCCCTGATCTGCATCTCGAGTTTCTTGTTTTGTAGACCCGGGCAATGAAGACACCAGTGACGAGGTGCTTTCAGTGTCCCCAAACGCTACAGAATAACAACCATCCTTATGCCACTTTAGCACAGCCAGCTCTTTCATGGTTTTGCCCGAGTATACCCGGATCCTGCTGTCCCAGCCAGCAGTAGCGAATACCTTCCCATCGGATCTAATTCGCAGACCCTGTTGGCCCGAATGCTTTGTGTTGACAATCTTCAAGGGAGATTCTTCTTTGTAGCCAGCGGTCGGTATATAACCCGCAGAAGCTAGGCTGGGGATAGGATGCTTGATGACCAGAGCATCCGCAGAAGAAGATATGAAGTATCCGTGAGAGGGGGCGACATCTAAAGAGAGGACCGGCTGGGAATGAGGGCGGCCAGCATACAGCTTGTCCCATTTCAAAGGGATGTTGTTCATATACTCACGCTCAAAGCTAGCCGACTTGAGAGCTCCACGATGAACGAAGACCATCACATGGCCATCTTCATATGCAGAGGCGACGTAGAGATCCCCAGAAGGCGACGCGAAGAGATTTACAGCCATTAACATGCCCGTTTTGATCGATTGATCGGAAGGAATAGTACTGATCCTGCGCTCAGAGGGTAGGTGAAAGATATCGACTCCACCAGAGTCCAAGGCATTGGGTACTGCGAAGAGAGTGTTCTCTGGCTTACCAGATTTGGATGGCACTCCGGGAAGCCCGTCCGAATCCACAAATGTCATTGAGAGTGCACAGAAATTGAGTGCATTCACGGGCAAGGAATGGAGTAACCATGGCTGGGCTTTGGTTCCTGGCTCCGCAGACTCCATCGCATCCACCGGGAGCGTCTTATTGAGGAAAGATTCATCCTCTGGTCTAAGCTTCCACACGCATAGTTTGTGGTCACGGCCATGTCTATTACGGATGTTAGTAAGATAACTGAAAAGGAGGTTGAAACATCATACGTGTAGATTTCCGTTGCACCTTCGCCGATATTAAAGCCTCTTGCCTCTAGAATGGCTCCCTCGTGAGCCTTCCATGCTGTCACAGGGCGTTTGGTGACCAGGTCCCAAACAACGATCCAACCATTGGCGTCACCGGATACAAGCCGTAAATTGTGGCTGTAGATGTGTAGGGCATGAATTGGAGAAGCATGCCCACGAAGAATGTATACTGGGGTAGCTTGAGACTGAGCTTGAACTGATTTGTCCATCTCCAACGACTTGTTCAATGTTGTTGACCAATCGATGTCGAGACCTATACACATTTGATACAGGTAATTTTACCCGGAATATCATCGGACCGTTCTGAGATATTGCGCATTGGAGAATCCATACTCAACATAACTACGGAGTATGGGGTACTTATGTAGTTCCTATATGGCTATTATATTAATATTACTCCGTGTCCCTTATAAGATACGAAGAACAGAGTACGCGCCGTGGCGCGTATTCTGTAACAACTTGAAGTGCGGATCCTCCGACGTAAACGTACCCCGGGCGCCTTGCCTAACGCGCTTTGGGAATGTCTCTCCAGTTTCTCCCATAGTTTTAGTCTGTCCGTCACAATTCTGTATATCGTGCAAGGTAGGCAACTCTTGGACAACGCAGATCCATCGTAGCCATAAGTATCTCGTCCCCTCCCACTCCGCCATCAAGAGTCGTGGTAGATGATGAACGGAGATTCGAAACTATTACATTGCCATGTGAGTGGGTAGAGGATTACCGCCCAGGTGGTTATCATCCAGTCGTTCTCGGCGACGTCTTTAACCACCACTAGTACGAGGTCATCCGGAAGCTTAGCGAAGGCTCCTACTCAACGGTTTAGCTTGCCCGTGACTTAAAGTGTCATTCTCCAGCCGTTCATACTCCGCTTATGGTCTTTGGTGTTGTGTTTGTGGGTTCGATGCAATCAATATTCAGGTCAAATCAGAAAGATCTCAATATCACGTATACTAGGTCCACAGGATGCGACATGAAGATGAGGATGAGGAGAAATTGATGAAGCAATAGTTCGGTAGTATTTATTTCAACCACAATCGGCAATGCCCGCTGCATTGATCAGTCGAGAAATAATCAATTCATATTCATATGGTATAAGCGCCATGGATGTAAAACTAAGCAATGATAATTCATGATTCGTCAAAAGGTTTCAAGGCCTCAAATCATATCAAATGCCCCACCCATAGTGATATGGATTGAGTGGGTGGTGGTGGTGATGCGGTGGCACATAATATCCTTGATATGGGTGATTCTCCAACGAGAAGTCACCCGCGGCCAACAAGGGATTGTGTAGGCTTGAAGATGGGTCCGGGTGATTGGAGGTTGAAAGAGCTTGATCCGATTCATAGAAGTGATTGTGCATCTGGGCTGGTATCATCGTGTGTGGGTGAGCATCAACCCAGCTCCATATTTGTTTGAGATCGTTTTTTATTGATTCTGCATTGCTACCAGTCACTTTAGTGATGGTATCAATGATGCTGAGTACCTCCCCTTGGGCTTCTCGTGTATCTAAACACTCTGCGGCGAGTATAAGAAAGTGCAGGGATATTTCGGCCACACCACTGTTCAACTAGTCAGAAAGAGAGTTCTGTAATTCTGGTCATGATTGTGTACTAACCGGTCTGTGGTGTGGGCAACAAGGCCACAGATTTCGTGCGCATGGCTACGTTGCATTTTCCGCATATCCTCATCAAACTCTGACTGGAAAAAGTGTGTTTTAGACAGCAGAATACGACTGGCATGGTAGAATAATCGAGAAACAATGGCAGATCGGTTGGCAAGCCTGAAAATGTGAGTAATTGAACTGTTGGAGCGCGGGTAATTGAGAACACACCAAACTTCAGGAAAGGCCGAGTTGGAACTTGTTTGCCATGGCTGCAAATTCCCAAGGGGTACAAGGGATCGAGGAATAGATTTCACCCATTGCTCACACCACCTATTATGAATAATCCATTCATGATCGTGTTGAATGGCCCGCGTTGCGTCATCACCTAAACCGTGAGATGAGCGCAAAGATGCCTGGAAAGCCATGACTTTCGCGAAAATATAAAGTATCCGATGATGCCATATATCTTGATTGCCCCCATCGGCAGCCTGTGGATCATCCATCTCCATGTTAATCCCCCAGATGTCTGGATCCCAGGACAATGCCCAATTATATCGCATACAATTCAGAAGTTCTGCACTAATGCTGATCCTGAAACATGCTCCCCCTAGCCCGGGGGTTTTGGCAGACCAGCCACATTCTCTGATCAAAGCTCGGGATCCTGCGCGGTGATCTCCATGGTGCCTTGATGAGGTTGGCATGGTTTCGGAGAAGCCGAGGGCAAGGGCTGCCGCTGCACAGAGAACAGAGTCACGGTTAGGATCATGCATTGCATTCAGGAGATCCCGAGTAGCCTCGTCATAATAATGTATCGCCTTTTCCTCCGCATAAGAAGGGTCTATAAAACAGATATGCCTAGCACCACACGCGAGAAATGCCTTTAGCAATATGGGCTCGCCAATGGCAAAACCTGGAAGAATCTGGGAAAACTACGCTTTGTGAGCAAACTGTTAGGACAAAGAGTGAGAACTTTTACCCACATGGTTCATTTCATCCATTATATCCATCCGAGGACCAACTTCTTTCGTGAATGTCCTGAGAAGAGAAACTTGCTCCGGGTCAGTAAGAAAAGGATGGTATTCATGTTTCCCAGCAAGTTTCTGTGCGAAATGAGACGTTCCGTGCGGGAGAAGTTCATCTCCTGGTACTAAGTGAGACTGGTTCCAAGTATCTGTTCCAACAAAATCTGCCACATTTGGATGTGGGACATCAAAGCTCAACGGGTCAAACGAATGCGCCACCGATTGGAAGAGATTTGTCAGATCATCCCCGATAACGCCAAAGTCATCGTGTGGTTCTCGTTGCTCTTGAACAGGACTCTCCGGTTGGATAGGCGGGTATATCTCGAAGCCTCCCACATATAGAGACGCAATCAATCGCGAGTCATCTTTAAATGTTACCTTCGATCCGTGAGGCCGAGCAACGATATGTGGAGGCGCCACAGTTTGAGTATCGATGAAATTGAGTCGGACACCCCGCCGACAGACGCGATCCGATTTGCGACAGTTGAGACATCGTCCTACGGCTTCGTCGCATTTCAAATGCCTTTGGCGACAAGTGAGGCAGCCAGTGCGTACTCTTCTAGCTTTGGTATCTGGGGCATCTGTGGATTTCTTGCGACTAGAGCGAGGGCGGGGTGTGCTTTGTGAATCGCTTCCTTGGCTTTTTGGAGTGGATGTCCTCGTGCTGATGGTGGGCGACTGCGGCTGCTGCTGCGCTACTTTTCGGAGATTCATATTGCCCCGGTAAATTGCGAGCTGCGAGAACTCGGCTTTATAACGTAACTATGTTTCTAGTCCCCGGCGCCAAGTGGAGTCCCAATCGATAGTCGTTGCCCGAATAAACAAGATGCCGTTGTAGGTTCTACCCAGATGGCCATGTTCGTTGACCGCTGCGATTGGTTTCAAAATAGTATCCAGCTAGAGAAAAGAGGACTGCGATTGTCTTTGGGATTGGTATTCAAGTGGAGCTTCGAATCCAACCAGGCGGGACAGAAGGGGCAGGAAAGAAGGGATCGGCGAATAATTCTAGGGGGCGAAATGAGGTCAGCTGAGGATTATCATCCGAACCATATGAATATGCTCACCATGTAGCCCCTTGCTTAGCCACACAGACGTCTCGAAGTAGCGGAGAAGTGGATGGATGTTAAGTTAGAGATCGAGTCAAGAAAAAAATGTGGGTCATGTTTGCCAAGATCGCCGAGGTTAACCCGTTGACAACCTTCGTAATGGCCAAGGTGTATACTCCGTAGTATATGCATATTTACATCGTGACAAGTAGATACAGTGAAGCTCAAGTACCTAAGTATTCTTATACATGTTCTATGAAATAGGCTGACAATTCCAGCCAGCGTATATCCCCCAGTATCCACTGAACTGTCCCTGAGACACCATCTATGCCTTTCTTCCCAATCGCGGTAGCCGGACTCGGCCCAGAAATGTTAGCACAATGACTGCCCAGAAGGCCGCGGATATGAAGGTTAGTTGAAGAGCTGCGCAGTATGATGTAGTGACTGGTTGATTATTAGCAAGGTCAAGGCATGTCGGCACTCCAAAGAAATGAACACACCTTCTTGCCGATGGATTGGGTCCAAGTGGGCAATGCTATCAACAGATTTGCGGACAAGTGTAATAATGTGATCCTTCTCAGGACCTGTGACTTTGTTGTTGAGGTGATATATGAGGCTATTCTGGAAGATCCAGCTGCTGACAGCCACACCCATCACGGCACCCAGGCTTCTCCACAAGCCAAGAGTGGTTGTTGCGACTGCCTGATCTTTTTTCTCACTAGTTGCAAGAATGGAGACCATCAGACTGGGAAATGCGAAGCCCTGACCTAGACTGGAGAATGCGATGCAGACCATAGAGAGTGGCTGAGAGGTGTCAATGCCCATTGTTGCAGGCGCACATCCACCTATCAGCATGCAGCATACACCTATCATGACGAAAGGTTTGAGACGCCTGGTCCAGTTGATCATGAACCCGGTGCCCACACTAGAGATAGTGACAGCTATGGAGGATGCCACAAGGCGTAGACCAGAAGCAGTTGGGCTGGTCAACTTGACGGCCTGAAAATACAACGGAGCGTTGAACAACACGGTGTGTATAGACACAGCGGCAAAGAAATTGCCAAAGATAATACTGGCCCGAGGATCCTTTGTCATGAGCTCAATTGGTAGCACGGGTCGTGGGACGTGCAGCTCATAGCGCACCAAGATAACTGCTAGGACTAACGATGAAACCAGGGAGATGACAATGAGTGGATGGCTCCAAGGATACACATTCCCTCCAAAGTTCAGACCCATGATCAACAGAGTCACACACATAATCAAGATGATTGATCCCATTATATCGATACTCCGGACCAACTGCCAGACCTTCAAGCGCTCCATTCCAGTTTGTTTAATGCCGAGGTCTGCCGGGACTGTCCAAGCAGCTGCGATGAAGTAAACAAAAATGAAAGGCAACTGGATGAGAAATGCACCCCGCCAGCCGATATGATCACACAGGTAACCTCCAAAGGCAAGGCCGAGACTACTGCCGGTGCCGAGACACAGGTTGATGTATGACTGGTAGACCCCGCGGTACTCGAGGTGTACCAAATCACTGGAGATAATCTGGCCGATGGAGAAGATACCACCTGCACCAAGTCCACACAGCGCGCGAGCAGCGATAAAAGTGCCGATATTCTGCGCCAAGCCACAACCTGCAGTGGTGATGAAGAACATTGCAATAGAGAAAAGATACACAGGTTTCCGGCCGAATGCGTCGGAAATGCGTCCAAAGAGGGGCATAAATGCAGTTGATGTCAACAAGAAGGCTGTTGATAGCCAAGAGGCCGAGTTGGCTGCTTTGAAGTAGGAAGTGATGACTGGATGGCTGGAAGCCATGAGGGTCGAGTCAAAAAAGCCGATCATGTAGCCCATCATTATGCCGCTGAAGATAACCCAGAACCTCGTCGGAGAGATGTCAATGAACCTCGAGGCATAATCATTTTCATGGTTTGAAATTATCGACTCTTGGTTGGGAGAACCAGCCCTAGAAGCTGGCTTGGCATGGGCTTCTCCGAATGCAGAGCTTGCACTGGATAGACAGCGAACGGCGATTTCCTCTCCCGTATAGTTGGATGAGCAGGCTGATTCAACATCAGTTGCGGAGTATGAGACTTCATGGTGACTCGTCTGCTGGGCGGAATCATTGCGCAGGAGTGGGGTGGCCTCAGAGGGGCAAGAATTAACAGATTGCCCCTCGTTGTCGTTACTGGGCATGTTTTAAAAAGAAGCCTCAGAAAAACAAATGCATAAAGATATGTTATTTCATGAGAACAAAGCTAACGAAGATTCTGCAAGCACGAAAAGTGAGTCCAACAAACGCCATCAACCCCACTCATCGGCTTTGAAAGCAGTGGTGACACACAACAGAAGGACCCGAGCCAAGGAAAATGGGATCTTTATATCAAGGCTAGTGCTGCAAGATCCCCAATATGACACAGCATCAATTGCCGGATAAAAAAGTGCAGTACAAAAATCCATTTTTGACGTATCGGGAATAGTGTCTGTCAGCGGGTCCAAGGGTTCCGAGGTCCGATCTCGGGATCCGATAAGAGATAACGATTACTCCGTGTTATGTATGGCCTCTCAGGGCTTTGCAACTGACTCATTTTAAGTATATTTTGAAACATTATTTTATAACTGTGTTACACTATCTACCGAAATCCCAATGCATCCCCCGCTCCGCATAGCCGTGTTAGAATGCGACACCCCGCTTGAGAAAATCAACCGCCGTTATAATGGATATGGCGGGGTATTCCGCGTTCTCCTCAATGCTAGCGCCAAAGCCTTGAACCAGCCCGAAAGACTCGACCCAGAATCAGGTCTAGAAATTACGGCTTGGGATATAGTCAATGACGATAAATACCCGAAACTAGAAGATGTCGATGCCGTGCTTCTAACCGGATCAAGTGCGTGTTGACCCGGTCAAAACATTGGATGCACATACTAACCATAGTGACTCTAAAACAGGACACAACTCCTTCGAAGATGTACCCTGGATAAACCGCCTCGTCGAATTTACCCAAGAAGTCCTTGCGCAGGATCGCGTCCGCCTGCTTGGAATCTGCTTCGGACACCAAATCGTTGGCCGCGCATTAAATGTCAAGGTCGGACGAAGCGACCAAGGTTGGGAGATTGCCGTGTGTGATATGGATTTAACCAATGAGGGTAAAGAATTGTTCGGCCGTGATAAGATCGTGAGTTCCCTGCGGCTGCGGCTGCGCCTTGGGTAACAATAAGCTACATACCCATACGCCCAAATACGTGGATTGCAGACAGCTGACCTAATTTCCCTCGCCGCAAATAGCGCATTCAGCAAATGCACCAGGATATTGTCTTCGATTATCCTCCGAACGTGATTCCTCTGGGCTCATCCCCGCGCTGTGCTGTGCAGGGTATGTATGCGCCACGCCGCTTTATCACCGTCCAGGGCCATCCTGAATTCACGGGGGACATTGTCACGGAGATTGTCCAGAGTCGGGCTGAGAAGGGCGTTTTCAAGGAGGACCAGGCTCAAGATGCTTTGAGCAGAGCTAATAATGAACATGATGGTGTCGCTATTGGGGTGGCGTTCCTGAAGTTCCTACTGGAGGGCTGAAAGCAGGAACACACCCCCGATGCGACACAACCGAACTGCATTAGATTTGATGCCTGGCTGGCTTCAGGTTCTGGCGAGTACTGTTTCGTGCTCTTTTAGACTAGTATCGAATAAATCATGTACAAAGACGCACTGCAAGATTCTAAGGTTTGACAAGCTCATTAGGGAATGAGGATTTCTCGATACCCATCGACTAGGAATAAATGCTACTTGGCACCGACAAGTGGTTGGTGCTGTTACATAGACTGTAGCCTCCAGCCTTATTCACTGAGGAACCGGGAGACTACGGAATGAGTACGACTTGACAGTCCAGCCAAAATGTGGGTGTGACGTTAGAATCTATATTAAAATTCACGCCAAACAGAGCTGTAACACCAGCACACCACCAATGCTAGATCATGGGCTAAGGCCCAGACTAGAACAATGGAGCCAAAAAAAAGGAAAAGCTAAGGACTCTATGTAAAAGAGTGGGGAGAAAGAAAAACTGGTATTATTGTAAGCAAGGTCATTGAGAATTGCTCCAGGCAAAGTCATTGAGGATTGCTCCAGGCAATATCCTCATGCGAGTTCATAATCAGACAAAACGCCCCCTTCCGCAAGCCCCGCAGGGCGATGCAACATGCAAACCCAAACCAATCGCTTCATCCATCACTAACGCCTTATTTTTTTTCGACGCAACAGAAAGCGCTAAAGATACTCAAATGTCAAGCTGTAGACTGGAGACAAGCAAGAAACAGATAAATCAGTTCGGTCGCTGGCGGGAAAGTCGTCCACTTCTACGACATTTCTTTCCGTCCACGTCCGATTGTTCCGGGGCGGTGTTACCCTGAAGAGAGGGGGCTGTGGCCTGACCATCTTCTGCGTCGGAGTTCACCTATTTAGCGGAAAGTTAGCATATATTCCTTCTGAGAAAGAAAAGAAACTGTGGGCTGGAGAACTCACGCGAAGATTCAAAGAGACAACCTCGTCGTGTTCATCTCTAAATGAGATACCAACACCCAAGGTAAGATTGGAAACGAGACGTTTCTTAGGTCGGGTGCGTCGTGCGGGACGAGGGTCTTCGGAATCGTCACTGTCCTCTGCAGACCGCTTGCTACCCGTACTGAATGGGGAAGAAGATCGCGATGCCTGCAAGCTTGGTTTGATTGGAATTCCGGGAGCAGCTTTCTTGTCAGATGGGACGTCCGTCTTCTCATCTAACAGCGCGGCAAACGCGCGGTCGATGTCTCCACGACATTTCTTGAGCATAGCTACAATAGTCTCCCGGTCATATCGGCCCCCCAACCCCTCTTGGATGGATTTGATATCCCAAGGGGGATAGAGGTCAACAGCAAGGCCATCATCGTTGGTGTGACTATTAACGGCCTTTTCTTCCGCTGAAGTGAATTTCTTATTGTTGGTGCCTGTTTTGGAGTCTGGAACGACCACAGGCTTGATTTCCTCCTTGGCCCGTTGAACAGGCTTGATTTCCTTCTTGGCCCGTTGAACAGGCTTGATTTCCTCCTTGGCCCGTTGAACAGGCTTGATTTCCTTCTTGACCCGTTGAACAGGCTTGATTTCCTCCTTGGCCCGTTGAACAGGCTTGATTTGCTCCTTGACCCGTTGAACAGGCTTCAACTTGGTAAGAAGTCCTTCATGCTCGCCATTGAGTTTTCTCACTGAAGAATAGTGTTTGAAATCCTGTGATCGTCAGTGGGGCTCTATTATAAGCACAGCGAGACACTTACATGGAATGCCACGTGCAGAACATCCCGAGGTTGATTCGGGGGGGCATTAACATCTCGAAAGAGTGAAACACCTGACATGGTGTATACGTTCAAGTCAACCTTGAAGACCTGACAGAATGCCTGGAGATGCTCGGAGCTGCCCCATTTCCGGTCCATGCGGGTTGTGGCAATCATTTCATCGAACTTTTGTTCCATCTCCTCCTGTGTGGGAGGAAAGACCTCGGCAGAGGGAGTAGCATACGCAGATGCAGCCCCACGTTTAGGCCGACGCCGCTCCCCACCTGCAGCAACTACAAATTGCATAAAATAGTCTTTGTTGGAAGCCATGTGATTGGCTAGAATCTGGCGGATTTCGTGTGCATGGTGGGTGTCGCCGTACAGTTGGTCGGAGAGGGAATAAAAAAGACAATTGCCTGGGATTGGACGCGTCAGAATGGGTAAAACGATGTGATGCAGCTTCAAAATATGCTAATGGAGCTCATAAATCATGCAGCAGGTGTAATTAGCTTACCGTCACCTTTGGTGGGGAATGCAAAAAGGCCTCTTTCTTCTAGAGAGGGCATGTCCAAGCTCTGGCTTTGGACGGGTTTGGGTTTGAAAATTTGCTTCTGCAATGGGCGAGGCATGGTTGCTGTGGAAGAGATTGGAGAAATAGGAATCGGAGGAAGAGATGCATCTAAAAATGCAGACACCTCGAGAGTGGGATCGTTAGAATCAGAGCCCGTAAGTATGGGCACAATTCTGCCACCATTGATGAGGTGTGACATATTGAATGGAAGACTCGACTAAATGCCGGCATTTATGGGAGTGTAGACCAATTGATATGAAGAATAAAGGTCAATAGAGACAATGGAGACAATAGAGAAATTGAGGTTATTGATCTAAGAATGGCAAACAAAAGTCGCCCGCAGAGGGAATTCGGGCCCTGCGGGTATGAAAAAGGAAATTGTTCACCATTCAATGCCCATTTGACTATCGGGATGAGGCGGTGAGTCGTAATACTCTGTGATTGGCTACACGTGGGAGGTTGCCCACTATGACATCGCCCAACTTTCTTTGTATAGAAGGCATTCAGGGCATTTTCAATTCTATATTTAGTAAATCAAAGGTTCTGCTCAGTTTTATGACACGAAATTATCTGAAAAAAAAAACTTTGATTTATGAGAAATATGAGCTTGAATTGAAGTAATTCAAGATCAAATTGTGATCAATAACGTTCGATTCAAGAGTGGAGTCCGGAGTAATGGAGCGGGATTTTACGGAGCTCCTTGCTGGAGATCCAGGGTGAAATCACTGGATAATTGAAGATTGAATCAAAGGTCCAAAGACATTTTAGAAATAACTTGAAAAGCATTGAGGTATTTCGACAGCTTTATCTATTGAAATTCCCTTTGATCGGAAGTAAGCATCAATGATCACCTCCGCACAAGTGCGGAGGTGTATTTTAAAAGTTGGTGTATCCATCAGCCCCACTGAAAAACTCTAGCGCGTTTATTTATTTATTTTATATTATTTGATTGGTTAAGTCTTTACACCGCCTCGGTAGGATTCCCATAACAGGTCAAGTCTAAAATGAGATAATCAGACCCTTACCACGCGTTACCATACCTTACCAGACCCTGTATCGGCTAGTTGACCGAGAGATAGCTGTCCCCTCACCCCGCTCCTATTAGCCGCACACTTGAGGACATTCTCTCGTGTCCATTGTGCCATATTTTTTTTATATTTCTTTCGAACTTCACGGAGGTTAAAGAGTCCATTATGACCAATAACATTGTAGTTCTGGGGTAAGGTTTTTCCAAGCCCTTTATCTAGCTCTACGGAAAGTCGACTAACGATGTAACAGCGCTGGTGTATCTGGTTTGACCACCGCATATCTGCTGTCGCAAGACCCCGACAACAAGATCACTGTGCTGGCAAAACATATGCCTGGTGACTATGATATCGAATATGCGTCCCCATGGGCCGGTGCCAACTATATGCCGTATGATCCACTGAAAACCAGCTCCTTGATAAAGTTCTGATTAAGTGGATCTTCTACAGGGTAGGAAAGGAGGGAAGTGCTCATGAGAAATACGAGCGCGAGACCTGGCCAGCATTGAAAGAAATTACGGATAAATACCCCGAGGCTGGTATTCATTTCCGAGGTATGATGTCTCTCAACAGAACCTGATTAGCACCCACCCTCTAACAAAATGTAGGCACCTTGATCTACAACCGAAAGAAGGATCAGGAATCAGACACCGGGAAGTGGTTCTCGGAATTGACTCAGCCAAACCCGTGGTTCAAAGATGTCGTGCCTGATGTATGTTTCAACCCTCGGATGGTGACACAGAAGGCTGACCTGATGATTCTAGTTCAAAAACGTTCCCTCCGATCAATTGCCTTCCGGAATGGACAATGGGCAGGAGTTCACATCCGTCTGCATCAACACTGCCGTCTACCTGCCGTGGTTGGTCGGTCAGTGCATCAAGAACGGCGCGGTCTTCAAGCGAGCTGTGTTTAAGCATATCGCCGACGCGGCCAACGCCCACCACACAGGACAGAAAGCAGATGTGGTGATCAACTGCACCGGTCTATCATCTAAGACCCTTGGCGGTGTTCTCGATGACAAGATGTACCCCGCGCGTGGCCAGATCGTCGTGGTCCGCAACGACCCCGGTCCCATGATGTCGACATCTGGCACTGACGACGGAGAAGCTGAGGCGTTGTACATTATGACCCGTGCTGCAGGTAAGATCTTATATGCCCCTTTTACTATTAGGTCGTTGGCTTATTGCTTCTAGGTGGTGGCACAATCCTCGGTGGCTCTTATCAAAAGCACAACTGGGATCCATTGCCAGATATGAACCTTGCGAATCGCATCATGAAGCGTTGCATCGACGTCTGCCCCAGTTTGGTTAAGAAGGGACAGGGAATCGAGGGATTGGATATCATCCGCCATGGTGTCGGCCTGCGACCTCTGAGAGAGGGTGGTACTCGCATTGAAAAGGACAAGGTTGACGGTGTAGCGGTCGTGCACAACTACGGCCATGGAGGATTTGGCTATCAGGCCTCCTTCGGCTGTGCATATGCCGCTGTGTCTTTGGTCAAGGAGGTCCTGCAGAACAAATCTCGCGCTAAGCTGTGAGGAATTGCGTTTTGCAGATCAATGTTTATATAGAAGTAGCATTTTCAAACATTTAGCCTTAGAATTGCAAAGTCGGGTCTGTCTATAGATGCAATTATGACGTCATTTTAGGATTTCTTGCTCAGGTGAGCACTTAGCGTGAGACTGAGCAGGAGAATCATTCAACTCCATCCATAATCGTTTCCTCAATTGCTCCATGATGCCAGCACATATGTCCAAAGAAGCAGCCCTGAAGATCGACAAAGTCCTGAATGAGTTCGGTAGATCTCCTCTACATGGCACAGTACTTGCCGACTCGCTAAATGCCAGTCCTGAGATACTGTTGGCGATGCTCCTGGATGCCCTGATCAAAGCAAAGCCAATCTCTCACGAGTTGACGAAGAAAACTATCAAAAAACTAATTGAAGCCGACTACCATAACATCGACGTACTTTCCGACACTACGTGGGAAGATCGAACAATGGTCTTGCAAGCAGGGGGGTACAACCGGTATCGAGAGCAGGGTGCTACCAATCTCGGTGAGCTTGCGGAGCTGGTTGTTGAGAAATACGGTACGCCATCTGTTATGTCTGTCTTGGATTGACAATGCTTGGAATACTGCATGTAGAGCGGACGCTGACATATCATGCGTACAGATGGGGATCTAAATAATCTCCTCAAGCAGGCAAACGGTAAAATCGACAAAGCTGGACTATTGCTGAAGGAGATCAAGGGAATGGGTGACCTGGCGGTGGAGGTATTTTTCAACAGTGCTCAGAGCGTATGGCCGAGCATTGCTCCTTCTGTCGATTCACGGAGCTTGAAGACTGCAGCAGAGATCGGGATTGGAACCGATTTAGATGAAATATACAATGCACTAGATAGAGACCCCATGCGCATGAGTTGGTTCGCTAATGGTCTCTCAGAGGTCCGACTGGAGAAAAGGCAAAGGGAAATTGAGGAAGTTTGAAGCTGCTTTCCAGGTCCATCAATGTATATTATAAAATGACAGAATTATGGGGCTTCTTCCCACATGTAGTATGCCAACCGGATCTAGAAGATCTCTCGTCCCTTAATCCATTTCTCAGGAGCTCGCAGTGAAAAGTTAATTACTATTAGTTTGCAATTCGATGTCCCTAAAACATCGATACTGCCTCAACTAGGTAGCCCACACAATAAACATACTATGTATATCAAATCATATATCACCGTGAGACGGGTTTACGGTCTTGGAGCCAGATGGACCACCTATTCAAAGTCAGCCACTATGTTCAGCAGACATTGAATAAACACACAGCCACATACCACTGGAATTATGGCCGATGCAGTTAGGAACCCGAGCATAACCGTACATCCAGTCCACCCCGAAGTTTCAAACGCGAGCTCTGACAGCAATGGGCCGAGCACAGTTCCGGCGCCAAATGTTGCATCAAGGAGCATATAAGCCTCAGCGACTGCACTCTTATCGCCATAGACGTCAGGTTGTTCCTGTTGAAGGACATTTACTATGTGAGGTATCTCCGTAACCAGTGGCGTCAACGATGTATTGAGCCCTACCCCTGTTTATTGTGAGCAAATCCGTGCGTAGATTTCATGTTCATGGAGCTTATGTCGGAGCATACCAACAAGAAACAATAGTACACATGCCACGACCTTGTTTGTAGTATCCTCATCTTGTATCAAAGCTAGGAGAGCGACTGCTACAGCTCCCAACGTAAACCCAAGAGTGGAGATCAATCGGACGCCGTATTTATCTGAGATAATTCCAACAAATGGAGCTATAAATGATGGAATGGTTATGTTTAAAAACATGGCTCCGGTAGCACCGGAAAACCAATGAAAGGTCCGTTTGATAAAGATCGGGAGGACGGCATCCATGGCGCTTACTAAAATAGTATTGATGAGGCATCCATATAACGCAGCAAGTATGCGACGGTTTCGAAGAAAGCCTCCGACAATAGTCCACCAAGTAGGATCTTTTGAAACCACGGATGAGGTCCCGTTGTGGTGTGAAAGGAGCGGTGTTGTGATGGGTAGATCGTCATCTTCAAGCGTCGATAATCGCCGTTTTCCATTTGCAATGGCCCTTCTTGTCGAGTTTCCATTTGGAAGGAAAGAAGACCTTGTATAGCCATCATTTACTCTGAACTTTTCAGCAGTCTTCCTGTCGATCATGAGTAGAATGAGGATCAGGTTAATGAGGACTACGCCAAGACCCATGATGAAGACAGGATGAAACCCTGCTTTCTCATATACGATTCCTCCGAGCGTGGGTGATACGAGCACGCCAATGTTCATGCCCGAGAGTCCGAAGCCAATCCAGGGCCCCAGTTCGTGTGACTCGATTGTGTCAACCAACAGCGTTAAGCCGGCAGTATAGACAACGCTCGCAGATAAACCCTGGAAAATCCTTGCCACGATGATCATCCACGGTTTGACTCCAAGCATGAACGAGAGTGTGGCACCGAATGCACAAGAGAGGCCTCCCAGGAATGGTATTTGACGTCTCTTGCATTTTCCAACAATCCATCCTGCCATCGGGGCACCAAGTACCATTGCGAGGCCGAAGACGGCTAAAGAGGTTGATGTCCAGAATGGGACGTCGGCCTCTGGTACCCCGGAGCGATGGGTTAGGGAGAAAGGAAGGACGGACACAATCTAGAAGGAGCGCGTGGGGTCAGTATTGTCATTTGATATATAATGGTAGAAGCACCTACAATCCCGTACAGGAATCCATCAGTAAAGGTGGTCGAGAAGACCGCAAGGCCGATAAGTTGTTTGGATGACCGTATATCGAAGAGCCATGGCTCTTTTAGTATGATATCTTCCATTATTATTTGAGGGTGACGAATCAGGAATCACAGTGAAGGTGGGTGGAACTTCTCCCTCGAGATGCCCTCGTAATTGTGTTTTGAAAGCCAACCCCAAGGAAGACGCGGGCGACGGTGTACGGAGCAGTCAAGAGAGGATTGCGAGCTATGTACTTTTGCATCGAGGCTGTATAATTGCAATTAAATGAATTCATTAATTTGCCCACAATGAGCAGGTTGCAATATACGGAGTAAGCAGTGTCGAGCCAGTTATTCCTTGTAGTCAACCCTCGTTCGTAGCGAGATGATACGTGCATATTCTGTGCATGATTTATTGACGATCGACACGATCGATTGGGCCGATTGTACTGCGCTAGGTCAGATTCTCCACCACGATCACAAGTTGCATTAGCTGAATGATTGGCTGGAGGCTGGACATACAGAACATTTTCATGGTCCTCTAAAGTGGATTTGTAAAGCTTCAAGGTTCCATAGAACTTGTCGCATATAACAACATCGTTTCATTAAGCACAGTAGTCAACAAATCATATCTGATCAGGTATGTTCATGTAGTTAATATGGGGTTCGGGCCCCTTTACTGTATTGCCCTTTACTGTATTGCTGGATCACTTTGCTTTTTTCAGGCTCGATTTTGCTTTTGTATTGGATCTCTGTACTGCTCTTTTGGGTTCCCTTTATACGAGGTATCTAGATAATATATATGGTTTGATCGCAAGCCATCTATTTCTATTTCGAGCTGCTATATTAGCTTCCCGTTCAAACACATACAACCAATGATACCTGGACCCCAATGAGCAACCAAACAACGCTAATGATCAATTTTGACTTCCAGAACCTGCTATTTCAAGTTTAATATGTTACACATGTAGCAACTGCGATACCCAACATAAGACAACTTTTGCGATATATAAATCACGATTCAGGCTGTCATAGCCAACATTCCATACAAGAAGCCGACTAATCTACACATGAAGGAATTGTGCATATAATTCCTAGCAGGAGCATTGTAGACAAACTAGATATTATCAGTCATGCTTGGTTTAGGCACGAACGCCGAAAGCACACTACATTAGGAGGGCTTGAAGTCAGTTATATATATTGAGTGTTCTAGCAAACCCTGTTTGTGTGTTTGTTATTCCTAAATTTTCACTGTACAAATAAATCGTCCCTTTCAGCAGCCTTCAATGATAGGGCATATACTAGACACAAACATATAGTGATTATCGCTTTTGTAGGTTCTCATCTGTCTTTTCTCCTCCTTTTTGTCTTCCTCTACTTATATGGCTGGCCCTCCCCTGCTTTCTTGAGACTAGTACAATCAATATTCTATCTCAAGCTTTTAGTATGCTAGACATAAACCTTGACATTTAGTATCAAGTCGTACCTATTAAAGGATCAACGGCTAAGTGATGACTTGTAGCCCTACGTCAACGAAACACTATACCCAAAGCAGTATAGCGTCCGCACTGGCCTGTGGCAGATCACGTGAGCTACAAGTGGCCTTGGCAGACCCGCCGCTCGCGACAGTGCAGCTGCTGTCGACACCCTCATTTCCATTTTTCCCCCTGTTCTGTTTCGTTCAAACCCTGGCAAGCTTTTTGATCAAAGGTGTGTTTCTTACTATAACTCATTCCAGATCCTCTGTTTCATCTCAAAGGCGTGTTTCCCTTTGTTGTAGAAGCAACGAAGTGAGGTCCAGCCTGGCGAATTCCGGGGAACCTAACTTCCACCATCATTTGAGCGATTTGGCGAGACCAAGGACCATCGATCTTTGTATTATAAGCTGACCCAGTGCCGCCGAAGACCCAATTTAGTCACTCGAGATCGATTCTTCTTTCGATACTTTGCTGCCTAACGACTCGCCCTGCGCGTTATTGAAGATCACTTTCATCTCATAAACCCTTGAAAGATATCGCAATGGATTTCACCAACATCTTGTATGCCGAGTCTTTCTGGGATTGGTTGTGTCAGTACTAACCATATGCAGCCGTCTTGTCAACATCGCCGTGGGCGTGTTTATGGTGCTCGGTGGCATCAGTAACTTCTTCACCGGCACCTGGAGTTCATTCATCCTGGGCGCATACGTGGTTGTCTTCGGTCTCGGTACGTCCCTTGATGATCCAAACCTATAATGCCAGTAGTCAGCGCTAACATGAATCCTAGTCATCGGTGGACTGGAATTCCTCCCTCACGTCCCCGACTACGCTTACCGTTATGCGTCGTTCCTCTTCTCTTTCCTCGGCCGTGGTGTCTGTAAGTCATCGTTTCGAATCCCCTAGATCATCTAGATCAGAGAGAATTTGATGGCTAACCACTTCCGTTAATAGTCTACATCTTTATCGGCTCCATTCTGCTTCACGATCACGTGCTGCGCATCATTGATGGCTCGCTGATCGCCTTCATCGGACTCGGATACATCGCCCTCGAGTTCATTCCCTCCATTGAGCCACCTTCCAACATGCGCGAATCTGATCAGGGTTGGGGCGCTGAGCAGGTTTAAATTGCTGCCTGCGTAGGCGACGATGATCATTTCCTATCACGTCCCAAACGGGGCGCATCGCGTTAGCAACTGTGATGGATACCGTTTTCTGTTCGGCGGTTTTCTTCAGCATGCGGAATGGAAATATTCGATGAGCGCAACGACCTTGGAATGTTTTGAATTTGGTGAAGGTCATCATAGAGAAGGGTGAAGAGAGCGATGCTGGTCTAAGATTTTTGTTTGATACCAGCATAAAAGGACAGACACCTGTACTATATTTGGACGTGGTGGGCTAGCATTGTCTAGCAGTATTCTCTAATGATTTATTGATTTTTTTTTTTTCTAATTGCAGTATTCGGTGAGAGATCTGATAAATACGGTATGCAGGGACTAAAGGTCAAAAGTACAGCGTGGCCATATCTGGCCATATCGCTTCGGCTTGTTCCATATCCGAGTAACCAATAGGAACGTCCATAGAGTTGATGACAATCTTAGTCATCCTCTATAAACCAATCAAATCCATCAGATATCTGATTTCCTACCATCGCCCCACTCTCACCTCACTATTTTCCACTATTTCCACTATTTTTTCACTTTCCAATCTAATCTTCATCAGGCCATTGGTGGAGTTAAGTGATCTGGGGGACATATAGAATCATGCAGAATCAGAGATTTTGATTTTGAATAAGAAAGCGCAAAAGGAAAAAAATGAGAGTAAACGTGATTAGATGAGATCCTCGGGGGAGATAAAGTGATAGATTGATATGCCCGTCGATCACCCCTTAGATCGATAAACCCCAATCCCTTTCTTTGGCGATAAGCAATTCGGTCTCGCCTCTTTGTCTCATTCTCCTTTTCAACTTTTCAGATTTCCACATATTTCACCTTTATCATCCTCGACATAATCTTTTTCCCTGTCGTTATAACCTCCATCACATCTTGTGTGCCCACTTTACCCAGTGACGCGGAGTGATCACCATCTTGCAGCTCCCTAGCCTCTCAACCAATCCCTGCTTCCCTGGTCGTCCTTTTGCACCGGACCCCCATCCCCGAACGAAACCGCCCTCCACGATCACTTGCTAGTCAGGCCAGAACCTGTGGTGTGCTGTCAATTGTCACAATCATTATCACCTGATTGTTCCAAGCCGTTGGGTCGCCACTGTTCCATACAAGCCGGTCACTATCTTTTGGTGGCGGGTCTAGTTTAACACACTCGACAACTCGATTTCCTGATTCTTGTGTGGCGGCATCCGAATTTACTTCTCTTTCACTGCGATCTCGAGTCATCGTTCGCCCTGCGATTCCCCCGAGCCTGCAGCATCGTGGCTGCAGATCTTCCTGCTGGACTGACTTTCCCATCTTTCTCTAACCATTAGCTTGACCGACATTTGGTTTTTGAGTGATACGGTGCATTCTGCTCTCGACTGTGGTGCGACATCGCCCTCACATCGTAGGATTTTCACTATCCCTTTCGTTTCTATCATTTTCATATCCGATCCTTCCGTTCTAAGGAATTACAACGGCCAAATCCCTGGCCCGAATTACTACTTGTAATGTTAGCGTCGATCCCACAGATGGAAGCGCTTCACTCTCTGCCTCGAAATCCAGACGTTCCAATGCGACAACCGTCAGCGGAAGATTTGGATGCTGCGCAACAGTTGATCTCCTCAGCGCAAGCCGGTCGTGAACATATGGCAGATCACTACCGGGAGGATGGCATGGTGCAAGGATCTGGTCAACCTGGATCAAATCAGTGGATTGGACACAATGAAATCTCGAATGAGAAAACATCCCCCGGCAGCCAAAAAGACACAACTTTCCTGGGGCATTCATGCAGGTGAGTCTCGATTGGGTGGGGTCCACTATTCCTTGGGCTGTTAAAGCTGATCCCATCTCTTTTATTTAGCAATTGCGGCACAAAAAGCACTCCTCTCTGGCGTCGTTCTCCCACGGGAGCGATGATATGCAACGCCTGCGGTCTCTACCTCAAAGCTCGCAACGTCGCTCGCCCCACAAAACGAAATCGGATGCAATCAGAAGGTGTTGAGAAGCCAGCGCCTTCTGCGAACTCCCACTGTGGCGGTTCCTCAGAAGGTGGTGGTTGCAAAGGGTCATGCCCTGGTGGTGGGAGTTGCAATGGCACTGGTGGCGCAGAAGGATGCGATGGATGTCCGGCGTACAATAACCGGATATACAAGTCTGCTCCCCGAGGAGCGGCTGCCACTCAATCTTCATGGGGCCGTCATTCAACGCAAGAGCTCGAGCCTGTGACGCAAGAGGAGCCACCGGTGAAGGCTCCTGCTCCTGCCGATGGACCCAATACTTTGGTTGCTTGTCAGAATTGTGGTACAACCGTGACCCCTCTCTGGCGACGCGACGAACAGGGTCACCCTATCTGCAACGCTTGTGGTAAGTTTGGGTCTCGTATAGCCTTGATGGTCTGATTCCTCTAACAAAACGTAGGATTGTACTATAAGCTCCACGGATGCTATCGCCCCACTAACATGAAAAAATCCATCATCAAACGTCGCAAGCGTGTTGTCCCTGCCCTCCGAGATCAATCTCCTACCGCCGCGACCCTTTCTTCTAATGGCTCATCGGCATCTCCTGAGGCATCACCTGCTGCCCTGGCGCATGGCCACGAAGATCACTATCGATACATGAGCAATGAGCCTGCAGACCACTACCACATGACGCATGGAAAAGCTGAAGATACCCCTCGACCTTTGCCTTTCGCGCCACCGCCGGTTGATTTCACCGGTTACAATGTTTCATCCGTGCCACTTGCACATGGTCACTCCATCTCTCACGGTTTACCCAACGGCCTCCCCAAGCCTTTGGGAGTGGACCGACTGGGGCATTCGCCCGTGTCTCAGTATGGGCGGCGCTCTGCTTCTCCAAATTCCCTTAACCTTCCTAAAAAACGAACATTGGCCGAGACGACGACGGAAGGCTTACCAGCCCCGTCTACATTGGAAGCAGGATCAAATCAACTGCCTCCGATTATGTCTTCCGCCAATCCCACTCCCCCCGGTCGTCTCAGCTCTATCTCGTCCATTTTGAATCAATCAGATGTTCGGAGTGAGCCTCGATCGGATACAAATCTGGGGCGTGTACCTCCTATTCACCACTCTATCTCGCCTTCGCCCCACCCGCCGCAGCCTTTGCCTGCCCTTGCGTCTCTTGGGGACTCAGTTGATCGCCGTGCCCGACTTGAACGCGAAGCTGAGCAGATGCGCGAGATGCTCAGAGCAAAGGAGCGTGAGCTGGCAGAGATGAGACGATAAATTCAACGTCCGCCCAAGCAGTGACGAAAATAATGACCGGATAATGTTTTGCAAATCGGTGTTACTCGTGAGATAAACGGCGCACAAAGATACCACTCACGTTACTGGGATATCTTTTCCCTAGTTGTGTTACTATTTTTTTTTAAAAAAAAAGTGTGTCGAATGAATTGTATTTTATAATGTGAAATCGCTATCCATTTGTGTACTTGAATGTGTTCCTTAGTCCCCGTTGTGTTTTCTCTTGACTTAATGAGGACCGATGTCATAATGACTTCCAACCCAACCTCAATCAACTTAATTGAAAACACATCTAATCGCTCTAAAAATTTCCAATTCATTAAACTATCATTCACAATGTCCAACCCCAAAGCCTTTACACTTACCTTCACAGGTGATGTAATGCTCGGCCGCCTGCTCGACCAGCTAATGCCAGAACATGTCTCCAACGAGCGTGACGAACGCATCGCCACAACCTTCATAAAAGCTCACCCACTCCTCCTGGCAAAAGGAAACTACACACCCTCCTCGCCATGGGGCACAGTCCTCCCCCTCCTCCAATCCTCAACTCTAGCATGCATCAATCTCGAAACCTCCGTAACAACAGCCCCAATCCCATGGCCCAACAAGGTATTTAATTACCGCATGCACCCAGCAAACCTAGCTCCGATTCTACATGCCGGCGGCATCGATTACGCCAGTCTAGCCAACAACCACACCCTCGATTTCGGCACCGAGGGTCTCACAGAGACCGTCAAAACACTGCAAGAAGCGAAAGTCGCGTACGCAGGCGTAGGTGAAACAGCCGCCGACGCACGCAAACCTGCCGTGCTACATTTACCCCGGCTTTCACAGCCGTTAGAAGAAAACCAACAACGCTACACAGTCCACGTATACTCAGCCTCTGATCACCCCCACGTATGGGCCAGCGTGCCGGGATTCAATCTGTTCGATTACACGCGTGATACGCGGTCTCGGTTGCGGGAAATGCTTGTTGACGCCGAAGAGAGCAAGCCTGCGTTGAAGGTGTTTTCGGTTCATTGGGGGCCGAATTATGCGTGGGAGCCGGACGGACGGATTACGTCTCTTGCGCATTTCTTGATCGATGAGTGTGGGGTGGATATTGTTCATGGACACTCGTCGCATCATGTTCAGGGTGTTGAGGTGTACCATGGGAAGCTTGTTATCTACGGCTGTGGGGATTTTGTGGATGATTATGCGCTGAATGAGGAGTATAGGAATGATTTGGGGGCTTTATGGAGAGTTGTTGTCAAGGAGAAGAGTGGTTGGATTGGGTTGGAGAGATTGGAGATCTTTCCTACGCGGGTTGAGAGGTTTAGGGCTGTTTTGTTGGATTATAAAGATCCCGATCATGTGTGGGTGAGGCGGAAGATTAGTGAGCTTACTGAGGAGTTTGGAACGCCTGTGAGGGAGGCGCTTGGGGAGAAGGGGGAGGTTGTTATTGAGTTATCTGGAGGGTAGATTTTGAGGGTAGTGTTGCAAGTGTCTTGAAACACATCATTGGAGATGATATACGGCCAAGAGATGGGGCCACCTTTTATCAAGTTTCTTCTCTAGATCTCCGAACCCGGAGAGATGATTGTGATGCAATCTGTAAGGTAGATCTCAACTAGATAGCCAATTTCAGATCCATTGTATAACGAGAACTGTCATGCATTTGCATATTGAATAGCACTATAACATGAGAATCGTATATTCACTCGGCATTCCGACATAGACCCGAGCTCGGCACCCAATGACGAAGTAGTCTGCCTCCGTCGATCAGCTTCTCAGATATCCCGAGGTACGGAGGAATATGTAAGTGATGCGACGCAGCTGGTGGCGTTCAGCGGAGTCATACTCCGCATCCAGTGATACCCTATAGGGTAAATGCAAATTCCGCTCACTGGGGCATTCCATGGCTCTTTTGTGTGGAGGCTATCCACTTCATTATTGAACTGCGGCGATCATGTTGTTTCACAACTCAGCGCCCGCAACAACACTAGGTGTTTTGAAGGCTGACTTTGGCAGTGACCTCCAATGGCAAAGAAGTTACAGTAGAGTGAGATAACGAGCAATGCTTCAGCACCTAGTGCAGAGTACTATGGTAGGAGGGTTGAATTAGGCAGGTCTGGAGATCAAAGTAAAGGAGCAATAAGGGGGACATACACTAACCCAATTGGGAAGTGATGTGAGCGACTTGTCGATCCCACCACGTTCTTCCCTTCCCTTTCCTCCTTTCCACTGAGGTCCTCTGCTTAGTGTCCTTGAATTGTTTGACATATATGTTCGGTGCCACTATCTCAACAATGCACATCCACTCTATACCCATGCATTTCGTCAATAAACGGACAAGATCCTCATGGTCCCCAGGTTATCTAGCATACATACATTATCAATATTATAAGCATGATGGCACCACGCCAATTCCACCCCTGCATTAATTCTTTTCGAGGAAAGGGCATTTACAACACACAGCCACTGAAAGCATCACATACAACATACTTCCCAAGTGGGTCCTATGGATGGACATGGAGGCCCGTTCTCAACTATCATACCCAACGAGGAAACTTGAAAAGACAGCTCAGATTCTCTAAACGAGTCGGCTGCCACATGTCCATCTTTTCCCCATTCAGTCAGCCCCTCGTACAGAAAACATTCAAACATCGCCCCACGGGGATCCATATATGCTGCCAATGGTGGAGACACGGCGACTGAACTCCCGCGCTAAAGGCTTCCGTGGAAGTTTTCTCTGCAGGTGCGGGTCCTCAAGCCACATGGCATATACCGGAGCTATCGATTCGGTGCACCAAGGCTTTCCAGCAACATGGATGTGAGCGTGGGATTAGCGCCTAGTGCAGCGCTATTGAGCAGACTATTCGAAATCTGTGGGGTCTTCCATGACCAAACTGCCGAGATTGGGTCACACCATGCATGAAATAGTTCTCCGCAGTTTGTCCTGACATTGATCGACATTGAGATCATGTTCAAATGAGTTTGTCCCCGCTCCCTTTCTCCGAGAAGGTTTTTCTGTTCTGATATCAGCCTCACTTTCCTCATACTTTCGAACCCAAGTCCAATGCAGTGAGCTGCATCGATTCGAGGCCATTGTGTTACCGCTACACTGGCATCGATTGAAGCATTTTCACATAATATACACGCTCATTTTACGTCCACTCTCGCTACATTCGGTTATTGTCTTCAACGTTCAATATGCACGGTTTAATTCACACATTGCTTCCTCGAGAGGATGATAATGGAGCCTCTCATGGCCGACGGGCATTGGTTGTGACTGCAGTACTGACAGCCATCTCCACTGTCATTGTTGCAATGCGGTTCTATGCGCGACTTGGATTGATGAAAATTACCGGTCGTGAAGATTGGGCTATTCTAATATCATTAGTATGTCCCTCGAAGAGCCCTACCTTGAGCTAAATGATCAGATCGCTAATACAATATCTGCAGATGTTTTCCCTTATTTATCTCGCACTCGTCGCTGCCCGTAAGTCCACGACCGGTGAATAATTCCAGGACCACCCGACTAATAATGATGGTAGAACTACATTATAGCATGGGCGTTCACTCAGAACTTCTTCCCAGTCATATCTTGCAGCAACAACTTAAGGTATGCTTTGTTCTTTGCTTATACTTTGTTTGGTGTAAACTAACTTGACTTTGTAGTTTGTGGGCTGCAATTCCCATGTACAACGCCAGCTTGGCATTCACCAAATTCTCCATTCTTTTCCAATATCTCCGCATCTTTCCCGGCAAACCTTTCCGCCTCGCCTGTTATTTCATGACGGCAGTCGTGGCTACCTACTCATCATGGGCAATTGTGAGCGGCTTCGTGAACTGTGTCCCCGTTGCTAAATTCTGGAACAAGGATTTGCCAGGCAACTGTCTCAACTTTGAGGCTGTCTGGTTCTTCAATGCTTCTATGAACATCACAACCGACATTGCACTACTGATATTGCCCATGCCACTACTTTCAAAGCTACAACTACCCCGCACGCAGAAGATCGCCCTAATCGGAGTCTTTGCCATGGGTATTTTGGTCGTGGTCACCAGTATTCTGCGCTTGTCGAGTTTACGAGAAGTAGCAAAAAGCCCCGACACATCCTGTACGTTATATACATATCCTTTTCCACCCACTGATCCAAAACCTAACCCACAAAACAGACAGCAATGTCGCAGCCGCCTACTGGACTGCCGCAGAATGCAACGTCGCCATTATGTGCTCCTGTCTCCCATTTTTACGACCCATCATCAGCCGCATCTTCCCCAGACTTCTCTCGTCGGGTAGCACCAATCGCTATGGTGCCAACAAAACCACATTGACAAACCTCACCGGAACTCGCACCATGACCCGTCATACGCAGCTGTTCACCCAGGATCATGATAAGGACTATGATACGTATTCGATCAATGTCCTAACTAAGTCTGGTAATCACTCCAACCATAGTTCCCTCGGCGGTATCGAGGTTACCACCGAGATGAGCGTTATGCAGGAGGCGACTCCGACTAGGAGTAATAGTGATCGTAAGCTGGTTATGGATGCTTGATGACCTTTCATTCTTTTTGTATATAAGACCTCACGTATTCCCTGAAGTATCAAACAAACTTTGAGTTAGAACAGTATTCTCTAGGATTTGTGGTAAAGCCAAGGATCATTACAGAGCTCTTTTGCACTCAATCCAAACTTGATATCCTTTAGGGAAGATAAACCTCTTTTTATTGAACTCGTTCGCAAAATGCTTCAGTGGGAACCGGAGTCTACGGAGTAGATGAGATTATAAAGATGATACCCAATAGGTTGTATTGTAGACAGTGAAGTCTAAGGAGAGAAGAAAGGTGCGAGAGACCACAGGTATCCTCCTACAGGGATGGTTGGGTGATTGGAAGCTTTCAACATGTTCATCGTAAACCTCATTCTTAATTCATTATGATTGAATGTTCTTCAACGAAAAGAAAATGGTCCCAATGGTCCCGCACGAACACAGAGTTTAGCCATATGTGCTTTACCACTTTGAGAGGGTCTCTGTTAATGCGGGTTTTGGTGTTGAAATTGTTCTACCGAGAATGAATGACAACTCCATGCTTTGAAACCGCAAGCTCTTTCCGCTAAGCTACGGGGCTGGGGGACTCTGATATGCCTGGTCCTTAACTTCCTTTTAACTTTGCTTTGTTTTCTAGATAAAATAGCTGATTTATAGCATTCTTCATATTTCTTCGAAGATACGCATGCATTCAATTGTTTACTTTGTATGATTACATTGGGATCTGCACATAGAAAAATACAAACACAAAGTACATTAATACTAGTAAAAAGCCAATGGTTTATATCCACTCTTCGTTATGACAGGTCTGCGAGATAATGAGTTTCCCCGAAGAGCCACCCCCCCCCCCAAAGCATATATCTCCGGTATCTCCCTCTGGCTCACACAGAACGCTCTGAGAAGCAAACAGACATTCTGGTGTCCGGGGAGAACGTCGGAAAAGTTTCCATCATGGAACCAATCTCTCAAATAAGATAGGGCAAAACACCGTGACCCTCATTTCTGGCAAGACTTCATCCCATATCCGGTTCGAGGATTGAAAGGCGGGAGTCTGGATGCTTCCCCTGTCTTTCCGTCCTCGTAATCCTTCTTACCCGAAGGGCAAGTATACCCAACAAGGCTTAATATAAGATGTCTGACGAAAGAATGCCAGTGCGGTATAAATATAGAGTGCATGGTGATTCTGCCCCGAAAGATGATGATGCTCCCCAAAGATCAGCGAAAATACTATAGGAAGAGATAGAGGAGATCTCCCCCTTTGGAAAGATTTTCTTCCCAGTATTCTCCTTAGGTTCACACGTTATTCCTGTAGCAAGCAGACATTGTGTCTCCAGGCTGTCGAATGACAATATATAGGATAATCCATTTTCGAGTTGACAAGCCGATGCAAATCATACCTAGCGTGTTCTCACCCGACCATAAAATGATGCAAAGGTCAGGTACGCATCGGTAGTCGTAGAAATACGCACACGCAGGCAGCGTAGGGGGCGGGAAAAGCAGCAAACAGCTCTGGCAGGTATATACCAGGCTGGGGATGCAAAAGGAACTGCCGTAGCCAAGCGTGAGGTTGTAAAATGCTATACGCAAAGTACAGTGCACGCAGGTATCGGTCGCATCGAACGGCGTCGGGCGCAGTGCGGATTCGATTGAGTGCCGGGAGATCACGAAGATACCCAAGAAGGGAAACGTCTGCGCGTTGCTAGTCGCGGCAGACCCGGGCAACGTTGGCTAGGTGGTAGGGACATCAATGCTAAGACCTCGCTGTTAGAAACATAATAGGCTGGTCTCGTGGGGGGGTATTGATTGCTCACCTGGTCCCTATTGAGTCTGCAACGCGGATAGGGTGCTAGTTTCAAGTAATAGCTTGAACAAGGTAAAGGACTCCAATGTAGGTAAGGTGGAGGCTTGATGGCCTTGTTCACCTCCAAACGTTGACAGTGCTAGAAGAGACATTATTGTTAGAAGCGTTTGAACCCAGGAGATTATCTGGGATTTACCCCTATACAATCGTAGATTATATAACAGAACATGGATAACCAGCGATAAAGGTTGTTGAGCATGCTATGAGAGATGATGAAGGCAGGGGGGTGATGAAGAAGGATAGATCTGTATCGGAAAGAATATGAAGAGACTGGGTATTTATACCCATGTAAAACATCAAACGCTGGCAAACGGCAGCGTTGATATCCCAGCAAAAGTCTTTATAAAAGGCCTCTCAACAAGGCAAGAGCTCGAAAGCTCCAGGGAGATCAATGCTATAGTAGAAAAAGGAAGGGGTTCATAACCTGATACACGTACTACGTGTCTAAGAGGAAGTAAGGAAGTGCTCAATAGAATCTAACGATGATGATGATGATATACGTGCTGCTATGAAGCTTTAAATAGCTTCATAAGAACAAAGGGACAAAGACTTGCATAGATTCTCAAAGTAGCCAAGAGAAGCCTGGCAAGCTGCATGTAAGCAAGCAAAGCTTTGATGCAACATGTTAAAACCTGCGTTTGATTAAGCTAGTAATTTGATGAAGCGATGCTTGTAACCGCAAAATCAACTGCAGATATGCCGTGTTGGCGAATATTGTATATCAAGTGATGGAAGCTAATATCCAAAGCTTGAGCCCAGACATCTATAGATAAACCAGTATAGCGATAACCAAATTAAGTAACATGCTCCTTCTCCTCCTCCTTGGGAATCCTAACCCAAATAATCGTGACTAACGCAGCAAGCAACTGCGCCGCAAGAGCAAACCACCAAATAGCATGCAGCCCCTCAAGACCAATTTCCCCATCCGGACCCCGACTAACACGAGTTCCAATAGCATCAGCAACACTAGTCATAATCGCCGACGAAAGATTTTGATTCGTAACCAACAAAGCGCCCGCGCTCCCCTGATATGACCGCTCAACATTACTAGTAATGAAGATCGACGCCGCTGCAAAAGCAAGATCAGGACCGAAAGTTACCAGCGAAATACCCGGGAACGAAAGCGCCCAGTAACTGGTGTTGGCAGTCTGTGGCAGGAAAAACGCCGGACCAAGCGTGAATGCAAGCATAGATACCGCGTAAATATAGTGACCCGGGACGAGGTGCAGAGTGCGGGCGACGATCAACGTCGCCAGGACACCGACCAGTGCATTGGGGATATGATACAACGCAACAGCAATGGGAGTGGCGTGTTGGATACGCAACCAGAACTGAATGGCGTAGAACTGCCAGCAGCCGAAGAAAGACCCGAAACCAAGGAAATATGCGATCATCAGTGGAGTGAAGCCCGGTGTGCGCCAAAGACGGTTAGGGATGAGAGGGCGAACTGCGTTGCGTTCCGCGAAAAAGAGCCCGGCGAACAACAGGGCGCTGACGATGATTAGGACATACGTGTAAGGAGACCACGATGCGACAGGGCCTTGCGTTAATCCGAACAAGAGACACACACAACCGCCAGCAGCGCAGAAACCGCCGATGTAATCGAATTGCTTGATCGACGGTGCCTCTTTACCGGATACATCCGCGATAGGTTTGAGAGGTGGAATGGCGAACCAAGCAGCCGCACACAACAGGATGCAGATAATGGCGTTTGAGCCGAAGATCCACGGGAGGTGTTGGTACAGAGCTCCACCCTGTAGAGCGCCGAGAGAGAACCCGAACGGAGCTGTCGCGGCCATTGCGGAGAATACACGGTTCTTGCGAACACCGGGTGTATAGACACGACCGAGGATGCTCATGCTTCCTGAGACTAGGACGCCGATGGAGAGACCCTGCATGGCGCGCATGACAAAGAACAGGACATAGCGGGATGGGTGGAGGGCGAATGCGCCGATTAGGTTCCATACGGCGAGCCAGGCGAAGGCTCCGACCATTAGGAGCTTTGGGGGCATTAGGTCTGTTAGTGAGCCGGAGATTACTACCGATAGGCCGTTTGCTGTGTTGAATGCGCCGACGACCCAGGGGAGTTCAGTGTTTGTGATGCCGAGGGCTGTTTTGATTTGTTCTTGTGGAGCGAGCATGTCGCCTAGCAAGAAGGAGAAGAGCATTAGGCCTGCTGAGCAGACGAAGATTAGGATGAGCTCTGCTGTGAAGCTTGAGAGCTCGGGTGGGATTCCTTGCTTCGTGCGGATCGGGGATCCCGATTCTTCGTCGCTATCGGGATGAGAATGGGATACTGAGTCTGCGTGTTTTCTGTTTTTCATTTTGCTTGTTGTATCGAGGGCGTAGCTCTCGTTGATTTCTCGCCCGATGTCATTTATGGAAAGGTCTTGGAGGGCGACTTTGTCCACGATCTTGTGGCCCATCAGTGGATCGGGGGTTTGTGCCCCGGTCGCTGGTGTTGAGTATGTCCTTGTGTAGGACATTGAAGACCGGCTGGATACAGGTGCTGAGTCTTCACGACCTTCTGGAGGGGTCAGATCTAGATCCTCAGGCCCGTTGGCGCGGGGGCCACCCGCATATGGTTCAAATGTCATTGTCAAATAAGACACGATAGTTATAGATTGCTATGAGTGTAATTTCGGGAGTTGAAGAAAAGAGAGAAAAAAATCATCTAAAGGCGAAAAACGGCTAAATTGGTGATAAAATGGAGTGGAGTTGAAGTTTCGGTTTATCCACAAAAGATGAACTTTCTACTAAGTACATGTACAAGGCACCTTTGCATATAATCCAATGGTGCCCATCAGGATCCCTTGCAGACAGTTGCGTGTACTCATATAGTGGATCTATATTGTCCTCTTAACAAGTATCTCTACAACCATCGAGATTCCTTCCAGAGGAACAAACCGTACCCGGATTACTTATCCCTACATTGAACTCCAAGTTCTTCTATATAGAAAGATAAAATAGTCAAGAAACATGGCACTCAATTGAAAAGTACTTGAGAGCATTATACACCCCTGAGACTACATACCACTTAGAATGCAGCTAGAGAATGAATTGCGAATCAAATGTACATCAATGTCCTTGATCGTCAATGATTCACATGATAATTTGATGCCCAATCCCATCCGAATTTTTCATCCAATCGGAAGCACGGCATCACGGAATCCGATTTCCGAAGCCGAAGGGATCCAACGGGACCTTGCATCAGGCTAATATTCGGGTATTATCAGATCGCAATTCCTGTATGATGGTCATTGGGATTCCCTTGATACTTGATCTTCAGACCTCAAAACCCATGCCTCAACTTGTGGATGTTCGACTAAGCTTTGTAGATCATGATCACCTTACATGCATACGACGTCATGTCATGCATATGCTCTCCTTGCTGACGTGGGTTTGGACTACGTAGTATGGCTTTTATTTTGGGAATTGCAAAATTGCGGTAAAATGAAAATTGAAATCATGGCGCTCTCATGATGCTAAATTGAATATGCGTTTGTCTTTATATACTTATTTACCGAACACCTTGAAGCGGTCCTCAATAGGAGCGAAGACCTTCTCACCAGGCTCAGAGTTAGGAACACCAAAGACCAGCTGGGCGTCCAACTTCCATGAGGCCGGGATGTTCCAGGTCTTGGCAACCTGCTCATCGATCAGAGGGCTGTAGTGCTGAAGGTTGGCGCCGAAGCCCTCGGACTGAAGGGCAGTCCAGACTGGGTGATAGTTAGTTTTAAAACGCTTTTTTTTTTTTCAAAAGCCGAAGGAGAAAAGCACATACCAAGGTACTGAGACATAGCATTTGACTCCAGGGCGAAGGGGTCGAACTTATCAGCGTAGATCGCGAATTTCTCCTTAATAGGAGCGAGCGACTCATAGTCGACAAAGAAAAGGACCTAGATTAATGAGTAAGCTAAAATTCGTCATTTGCTCGCACAATGGTGTCATATTGGGGAAGGTAAACGAACGGTTCCATAGGCAGCACGGAAAGCATTGAGCTTAGGCTTGGTGGAAGTCTCGAACATATCCTGGGAGACGTGTCCAGCAGCGACCAAGCCCTCCATGATCTTAATGGCGATATCCCACACCTTCTGGTGCTCCTCCTTCAGCAGGAGGACAACACGTGAGGTCTGAGTGTTGAAGGAGCTGGGAACATGGAGAACGGAGTCCTGAACAATACGCTCAATGACATCGTCAGAGACGGGGCTCTCGCCCTTGAGGTCGTAGTATGTGCGACGAGCCTTGACCAACTCCAGAAGAGTGGAGGTAGCCGGGTTCTTGAATTCGGGTTGAGTGGAGCCCATTGTGAAAGTTTTGAACGGGGAATTGATTAATAGCGGAGTGAAGTGGTATAGTGTGATTCCAAGAAGGAGAAATAACAGGTGAATGGGGATAGAGGATTTATACATGTTGATTGCGAATCCATAAAGCGTGCCGAGGGTGGGATTACAAAAATCTTTTTCTATCTATGGCTTTCTCTAGGGGAATAAGTCCCCATACAGCCAATCACCGTGCAACATCAGAACGGAATGGCCCCAGAGGCCGTCTCCATAGTGTATAAGCACGGTGATTTGATGAGAAATAATTTATCAGCTATGGCATTATTATCAATGTGTTACCAATCATTTTATACTAGATATTTATAGTGCGGAATTTATTCCTACAATATAAATAGAAACCCATCCATGGATCAAATGCTTGAATTCGAACTATTTTGTTCCTAAAATCAATGATCCTATCTCACCATAGGTTCCCCTTTTGATGGCTAATATCGAAGTGGAAAATCCCATTTTAGTCAAAATAACCCATCCAATCCCTATTCGAAGGGCATATCGCGCATGACAACTCAAGTTCAAATCCAGAACATAGCGCCGGCAATAACTCCACACAATGCCACAGGAGCAGCGGTCTTGACTGCGTCATTTTTCGTCTCCAACGGGACGGTGACAGTGGCACGAGCAGTCTGATTTTGTCTGCAATCGCATTCACAGTGACACGGAATGGAGCTGGCCAGAACAGTGACAGTCACTGTCGCGCCATGATTATTAGCTGGCGAAGTTCCATTCCCAAAATAAGTTGGGACGCCAGTTGTTATAGCTGTCGAGTTCAGCAACCCAGATGAGGGAGGTGGGGTTGGAAGTACCTGGTTACCAGTTGGAGTCAAAGGCGCAGTAGTCAAGATTGCATCGCCAGTTGAAACATCGGAATTGGCAGAGGCTGTAGTTTCAGTGGCGGTAGGCGCAGGGAAATCTCCAGTATCGGTCACGATCAAGGTTGCTGGGAAAACCCCGAGAGTGGAATCGGCACCCGTGGCTGGAACAAGCACTGTGGCCGAGTCGATAGCACTATTTTCATGCGAGGACTTCGTTTCTGTGCAGGATGCGCGTGTGGGTGCTGGAGACCCCATGAGAGTGCAACCCGAGGTAAAATCGAATTTGTAGCCATTGGCAACCATGTCGTATGCTATATCCACAGTCAACATAATGTCCTGTTTGGGGGCTGCTATCTTGTAACTTACTGCTAGGTCCATAGATAACGGTCAGATCTGGAGTAAATCTGTGGCAAGCCGTTCTGTCCGAGAGACAGTTGATTCCATAGGTTGTTGTCGCGTCTTTCTGCGTTGGTTGTTAGTAATGAATCGCGGGAAATGCTGAGAAGATACGTACAGCGCCAATGGCCTTGGCCCCATAACCCTGGAAGTAATCAGGAGCATCAGTAACCCACGGGATTGTCTATATATTGTCAGTTCCTCTGTATATCATTCTTTGGGGAGGTAAACAAACAATTGTCGCGTCCTGCTGGGCAAACCCGAGAGAAACCCAGCATAGCTGGATCACCAACGCGAGAAGATATCTGAATAGCATTTTGTAAATTGCTAACGATATGCCGAGGCGCGTTTCTTGAAGAGGATAATTATCAAGAGAAGAAATTCTCGACGCGCGAGGTTTTAAACCGAAAAGCCATGTAAATCCAAAACAATGTATAAACAATGGAGCAATGCAAATGGAAGGAACAATGGGCAATAGGAAAATAATTGGAAGGAGCGAACCACATCCTGACGCCTGACCAGTAAGGCGAATATATTTCCCAGTTTGGTATATACAAAATTCCAGGAAAGCGCTCTTAATATTACTTTCGCCCATGCTGCACCGCCCATTCCTGTTTCACTGAAATCCCAGGACATACATTATGCTTCCGATCTATAGCCGGGATTGGCTCTGTTTCAAGAGAAGTTTTGCCCCCGCAACATTGCTTTCTCATGTCTGTGAACTTCACAACTGCGACGCCAACCTCGTGCTTTGGGCCAACTGGCCGCAAACAAAGCTCACTCGAGTCATCCTTGAGCGGCTGAAACTCGCTATCGTCGGTAGACCTCGATCTTTTAGACGCGGATGAAGACCTATCCGACGGGCAAGCTGTCACTTCAGGTGTGTATGTTGAACGCCCAAGGAGAGGGCGCATCATAGGGACCGAAGCGAGGATGACAGCGAGACAGGGTTCTAGACCGCTGAAGATGTTGGCACGGGGAATCGAGTAGGTGATGTCGGCAAAGTTCATTGTCGACAGTATGGAGATGCGCATAATGCTGATGACGCACGTTCTATATTCCAGGTTAGTCAAGATTTTCACACGTTTCTTCCATTGGTTGTGGTGCAAATCTTACACTGCCCCCAAACCGAAGATAGCGATGAATGTCGCTTTCTTATACCTGGCCATTTGCAATTTATACAGAAGCGGCATAGGTGTGACCAACACAACCACATCGGTAACAAGATTTACAACCCCCGTCACCGTGAATGAGGTGACCTGGTCTCCACACGATCCCCCAGGAATTGTCTGGTCCCAGTTAAAGGCAAAAGGCCGACAGATCATACAGCCAGCCAGTATTGTGCCGATAGTCCAAGCTAAGATCACAACAATTGTTGTCGTGGAAATCCGCACGACCCAGGTGACAGGGAAGATGCGAAGATATAGCAACAAGATGGAGATTTTTGTACAGCTGAGACTCAGAACCCAGAGAAATTGCAATGGAATGATCAGTTGGAGGAGTTTGGTGATAGGCTCCATTCCATATACACCAACAATTGCTGGGACATGGTCATAACCGATGCCCGCTTGTATCACACCTGTGATGCTGACGGACTGGAGGCCGACGGCGAATATCTGTAATTATTAGCATGGTTGAGATTATTTGACTTGGGGGCAAATGCTCACTCCGGCAGCAATTATGAAATAGTCACTCAGGATCAATTTTTTGTGCGCAATATGGTGAGATAACAGTCGCAGACATACTGCGATTATAGACAGTATGGAAAAAGCGATAGCCACTCCTAGCACCTGCCTTTGAGCTGGCTTCTCTATAGGAAAAATAACAGCCATCTCCCATGTTCGCAGACAAAATCAATCGAGCAAAATAAATCTGGAGAATCTGGAGAAAGATAAAAACGTAATGCAAGCTAGTCAAGCTAGTAGGGATGTGAGACCTTGAAGGATTTAGGTCCAGGGGCGATTTACCTCTTTCGGAGTAGTTCCGGTATACTTCCTTTCGGCATCAAATAATCTACATGGAAATAGTATATATTAAGAGCCATCGTAAAGAAACTTAGATTAAAGAATAAAATAACACTGGGTAAATATATCCAAATTAACGACAATGTCATGTTTACTCAGTAAAAAAACAATCGCATTGTTCGGCTGAAGACCCTCATTGGAGTGCCAAGTGTCGCTTATGCACGAAGGAGACCGTTTTTAGCCCGTCTATTTTAGCGCATTTTCATCCTGACAGGACTAGCAAAAGAAATATTGAGCTTGGCGCGGGATTGCGCATAAAACTTTGTTCAAATATGAAACAAACATGGATGTTCTCTCCACCATTTCCATAATATGGCTTCCACTCCTATTGTGGTCGCAATAGGTTTGTTGACACTTCTCTATATTGTCATCGGAAGAAAGAAGGAAAAGAAACTTCTCAAGCTACCCTTAATTGGCGACCTCCATGGCTCCCCAATTGACAAACCACTCTTAAACTGGGACGAATGGGCGAGGGAAAATGGCCCCATTGCAGTACCCAAGCTCTTTGGGCTCATACCGATCGTGGTGTTAAATTCATATGAGGCTGTCACTGAATTGTTCAGTCGACGCAGCCAGTGGTACAGCAACCGTCCACCCTCCGTCAGCATGGAAATGATCACAGGAGCTGAACCTGGACAGTCCAAGTTCACTCTGATGCACGACTACGACGATCACCTCAAATTTCACCACCGCATTTTGGCCCCGAGTCTTGGCGCTCTGGCCGCCCCACAGTACCACCCCCTGATGGAGCTGGAGTGCAAACAGCTATTATTTGATCTCTCAACTGCGGCTAGACAAGCCGACGGAATCAGTACAGAGACAGTTTATCCGCTGTTTGAGCGCACTCAATCGAGTGTGATCCTTGCTCTGCATTATGGCCTGCGCATCCCAAGCTTTGAAGAACATATATTGCATGAGATCATCGATATCCAGACTCAAGTAACCCACCTCGCTGCAAACCCTGGTCTTCCAGATATCATCCCGCCTCTGCGCCACCTGCCAGCATTTTTGTCACCATGGAGGCGAGCAGCGGACAAGCTGTACGCCGCGCAGGTGGACCTGTACATGCGTCTCTTCCGACATGGGAGGGACTCGGCAGGATGGAACTCCACCAAGCAAGCAATCTCTACAGCTAAGAAGTACTCTGAAGACGGTGTTCCGGACCTCGACCTCGCTTTTACTCTTGCAACATCCATCCAGGGAGGTATGGAAACTTCACCGCGGCAGATGTTGTGGTTGTTCGTCGCAGCACTGCACCAACCGTCCTTCATGGCGCGCGCACATGCCTTACTTGACGAGGTTGTCGGTCGTGACCGCCTCCCTCGGTTTTCGGAACGTTCGCAGCTTGCTTTCGTTGATGCTATTATGCATGAGCTTTTCCGTTGGCGGCCTATTTCACCAGGATCCATTCCTCGTAGGGCGGATCGGGACGACGAGTTTAATGGCGTCAAGATCAAAAAGGGTGTTACTCTCATGGCAAATGCGTGGGCCATTGGTCGAGACGAGAAGGTCTTTGATCCCGCGCTTGGAGATACCCAGGACTTTGTGCCTGAGCGGTGGCTCCGGCGTGATGATGGCGGGGAGGAAACTCTGCGAACAGACCTTCCGTTGCCGGTGTTTGGACAAGGTCGCCGCATCTGCCAAGGAAAGAGGGTTGCTACGGATGGATCTTTCTTGCAGGTTGCTTCTCTATTGTGGGCGTTTGATATCGAGCTCGCTGATGGGGAAGAAGTGGATCCTTGGGCGATGATCGTGACAGGGTTCATGACAACACCGAGGGAGGTCAAATTCAAACTCCGGCCCAGGGGGGATTGGGTGGTCGATGTTATTAATAAAGAGTGGGAGACGGCTGAGAAAAGTCTCAGAAATGTGATGGGGGCTGATGTTGATGTTGAAAATAGATGATAGGATGGACATACTCATAGTTTACCCAAGAGCTAAGCAAGACGAGGACTATAATTTTATTAATTATATGCCAACAGGAATAGTCAGCCGTATGAGCGGCCGTGTGATGTCTCCTCAGTAGTCTTTTCAGTAGTCTTTCCAGTGGTATGTTTAGTAGTCTTCTGGAATATTCTGTTTAGAAGGGTCGTCGACAAAAAAGGCGAAGAAAGGCTTGATTTGTGCAGACGACTCTTAAGGATAACCTTTAGTCTTTAGCTTTAGTTCGCGTTCACCTTATCTCTCACTTCGTACCATATCCCACTAGTATGTTCCTGCGATTCTGAGACTTCTTCAACTCGACAATTCTTTTTTTTTTAACTTTTCTCAGCCCTGAGATTTTTCTACTACAATATATATATCTTTCATCTTGATCATGCCAAACCCGGCCAATTCTTCCATCAAAATCATAATCAGAAAGCTCTGAGCGCGTTCGAATCACGAGCCACATGCTAGGAATTGGAGACATACCTCGGCATAGTTTCCTCTTTCCGCTCATATATCGACCACTTCACTGCAAAGGCAGACCCCCTCCAACAACGGGAGAAACAGCTCTTGTAGCCGAGCCTAACTGTAACCTCCCTCCGGCAACAGTACGCCGGGAAGATAATCCTATAGAGCCCCAGGGATGCTTTTCTCGGGGAAGTGGCGCTTCAGATGGCGCAGCGATTGCGATCGGAGGATGCCGATACTGTTTACCAAAGCCACAGTCCAAAAGTGAGAAAGGCAAACCTCACGATGATGCCCATCGAGCCATACGAGCACTTTATCATTCCGTGGAACCGTTCCTGAGGAAGTTTATACTAGGGAGACTGGAGCACGTCATGGCAATGAAGAGAGCATACCCCGAGAAGGCCTCCACGAAGCCATACAGGTTTAAGGCACCCCCGCCGGACCTGAAACCATGTGATGAAGGGCTCACACGAAAAGAAAAAGATCCGCGAAAATGGCTGAATCAAAGCGCAGAGGTTCTCTGTTGCCAGATTTCGGAGAGAAACTTGTGTCATTTTGCGAGATTATTCCAACAGATGCATCGGGAAATCGATGTACGAATCTTTGAAGCTACGCAATTAGGCTCAAATGGCCTTCGTTCTCGAAGTCGATACTGACTTGTCCAAAAAGCACTATCTGCGCCATAAAGTGACAAGCAGCATTCTGGGGTCACGCCAAACCCTTCCATATGGATCTGAGTGATAAACGGCTAATCCGGTATATCAGTGAGGTCTGCTTGTCAGCCAACATATCAGACACAAACCCATCGTTTTCTGGGCGTATGGCCTCTGTTTATACTAGTTTAAGTAGACTACGTATTACGGCCAACACACGAAGGTAGCGTACGCCGCAGCCAAGCTCCATCGTCGGGCTATCTACAATGCCATCTTGCTCGTACACTTGATCTTGAACACACAACAGATTGCCGACCTATACTACAACAATGATCGAGTCAGGATCCGATGGTTGCGAACTCTAAGGATATCAATGACCTCCAGCCCCCAATAGCGAGTTGGCAACACCAAAACCTCATGTTGTTTGTGTCCAGATAGAAAGTTTGCTACTGTTTCTTCTCTCCCTGCATCTTCCAGAGAGCCTCATATTCCATAGTAGACCCGTAGAGTTCTGTATCCTGCCAAATGAGTACCAAACGTACCGGATGTCTTAACTTCTACAACTTATAGGCCTGTGTACTAGATGAAGTACCGAGGAGAAATATATTATGCAAATAGCGAGAAGGGCCAGAACCACTGGCTTCTCAGAGTTGATACCTACAGACCCGACATCCCAATCGACATCTAAAACATATCAGACGGGATCATGAACAGCATAATTATGAATCAAGGCGCTCATTTTGCACTGAACAGTCTTGCGACAACAGAAATGGTTTAGCGAAGTTCTCATGCAGTTTATAGTGCAGCTAAATGAATTGCTGCATCTGGGCACCGAATTGCAGTTTGATTGGCTGGCAAAGCATCCCCTTGGGGGTGTCTCCACCGACTATCGGGGCCAAAAGGCCAAAAAGACAGTGAGTGCCGGTATGGGTTTACTAAAATATTTAGTGTATTATTTAGTGGAGTTTGTTCGTTCTACTCCTGATCGGCAATCTAACAATATGAGACCTTTTTTACAATACCGAAATCCCAACGGCATTTAGCTCAATTGTTGGAACTTATAATAATAGGAAATGCCCCGGAATGCTACTCCCGGGTGAAGTAGTAGAAATCCAAGTAAACACTCACACATTACTCCACCATGCATATTACTCCCGCTGTTGCAGCCCTGAGCATTGGTGCCTTGTCAACAGCTGCCCATGCCGCCAGCTCCAAGACTTGCGTTAGTTATTTCAAGATGCCACTCAATATACGCATATCAACTGACCGAGTTTGCAACAAATAGTGCTCAGCTTTGGAGGCCACTACCCTAAAGAGCCAGGTCGTTTATCCCGGTAACCCTGCTTACAAGGAATCCATTGGCTCTTACTGGGCTGTGAATGTTCAGCTTGAGCCAACCTGTATTTTGCAGCCACGCACTGCTAAAGAGGTTTCTCTCGCCGTCTCTACGCTCGTTACCGCTGATGGTGGATCTTGCAAATTTGCTGTTCGCGGTGGTGGCCATACCACCTGGGCGGGAGCGAACAACATCGCCGATGGTGTGACAATTGATCTGTCATTGATGGACACCACCACTTACAACAAAGAAGCTGGTACTGCTTCTATTCTTCCTGGAGCCCGCTGGGGAGGTGTCTACGAGACTCTAGCAAAACACGATGTGACAGTTCCAGGTGGCCGCTCTGGAGTTGTTGGTGTTGCTGGATTCTTGCTTGGCGGTAAGTTACGATTAAACATTGCATCCGTATTGAAAGGTCGCTGAGTAGGCGTTTTACCATAGGTGGAAATACTTTCCACACTGCGCGTGTTGGTTTTGCTTGCGACAACGTCGAGAACTACGAGGTTGTGCTGGCCAATGGAACTATCATTGAAGTTAACAAGGATGCCCACGCGGATCTCTTCAAAGCTCTGAAAGGTGGATCCGGCAACTTCGGAATTGTCACTCGATATGATCTGAAGATTATCGAAGACGACAAGCTCTGGGGTGGAATTGTCACCTACGACAATAGCACTACCCTGCAACACCTTGAGGCTGGTCACGAGTTCATCAACAACCTCGAAAAGGACCAATACGCCTCGTGGATTGGTATGTGGGAGTATCTTTCTGTGACCGACCAAAATATGGTTGCCAATGCTCTGGAGTATACCACTCCAGTCCCTTACCCTGCCGCTCTCGATAGCTTCACTGCTATTGCCAACACTAGCAGCTCAATGCGTGTTACGAACCTTTGGAACCTTACCGAGGAGCTCGGTCAGGCAGCTGGATACCGGTATGTGGTTCCCGACTTGCGCCGAAGATATGGTACTGACCAATTCCAGCGATGTTTTCGTAACTGCCTCATTTGTCAACAATCTCGATGTTATGAAGCGGACCGTCGATATCCACAACAGAATGATTGAGGAGGCCAAGGGAAGTGTGAAGGGCGATGACTACACTATGTTCACCATGATCCAGCCTTGGCCCAAACTGTTCACTGATCACAGCGTCGAGAAAGGCGGCAACATGCTGGGTCTTGACCGCTTCGAAGAGAACCTGTTCCGTGAGTACTTTTATAGTCAAAACTTTTCTCTCCGATGTCTAACAATCCCATGCAGAGGTCCTCTTTGACTACTCGTGGAAGGACGAGGCCGACGATGCTTTGTTCAACCAACTGGCCAATAAGGCTCTTGAAGAGTTGACCACCTACTCGAAGTCGATTGGAGCCGAAAATGAGTATATTTACCTCAACTACGCCAACAGCAACCAAGATCCCCTGTCTACCTACGGATCTGAGAATGTGGAGTACATCCGGGCTGTTGCTAAGAAGTACGACCAGACCGGTGTTTTCCAAACGCAGGTGCCGGGTGGATTCAAAATTAGCGCTGTGGGCAAGTGAGGGAGACAAACATCAACCTGGAGGTTGGGGTAAATCGAAAATCATGTTGTAATACTTTGTATACCCCTAATACATGTAACATACTACTACGTATACAAGGCGTAATATCTGCCTTGATTGAAGGGATCCACATCCCGTGTTTTCACTCTAATCCTTTTACTAGTTCAGCACATATGTGGTAGTCTATTCTGTCGATCATGCCAAGAAGCGCTAAAACATCGCTACGAAGTGCCGAAGGGTCTTGGGCGCAGTAGGGCGCCTGCAATAGAGAGATCCGAAATTGATATTGTGGAGCTTGTTCCACACTAAGAACCGATGGCGTACAAGCGGGTGGCAGTCTCATCGTATTACGTCCGGGATTTACGATCCGAGCCGTCATTTTGTAGGTCACGATCAGTCTAGGTTTTTCCCGAAGCAAGTAAAGAAGAAAAATACCATTAGGAACAGTTGAAATACCCGCAGGAACCAATGGCAGCGGAGATATCCGATAGCCAATCGTGTATTCGATGCACTATTAACAAATGGACAATGATATTCTCGTAGCCCCCAAATCGAGTCAGGCATATTGCACATGAGAGATAGCTCGTTTCAGGAGGATGGCTGCTTGGGCTTCAGCTCACGCTAAAAAAATGTGTCTCTCTCCCTTTTATCTTTGGTGACATGTGTTGCTGGTTGGGATCTCACTGCGTTCATTGATTTCGAAATGCCTCGTCATGTTGGTGTAGTTCCTCCTCCGCCGGGAGTCACACCAGACTTCGATTACTCGAATCCATGGCTTTATGAGGTCAATATGGTCTTGATCAGTGTTGGGTTGGTCTTCAGTTTTATATTTCTCGTCCTTCGGATATATACCAAAACGAAAATATTGCGCAAGTTCGGATGGGAGGATGGTAAGACACCTTTGCACAGAATATATTTGGGAAGGGTTTACTAACGTAGTCGAAACAGTGTTCATTGTGCTCGCCTGGGTAATATCTGACAGACATGAGATAGATCTCTGCTTACACATGAATGTATAGATATTTTCGCTTGGGACGCAAATAACTTCTATCTGTATGTGCTGCTTCATCGATGATGTTATTTAGATTTTGCTAACAATTCTCACCAGATGGATACCAACATAGCGGCGTTGGAATTCATATGTGGAATGTCACTGAAGAGATGTTCGCCACATATCAGAAGGTACAACCCTAGAGTCCATCTCCGAGACGTTGTAACTAACTTGCTTATAGGTCATCCTCGCCGCCGCCGTCGTATATGTCCCCGCCCTCGCCTTCGCGAAAATGAGTCTCGTCTTCCTCTACCGTCGTATCATGGAAAAACAGCTCGCTTACACTTGGGCACTACACATCATCACTGCAGTCGTATGCGGCTACAGTCTGGCCCTTATATTTGCGTTGATTTTCGCATGCAATCCCATCGCCATGACCTGGGATTTAAGTATCACAGATGGAAGTTGCATCAGCCGCGAGGGCTTGTATATCGCAACCGCCGTGACGAATATCGTCACAGACTTGGCATTGATATTACTCCCCATTCCTCTGGTAGTAGGACTTCAGATGCCGGGAATTCAAAAGTGCTACCTTATCGTGGTCTTCGTTGTTGGTTGCGCGTAGGTCGTTCACCATGTGACATTGCTTTAGCCGCTGACCATTCTAGAACTGTCGTGACCAGCATACTCCGTCTAGCAACATTAGTTCCCTTCCTCACTACGTCGGATATCACTCACGATCTGGCTTGGCCACAGCTCTGGATGTATGTGGATCTCTGCAGTTCGACGGTACGAAGTACTTTGGACTAACGAGGCTTTTTCTAGTAACGTGGAAGCAAATCTCATCGTCATCTGCCCTTGCCTCCCCTCTCTACGGCAGTTTATGAGACATCATGCTCCCGGATGGATGGGTGAGGCAGGTAGCAGTGCACGCCGCTATTTCACGCCCAACTCGACAAGCGCTTCGCGCAACCGTTTCAAAACGACAGGGTCGCGTCAACCGGATGAGATTGCACTCACGGGAAACGGCGAGAGTATTGGTAGCCGCTCCCGTATTGTCAAGGAGGTCGCATGGAATGTGACGGAGGAGAGGATGGATGATGACTCCGATGGTTCTATCAAGCGAAAGCCTGCCAATTCGTTCGCATACGAGACATGATGATTTTTGGTGGATTTTAATTCTGCAGGTCATTCCCTTGGAGTATCCCGGGTATCTAGATGCATGTGAGTATGATGTACTTGTTCGTGGGGACTGCTTTTTTACGGTATCGAGTGATCGGCGTGGATGGGACGGTTTTCGATATTAATATTAATGCATCTAATGCATCATTTCTGACGAGAAAGCTAGAAAATGAAAAAACAGTTCATGTATCCATTTATACAAAGCGCCATGATCCGCACGCAAGGCTTTGAGAGTCCTCTACTCCGTCACCCCTAATTGATCCAACAGGTCCGCTTGAATGTCGCGTAAAAACTCCGCCATCTGCTCCGGGGTGTGGAAGGCCTCGTTACACACTAGCCGTAGTGTCAACTGATCACGAAACGTCCACACAAAAACCACACCTTGTCGTGAAATTATCTCCACGCCTACTCCAGCATGCGTGATGCTAAACCCGCGCTCCGGGGTTCCATACTCGCGCTCCAAATACTTCTCCATGATCCCCATGCTGCTAATATCTATATCGCTAGGCGGCTCTGTCGGTGTCGGCAAGGTCTTCATCACCTCGACCAAAGTAGACGCATACTCCCGGTGCGCCTGGAGATACTCGCTGCTGATGCCCTTCTCATACTCCTTCTGATAAATGCGGGCATTCTCCTCCCAAGTCCCGGAGGGGTCGACCCGCACCAACCAGCCGGACGTGTATAGCCCGGCTGCCGCTGCGGGTGTCGAGTATGGTTCGGGCAGATAAGGTCGCAGCGATTGTTTGATCGTACTGGTGTAGTGTCGGCCCTGGTGTTCCGCGATCGCGTGCCGGAAGTTGGCTGCGGCTAGACTAGCATGCACGGCGGCTGTGATTCCGACCCCGCGTGCTTTTGCGGCGGACACAGCGGCGGACGTTGTGGCGGGTGAGAACTTGAGCTCGGAGGCCCGCGTACCGGAGGGCACGCTCGTGATATCTCCAGTATAGGGCACCCCGAGGGCGCCGGTGGCTAGGGCAAAGGTGCCAACTGCCCCGTGGGCGACAGCCTTCTCCTCATCGGTTGCGGTGAGTGGCATGTTGCCTGCCTCCTCGACCGGGGGCGTCAGGCGTGCAACCTCCGATCCCCAATTGAAGGCATCGAACGGGTCTGGCAGCTTTCCTGACAGGTAGTTGTCGGCATGTGAGACCATGAGGTTCACTAGTTGGCCGAGGAGGAGCAGGCCGCCGACTCCATCCATGCGCCAGTGTGCGGTGTGCAGGAGCAGCTCACACGATTGGGTGATATAGTACAGTCGGGCATCCGCAGCTGGTGCAATGGTGGCAATAACCTCGTCGGCGGACCGAGCATCGGCCTCCACGGTGAAGGTCTGCGAGGCCCATTCGCTAAGAGCATCGGCAGACTCAGGAACCGTGTAGACGACGTTGGAGTTGGGGTCTGGATGGGCAGCTAGACTGGGGTGCTGGAAGCGCAGATGCAACCAACTGTAGCGGATGAGGCTTGGTAGAAGGTCGGGGAAGCCGGACAAAGCCGCGAATGCCCCACGAGGACTAATGGTCGCCGTGTAATTGATGGCCCAGTGTTCACGACCGAACGCGTGGCCTGGATCACTGACCAGCTTGATGAACACCTCGTTGGGCCCCAGGGGACGCTTGAAGGTGTTCGGCGAGTGTTCGGATGTCGTCCACTGCATGTCGAGGCGAGAGTGGTTGCTGTTCGATGCTGGACTGTTGGCAACGTAGTGGATCTGATAGCGATGAAAGATTAATTCGCTGCAAGAACCGCGTCACATCTCTGAGCAAAAATACCCCGATGACGGATTAGGGTGGAGATACGTCGACCGTGAGAAAATAAGCATCATTATTGGATATCGTGACAGCCGCGGAAGACCAAGCGTGAGGGCCGGTTGATAATTGGGGGCCATACAGGGGGCTAGTGGCACGATGTAACCTGGATAGAGAGCTTACCCTCATTTAGCGTTAGCTCCCATTTCATCGGTCGATCATTAAAAAAAGAACGACGAACGCAAGTCCACTATCAAGTCGCCCTTGTTGATGCCAATACCTGGCTGGCGGTCGTTCAATATATATAGTAGCATGTAGCCTTTTTTGATGCTATTCATCTTCTCGCTTTTAGGGTTACACAGTGAAGAAAAAAGTGATCCATAATCTCTAAGTGGCATTGAGAACATTAAAAGTCTAGGCCTGAAACGATCTATCTATATACAAAACCGAAAGGCCTAAGCCTTGAGTGTATACACAACACGTCCACGCGAGTCTGTACCCTTGAGGACGATCTCATCCCCAGTACTCGAGACAACGCGGCGCTGATCACCGTTATGCAATATAATATCCACATCCTTCCAAGCCGGAGTAAAGCCAGCCTGATCACGCTCAAACTTAACAAGAACCTTCTCCTCAGTAGAACTATAGCTAATAGTGTACGCGGCAGTACCGGGTTGGACCGAAATGCCATCGTCTTCGTACCAAGTTGTAGAGAAGACCGTACCGTGCGAAGTACCCTTGGGCGGGAACACTTCCACACCACGGTAATCATCGATTTCCTGAACGGCCACTGACGCAGCCGTCTCATCACCAGGAACGCGGGTGTGCACGCTCTTGCCAACGGGAATGGCACCACCGACACGCGCAATGAGCGGAATGCTCTTCTGCCATTCTGAAGAGATCTCGGCCCACTGCCCGGATGCGAGGTACTGATACGGAGCGTTCATGTTGACATAGCCATAATCGAAGGCGCCGGACTTACGCGGCAGGTAGACCTTCGCGACGTCGATGCCAGCCTTGTAAACGCCACCAACGAGCATAGTCTCACCGAACCAGAACTGTTCCTCGCCTGCCTTGAGTGTTTTGGTCCACACCTCCGGGTCAGACTCGTATCCCCAACCGGTCCAGTGCTGCGGCGGTGTTGCAGATTTGTGGCTCTCTAGACCGAGAGAGTAGATATAGGGCAGCATCTCGTAGCGGCGTTTAATGGCGGCGCGGACATGGGGGGTGATCTCCGGGTACATGAAAGGCTCGATGACATCGCCGACGGAGGAGTCCTTGGGAGACGTCTTGAAGCAGTTGATTGCAAAGCGGGGAGCGTGGCAGCCAAGCTGGATCCAGCGGAGGAGGAGTTCTGGGGAGGGCTGGGGGCCTTCGAATCCGCCGATGTCGTGGCCTTCGCATTGAAGAAGGGACATACCGGCGTTGAGAGACAGGGCATTGGCTCCCTTCATGTTCTCCCAACTGGTGACGTTGTCGCCACTCCAAGAGGATGCAGCGTAGCGAAGAGTTCCAGCGGTAGCGCTGCGGGTCAAGACGAAGGGGCGCAGCTTGGGCTCCATGTCTTGCAGGGCATCGTGGGAAGATTTACCCATCAGCTCGGTGTGGAGGGCACGACCCCAGAGACCGACGGAGTTTTTGACGTTCTTTGCTGCGGCGTCGGCGACGGTAGGCTCATTAAGAGCCATGGTCCAGTCGTCATCGGGTAGGGTATATTCATTGTTGTCGTTCCACATACCGTCAATGCCAATCTTTTTGAGACTCTGGACGCCATCGTACCACCACTTGAAGGCCTCTGCTGAGGTGAAGTCAATGTGAGCACCGTCACCTCCAGTCGCACCGCCAGCACTCCACAGACGCATGTACCCAGGCTCCTTTTCCTCATCCTTGAAGAAGCCACCGGCATCAACGAGCTTCTGGAAGTCGGGATGAGAAGCAAGCAGGAAGGGCTTGATGTTGGTGAGAAGTCGGATACCGTACTGGTGCATCTTGGTAATCCAGTCCTCGGGATCCGGGAACCGCTCCCGGTTCCATGTGAAGACATTGCGAACCTTGGGCTCGGTCGCTGCAACTGAATAACCAGAACTCATTTGGTGAGCCGAGCAGGGAATGCCATGATGCTTGAGCTTCTCCGCAAACTCCAGGAGAGCCAAATGGGCCTTTTGCGGCTCATCTAGCATAGTGTACTTGTAACCTCCGGAGATATAGCCGTAAGCCCAGCGGGGTACCAAAATGGGGAAGCCAACCAATTCGGCATAGGATCGGACAACATCCTTGATGGTTCTGCCAACAATGTAGTATTGCTCGAGTCCACCATAGTCCTGTCGGTATACCTTGAAGTGTCCCCAGAGACCATCGATCTCGGCTCCTACAGACCACAGACCGCGGCCATGGGTGGTCGAGAAGATGGCAACACATCCCTCGGCAGAAGCCTTGATCAGAAGCGGGATATGCTTGTAGAGCGGATCGGTGTTGTATACATCATATCCAAAAGAGTCGGTGGCCGAGAGTTGGAATTGGCGACCACTTAAATCCATAGGAGCCGCCTTCTCGCCAAGTCCGACATGGAGACATTCGCGGTCATGCACGGAGTAGTTGGCGACACCCTCTCCGTCTGCAACATAAGACCTCAGTGGCAAATCCTCGTGCAAAGGCTTCTCAGAACCAGTCCATGACAGTTTGACCACAGGTGAGTGTTTCCAGTCTACCGAAGCAGTGACACCAGCGACATCCATTACCTTGGAGGATGCATCCTCCTTGGTCAAGACATTGGCGCCCTGGAGGTTGGTCTCGGGCTTGGTGACACTGGGATAGGGAGGGATAGGGTGGTCTGTGGAGGAAAAGGTGGCTCGGAATAGGTTGGGACGAACAGCTTCAAAGGTGAAATCGAAGGCACTTTTGCTCTTTGTGCTGCTTCGAATGTGAACAAAAGCGTCCTGATTGGTGGCCTGGGGCACTTGTGAGTAGCCCTTGGGGCAGCTTTCTTTTTGAGGCATGATGAATGTGGAAGATGATGCACTAGATCTGGATGAACTGGAGAGAATACCAGCATTTTCCCTGACATGGTGGCGTATTTGAATGGTTCTCGAGCGCCCCTCTGTTCCATCTTTCACCTACCCCGCGGTAATCCCAATGATGCATTGCAGTTGTGTAGAGTCGGAGATCGGGGATAATCACCGACAAGCGGAGACGCGAATGTTGTGAACGGACAAGTACCGAGATGATTTTGCCGTGAAACTCCGTGTTTTTCCCCACAAACAACATCCCGGGGCCCCAGACGTTCGATCCGACAATCCTACTGGCGCTAATTTTCTCTCGGTTTTGCTCACCGAAACCCGATGCTAACGATTCCTGGCACTTCTGAAGACTCCTCTTCTTTTCATTACCCTTCGCTGCCCCTCCGACGGCATTTGTCCCAGTTAAGTGATTGGATAAAACATCCCGACGTCGGCTGCGTGCAGCAAGGTGTCTTGCCATTTTGTTCCCGATCAACTGACCCCGTGGACTATACAAAGTTTCATCGCCAACTATGCCAAGCGCTAAAAAGGATAATCTACCATCTGTGGCTTTTACACTTCGGGTTTGGATCGTCTGGTCCGGGGAATGTAATATACTTCTTTCCCCACGGGGTTTCGCATAGCCGTTCTATATCCAACCCCTATTCCCTCTTCCACCTTTCAGCTTGATTCATTCTTTTCCTATATCTACCCAGTATTTTCGCTATCCTCCGGTGTGCCTCGGCAAGTGATCAGCTATGTCACAGCCAAAGGGTCAGCAGGAAGAGTTTGTGGAAACCATTGAGCCCGATCAGCCACGGGCTATCACTCCTAACGATACCAGTGGGAAAAGAAATAACCCCAAAGCAGATCAGGCTTTGCAGTTCATAGAAGAGGCAGGGCACTCAAACATTCTGACCCCAGAGAATAACGCCAAGGTTCTTCGAAAGATCGATTTGCGTCTCCTTCCCATTCTTCTCGGAATCTACTTCCTCCAGCAGCTCGACAAGTCAACTATCTCGTATGCGTCAGTCTTTGGAATCGTCGAGAAAGCCAATCTCCATGGCCAACAGTACTCCTGGTTAGGGGGTTCGATCTATCTGGCTCAGCTGGTATTTCAACCCCTGGTCGCCTACCTTCTAGTCAAAGTACCTCTGGGAAAATTTCTGGCTGCATCCTGCCTTTTATGGGGTATTGCTTTAACGTGCATGACTGCAGCGAAAACATTCGGTGAACTTCTTGCTTGCCGATTGTTTCTTGGTATTTTTGAGGCTGGGATTGGTTCGTTATCTCCCAGCCAAACTTTATTGTCCCTTCTAACGATGCGGTTTACCAGCACCGGCCTTCATTGCAATCACTCAAATGTGGTATCGGCGTCGTGAGCAGCCTGTGAGGCTGAGCTCTTGGTATGCGATGAACGGAGTCGTGAATATGGTGGGTTCTTCCCCGTATCATTTTCTTGACACTTGCATTAACATGAAGAAAAGTTTGGAAGCCTGATTGCCTTTGGACTCGGTCATATAAAATCATCTATATTTGCACCCTATCAGGTGAGTTATCTCACATGATTGCCTGTCCGGTACTGGTATTTAACACCTACTAGATCATCTTCTTGTTCTTTGGTCTGGTGACTGTTGGGTTCGCTGCTGTTATCCTGTGAGATTTGACCTGTCTCCATTTCCATGTATTACGCTAACTCAGACTCGCATAGTATTTTCATGCCCGATTCCCCCGTATCGGCCAAATTCCTTGGAGAGGAGGACAAACTGTTATCCATTGAAAGACAACGAATGAACCAACAGGGTGTCGAGAACCATGAGTGGAAATGGGACCATGCAAAGGAAGCATTCCTTGACCCCAAGTCATGGTTCTGGTTTGCATTAATGTTTTCTATTTCGTGAGTTGGCCCTGACGGACACCATACTAAAGCTGCTAACCAAGGTTCAGTGTTCCAAGCGGAGGTATTACTACTTTTGGGCCGTTGATTATCAAGTCCTTTGGCCTCAGTGAATATGATACCATGCTCTTCAATATTCCCTTCGGTGCAGTTCAGCTTGTTGCCACAATGGGGAGTGCTTGGCTAGCGACAGTTTGGAAAATGAAGGGCCCCGTCTTGGCATTGCTTTGTCTCCCACCCATCGCAGGCTGTGTGATGCTATTGGAGATTGCCCATGACAATTCCCACAAGGGACCTCTACTTGCTGGATACTATATTGTAAGTGCTGGATCGAAGCCAACGTCATTATGGCAGGAATGCTAATTTCGTTACTCAGATCTCTGTGTACCCAGCCATCAGTAAGCGCTTACATAGTTCCAAGGTTTTCGAGCTTGGGTCCGACTGACCATCTCTAGCCCCGTTGATATACTCTTGGTCTGCAGCAAATACAGCCGGAGAGACAAAGAAGAAGGTCACTACCGCTATCTTGTATGTCGGACAGTGCGCTGGTAATGTATGTAGCACTCTACACCCATACCAGATTTCGTTTTGACATTATTCCCACCCAGGTCCTTGGTCCCAACCTTTATACCACAAATGAAGCACCGCTTTACCGTCGCGGTCTACTTTCAAAGTAAGTTACAGACACAATCTTTTGAGCGTCACTTACCTAACACCTCTAGCCTCGCGATGTTTTGCGTCCTGATAGGTCTCACCGGGTAGGGTGCACCAAATTCCAACTAATTTATATTTTGCTAATTGTGAATCCTAGGGCAAACATTGCATATATGTACTTCTTAAACAAGAATCATGAGAAGAAACGTGTAGCCCTCGGCAAGGAAGCTAAGATTGTAGACCAGTCGATGCAAACCATCCAAGCCGTCTCTGACGATGCTAAAGAAGACCTTCCTCAACGAGATGCAGATGATAATTCCTGGAAGGATCTGACCGATATAGAGAACGAGGACTTTGTCTATGTCTTCTGAGAGTTGGTCAGTTCAATTAGTCTGCGTTTTAGTGGGCAGTATTTCTGATTTTGCTTTATTTGATATGAGGCTATTGTATGAATCAAATGTAGCTCGGCGTATTATATTTACAATTGCTCTCTAAATATACCACCAGTCTTACAAACTGCTTAAAAACATATATTCTTTTTATTGCGACCAATTCCTTGTGGGACCTTGTTGGTTGTATTGCCGGCTCGGAGAAATAGCCGAACCCCGCGTTTCTCCAGGTTTTCTCCTTTCCGTCAACCCCGAGACCCATCAGCATAAACAGAAGACGGCTGGCTCTGCATGAACAATCAATCTAGCTACAGCCCGTGCAGCACGAGGATAGATGATGAATCCCTGCATCTTATTCCTGCGCCAGCAGGGAAAAAGCGCATTCCGGTATGTCGCTATTGAACCCACTGAGACCCAATAACAACCAAGCCCTAACTGTGTATGACGTCTTCGATGCATAGAAAGCCTGCAGTGCTTGTCGACAATCGAAGGTCTGTGCTCAATGCTTCCGTGCCAAAATGTTGTGGGGTTTTGGCTGATCGTCTAAAGGTGAAATGCGACGGAGAGAGGCCATGTACAAGGTATTTCATATCCCTTTACTGCAAATACACTTGGAGCCTAAAGGTCTGACACTGAGAAACTAGGTGTCAGAAGTTAGAAAAGCAATGCGTGTTCTTCGAAATACCAAAAGACCCCGTCTCAGAGTATGGTCTTGTCTTACATCGCTATAACCAAGACTAATGTCCCCTAGGCGGATCGAAGGCGTGGAGTCTGAGGTGCGATATCTCCGAAAACAGCTAGAAGAAATGCGAGAGTTGCTTAAACAGAGCCGCTCCCAGCCCAGCCCCAAATCTCAACCAATACACTCCTCAAGTCGCCCCTGTGATCGGCAACAGCAAGTACGTCGCGAGAGTGCGTGTGCATCCTCGGGCTCTCATTATTCTGATCCGCACCATCATCCCCAAGATGTGTTTTCCAGTGTACCTGTGCCAAGCTCAGCTGGTTACGCAAATGGTCACGATTACCAAAGATCTATCCCAGGATCCATACCAGCCCTCTCTCCGAATGAAAATTCGGCTCGGCCTACCTACGCGTCCAATCAGACCAATCCGATAATTACTAGGCCTCCGAAAAGAAAGCGTCCTGGGTTCGAAATTCGAGATGAGCCCATTACCGACTTCATTGATAAAGGGCTCATCACACTTGAATGTGCCGTGTCATATTTCAATACGTACGTCTGATCCATAATTTATTCAATGATCAGTGAATCTGGCTGACTGAAATTCTAGCTTCTTTGAGGGATGTGTATGTATTATCTCTCACTCACTCGCTTCAAATACTCATATTTCCACAAATCACACAGGACAGGTATATCCCAATCTTCGACCCCCAATATGACACTTTCGACTCCATTCGATCTCGAAGTAGTATCCTGCTTAATGCAATATGTGCAATTGGCTGCATGGTGGAGACCAGTAAATTACCTCCTCTTTTATGTTGATGTGCTATTCTATCATATTAATCTGCTCTTTCCAGGATCTGGAGGTTCTATGTCCGACCTTCTTCACGCCGAACTCAAGAGATGGATGAATGTCATAATCCAGAACAAAGAATTAAATTGCCTAGAGTCGGTTCAAGCAATGCTCGTAGTTGCTTGTTATTCCACAGAACGCTCATTAATCCTATCCTTTGCCACTCGCATGGCCATGGACCTGGAATTGCACGAGGCCTTTGAAGAATTGATACAGCGACTCGCCCTTCGGAATGAAGATATGGCTTATGCCTTGCCACATCAGATGTTTGCAGAGGAAAGGGCTCTTATCTGGAACGCTCGGACTTGGTTCGGGCTTTTGGTTCTCGAGCATATGTAAGATGGGTGTAATCCTTTACTGGGATTACTAGGCTAATTATACCTAATTTAGTTTTCGCGTTGATGGAGGAAAGCCACCTGGTATTCGACCTAAAGGTAATGTCCGCAGATGTCGGGTATTACTTAGCCATCCCTCATCGACCATTTTGGATTTACGGCTACTCTCCCAGGTCGAAGTACGTTGACTTCCTAAAATAGAGTTGAAGATATACTAATCCTTCCTGTTAGTTAAACATTCTCAGAGGTATATTCTGTTCAGCGAATTTAAATCGAACGCCTGATTGACTTTCTGTAGCAAATGTTGGCGACGCTTTAGGAGGAAACACATCGCTTGATGGGCAAAGCATCGCGGACTATGTTCATGATATGAAGATTGAACTGGATCTATGGTTCGAGTAAATTTCACTGTTTTCCCGTTCCTCAACAAGCCTGCTAACATCAGACAGTGACTGGCTACGTATTATCGGTACGACTCCCATTGGCGTAATGCGGTAAAAACTTGCTAATAATTCGAAGAAAGTTGTGTTGCCGCCGCCGAAGAGAAGCCATCTCTATTAGTCGCTCTCCGAGTACAGAAATGCTGGGCAGAAATGATGCTCAACTGCAAAGCATTACGATGCATGGGCGTCGAGAACGTAGCGTAAGTACTACTCGACATAACGTGCTTCCCTCTGTTAACACAGACAATAAGTGCCATGTCTACAACGGAAAGAACAATACTCCTCTCAGCCAAAGCAAGTGCCCGTCGACATCTCCGCCTTATCATTGCCGATCCAGACTTCTACCTCGCTAAGCTGAGATACGCAATGGACTTTGTCTGGGCAAAATGCGCGTTCTCTTTTCTGTTGCTTCTCAAGTTATCCCGGCTTATCCCCGAGCGCGACGAGGAGCATCAAGAGCTTCTGGAACAAGGTAATCGACTCGTCGATGAGCTTAGTAAAGCGGGAGCCAGTGGAACTCAGTCGGGATCTGGGAATATTTATCTCCAGATCTTGAAAGTCAGTATTGAGAAATATGGGCGTGCGTTGATGGAAACACAGCAACCGAACTCGGATGGCCCTACTGCTACGTCGCCATTCTGGGAGTTGTTTGATGCTCAGGCGGATCTTCAGTGGTTTGTCCCTGAGCAGTTTGTCTCCGAGTGGGACTTTCCAGGGCTTAATTTGTTTTATTTCCCTACTGCTTGGCAGGATTTCTTCGGTGATTTTTCGTTGGCTATGTAGTAGAAAATATATTTTAGATTCTCAATTGCCATGACTTATGGTCGAGGACTTCTGATCTTGAACTATCGTTTACTTCTCTAGTATTTAACAAGGGGTAAGGTATGAGAACCAAGGGGATAGAAAGAGTGATATATACTGTGTTGGTTCATTACAAGTATATATCACCAGAACTCGATGTTGGACAACCCAAATACGCGGTTACGATATTCTATCGTAGGCTAATATAGTGAATTATTTTTTCGCCAAACGAAGGAAATATATATAGTACATGTTCAAGTTATCTCACAACGAGTCACAATTTCCATTCACCCAAAGCCCATTGATGAGCAAGCCTTCCAACTCATCCACTTAGGAAATGTTTAGTAGACATAACGGAAAGAAGGATTCTCTTTATCAGTGAGCCCAGCCCACTTGTTCTCATCAGCAATGTTGTCATCAATGCGGCTCTCAGTCTGATCTCTGTGGCGGTTTTGCCACCTATAATAGCCAAAGAGCACGATGGATAGCACAGCCGCTGCAGCCTGTGTCGCGAGAACAGCTATCTTGGCGGGTTTATACTCAGGCGCATCGCGTGACTGGAATGTCTGTGGCCCAATGATATTTCCGACCGAGAAAGATCCAGCAACGAGTGCACTAGCAAATGCACGCTTGGTATGTCCAGCGCAGTTGGCCATGGTCCACTGGTATAGAATCGGAAGAGTAGCCACAATGGCGTTGACAAGATAGATACCGATCAGGACACCGGCTTTGTTGCTTTTGGGTAAGAAGGAAAGTACGGCGGCGCCGATAATCCCAGGAATTGTACAGAGCACATTCCATGCCCAGCGATTTGAAGTTGTCCGGATGCCAAAGCCGACGAGAAGTGTGAAAAAAATGCTAACAATGCCCGACGGGGTATTGAGTAAGGCTGAGATGGGACCCGAGAAGCCAAATCCAGCAATTAATGTTGAAGAATATGTCGTCACTACACCACTGGACACGGATATCTATGCAGGATTAGTCAATACAGCTGCAGGGGGTATTTCGAGCAAGGGATGAAATATGGAATGTGAGACACACCAAAATTGTTATCACAGTCAGGAGCCACAGCTGAATATCGCCGACGGCCTCCCAGATTTGCTTCAGGTTCAAAGTTGTACCCCATACCCCGGTCTTGTTCTCGCTGACGTGTTGGAGGAGGGCGACCTTTTCGTCCTCGGACAGCCAGGGTGCCTTCATCGGCGTGTCAGGGAGGAAGAAAAACGTCAGGCCGCCGACAAGAACTGTTACTAGTCCGAGAACAAGAAACATAATCCGCCAACCTTCTAGTGAAGCATGATGCACCTGCTGGAAGCCGAAGGATATGACACCTCCAATAATCTGGGCCACACCAAGACCCATATACCATATAGTAAACCGAGGAGCTTGTTCGCTTCTGGTGTAATACTGGCTACTGATAAGCATCAATGATGGGCCAACCGTCGCTTCAAAAATACCCAGGAAAATCCGGGCTGCCAGAAGGCTGCGATATCCTTGGGCGCCTGCGGAGGCGGCAGCCGCCACTCCCCAGAGGAGAACATTTCCCCCGAGCCATTTGGCAGGGGGCACTTTTTGTAAACAATATACTGTGGAACGAGACTTAGCATAATAATCCAACATAATTCTCTCAAGTCAAATCAAACCATTTGGTATCTCTGCGATCAAGTAGGCAATGAAAAACCATGTAGCGACGTTAGAAAAATCATTTCCGACAAGTGCCAGGTCTTTTTTGATTCCCATAACGGCCGCATACTATATACGTGCATAAATAATCCTTGCGTCAATAACATGGCACATGTGGCTGAATGGAAAGTTAAACGTACGTTCAGCATGACCTTGTCCAGGAATTGCAGTACATAGCAGCAGAACATATAAGGCATCAAACGTCGATCGATCTTACGACGGAGTGCACGCAGATTGACTTGAGAGTCGGGCGCCACATTCCCATGGTCATTGAGATACACCACGGCATCATCAAGGTCATCTGAAGGTTGTGCCACCACGTCGGGTTGTACTTGACCCATTGGGGAACAAATATAACGATCGTCAAAGGAAATGGACAATGGGATGGGAAAGGAAAAGGAAAGGAAATTAAGGAAAGTCTGACGGGGGGGAAAGAGAAGGCGGGATACACAAAAAGCCTAAATAGCGGAATCAGCGTGGACATCGCGTGGCTATTCATATTCCCTGCAAATCAAAATTAATAGTAACACTGAAAATTTTCCTTGAGATGAAGGAAGGGATGGAGTTAAATTTCAATAGTAAAAGCAAGAAAAAACCTTGAAACATACGATGTCGTCCCTGAATAGCACAAAGTACATGGCTAGCCTTATCCCTTTCTTAGTTTCAAGGAAGTTCTTTGTGGACATTTTGGAAATTTATGCATAAAGAAAACCCTATAGAATCCCACTTGACACTTGGCGATGTCCTCTCATATATTCTCCGTATCCCTTCGCATGTTTTCTCTTCAACGATGGGCTGGGTACACAATGCATCGCCAGAGGTTGAAGCTGCTTCACAGTACCGCCTCATCCTAGTAGTATGTTTGAGTCTCACCATATTGATGACGATTACGGTTTCTATGCGACTTTTCCTCCGACTGCAAGCCAGTCGATGGGGTGCGGCAGACTATGTAATGGTTGCTAGTATGGTAAGTTAGCCTGCGTGATACAACGGAAAACACAACTAATTCATGGGCAGACTTTCAGTGTTGTATACAATGCATTGTGCATTTCTCGTGGGTACTACCAGCGCTCCCATCGCTGCAAGAAGCTTACAGTAGCAGAAAGTCGATATGGGCTAGGACTGCCATTGAAGCTGAGACCTGAAGCAAATTACTTGACATATACCAAGGTAAATATTTTTTTTTTTTTTTAGTTTAGTTTCAGGTTTCAGTCCTTCACACTCGATCGGGAAATTGACAAAAGGCAAAATAGATTAACTACGGAGGCCGGCCCATTTACCAAGTTGGCATCGCAGGGTTCAAGGCATCGCTTTGCCTTAGTTATCTCCGACTGATATCTGGAACCTCAAAGCGACATTATCGCACGGCGATCTGGGTTGTGATCGTAGCTTCTACGCTGGGTCATATCGCCGGTGCTCTTAGCTTGATCTTTAATTGCACACCGGTAGGCAACTGTCCACTATAATCGCATGCGACCACAAGTTAACAATCACTCTCCTGTAACAGGTTCGACGATCATGGAATGCTCGTATACCAGGCACCTGTCTTCCTGTGGGAGGCCTGTTCTACGGTCTTGCAATTTTCACTATTATCATGGACGTGACCATTATCGTGCTTCCGATCCCATTGCTACTGGGTCTCAATATAAAACCAGCACAGAAGGCTGGTGTTGTGTGCCTTTTCCTCCTCGGCCTGTTTACCACGGTCTGCTCCATTATGCGACTGACTCAAATTCAACGTGTGGCATTCGGAGATGGAAACTCGACAATGCTTGTGTTGTGGGGAACGATTGAGTTCAACGTGGGCGTAAGTTAAAATGACCAGTCGCGTGCGATCTATGGCTAATCTATTTATATTAGAACATTGTTACTTGCATTCCATATCTGGCGCCTCTGCTAAAAGGCTTCGTGCGAGGACTTGGGTCGACTGGTGATAAATCGAAGAAGTATTGCTATGACAGTCGAGGCCGAGGCTACGCGATGGAGAATTGGTCGAAAAATCAACCCTCCCTGCAGTCAACTGCTTGCGGCCCAGCGCAACCAAAACGAACGCCAAGTGAGGAGCTCATTTTGGCCACTCAAGAACCTGTGAATGGGTGTATCGAGATGACTGTAGAGTATAGAGTTTCTTTGGAAGGCAAGTCAACCAAGTAGGAAACTTGATGACGAAGCTGTGTAGGTGGCACTGCGCACTGCATATATTACAGTTCCTAATTGAAAATTAGATCAATGACTTTTTAATTTTTTCTCCTTCTTGCCCCTTTACCCCTTGCTCTTTGGGACATTTAAGTTCGGGGCAAGAAGAAAAATTGCAGTTGCGAAATCCGGAAAATACTCCGTTCGCTCCACTAATAGTCAGCAAGGGTGGCCGGAAAAATCCTCGATCATGAGCATGACAAGACCTTTCTAGATGTTGTACTTGATTCAAATCAGGGTTTTCTGTAATGCGTGGATCTTCCCGAGGTCGGGATCGACAAAATTAGCGGGAGCCCGACGATCTGCCCAACGAAGCGGGAAGTACGCCTGAGATAATAGGAACAAGTGCGGAATGAGTTATAGTTAATTAGGTAAATTGTTGCAGAGTAATTAGGTATTCATACATTTAATATTTGCAGGGCTACTACCACTTCTTAATTCCATGAGATGACCTCGTGATTTTATTGTTTACAAATTTACAATTTGTGGCTTGAGCCATCTATGGATGACTGTAACATAACCAAGGATCTAGACCCGTATAAAATCTTATTTTAATCCCTTTCGGGTTCTGAAGGATTTGGATACTTTAGGGTCCGGAAAGTTACCAGAAGCGACTTGTCTGATTCGACCTTCGGCGGGGTAAGGATATTTTATGTTCAACTGCACCTAGAAACCATCCCGTGTTCACCATGTCCAATCCTCCCATTTTGATCATCGGCGCAGGCATTAGTGGTCTGATATTAGCCCAGCACCTTCGCCGTTTTAATGTTGCATTTAGGATCTTCGAGCGCGACTCAGCGATCGATGCCCGTAGTGGTGGATGGGGTCTGACACTACATTGGTCGCTCCCCGCTCTGCGTGAACTACTGCCACCAGACATCGTTGAACGGTTTCCCGAAACCTTTGTTAATAAAGAAGCTTCCGTTCGGGGAGACGTCGGTCGCTTTCAATTCTTTAATCTTGAGTCGGGAGATGCATTGTACGATGCTCCCGCTGCTGAGCGCATTCGTGTCAGTCGCGTTCGCTTGCGACAGTTACTGGCAACAGGTATAAATATTGAAGTCAGTCCATTTTTGGAACAATATCATTATGCTTGTACTATCGATAGGCGCTAACGCCGTACTTCCAGTGGAACAAAAACTTTCGAGATATCGAGTCTACAGCCGATGAAATCACCGCACATTTTGAGGATGGCACAACCTACACAGGGCGGCTACTGGTCGCATGCGATGGCTCACGATCGCGCACACGCGAGATCCTATATCCAGATGCAGAGATGAACCAATTACCAGTGCAGCTTCTAGGTGCAGCAACACTGTACAGCGCGGAGGAGATGGGCGGTGCCGAATCAATCGACCCTTTCATCTTCCAGGGTTCGCATCCCGAGTCAAACGTGTTTCTATTCTTCAGTTGTGAGTCCGCCAATTCCTCTATCCCCCTTTACGGATTATTGATGTTTTCGCAGTTCTGGATACCCCGAACAACTTTGAAAATAGTAGCAAGGACCGTTACCACTGTCAAATTATCATCTCCTGGGCGGATTCGAAGGGCATCCCCGTCCCGGACGCGAACACCGACCGCATCGCACTAATGAAGAAGTTAACTGACAATTGGTCGGAACCATTCCGCTCCCTGGTACACAAGCTTCCCGACGACGTGGAAGTGCGCTCGATTCGCATCGAAGACTGGATGTTCCGCCTGGGCAGGACACACGCGCATCCCCGGGCGGTGTTGGTGGGCGATTCGGCTCATACAATGACTATGTGTATGTGACCCTTTCGCCGTCTTATGATCGTGTAGTTTTGCAAGACTGTGCATCTTTAACTTCATCTAGTCCGCGGTGAAGGTGCCAACAACGCGATCGTCGATGTGCTGGATCTCGTGAAGCATGTCGATATGCGCCATCCAAGGTATGTATACTTTCACACTTTCAACTGTCTTTAGCTATTGTACTAATCATGTCTATTAAAATAATCAGGTTCCTCGATTCCGAAGCCTTGCAATCCTCCCTCGCAGCATACGAGAAAGATGTCTTCGCACGAGCCGAGCCTAGCTTCCTCAACTCCAGACAGGCATGTCTAGATGCTCATGAATTTTCCAAAATTGAAGGAAGTCCGCTGGTTGGGTCACGCGATTTGAAGAAATCGGGGTGAAACTATTGGGGTGTAGGAACGAAAGTGTTGCGTACAACTCGGTGCATCTCTCTCTCATCAAGTGAGTTTGTAGAAAGCTCAAATGTGGAATTTGTCGGGAATGAAACATGGGATAAATTATACTAGAACACAGTACTCCCAATACTCCCAATATCAACTCGCTGATACGGAGATTAAGACTGTCGGGGCCTCGGGATGTTATGGTCAGCCAGATCTGCTTATCAGTGCCAAGCCTCTGGTACTCTCCCGCCCCCGACTTCTCCACATTCCACTTCTCCTAGCAGAAAAATCTAGGCCTGAGTTATCAACGCCTCAAATTGAGAGAAAAAAAAAAGGCATGTCAATACGAGGCTGGCGATGAACGTCCCCGCATCAAATCAAGCGGCCAGCGTCCGTGTATCACAGCGTCAGCCGCAAGCCTGCCGAGGTAAATGCCCCCTGCAGAAACTCAGGTTTAGTCGGCGGCTGACATGATGTAGAATGCACGAAGCGCAAACGAAAATGCGACAAACAAAATCCATGTTCAAGATGTAAACGCTTAAATCTGAAGTGCTCGATAGAAGTCGTCCAGCTTAGACGCAACGCTGTGCAACACGGGTCAGAGATTCAATTCTTGAATTCGCTTGTGGCAGACCTCGAATCATCTTCATCGGATCCGGTCCCCCTTGTTGTTCAAAAGATCAAAAATCGAGTATTCCGGCTGCAAACTGGCCAGGACCCTGCAGAATCGGATCTATTCAACAGCGCCTCGGCGCAGCCAGAATCAAGTACAACCGGGGACCGTGCATCTGGAAAAGCGCCACTTGGTCTAAATGATAACACTTCAAATCAAATTGACTCGTCACTTCTCACGGCTATTGAACATCTTGCTTGGGGTCGTAATTCTACTGGATGCTTCCCTCACAGGACGTGCTCTTGCCAATATCGCAAAGATGGACTCCAATCGCTATCAGGGACAAGCCCCTCCCTACTTCATGGTCCTACTCTGGAGCTGAACTCTGCTTTCCCTAGTGCTAGAGATGCCCAGAAGCTGGTCAAGTTTCATTTGTCCCATCTGGCGTGGCATCATAATTGCTTTCACGGTCCAACCTTTCTCGAACAGTGCGAGTTATTCTGGGAGACTGGGAAATTTGATGAACCTCTCTGGCAAGCGCTCTACTTTTCAGTGTTGAGTTCCACCGTCAGCTCAATACAGGATAGTGCGAAAGTAAGGGAGCTTGTTGATGTCGACCTACAGGCAATACAGTCTACGCAACAGCTCTTCTCTGCTATGGTGCAGACACTGTATAACTCAAATTTTCTCAGCAATCTCTCCGTATGCTCCGTCCAAGCAATCGTCATATCGACCGAGGTTGCTCATAATCTTGGCTTGAGTCAGCTGAACGCGACTTTATTCAACGCTGCAGTACGTATTGCTGAGTGTCTTGGGATTCACAAGATTCAGGATCCATCAACGAAACCTCCTCGAAGCAAAGATGAATGGGATGAAAAGGTGGAACGAGAAGTAGGAAAAAGGGTATGGTGCCAAATGATCATCCAGGACCATTTCGCCATTCCCTTCACCGACACCTACAGTATCTCTCCAATGCATTTCTCGACAGGTCGCCCGATGAACGCAGATGACCACGACTTGATGGATATGCCCATCACATCTCCCACTATAAGCACGTACATCCGCGTGCTTGTGAATTTGGCAGAATTGATGCCCGGTCTAGTTGACGGACTTGGCCCAATGAAATCTAGAAAACCTTTGCGACAGCAATACGAACACATTCTACACATAGATCAGAAAATGCGAGGCATTGTGAAAAACATACCCCCCTTCTTTCTGCGCGGAGATAAAACTAAGGAAGCACAAATTCCGTGGCTTGCTATTGCCAGACGAAGTCTCGCCATCACTGCAGCCGAGAAGATCATCATGATCCACCGGCCATTTCTCTTCCGCTCTTTCAATGACCCAACATATACCTACTCAAGGCGTACCTGTGTTGCCGCCGCAATGACAATTCTGCGCGAGCACGAGGTAATAGTCAGAGAAGGGGATATCTCAATATGGACCCACACAGCATTTGCAATTACCGCCGCAGTCATCATGTGCTTTGAAGTTAATGCAACTGCAGAGAATCAAGCAAATATTGCGCAAAGTCACAAGGATGCAATAGTCGCAGCTCGCCGCCGCCTTGCTGATCGAACTAATGACGTGCTTGCTCAGCGAGGCGTCGCGTTAATCGATGCAATCTTTACTGCCGATACCGCGTCGGGCCCTGCAGGACTTGGAAACGGAACGATTGATTTTGGTCAAATTCTGGCTAAATTCTCAACTTTTACGAGAATGAATCTAGGTCCTGACACCCCTGACACATCTGTTAGCAGATTCTCGAATTCAGACCCTCAAGATGTGATCGGTGCCCATTTTAATGAAATGCAGCCGACTTGGGATACAGCGGAAGATATTGATTTCGATGCTTGGTTCAATGGAACATTCCACACTATACATGATCCTCTTCGGTTTTGAGAGAAGCGAAAGTTCACACTTGTCGACGCAGCCTTTCTTTTGAGATTTTCTGGCCATTGTTATACCTTTAAATCATGCTATATCACCTGTTGGCTCGTCGAGGGGGTTGTTCGGGTATGCCCTAGGCATGTTAGCGATGATCGCGCCTACGCAAAACGCCCTTGACGCTGCCTTCGACTTTGCGTCGATATTTGGTATCACCACCACTTGCCACGGGCGACCGCCACTAGCTGTTGGCGGTCCTGGCATAGCTGTGCACGTTCCTGTGACCTGAGTGTTGCAAGGGAGCTGATGTTCCCATTGCTGTCAAGGTCATGTTGGAATACTTTATTTAGCGTCGCGCTCGAAATATTTCGCTCCGCGCCCAGGTGTATCGACTCGTCGGAGAGCGCACCCCTCTCTCGAGGGGGTCCCATTTGCCATTTGTCTTCCACTTGACCACGGTGACCAGGGGGTGCAGGCTCGATGCCGCTCGTTTTCAGCACTGATGTGCAGGCTGAGCTTTGGAAATGTCTTCGTTCCAGGTGGGTCCCCATCAAGGTCATTCTTTCCTGGCGTGGCACAATTCATTGTTGATGGACTGTTCGAGGGGTTTTGTTGAATATGTAGTGAGAGATGATGCAGGAAGAGAGATCTGTATTGGGGAACCTATGAAGGGACAGGATATTTTCACCCCTGCAAATCTAGCAAAACAAACTAGCAATGATTCAATTCAATTTAGGGGTTTATGGGTAGCTTAGAATAGCTTCAAAATTGCTACTTTCAATAGCTTTAGGGGTCTTCGGCGTGCTATATTTCAACTATAGCCGGTTCTCAGGGAGATTCGGGCTCATGACTGTCCGAACAAGTGGTATTGCGTAATATGGGGTCCAATCAATAGTATTCAGGTCTCTCTCATTTTACGATCGGCTCGCCTAGTAATCTATGTGCGGCCTTGATTGTATAAAGCAGATTACAGCACTCGGGGGATTATCCTTCCTCCGGTCATCCCGGGATGACAGCCCTTCATACAGCAACATAACCTCCTTCAGCACCTGCAGCACCCCCTTAACGAGGATGACAATCTCCTCCAAAACTGTCGACACGATCTCATAGGTACGCTTTAGGAATTTCGGCGTATTCTCCGTAGAGACAGGGCGGACTGTGGATAGCACAACAGGTATCGCGAGGGGTCTCACGGGCGCCAGACCGAGGGACAGGCCGAGAGACAGAGCGGTATTGGGCATCCTAGGCATCTCCTACAGAGTAGTCGGTCAGTACAGCGCTTCATGGGACGCAACACAGAGGGATCCACTTATCATCGCGAAGCAGGCATGCAGCACGCGGTAAGCAGCAAGTGGAAGGATAGAATACAATGATGGACATACGTATTTGTATCGTCATGGACCCACACCCCTTGACTATATAATATACTGCCTGTCAAAACTCTCTATGAATTCATACTATAAAATCTAGTATGGGATAAATCATCCCTAACTCTCAATAATGGCTTCCACTCTGTGTGGCATATTCTTGAAGAGATGCTTCAAGTGCGAAATCTCTAGATTCTTTTCATTCCTACTGCGCAGGACGAGCTAGGATCTCATCTGTAGTGTCATTGTTCCACATCAGGTATACTTCGCGTTTTAGATAGGCGGTATGAATAAATAGGGGCGATCAGCTCGGTGGGTCCAGAGGCGATACCCAAATACTTATGTCCACTCACCGACACGCGCAACCTGGAGGGTTCCCTTGAGTTCCTCTGAATGACATGCAAACCGAAACCCAGAGATATGGCCTAAAAGGCTGGAGTTAGCAACCCCGGTTTGGAAAGAATAAGATAGGATGAGCACACATTTGACCAGAGGGTACGTCGTAGATTATCTTAGATGGGATGGGCATCAGCGGAATGAACCTGATGTTCTGCTTGCCCTGCTGAAAGCTAGCTAGCTTAGGGACGACCTCGCATCCGCGAATGAAGAACGATTTCAAGGGGACTAGTGCTCGGATTTCTAGCTCGATGGCCTAGCTAGCCCGGAGGTTTGAACGCAGCAGGATAGGCGCCAGCTGCCAAATCCCCATTTCTAGTAAATATAAGCAATTGCCTGAATGCCTACTTTGGGCCTTTATATTCTTAATCAAAACCAGCAGAAGAATTGGAATGTTTTAAGTGAATGTGATCTTAGAAGGCCACTACAGAGACTACTTAAGAGACTTCTAAAGAGACTGCTAAAGAGACTGCTAAAGAGACTGCTAAAGAGACTGCTAAAGAGACTGCTAAAGAGACTGCTAAAGAGACTGCTAAAGAGACTGCTAAAAGGATCACCCAAAAGATCATTCAGAAAATTATAAGTCGCTTATACTTCTGACTATTTTTGATATAGTATCTCCATATTTTTGGGTGGTTTGTAGATCTAAAAGTGAACAATATATATATAGACGCGTAATCTCCCCAATATTTTCCCACAAATAGAATCAGCAGCAACTCCATTTATTTGATTAATGGAATTTCGAATTTGAAGATGAACACACCAAGAGGATGCTATGGAGATAAGCTCATCAAGCTGTCTCGGCACGCCATCAAGAGTTTAAGCATTTTCCACCGGTCGACACCGAAGTCGCCCCGAAGATATGCCTTTGAACTTGGCGTTAATAAATTTTGGCAAACATAGGTTTATTGCAGCGAAATTAGTAGAATAATAAGACCATTCATAATTGCTGGCATCCTGGGGGACACTCCGAACAATATGCGAAGCAATATAGTTCATGTAGTTGGGGTCAGATTTGGTATCTACTTTCGCTAGTGAGTGTGAGCAGGTGCTTGTAGCTTAACCAGTCATACCAGTTAAGTTAGTATGAAACCTGAGTTCAGACTAACTTGAAAGCTTTGGCATATTTCTATGTCTGAGATAACATGTTGCCATTCTGAGTGGATCTATCGTGACCCTTGCATACTGCCACCAGAAACAAAAGGACCAGCTGGGAACCGATATTAAGAACTCAGCTTCCGGTGTCCTTCCGTCTTTCATACCACCAGATTTCTTTTCCGCACCGTAGCTCAAAATATTTCAGCTATGGCGAGCGCCAAAGACCCTACCAAAGACCCCAATATATTGGAGGCGCCGACACCCGATCTCGAATCCGAACACACTAATCTTGACCCAGGAGAATATCTGTATAAAGCCGACAGAGCAGAGCTCACAGAGCTCACCCCGGTCGAAGCATTCAAATGGAATGTGGAAGGAGACCAGTCGCCTTGTAAGTTAAACTCTATATCCTAACAGCCGATGTTAATACTTCTTAGTTCCGGAGGTTGCCTCTTGTGTGTCCAACAAAGATGATCCTACCATCGCCTGCAATAGTAAGTGATTAGACTCTCAACTAATTGACTTGATTAACTCTTCATAACAGCTGTTCGGGCCTGGATATTGATGACAATCTTTGTCATACTATTTTCTGGTGTTAATCAATTTTTCGGCCTGCGATATGTATGTTTTACTTTAAGTCAATTGATATTTACTAACCCCTATTAGCCTTCCCTAACAATTCGCTATGTCGTCGCCCAAATTCTGGTTTTCCCAATTGGACGAGCATGGGAAAAGCTTCCAAGATGGAGGGTTCCCCTAGGAAAACTTCCATTCGACGTCAACCCTGGAAGATTTACCATCAAGGAGCACGCCTTTATTGTTATTGTGAGTAAAAGCATATATTCATTGGCGTAAGTTACGAATTTTATCTAACTTGAATAGTGCGTAAATATCAGCGCTACCACTGCTTATGCACAAGGTGCCTTGGTGGCGATCGTCAGCCCTGTATATTGGAACCGCGACCTCGGAGCCGGCTTCTCATTCCTATATCTTTTGACAACCCAGATGATTGGGTAAGTGATCCCGATTTTTCTACATTGTCTACCCACTGATCTTTCCTAGATTTGGTCTGACAGGTCTTGCCCGCCGTTGGATTGTCTACCCAGCTGCCTTGGTCTGGCCTACTTCACTATCATCCACTGTGCTTTTCCGGGCACTGCACGAGCCTGAGAGTCGTACTCCGGCAAATGGTTGGACTATTAGTCGATACCGATTCTTCGCATATATTACGGCATTTGCATTTGTCCTATTCTGGTTCCCAGACTATATCTGGACAAGCTTGGGCACTTTCGCTTTCGTGACGTGGATTGCGCCTGAGAATCAGAAGGTCAACGCGATATTCGGAGTACGTTAAAAGGAACATGATTAATTTCTATATCAAACTGACCAGATTTGTCTAGATGAATTCCGGCTTAGGTCTGATACCTATTAGCATTGACTGGACGCAAATCAACTATGCTGGTTTCCCCCTCATGACCCCGTTCTATATCACATGCAATGCTTTTGCTGTGGTCGTGTTCTTTTACCTTTTCTTGTCCCCCATTCTATACTACTCTAATGTGTGGTATAGCGCATAGTAAGCTTCCAGCCCGAATGAGGAGATTCAAATATACTGATAATTTAGCCTTCCTCTCCTGTCCTCGGGCACCTTCGACAATACGGGAAAATCATACAACGTAACTCGTGTGCTCGACGCGACCTTAGATTTCAGCGAGAGAAATTACAAGGAATATTCTCCCATGTATATCTCAATGTCTTATTCTCTGACCTATGGACTGTCTTTCGCTGCTGTTACCGCAATCGTGGTGCACACTTACCTTTACAACGGCGCTGAAATCTGGGCCCGGCTCAAGAACGCACAACATGGAGGCGAGGATGTTCATCGTCGATTGATGCGCCAATACAAAGAGGTCCCAGAATGGTGGTACGGAGTCATCACAGTGGTGGTGTTGGGACTTGGGATCTTGACGACCAGATACTGGGACACGGAGCTCCCAGTCTGGGGCTTTATCGTGATTTGCTTCGGATTGGCGGCGCTACTAATTGTCCCTGAGGGTATTCTGCAAGGAACGACAAACCAGCGCGTGTTTCTGAACATAATTATGGAGATGATTGCCGGATACGCCTGGCCCGGAAAGGCCATCGCTAATCTGATGGTGAAATGCTATGGCTATAATGCTGTGAAACATGGCATGGATTTTGCTCAGGATTTGAAGCTCGGACAATATATGGTATGCTCTTTTTGCTTTTTGGTAGCGAAGATTACTGATTATTTAGAAAATTCCTCCGCGTGTTCTGTTTTTCGGTCAGATTTATGCTAGTCTTCTAGCTACAGCAACTCAAACTGGAGGTATGATGCTGTGTCAAATACATATCACCATTTCGAGCTAACGGGAATAGTCTTACGATGGATGATGGGACACATTTCTGACCTTTGTAAACCAACTAACAAACAACGTTTCACATGCAATGATGCCAAAGTGATGTACAACGCTTCCTTGATTTGGGGCACTATCGGTCCGCAGCGGATGTTCCAGTCTGGGCAAGTGTACAATGGCCTTATGTACTTTTTCCTTATTGGGGTGAGTCTTCAATCACTTGGTTTGATTTTGCTATGCTGACAGTCCAGCCCGTTGTTACTGTCCTTGTCTACCTTATTTACCGCCGCTACCCCAATAGCTGGGTTCGCTATATCAACGTTCCGATTTTCTTTAATGCGGCTGGTAATATTCCTCCAGCAAATACCAGTATGTCTCTCAAAACCTTCGTGTGGTTATGTGAATCTGACCAAGTAGCCCAATACTCCCTCTGGTTCATCGTCGGCTTTTTGTTCAACTACCTGATCCGCAAGCGTGCGTTTGACTGGTGGAAGCGTTATAACTGTGAGATCTTGCTTTCCAAAGATTCCCCGAGAAAATGTCACTAATTCATGACACACATAGATTTGCTCCAAGCAGCGATGGATACTGGCACTGCTATCGCGACGATCATCATTTTCTTCGCGCTGGGCTACCACGCTATCACCTTCAACTGGTGGGGAAACACAGTGGGATCTAATACGGCCGATGCCCGTTCCGTCCCTTGGTTGACTGTTCCCAAAGGAAGCTTTTTCGGAAAAGGGCCTGGCGAGTTTTGATTCGAAGCTTGGGTACAATTCAATACTTAAGCTACCTTTGGTGACAGCAGATTCTGCTATACCCCTAAGAACTGGAAACTTGGAAGCGGCAAGCATCTGTGATGTGATTAATAATAGCTCTATATTCTCCAAGGTTAGGCTGACAACAGCGCAGTAATTTCAAACTTATTACGCTACGTTAGAGGTGCACCAGCCCATGATAAAAATCCGATGCGATGATAGGTACTATAAAAAGAAAAGATGTAAAATTCGTATTTCAGGAATTCAGTTTAGTACAACGAACTATGACCACGTACAACAACAAGCTCCCTTCTTGTGATAGAAGGAAAGCCGTTCATATATAGTAGTATTACTTCCACCAAATGGGAACATCTTGTGGAGGCAAATCAAATCCAATATAACACTCCAAAGACGATAATCACCAACTTCAGCGGGAATTGGATCCTTGTAACATCACCATTTACGCCCGCGGATCCCAATCCGCATCAATTTCGGCCAAGAGTTTATCTCCCTCGCGCCCTAGGACATCTGCGATACTGGCCAGTTTGAAAGAAGCCAATTCGGCAGTACCTCCTTCAGCCAACTGGTTAGAATCGTCATGCACGACCAACAGACCGTGGGGGAAGTCGGCGTTCAGAGCAGTTCCAACAGCGGTAACACCATCAGTGTTGCTAACCGCATCAACGCTTCCATCCTTCGAAGTTTGAATGGTGAAAGTGGTGACATGCTCATGGGGAGCAGCGCGGCGGTAGACAGAGTATGCACTGACACCCTGGCAGGAGACGATAACGAATCCTTCGTCTTTGGTTTTTCCTGGAATAAGTGTGACTCCCTCAACATCAGCATACAGGGTACCGTCACCGGCACGTGCAACCAGAGTTCCCTTGGATGATCCATCGGGCTCGGCATCGTATCGCCACAGACCGTAGGGCTCCTCGCCGAGGAAAATGAAGGCGTTGTCCTCATCAGCGACGCAGCCTTCGGGTTGACCACCAGTACCACCGGTGAATTCACGGACGAGAGTGGTGGCAAGTTTGCCGTCGGTGGCAGTCAGTTCATATTGAAGATACTGGCCGGACTTTTCATTGACGAAGAGATACTGCTTGCCACTGACGGGCGAGCGGTAGGAGCAGGAGCCGTAGACGGAGAAGTCGGTTTTCACGGGCTGGGAGCCACCGGAAATGGATTTCAAGGTTCCATTAGAAACAATTTCGAAGAGACTTGAAAATAATGTTAGTCCAAAAAGAACGAAATAAGGAAATAGAAAAGAAAGGATTCTAACATACCACAGCGAATCGTCCTCCCGGCATGCCGCATAGGCGAGGTCAACTTTGCGATCACCGATGGGGAAGCCGTAAATAACATCGACGTTGTTGGGCTCTCCAGCAGCAACAGTTTGAAGCAATTTTCCTTCGAGATCGAAAACGGCAAATCCAGCACCCACTTCCGATTTGGTTGTAGTGATGATTTTAGACTTGTCGGCACCCTTGGGGGAGATCCAGATGGCAGGATCATCACCGTCACCGCCGTTGGCATCGGTCTCATATTTGGGCTCAACCCCAATCCAGGCGCACTCAGGACCGGCCCAGAAATCCTCACATTTGCATACATTGGGTCCAACGCACTTGCCATGGTTTGAGCAGTCGTTCTTGCATGTGTAATCATCACAATCGTCGTCTTCAAATCCGGCAAAACAAGCGAGAGAGCCATCTGACTTCTTGAAGCCATTCTTCTTGGGGCCCTGTAGGGAAGACTTGATGTTGCGTGGGGAGTATGTAGTGTTAGGCTCGAGTCCGAGCTCACTGAAAACAGGCTCCAAGGAGCTAATGCCATAGCCCTTGCCAGCATCAGTTTCAAGAGAGTAGCCCAGAAGTCCATCGGGGTACTTGGTAGAGGAACTCTGGTAAAGAGACATGCCAGTGACCTCGATATCTTTGGCGCCGGTAAGGGTCAGGCTACCCTTGAGTTCCAGCTTGGGTGAGAAAACATCGACAACGTCTTTCTTGGCCACAAACAAGTAGTCGGACTCAGGACCAGCGTAGACAGATAGTCCTGTCACATCATCATCAACGTCTCCAAGGACCGTAACCTTGGGGGCGGTTGTGGATTCTTTGGCCTGGAAAGTGTAGATGGTCTTGTCTTCTCCTGCCAGGTAGACAGTACCGCTAGTGGGAGAAACAGCACAAGCATCTGACACGGGGACCTCGAATGTTTGCACCTAAATAACGTTTAGTTTCACATCATTGCAGGAGTTCAGTTTTTGAAGATACTGACCTCAAGGATCTCAATGTCATCATCGTCCTCACGGACAAGGAATTGAATTCCCTCCTTCTTGCCAAACAGGAAGAAGTAGTGTCCGCCACTGCTGGGGCTGCGCCATGTACACAAAGAAGACCAGTCTCCGAGGGCTTTCTTTTGGGCCGAGGTAATCTCTTTGGTGCCATCGATGTCAAAGACACGAATGAGTGAATCAGGGGCACCAATGGACAGAATGATATCCTTGTCCCCAACATCATACATAACACCAGTAACCTTGGTACGACCAGGGGTGCGGCTGGCGACTTCTTTCATATCAGTCAGGCTAAAAGATCGGATGCCACCAGTAGCAGCACCTCCATCGTTGCCCACAAGCAGGGACTTCTGGAATGAAGAACCATAGTAGATGGCCGACAGATCAGAATCAACTTCAGGCGATTGTGCTGCAATGGGAAGGTTTGCGCTAGCAGCGGATGCGATATCAATTCCACTGAGGCAAAAGACAATGCCCACGAGAAGGGAGCGCGGTAACAACATCTTGAAGGTATGAAGATAGATTCGAAATCCAGAACTAGACTCAAGCTAGCTATTTAATACTTCAGTATCTGGACAATACTCAGTTGTCAACGGCTATTGCATTTCCGAGAATCGGTCTAGAAGAGTCTTGGCAACTTGGCTTGGCAACTTGGCATGCTTAACTCGTGTTTACCCCCACCGATGCCATTGGTTCTTTACTTTGACAGGCACATGTGAACTTGGCGATGGAATATTCCAGGTACAGGCCCCACGTGGTTTAAAATTGTTATATGCAGGTACTCGTGTACATGTGAACTCTACAGTATGTCGTGCAAGCGCTTGAAAAATATTAATATATATCAACAGCATAAAAAGGGTTGATTATATACGGAGTAATAGCCGCTTACCCTCATATTATCCCCGGAAATCCTGCAGGAGTAGATGACTGGTCGCATAATATTACTTCCAACGCACGGCTTAATTCCCTGAGGGGAATTGGACACGGCTTGAGCCGAGAATATTCCTCATGCAGTGATGTTTCATTAATATCCGCATCCCTGTACTTTGCAGAAACGCCACATTAAGTGCATGTGAGCATGACATGAGAAGTAACTGCGGAGTACTCTTATGTTGTATCCCTTAACAGGCCCGTGCGGCAAGTTCTTCGGCCCCCGGGGATCGTCGATCGACTGATTTCCGAAACTTCCATACTAGAAATCTCCAATTAATAAATTAAACCTAGCATCTATAGCTCAATCGAGTATTTCCATACCCCTGCATCTGACATAATTGCATTGTTCGGCTAATGAGGGCGTATACTGATTATGTTGTGGAAGCGAACACGAGACAAGCCCAAAAGGCCAAGGCAGTCCGTTGTCCTCTTGCGGTAAGCGTTTCGCGGGCTGGTCTGACTTATCAGATGCCGAATAACCTTCGTTTATGGAGGCGATCGACGGGGCGCGGAAATTAACAAAAAAAGCAAGTCTACATGTGTCGAAACTCAAGGGCCCACTGGAGTATATGCTTGACACGGGGTGGCATGTCGGAATATTATCGGTGAGATGGAATTCCACACAAATAACTGCATGTAATGAGAATTCAGTCTGTTGAAGTATTTGTTGTGATGTAATATCAGAGCATATCTGGAAATGCCATAGATTATTGTGCTGCCATGGTTCTACCATAAGTATGTCCTTAGGTAGCAGTAGATCTCCAGTGTTGTCCTCGGTGCCCAGGTGTTAAGGCTAGTAAGATCGATTTGGCACCCCGTGATCTGGACAGGCATAGTTATGACGGAGACCGGATGCATCCATGGTTCCAATATTGTGCTAACTCTCCTCACCTCATCCAAACTACTCTCTTGTCTGGGATCCATCTTCATCACTTTACTTTTCTTCTCTTCACTTTGATAATCAAATCAACATGACGCTCCCCGTGGAATATCTCACCGACCTTGAAGGGACCGAGATCGCGTTTGACGCCGTTCCCGAATCGCCGTTTTGCTTCCCTGCCAAGACTTGGGTACTTGTTAAGAAGCTAGATGAATATGCAGATCCCTTAACCCAGAAGGAAGTCACTGATGGTATTGGCATCTCCGACACTTCAGCAAAGTTCCTGTGTCGTCCCGCCGGGCCTGATAACGCAGACGAGTACGCCTTTATGCGCATCCATCAACAGGTACCCATTGTCGGTACCGAGATTAAGAAAGCCAGCATCCGGGCTCACCAGGCCGTTAAGGAGCCAGAAAACCGAGAGCTAGTTGCCTTGAAGTCGTTCTTCATCCTCGGATGCGAGGTTGTCCCTAAGCTACTCGGTTTTCACCAGGGTAAGCAGGACGAAGACGAAGGAGTTCCCGGGGGTTTTGTTACCTATATTGTGTGGGAGAAAGTCCCTGGAGAGTCCTTCGACCCGGTCAAGTTCTGGCTTTGGCCCTTCAGCGAGCGAAAGGCATTCCGGGATAAGTTTCGTGAAGTGTTCGGGTATAACTGCAACTTACAAACCCGTATTCAATCAACTTATAGCTAACACAAAATAGGAGGTTTTTAAACTTCGGGTTCATGCCCCTGATGCCTATTCCATCTAAGATAATCTACGACGAACCCTCTGGTCAAATGTGGGCTTATCCTACCTTATTCTTTTAAGAACTCGGATTACTAACCCCAGGTTGATAGGCATATCTCTGGGTTTCGGTTTGCATATCGTTTAGAGGAACCCGAAAAGTGGGATGAGGCCTTCTTCTTTCGATTTGAACTTGCCCTGATATCACGCGAGCCCGACGCTAATTTAATGGGCATATCAAGAAACGAAGCAAGCTGGGTCGAAGATGACAACGGCTGCATATGGTAGTAATATTGAGTATGAAACCCAAATAAGCCCCATGGATGTAGACCTCCGCAAAGCCCATAAAGCCAAAGCCCAACCCAACCAAACCCACTAATTGGTTGGGCTTTGGGCCCTATCCTTGGGCCCGCTGGTGGGCCATGGGCCCGGGAGGAAAGCCCGATGAGCTTTCAAGGGGGGTCCATTAGGCCCAATAAGCACCAAATAATGCAAATATATAAACTTGAACCCCTTCTTTAGTTTTTCTTTTGAATTACGCTTTGTTTTAACCCCGTTTCTGGGCCTTATCCCTAAGGTAATGTTCTATTTATTTAAATGATTTAGAGCTTATTGTTAGTTACTTCTTAATATCACGTTCACAAACGCGAAAAAGTGCGTTTATAAAGAAAATTCAAAATTTACAAAGGTCACTAGAAAGTAGTACTACTGTCCAAAGCCAAAATATATAGTTATCTAGTATCAACATATTAATATTAATACTTTCTACAATATCTCGACTTCTTCTAACTAGATTTCATTTGAAATCAAAATATATACCTATATAGTTACTATGATTTAGTATTCTAAATTAAAACCTTATATATTAATAGAAAAGGTAGTAATGTAGCAATTACAGAGGCTAATTTATTAAATACCGGTAGGCTTTAATAGGCCTACGGGCGCCCATGACGCCCATGGCCTGTGGGCCCAAAGACCCGCCTCCAGGTCGGCCTTGGAATTGGCTACGCCCCATGCCTAAGGATTGTCGAAAGTGACATGGGCTTTGTCATTACTGTGCGTAAATATAAAAACACGTGAGCTAGAAATATTTGTATAAAATTTCTACACCTATGAGAACATACATGTGCCTGCAGCTGTGTGAAGTATTCTGATCTCTTTCAATCGTTCCCCATTCCAACCACAGTACGTGAGAACACTAGGCTGCCTCCTATACCGGACCCCTTTAGGTACACCGTGATGCATTCTGATCACTAAATAAAGAATCACTGCTCTTTTAGAGCCGCTTCCATGAAATCCTCAGTATCCTGTAGGAACTCTGTTGGGCGTTCAAGGGCTGCAAAATGTCCACCCTGTCTGAATTTAGTACAGTCTCCTTGTCAGGGGAAACCGAATGTCACTTACATGCTCATGTTGCCTGTAGAAAGCCAGCCGTCCTTTCTTCTCCACTACCTTCTTAGGTCCCGGCGCTAGTTCATACATGAACCATAATATCCAAAGGGCTTGTCGATAAATGGCAAGCAAAAGGGCGGGCTAACGAGAAAGGTGCCACGATAAGTATAGTTGCAGCGCGCGAAGCAGTCCGTGAACCAATAGAGGGAGACGTCAGTCAAAACGTCGTCAATGCTCACGTTTTCTTCTGGCCACTCTAGAAACTTTTCTCCAATCCTTCCAACTATTAGCCCAATCAACAAGAGAGCCGAAGAGATGGTAAACTTACCAAGCCAACAGAGCTAGGGGATTAGACGAGATTACCGCTCCGATAGTAGCAGGCCGTGTACTATTCATGATAGCAGCACCGATTGAGGGTGGTTTGAATCGCTCGTTTCCTCGCTGAATAGCTTGCTTCTCGAACTCGGTGAGATCCGGATCGTTGTCGTCAACTTGATCTAAACTAGGCAACAAATTGACTGGTCATGTTAATGTCTAAGTCAAGTGACTGCACGGATAGATACTCACGATGCACTCCAATAACGGAATCATACGTTGTTGCCAGAAGCGAAGCTATGAGACATCCGACGTCTCCGCCTTGAACAACATACCGATCAAAGCCGAGCTTTTTGATGGCGGTGTCAATCACTCGTGCGGCATCTTCACCCACCCACGCTTTGTCCCGAGGCGGCCCTGAGCTTAGAGTATAGCCTGGCAAAGAGGGTACAATAATATGGAATGGCAGCTCGCTAGTTTCATATTTCTTCCGAATGATATCGAGTGTTGGGAGAAATTCGAGGAAGCTTCCCGGCCAGCCGTGAAGAAGAACAATTGGAGTTGCATTCTCTTTCTTGGAGAAGAGGCCAACAAAGTGAAGTTCGACGTCGCCTTTCTCGTCCTCGACAGAGATCTTGTAGTTAGGTAACGAGTTGATGCGCCTCTCCTGGGCACGGCAATCAAAAGTGTTCAGCCAATACTCCTTCGTGGAGACCAGCCATTCATACGGGACACCGTAGCTACCATCTTGATGCTGGTTTTCTCACGTCAGAGGTCCAACGCGTGAGAGGCGGAGGAGTTCTTAGAACTGCTTGTATTCGTCATCATCGATGCGAAGAGTGAAAGGAGTCGCATTATCAGGCAGGGAGAAAGGCATCCTGGCAGACGGATAAAGCTACACACTTAAAAGCAAAGAATCAAGATAAAGGCAAGCAGACAGGAAGGAACATAGAACAACCACTCTTTGTAACTCTTTATCCGTACTTTATGTGTCCATTATATACAAATTTTCTGAACAGAATATGTCTCTTATTTACCTCTCAGCACTATTTCGCGCTTGCTACCTTAGTGGGTATGTCTCACAATTGCAGATGGAAGGTGAGTCACTCACTTTTATGCCTCACCCAAAAATTCGCATGGTTCATTATGCGTATTTTTTGCGTCATGAAGCCCGTACGATATTCCTACGAGCCGGGGTCTAGATAAAGCTTAACATGTTCAACCCCTACTTAGGTAGCTCGCTAAGGGTCAGGTTTCTTGGCCGGGACTTAGGCCGAAAGTAAGGCTTTGCGGAAGACTACTCTTATAGTAGGCGCTGGATATTTTCGAAACTCTAGGGTCACGGATTTTGATGATATATATTCTCTAGATAAAGCTACGTTCTAGAATTTTAACCTCTAGCCCAGGCAGTATTGAAATGATAATGGATATTAATAAGAGGTGGTCAACGGACTGCTAGACTTTCAAACTTTGAAGTTATGGGTGGAAACGCGGCTATTTCCTCATAAGCGCACATTTTCATACATCCCCGTATTCCACATGTAATTTGCAGTTCCACGACATTCATGACTCAGGTGTATTTTCACTTCGGGTAGGGTGGGTCTGTAACTCGCGCTAGTCTATTTTAAGACCCCGAATCTCCCCACTTCCATTCTCCACACTGACCCACTGCACGCACTATTTCCACTGGCAATCCAATCTATGTTACGGAATACTGTTACAGCTTTAGAATCTCATTCTAGTGCTTAGAGCCACAACGGCATTAGCACCTACCATATACCTCGTTAACGAACGATGAAGCCCTTGTCGATTCACTGTCTGTGGTAAGTATAAGACTCGAGTGCAAAGAGCAGATTGAGTATGGCTGTGCTAGACAGCAAGGAGAGAAATCCCTGGCAGAGATTTGGATCCTGAGTCGTATTGTGACTCATCTAAAAGGTTTTAGCATTAGCGTACCGGACCATCTACTATGTAGCTACCATTACGCATAAGGATATTTGAAATATCAATACGGAAAGTAAAATTAGTAAAACTGATGAACTGTGAAACCTCTGATGTAGAATATATGAAATAAGAGTAAATCTTACAGTACACGGATGATGTCAGACACAGGCAGGTGTAGGGGGCATCCTAGGTCATCGCACTCTTCGGAGTTTACATCTCACCTCCCTGGCCGCGACCTTGTCCCCCTCCTATTCCACGAATTCGAGGTCGAAACCCGTAAAGGGTAATAGTTTGGCACAGACCACGCTAGCAATATCGATTAGGAAGAATGTTAGACCCAAAGCTCTACCAAAAAGACTATGTCAATCTCAAAGGTTGACATGATCAACATGCCAAGTTACCAATTCATAAACCCACCTCCGTGTTCCGAGTACAGCGTACTTCCGGCATATTCCGGTATCTTGCTTGGCTAGTTTGAAACATAGCACTCTGTGTTTTGTAGCTACTATGTAGTGGACTACCTGAAATGTGTTGTAATGGTAATGGCGGTGACACCCGAACGAAGAATATGACCAGGTTTATTGTGGAGTTCTACCCTCGCCACAGAGTATACAGAGTAGTAAGGTACAGATACGCTAGCTCGAGGTTACGGATACGAGAAATGCACAAGGGGTTCGTGCGGGCCGTTGTAAACGTAGCATATAAATACCTGTGGTGCGGCCCTCTTTCTTTCCCATCCTTCATATCAAATGTTCACTTCCAGACACGAGGTAAGACAAGTTCCCCTTCAGCACTATGTTTCTATGATGTTATCTATTCCTTCACTCGCCGAAATGAAAACACCATTTTTGCTTAAGTTTGGTGTATCTTGTGATTATACTTGAGGTTTACTGAGATTGTTATTCACAAACTTTATTCGTGGAATATCTGGTTGACATTAGGCTAATTGACAAGTTCTACAGATAGACAACTAAGTTCAAATGTTCTCTTCTCAACACTAGGTAAGACAAGTTCCCCTTCAGCACCATGTTTCCATGATGTTATCTATTCCTTCACTCGCCGAAATGAAAACACCATTTTTGCTTAAGTTTGGTGTATCTTCTGATTATACTTGAGGTTTACTGAGATTGTTATCTGCCTACGCTATTCATAAAAACTCCGGTTGGCATTAAGCTAATTGTTAGATTCCGCAGATCGACTACAGGTACATTAAAGAAATCGAAAATATATATTTGCCGGCAGGCTTATAGCTATACGCAACCCTTCTACTGGTCATGCTACAGTTAGACAGACGGAGAGACGGTTTGAGACAGTAGAACAGAATGCATTTTAATAGGCATATAAAGCCCCATGTAACCAGTGTGCATTTCAAATATAATATATGCCTCAGGCTAGGGCTGCAAGTAGACTTAGATGTACCTGGGCACAGCAGTAGCAATGATATTAGTGTCGGGTCCACCTGGGATAAGCGAGGCCGTCATCGTGAGGATGATGAGCCAGAACATCAATCCAGTGGGTATTCTTCAGTTCCTTCAGTTCCCCCAACCGAACGCGTTTCAGACTTTGAAGGTGAGCGTGGAGAAGTTGGCATTTTCACGGGACCCACTGTGTCTTTGGGGTGGTGTTCATCACCTGGCCCTGGTACTGTGCTCATGTACCCATGGAATCTTAAGTTCCCCGACGGCCTTCAAATCAGGGCTGCCAGTGCTGGCGTTCATGATCATTGCGGAGTCAGGAACCAAGTGATACGCTACCCCGGCTGCTTTGAAATCGCCAAAGCTGATGTTGATCGACTAGGCCTCCAGGGCCGCTCCAACAACCTGCCCTACGGATTGTTGGAAGCGGCCCCGGAGGCCATTTTCATCGCCAACGAAGACCTTCTCCTCTTGTAGGTCTCTTTTAGAGAGCGTGTATGCCACAACCTTCTTCGACCATTTCTGGGCCGCAATTTTGAAAAGCACCTCATCAAAAAAGCCCTCCCATTCTCTCATGGGCCCAACAAACCTGACCTTTTGCAAGGCAGACGAGCGGGTTTGGTGTGGCCCCTGGAGGAGCTGCGGAAGAGCTGCGCTGACAGTATCTCTGGTAAAAATGAAAGAAAAACCAAAAAAAATGTGACTTGAAAGTGAGAGCATCTTGAAACCAAAGTAAACTTAACTTCACCCCAACCCCTCATAAGACACCGTGTTGAGATATTCAATAAGAATCCAGATGAACAGTTGTCTTAGTTTGACAATGCTAAAAACAGCCTCGGATACAAGGACCTGTCAGTTGAATACAGCTTTCATTGCGCCCCTTGCCTTCTCTAAGACCCTTTTAACAATACCGAGAGGGAGCAGAAGGGTTTACGAGGGATATTGGGGCCGGAAGGGCGAGGATTGTTCTTCAATGCTTCCATAATCCCAACTCGGCATTTGATGAGAGCATGCCCAATCCCTTTTGCCATGAGCAAAGCCTTTTTCGTGAACTTGCCGATCAAATAAATGGGGACAAGCGCGTAAGTGTAGAGACGGTTCGATGGCGCTGGGTTCTCCATAGTTGATGACATGCACTCGATATTAAGCTTCGAATGAGACACCTTCGAGGTCAGTTTGCGAGGGGGTACAAACAGGTTGGTGGGTGACCAAAACCAGTATTCCGCCATATGACCCAGTTGTAGTAATTCCGTTGCCAACTGCATGACTTCCCACTGCTGGTAGGAAACCGACATCAGGGACAGTCATTTTCCGCTCAGAAAAGTTGTCCTCCATCCAGTTACCATGCAGAGAATAATGTGTGTAGGTCATTCCGTCGCATGTCTGGATCATGGTAGACCCATGCATTTGAAGAATTGATTTACTCCCCTTGTCGACCTTCAAAATAACAGGGTCAATGAGACAGTGTGCACGGTTCATGATAGAGTTCACACGGAGCTCATCGCTTCTGTGTTGTACCTTCGGCCGAGCCCGTATGAAAGCGAGGGAGACCACTTTGGGGGGTTGAGGTTGGCAAATTTACCAGCTGACCGAACAAATTCCAGTGATGAATAGTGCCATCCTGGCCTCCAACATATGATCGGTATTGGTATTCCTTGTCACACTGTGCGGTACCCTATGAGGTTTAAGAATGGTCAGTCTCCAAAATCTAACAGAGGCTGGTGAGCCAGAAGAAGGGGTAAGTGCCAATGTGAAGGTTGTGGGTGGGCTGTTTGTGGTAAAAGTTTCATTGTTAATTCTGGTCTCATTAGTCTCAAAGGAGAGGGGATGCATAAAATGTTCACGTAAAAGCAGGAAGTGAGGTTAAATCAATACCAAGTTTGTCTCAATGTCTTCGGTATCAACAGCTTCACCGTCCACAGCTATATCCTCCTCGATATCGTCGCACAAGTCGAAAGACTCGGGGTCGGGGAGGTAAAGGTACTCATCGTCCTAGATAAGATACCACTGTTAGTATCTAATAAATAAACGGATAGAAGAGAAGATAAAGACCTTTTCGATGGCTGAAATAGGGACAGCGGAGCTTGTAGCATGGGACTCGGTCTCCATGGCTATGGTTTCCTCGATATCGTCGCACAAGTCAAAATAATCGGGGTCAGGGAGGTAAAAATACTCATCTTCCTAAATAGGACGCCACTGTTAGTAAAAGATGAAGTAATAGATAGAAGTGAAGATAAAGACCTGTGTGGGGGCTGGGATAGGGATAGGAGAGCTTGTAGCGTGGGACTCGACCTCCATTGCTATGCTCTGCTCAACATCCTCGAACCAGTCAAAATGCTCGCGGGCTAGGAGACGAGAATACTCATCCTCCTAAATAGGATGTCATTATTAGTATCGAATGAATAAACGGATAGGAGTGAGGAGTGAGGATAAATACCAGTTCGGTGGCTATGGTCGGGATGGTAGAGGTTTCAGAGAGGTCATTCATCTTCGGGGCGGCCTGTATGGTGTATCATCGTCAATATCTGACCCTTTGAAGTAACAGAGTGTAGCTGGGTCAACATACCATTATGCACTGTTCCATAAGGCTTCGGTAACTATGACTTGTATGATTCGAAGGGATGATAGATGAATTAGATAGATGATATGTGCTATGGTGATGATAGACTTCTGGTTGAATGTTGTGGTTTGAAAATGACGAGGGAGGAGATAAACAGAGGCATTCACTGAGTACGTGTTTTATGTTGTAGTAAACAATCCCAGAAAGGAAGGACATCGGGGATGCACTTGCCTCCAAACAAAAATTGATCCCAAAGATGTCATTTGGTAGCTACTTTTTGGAGATAAACGTATATTTGGCTGGGTATAGCGAACAACTTGTTCATGAAGATTTGAAATTAGCGCATATCATACATGTAATGAAGTACTTGCCTATTTATATGGAAAATCCTTCAAGAAATTGTAGGAGCCCCAACAGACAGGGTGGAATAAAGGTCTGGGATCAGAGGATGCATTTAAAACCATTGCTCACAATCGAGTGAAGCTTCCACCCCCGCTAGTTGTTACATCTACTGAATGAAATACTTGTAGATAATATAGATCCAGGAAGGATTGTTCTAATCCATCGATCGAGGGGAACATTATATACGTGACTTCCATGGTGACAACGAAGGCCAATTTACACTGGGTGCTTTCGTGTTGACTAGGATCATGTTGATGAATTAGGTTTATATTTACAAAACGTATCTAAACCCTTTGTTATCGATCTCTGTTTTGTCCTTGGAAGACATCATTTAGCATATTGTAAGGTCTAATGGAACTCAAAACTCACCAGCATGCCATTTTCAACACCTTCCGCCTCAACCTCCTGGCCATCGATTGCTTCGCGGTCTCGACGCTTGTTCTCAGTGTACATGTAAATGTACAAAGCGACAATGCAGACCAGTTTTACTGCATAACCAGCGAGCATCCTATAGAAATCATCAATCAGTTGAACTTTGGGTTTAAGGCCAAACTGCAACATACGCAATGTAAGCACTGTGATATCCAGGGGCCTCGCTAGACTTGAAAGTCTGCGGTCCAATTATATTCCCCACGCAGTATCCAGTGAACAACAGAGCACCAGTGACTTGCTTCTTAGTGTATCCAGCAATGTTAGAGCTAACGATAGTCAAACTCATGCTGAATCCCAAGCCTTGAAAATAGCATAGCCAAAGTGCAACAAGGCGGCCCCATTTGTTGGTGTTTGGTAGTCCGACAAGAAGACCTGATCCAACGATACAGACTGTGCAAGCAAAGATCATGCATGCAAATCGTGAATGAAATTTACCATCAAACTTGGTCGCAATATAACCCCCGAGCAGGAGAGTGATGAACTGAACAGCACCACCGGGGATTTGCAGATATTGAGTTCCAAGCGTATCAAATCCGAAAGTGCCGACGATAATGGAAGTAAACTGTTTAGCTGTTAGTTTTGCCATATCTAACTCACAGTCATACATAGGAAAACATACGCTAGTTAATGCTGAGTTCGGGACTTGTGCACCAATTGCCATGATGAACAAGAGCCAGGTCTTCGGGTCTTCGGCTGCTTGTCGGACCTGGTACCATTTGAATTGACTACTTTTGACACCTTGCCGGTTGATAGCGACGCGATCAACAGCAATGGCTCGCTCGCGCTCGGTAAGAAATTTCGCGGTTGAAGGAAGATCGGGGAGAAAGATAAGGGCAATGGCTCCCACTGCGACGGAGAAGGCTCCAAAAATGAGGAAGACGTACATCCACCGTGGAAGTCCAGTAGTGATATGGCCAACCGCATAGCCAATAAGACTATATCCATTTAGTTCCCCAGTTTTATTTTCAATATAATTTCTCAGAGGTGGGTAATTGCTCTTCACTCACCCTCCAAACATTGTTGCGATACCATTAGTGCAGTACCATGCCTCCAGTCGCAGTGGTTGTTCTTCAGATTTGTACCACATGCCGGTCATGAGAACAAATCCAGGAGTTACAACTGCTTCGACCATTCCCAAAAGGAAACGATTAATTGCAATCCCAGCAAAGTTGTAGCATGCTGGTGTTGTCATGAGCAATCCGCCCCAGACTATTTTTCTCTTAGCATGTTTCTAGTATCAAATGACATTGCAGTTCTCTTACTCAATGTGGTGATGGCAAGAAATTTGCCGACGGGTAGCTTCTGCATGGCTAACCCCGCAGGCCATTGTGCAATGAGATATCCGAAGTAGAAAATGGAGCCTGACCGAATTAGTGACTTGCATTATGAATGCTCGGAATCGAAAACCTACTAAGCCATGAATATTCTTGTCCCTTTAGGTGCATTCCCTGCTTTAGGCCGTACACAGACGCAAAATTGATACTGTTTTTATCCAGGTACTGCATGGCTTTAGTACTTGAATTGCAGTGAACAAGACATGTGATATTCCCACCTGCAGCATGTAGATTAAGAATAGCAACGGAATGAGGCGTATATCAATCTTGCGGAGAACGTTTTTTGCTTCCTGCGTTGTGTATTCGATATCTCGATGTTGTTTATAAAACTGATAGTTCTCATTCCCTTCTGATGCAATAGTTGAGCTGGCAGGCGACACCGCTGCCTCAACTTCTTTTAGCGACGCCATCCTCTGTATTTTGCCCGGTTTGCAAATCGAACCGGTTGAAGATGAAATAAAGTAGAGGAAGAGGCAGCGTTTTATAAAACCTGGCAATTTACTGGCGGCACGGCTGAGGTGGATAATTGCACAATAACAGTCGAAGCTAAGGCCCACATATCCTAGCGGGGAAGGCAGCATGAACAAATCAGGGATATAAAGATTTAAGCTAATTTCCACAGGAGTTGTCTCCGTGATGCTATCGAATATCTAGTATTGACAGCCTCGCAGTCAAACATGAATCTCGATGCGTATGTTGATTGGCAACTTGTGTGATTCGAGTCTCCCACTCAACGCACATTGCTCTCCATACTCTATTCTATCAAGATACTGTACAATCTTCCTACGGCGGGAATAATAAGGTGGCAGATAATATTGGGTGGTTGAAACCACACGGGTGGAGCCATCCGTGAATCACGACATCACTGCCGCAATTGCGCGTTTCTTGGGCCATATGAGCAACTTCCATCTAGGACTATCCCACAATTGGCTCGAAATTCGGAGTTTTTCCGTGCTGAGAAGAAAAAAGAAAACCCAGCAGTTCCTGCCCTTGCCTCTGGGCCTGTCACCTCCATGGCTCTACAAAATAATATCCTTGCTAAAGACTTAGGTTCTACTACTCACGATCTTTTGCTAAACTCACGAGTTATATATTTCATCCGAACATCAATTTAAGATCGAGATCTTGCGTACAAAATCGCTTATTCTTCCGTAATACACCGGAATCTGCATCATTCCATTCAATGAGCCTTGGCCTAAAGATCGATGTTGAGATAAAGAATGACTGAACCCTGAAAGAATTCCGGGGAACCTTGGAAACCCCATGATCGATTATATAATAGTCACTAAGCCGCACCGTAATCATGCTATATCAACAATGTTCGACTATTAATTTGTTCATTCTCTTCGCCCGGTGCGCGATAGTTATGCAGCGCCCCCCTGCATACAGCCAGTAGACATAACCATTCCACTGCTGGCCCCATCGGGGGCCATACACTAAAATTATCTCAGCTAATGTGAATGTAAAGTAATTGTGAGCGGGGGAATTGAGGCCTTCCTTCCTTTCCTATCATATCAGGTGACTGGCGATCATCGAACAAATGTCCTGCGATCATTTTCAAAATCGATTTGCGAACGACAATTACCTCCCGTTTTCTCGCCACTCAAAATGATAACGCAAAGACCGACGAGTGCCCCAGGCGAAGATATCCAACCGTGTCGCATGAGGGAGAACGGGCGTGGCGGTTGATACTCGCAAAGCGAATGATGGTATCAAGGCGAGGGAAGACCATGCTCCAAGTCTACACGAAGGGAACCCTATGAATTTTGAAACTCGTTCGGTTAGGGGAACAAAAGAAAATAAAGAATATCCCACTAGATTAAAGTTCTGGCTCATCATGCTTACGATAACGGCCTTACTTATCCTAGGTAGACTCGACACTAATATTGTTACTACTACTATACCTAGGTATAGTATGACGATAGTCACATTGATGGTCAACAACGATCCCAGCTACGTTCCGGCAGTAACAACAAGCTATCATAGAATTAAATGGGATATTATTGTAAAGTTTGATGTCTATAACCAAGGTATGCTCGAACGCTATCTTATGATCAATGACTTGTGCGACACTGATCAATTCATCTACCTTAGTTTGGCACATATTGACAAGATTCTTCTGCGCTTTTGTCATGGAAGGCTCGCAGAGGCCGCCCTCGGGTGACAGGCCTACATCCACATTAGCTAGCGTCGTCCCTTCTCTGTATTCTCTCTGCACTCTTGATTCCCGCTTCCCGAATAAAAAATCATTTTCAATCAATCCTTTCTCTAAGTGAGAGTTTAGAATACCTCTCAAATATATCAACAATCCAGAAAGTATTAGCCATCATGGTGTGCGTGGATATTTACCCTTTGGAGACAGATACTTGGGAATCTAGCCTTTCTTCACAGGTCATTCTTACTCGTAGTTGACATTTTAGTGACTGCGTCCTCAGATAGACTTCATTATACCCTGACATTTCTTCATTTTCAATCAATACCAATTTCGTACTGATAGCAGGGTGGGTGGACGTGGTGTCAGGGTTTTCGGTATCCATATCGATGGCTTCACCCTCCATAGCTATGTCTTCTTTGACATCCCCGCACCGGTTGAATGGCTCTTCAGCAAGAAGGCCCTCATAATTCTCATCCTATATATCATGAGTGCTGTTAGTATTGAGGGCCTCAAATAGATAGGTCAGATGGTAGTGGGTACATACCGGGTTTGTGACTGAAGTAGGAGCGGCAGAGCTTTGATCGTGGGATAAATGGAAGAAATTACATAAGAATTCTGGGATAGCTTCAGTAGGGATAAAGTGATGGCTTGGAAAGGTAGATAAAAAAAGTGAACCTCACTCTGAATAGCTTCAAGCTTACCTCATTTGGCCGATAAGGATCTAGTCAATCAGATCACTAGAATAGTAAAATAAGTGATGTTAAAATGAATTTAAGGAGCAGACATGTCAGAGTCCCTCTCATAGTGGTAAAGCACATATAACTGATCTCTGTGTGCGCGGGGAACCATGTTTCTTTTGTTTATCCTTCAAAGAATATTCATAGAAATTAGGAATGAGGTTCACAATAAATAATCTTTACTTGGCAAAGGAGAATTAGTGAACGCGTGAAACAATGCTTGGCCTCATGCACTTGCCGCGCCTACATAAGGTCAGCTCTCCCTTTCTCTCTCTCCCTATCCTTCCCATTATGAAGTCATATATATTGCTGCTCGCAGATGACTTATTTTTTTTTATGTCTACTCGTGTTACCTATCAGCCTTCCCGTTTGCTACACTGTTTGCTAGTTCAGACTAAGATTTTTGTTTGCTACTATGTAGTTCCTTCACTTCTCTTCCTCCCCTCTACCTCCCCACAACCCCCTGTTTATCTTGCAGCATTCTATGAAGCATTAGTTCTATTGAGTCAAGATGGCGTTCAGTTTTTTGGTGGCCTGAAGGTACGTTTTGAGGCTTTTTCCGGCCTTCCTGTTCCTTCTGGGCCCTTTCCTAGCCCCGTGGGACCCGTGTGGACCCGTGTGGACTGACTAGTTGTGACACATTAATAGACCCCGTCATTTGTCGACTCCTTTGGCGGCCCTTTTCACCACCCCCCAATTCCGCTGGGCGCGCTTGCTGGAGCGCAAGGTAGCTGCCGAGTGGGAGCACTGGGCTACACAGTGCCACTTAGACAAGGAACTCCCCCCGTGTCCACTATCACGTTCTATATCTATATTTAGGACATATTACAGAATCTGCTGCCAGTTGACATTGTGGATACCAGTGCGGAGTTCAAATCACTTGGCTCCAAACCCTTTCAGGCCTAATCCGATCCAAAAGCTGGCGTTATAATCTAGCACCGTTTCGGATCTACGCCCTAATTTGTGTGGGATATCAGGGGAAAAGGGGTTATTCTTCGCTTTGTGGGAGGGGATAAGAAGCCTTGACAAGCGCTGCATTGATGGTTCCTGTATGATACAAGTACAGGCCTATCATTTGCTTAGGTGGCCACAAAGGAAATTACATACCCGATACACCCTTTATATTTTGAAGTCAGTCCATATCCATGGCAAGCTGAATCCCATGGAGCCACGACTTGCACCATAACCTTCAAATTCGTACTTACCCTTGGTCCTAGCTCGCCAGTTTCTGCAGGATCTTAAAAACTGACCACGCTTATACCACACAGGTTAGCACACGGTGCAACAACGAGTATGAGTACCTATCAATGGGCGGGGGTTGAGACGAGACAATTCGTCATTGGAACTGGTTCTGCCGGCCAGTGCATTCACCCACGCTGACCCCTCCAGCGGCTTCCCTCGCGTTCACGCAAGCCAAACCAAAAGTGCCACTAGGAAGGGATGAGATTTGTGTGAGATCTTAGGTAGTCGTGCCACTTCCCCAAGTCAGACCAGTTTTGCTTTGCATTGGTTTGCATTTGGCTGTATATTTCTTGTTCTTTAACTGACGTACGATAGATTCATTCTCTTAACAATGTCTTCTTTGACTAAGGTATGTTATGTGGCTCCTTTTGATGTTCTAGCAAGTGTGATGTAAACTCACATAAACCTTCTTCAGCCTAGAGCTACTTCGTCGGTGTGAATTCGATTGGGCCGAAGACGCCAAATGACGGCCTCCACCGGCAATCCCTAAATTTGGAAGTCCCCAGCTCAGGACGCAAGATCTCTGCTGGGCGCAATCCCGGCTATGACCACAGCCTGTGATACCATCGACGACATCTCAAAGGACGCCTGTACGATCGCAACCTATGGCAAATATTTGGAAACCCCAACAGCCAATCAGGTACTCCGTGTCCATCAAATGGTGGCTGAAGCACGAGAACGGTATCACAAAAAGGTTGCAGAAGCCGAAACTCAGATCCGTCAGCAGGACCAAGTCGGCCGACAGATCCTGACAACACTGTTAGAACGTGCATGCCAGCTACCAATCGCATCGCGGACGCACTGTCTATGGTAGACAGAGAACTGAAAGAGGAAACCGATCTCTAGTCGTTTCCTCCTAGTATATCTATTCTCCCAGTGGATATAGACTTCTACCCCTACACTTTACGTTTCTATTGTACGGAGAGAAAATTGATGAAAACGTATTCGATAGGGAAAGTTCTATCTGGGTATCACGCGTATATAAAATAATGCTGCTAAATCTCATGACAAAGGAAATAGGAGAAAAGAGTGAGGCGCCTTCGGCGTTCGTCAAGACATAAAAGTAGCACAAAAGAAAGGCGGTTGACAAAAGAACTGAAAAATATAAAAGACACCACACAAATTCTATTTTTGAATTTTCAGTTTTTATTAACAATAAAATTCAAATATCAGTGACAGATGGATATTGTAGAGAAGTAATAATCTGGAAGGTTTTCGCCAAATCGTGATCTCAATCCGGTTCCAACCAAAAGACAAAGCAATCCGAGGGCGAGGTAAGACCTATCATATATGAGTTGAAGATGAAAGTAAATCAAACCCAAATGCAAAGCAAAATCAATGTGACTGGGGAGGAGAGATACAACTACCTAGCGTGGAGTGCCCTTCAAAATTTGAACATGGATTGCAGTCCCCGCCGAGCCTTTATGAACGCCTTCTTGAATGGCCCAGGACGACCAAAGACAGGAGTCGGGAAAGAGAAATACTCCTCACTGGGTGCTCCAATCACACAAGTGGTGATCTTACGGGGTGGTCTCTTCGCTCGATTAATGCTCTGAGGGCATGGTACCTCAGAAATATCCGGGGTACAGATTTCTGAGGTTGAAAGAGTTTGACATTCTCGCAAAGGTGAGGGCTTCCGCTCCCAAGTCATCCTCCGCGGATACTGAAAACCTGAAGAGGCATTACAAGCTTCATCCCGAGCCTCAGTCCACTGTGACACCGACCTAATAGCACTAGACTCCACGAAGCCATTTCCAATGGCCATATCGGTGGCATCGTAAGTCCATACGCTACCAAAGTCCGTGGTCGCTTCTTCACTCGTATCGTTCGGGTCTTCCATCCACCTTCCATGTGGCGAGTAGAACTTGAAAACACGTCCAGTTGATGCCCGGACAAGCTCCGATCCCCGGAGGCCAAACAAGCTATCGTTAGCGCTATCCATAAGGACAATAACCGGGTCTATGTACAGGGTTGCTCGGCTCACAAGTAATTGGATCCTCAATGAGGCACCCCCCTGAGGATTCTTGGGATCCGCCAAGATGATGGCAAGCGAGTCGGATGGTGAAGTAGCGCTGTGGGTATAAGCTCGCATCCCCATCCAGTTAAAGTGGTGGATGTTTTCGTCGACATCAATCCATGCTTGACGATCAGCAAAGATTGTATCCACACATTGCTGTGCAATCGAATAGACCTCTGCTTCCTCGTCGGGTGTTAATTGTTCGAGGCGGGACTCGCAAAAAGAAGGTGTCCCACAACTCGGGGCTGTACTAGTGGACCCAAGGGATTCGCTCTGGGTTTCGGATGAGGAGGTCGAGGCTCCATGTGAAGCTCCATCAACCCAGCCAAGCTGGTCATCCCAGACCTCCTCATAGATAGTTGGAAGGGTTGGCTCAAATCGGGGCTTGGGCACGTATTGAAGACTTGGGTAGGATTCATTGTACCACTTTGCCTGAGGCCAGGAGGAACCAAGAGATTTGGGTGTAGCGGGCATACGCAAATCACAGTGGATGGCAGCCTCTTCGGCATCTTCGGCCCAATCGAAGTTGCACCGTTGGAGAAGGTTGTCAAATGGATCTACCTGTGTTGAAGGAGACCCATGTAAGTTGCTATCACGCTTTTGCACAATGTTCAGAGGGGACACATAGCAAACCTTAGGTGGGGAAGACATTTCGATGACCCTCTGTAATATCTGAAGGATTGTGCACTAATATGGATATTGGTGGTGGTTGGTAGCAATTGCAAGATACAGTCAAAAAATACGCAATTCTGGAATCGATATTGTAAGTGAAGCAAAGGTTAGAAAGTAAACAATATTCCTTCTAGGAAGAACTGATAGGTTACGGTGGTGTTTGTGTTGTGCTGAGTATGGAAGGAACGCCTTCAGTTGTTCTTTCTATCTGAACACAAATATCACAAAATGGTTCGAAGGCAAGTTCCGAATAACCAGTTTTTGCTGTATGGTGTTGGATGAGGACCATCAAGGCTATTTAATAGTTGCATCGGGGGCAGTGACTCTCCTTTGGAACTATTAATCGATGTCCTCCAAGGAAATAGGGACAATGGCATTCATTTGATCTTTGTATAGCTAAAACGAGTCTTCTGTTGTTAGTCATAATAGTGCACTTAGCCCTTTGTCTAGTTAAAGATGACCATCCAATTAGGGCTTCAAAGACAAACCATTTCTTTGAGCAATGAGACAAGAGGCTTTGTCCCTTATCATGATAATCATATAGCGTATACAACATATACAAAGAATATAACATGCATTCAGAGACAAACTCCATTATATGCATTACCTCTAAATAACCATGTTAAGTTCTCAATGCAGCGAAGCTGGGTTGGTGAGCTCCACAAATTGTAAGAATCAGGTATCTTTTGTATGGCAATCTCAAATGAAAGGTACATAAAGTACAGTATAAGCATAACATGGTTCCAAGGTTTCCAAGGTTGTCTTAACTTTCAACCCAGAAAGGCCAAATTATGCAAGTCTTGTTCAAACAATGTCCTACTAGAATTATTTCTTGATAGCAATGTGTAAAGAGCACCATGAAAACAACACGTATAAAATCCTATATGTAAACGTATAACCTTTCTCTTGCTTCAAGCATACTTGATACTTTTTATCAATGGTAAGTAATCCAGTTTCACTTACGTTATGTATTTTCCTAACAATCTCCGGGTTAATGAAACTGTGATTATGACTCTATTTTGTTTATGTATACATAGTGTCCTAGACGAGACAGCAACAGTAGACAAAACAAAACAGCCTAAGGCTCCGGCTAATATTCCTACATGAGGTTATAATATATGATAGGTGGTTTATTAACTTCCTGCAAGACGAGTAAAATTTCCCTTCGTGGACTATAGACGGAGATAAGGAATCGGCCTTCTCGCCGGCGATTACATAACATAATATGACGCCAGAGTCCCCCGCACAGCTCGTGATTGTTCTATTTATTTCGGCTTCAACTTTGTATTTCTCCTAGAAAAATAGAGACTTTGATCCATGACCCATTTACGAGCTTACATCAGATCAATTGGACACTTTCGACGACCCTCACACCCCTTCACAACCCCATTCCTCTCCGCAAACCCCACGCCCTTCCCAGCGGCCCACCGAACTTTTCTCCGACGCACCATGGCTACCGCAATGGCAAAGCGCCTCGAAGGCAAGACTATCGTCGTTACCGGCGCCTCATCTGGCATTGGAAAGAGCACTGCCAAGGAGTTCGCCCGTACATCGCCCAAGAACCTGAAGTTGATCATCACCGCGCGCCGTATCGATACATTGAAGGAGGTCGCCGCGGAGATCAAGCAGGAAGTCGGCGAAGGTGTCAAAGTCCTCCCTGTGAAACTGGATGTCAGCAACCCAGAGGAAGTCAATAACTTTGTTTCCTCCCTGCCGGAGGAGTTCAGGGAGATTGATGTCCTTGTCAATAATGCGTGAGTCATACCCATCGAGCTTAACTGATATGCACGATCGATACTGACATTCACGGTGTAGTGGCTTGGTCAAGGGCGTTGCTCAGGCACCTGAGATCGCGGCCGAGGATATCAAGGTCATGTTTGATACCAACGTTACCGGTCTCATTAACATGACCCAGGCTATCCTACCCATCTTTAAGAGGCGCTCTGAGGGTGGCCGTGGTGATATTATTAACATTGGCAGCATCGCTGGTCGCGAGCCTTACGCTGGCGGTAGCATCTACTGCGCCACCAAGGCTGCTGTCCGCTCCTTCACTGATGCGATGAGAAAGGAGCTCATCGCCACGAGAATCCGTGTTATTGAGATCGATCCCGGTCAGGTTGAGACGGTATGTCGTATATGTCTATGGTCATGACATGAAGCTAATACCCGTGGTTAGGAGTTCTCTGTTGTCCGATTCAATGGAGACAAGGCCAAGGCTGATGCTGTGTACAAGTAAGTCATGCTAAATACAGAGAAACATACAATATAATTAACCATTGACAGGGGCGTCGAGCCGTTGACCGGTGACGACATCGCCGAGATTGTTGTCTTTGCCGCTGGTCGTCGTGAGAATGTTGTGATCGCCGATACCCTGGTCTTCCCCAGCCACCAAGTAAGCTTGTTTTGCGGTCAAACTTTATTATGAGATACTGACTATTTCTTAGGCTGCGGCTGGTGTCATGCACCGCAAGTCATAACTTGCACCCCGATCCGAATGAAGATTTAGCGCGGCTTTAGATAGCGCTCATTGTATATGATCCAAGGTCGGGTTGTGTGGTGTAAATATGAGCACATATTCGATCATCAATATACATTCAGATTAGGTCGGTAAGACCGAAGTACACAAAATTATCCCGCTTCGTATATTGCGTAGTATATATGAGTGAAGTACATATTTATGAGGCAACGAGGCATTACCCAGTCATAAAAGACTAGCCTCCAAGCTTATTTCAGAACTGTCCCAACAATCAGAGAACAGCGAGGGCCAGTGCAGCCGCAACACCACCAGCAGCCCAGCGGGCGTTTCCAGTAATCATAGGCATAGCAGCGTTACCACTCTCAGTCTGACTGGTGGCAGCAGCACTGCTGCTATCCGAGGAACCACCAGTGCTAGTACCAGTAGCAGTTCCACTGGAAGCGGAAGTAGTCAAAGTAGCGCCGCTAGTCGAGGCAGCGGTAGAAGCCGAGGCCGAAGCACCAGTAGTAGCAGACGCGCTCTCAGTTCCAGTCGCGGTGATAGTCACAGGCATCAGAGCGCCACCGGGGATTTCAGTCAGGGCGACGGCTGAGTTCCACTCGGTGGTGATGCCACGCTCGTCGAGGGATGCACCACAACTGGCAGTTTTGGAATCCCACTTGCAGCTCTCAAGGACAGTCCTATTTCGGGAAATGATCAGCTGTGGGGTCGAAGTGGGTTTGTTGGGTTTATACTCACATCTTGTCCATGCTGTATGCTAGGCTGACGGTTGAAGAGCCTTGGACCACGGTCATTCCGTCGGGGGGGATGCCACATTCGTCGGATTCAACGTTGGCAGCACACTTGATGTGGTATTTGGTCATGGAGCCGGTCTGAATGAATCTCAATTAGATGGATCGATATAGAGGAATTGCTGCGCTCACGGTGCCAATGACCTTGCCCTCAATTCGTTGCTCATCGAATCCGGGGAGGAAAAGAGTGACTGTCTCGGCGGCGATGGCGGCAGTGGCACCGGCCAAGAGGGCGAGAGATTGGAGACGCATTTTTGTATTTAAACGAATGTCGGGGTATAATCAAAAGAGTGACAAAGATGGAAATTGTGAAGAGATGTTAAGAAAAGGGAAAGAGCAGCTGTCCTTCACATATAAGGATTTATTTCAGGGTCTCATGCAGTAAGCAATGCCGACCTTGGAAGGTTCTAAGCTATTTTAGAATTATTTTAGAAATGGCCTTGTAGACGGAGTTATCCTATTGGCTGGTTCATTATTTCTCTTGACGAAGAGATGACCTCTAACCTATTCGGGTACTAGACTGTTGACTAGCCTCGGTGAAAGTTATACCGCTATACCTAATCGGGCTACTTTAGCCCCTTCCACAGGGGCCAAATCAGGTCTGAAGGACCCAGACCCCAGTCCAATGCCCCTTAAAAGGTCGGATATATCGAATGCCGACTTTCCACTTTTAAAATGATCCAAGATTTTGATTTTATCGGCATTTTAGGTCTCTCTATGGTGTCTCCGCAAAAGAAATTGCCTAGTTCGGACTACCTTCAGCCTCAACCCCCCGTTTTGTCCCGGATTTCTCAATGCTGACCAATTATTTTTTTTTTTTTCTTTCTCTTCTCAATAGTTGATAGCCATTTTAACATTTTAGCCTTCATCCAGTATTCCTTATCTACAGTTTAGGCCTTTTTATCAGATTTGATGTTTATACGGAGTAAGGGTACTCCATACTGTGTACCCTATGCGTATGGTCCTCCAACTCAAGATAATCGAACAATAGAGTCAGCTAAAAAAGAATTCCGTATGGTCATCACTATTGCTTCGCCTTCTCTAACAGAACTCCTTTATGATTTTATCCTACTTATATCTATGGCTCCCTCGAAACCAATGCAATCCCCTCTACTTTGCCTCGAAGCTCCGCAAACACAACCTTTAGAAAATTCTCCGTGGACCCAGGTGTCGAGATCCAAGATGCCTTGTTTGACAGCCTTGTGCCCCAAAGTATATATCCACTAGATAACCGCTAAGCTAGCAGGGTGGTTGGTTGAACCTAATTGCCAAGCTTCAAAGAGAGTAATGCTAAGCGATTAGTTAGTGTCCTTTTCTTCACCAACCAACCGTATCTCAACTGAAATGCATAAACGCCTCTAAGACAGCTACCATTGTGGCTGATGCTGCAGGTGATCATTTTCCCCCGAACTTCCAAGTTATCTCTTCCGCAAGATGCCCACGCTGCAAATTGATTCGAGTACAGTCGTTCGCGACAACAGCCAAATGCACACAGCTTCTGTATAGGCTCGACTTTGTGCATAGAAACTACTTGGCAAGGCATATTTCTACCTTGGCATAATCTACAAAGAGGAGCTCTGACAGCTTCCACTCTCTATAAAGGAGCGCGGTGTGAACTATCTCCGCAAAGGTCTACTAAGCCAAACTCTCAACGGCAAAGAAATCACTACTACCAGATAACCCATTTTTCACATCAATCAACTATTTCCTACCAAAGTAATGGCAGCAAAAGTCGATGTCAACAATAAGGTCTATAAGCTAGCCGCGCTGCCGTTCATTCTAGAACGCAAGGGCGACTACGATGAAGCCATCAAAATCTACAAGAGCGCGATAAGTGTTATGGACGAAACAGCTCAAATATACAAAAAAGGAAATGCCCTCAAAATCCACCGGAAAATGTTCGAGAGACAGGCCCAAGTTCTTCGAGAACGCCTAGCCTATCTCGAAGGCCTAAAGCGCAAGGGCAGTTTCGACGATATAATATTGCCTCCGACAATCCTGGATGCGATGGAAGAGATAGAACACGAGGACGGAAAGACTCGGTCATTGACCCAGGTAAGCCGCACCATCCGGGATATAGCACACGTTTTCTAGATCACTGATACTTCTCGACTTCCAGATCCGCAAGGACCTTAATACTTTCCGCGGAGATAACCCCAGTCAATCTAAGGATATCAGCAAGGCTCCAGCCCACCTCCTCCCATTCCTCAATACCGACGCCTCGCAACGTCCCTTTTTCTCGTTGACACTTTCTCCCTCGTTGCCAACGGTCACGTATCGAATTACACATTCCTCAGAACTCGTCCACCTGGGCACGCGCTCATATTGGTTTTTCGTCAAAGACTCAACAAACACACACGTCTTATACGCCCTCCAATTCGTCTGGAGTAACGAAGCACCCATCGTCGAAACCGTCCTCCGACGCGCCGGGGAATTCCTACCCCAAATCGGAGCGACGAGTGTGAGACTGCAGAAGACTAAAGGAGGCAGTTTCCGGCTGGTGACGCGGACTATCCCCGATATGGGCCCAATAACTGAGATTCCGGATGGAGAGTTACAGAGGAAGGATTGGTCGCCGCGACGATTTGAGTACGGGGGACGCAATTTCGTTTGGAAGACTGCTGCGGCGGAGGGTAAGAAGGAGGGTGGGATTTTTGGGAGCTTTGGCTTTGCTTGGGAAACTTTGTATGAGACTAAGCGGGTGTGGGCTAAGAGTGGGAGTAGGACTGGGAAGATGGAGGATGAGATTGTTGGTCCGAGACTTTGTTGGGGGGAGAAGAAGGGGGGATACGGTGCTGATCATAGTATTCATATGGTTGGTGGTTTGGATTTGTATTTCAGGGAGCATTTGCTTGCGGTTCAGTTGTCGAGGTTGGGTCGTGGTAGTTATCCACCGCAAAAGGATACTCAGGGGATTGAAGCTGTATCTGTTGGTGTAGGGTGGATTTCCATTGCTTCGTCTTTGGCATGAGATCATGGTGAGGGGCTTGGGTTTGTTCTTCTCTGCATATATTTATCTTTTTTATGATAGCGAATTTTGCTTTTAGTCATGGTAAAGAAACGAATTAACAAGTTTCCGATACACCATTATCTAACTCTCGTGAGTAAAATATACAGTTAGGGCCCCGCCAGGTCAACTGTCTAGTGGCTGTTTTAAGTATCTCTAAGTGCTTATCCAAATTCCTAGCGACAAGAGAGGTTGTTGACCTTCAACCTCACCCCGAGTCGCCAACTGGCAAGACAGTAAATGCACATTCGGATTCGAAGGAGTTGCTCAAGCGAAGTTACAAAAGTATCTAACGGTCAAGATATACCTGATCAGCATGTGTAGGACGGTGTCGCGTCTTGGAAGAAGCTCTAGCAGAGCCTTCAGCTCAATCAATGTTTCTATCAGTATGTATTGCTAAGATATATTCCTGGCATCTCACCCTTCTATACATCAATTTCCTTCCCATCCAACCACTCTTTAGCAAGTCGATACAACAAATCATGCTTCTCCCCACAAACAGTCCCAGCATGTCGACGATGACCAGGCATATCCCTCAACACCGAGACCCCCATAGTAAGCTCCTGGCAGTATGCCAAACACTTATACCCCTCGGGATACGAGTTAAGCTTCTCCACATCAATGTCAGGGAAGTGATTCGGTATCACAGGCAACAGTTTATCCTTCTCATACCAATGTCGCACAAACCGCGCGCCCCAGCGACCATCCACTTTTTCGAAGAAGAAACAAAAACGGCAATCTGCCTCCGCATCCACTTCTATACCGTCGATTGTGAATCGCTGCGTGATAGTTGCCTTCATCTTTGTGACGGCGCGACTCGCATCAGATGTAATATCTGTAGTCACTCCGTGACATCGGTGCATGATGAATGCACCCTTGTCCATCCCCGCTTTAGAGGCCGCTATGAAGTCCAGGTAGGACACTCGGCCGGACCAGGTGGTGTAGACATATGCCCCTGGGTGGAAGATTGATTCGAAATTCTCCCATTCACAGGCATCACTGTAAGGGTTGTTTAGTCACAATCAGAAAATATTCTTGTAGGTTTGTTTTTACCGGTAGCAAGGCCATCCCTCAGCTAGCTCGCGGAGTTTCGCACGTTCGAGTACCAGGTTATCTGGGCCATTGTTGCGCATGGCATTTTCTGGCCAGGTTCCTTCGGGTAAGGAGTGCAAGTTGGGCATGATGGAACTCAGTTGGCGTAGATTGTCAGTTCAGATTGTGACATTAAGTATACCCTGTTTGCGGGGGTCGGGTAATTATTTTGACGGCTTAGTTCATTACCGGTCAGACTCCGATGATATATTTCTCAGACTTAAATGGCTAAAATGTTTAGACAAAATAATCAGTTTCTTAACATTGGGTATAGACAGGCTCAAATATAGGTTGTATGTAGCACTTTATCTACAGTAACTAGGAGTTGATTCCTTTTCTCTTCGGTTTCCTTAAGCAAGACATTCCATGCACCTTACCGGTTTAGTTTGAAGATCCCCCCCAGCCCACAAACGCCACTTCTCTCCAATCTAGTATGATAATATGCGTCCCCTCCACACATCGACACAAGGGCATCCCAGCTTAATCATCCTTATGCTCCACGCTTAAAAACACATGTTCAAGAACATCCTTTTCCGGCCACAACAGGGACTATTTGAGGACATTAGCCACTATGATCTCTATCTCAGTCCGTGACTCAAAGGCGACCACCGCCCCAATGATGTAGTACGTGATCGGTAGCTTCTTTCCCTGCTCGAGTGTTTTCATTAAGAATCACACTCTACGATCTGCACAAAGCTAGGGCGAAGCGCATCTATCTCGTGAGCTAAACCTTGGCCACCACTGAGAAATTGAAAGGCGATTTCAACACCTTTTTGAGACCGAATTTTGAAAATCCAGAAGTCGTTATCGGTACTTTGCCCGTAGAACAACGACGGAGTATCAATTCTCTTCGTTGTTCGAGGATCGGGGGCTGTGTGTCGATATGTCGTACAGGCCGAGATAGACGCCACTCTTGACGGCAGCACAGCAGAATCTGAGGTGGCACGGGTTACGGGTATGGAGGCACTGCTCGCACAGGCATTTGACCAGTTTCTACTTTGGACGGGACTTGAGCCGCCGAGGGAGATTATGACGGAGGCATTGTGGTACTTGGTAGAGAGCGGGCTACTATGGCTACAGATGGCATGCTTTAGATGTGGGGCATAACAGGCCATATTTAGAACATTTGACAGGTACGATATGCAATTGTTAACACTAAGTGCATTGCTCAATCAGCGCTCGACACGAGAAATCCTACTCATTGGATCATTTTGGTGGATAGATAGGATGTTCGGCTATTCCATTGCTTTCGTGTCAATCAATACTTCCCCACACCGAGATCACCGAAGGAAATAGATAACTCACGCTGTGTCTTCCATTCAGGCAATCCACAGATAGTCGACGACCCAATTGGTTTGGGTCTCTGATAAACACACCTCTGAGACATCCGATTCCCCCAATCGCGAATTTCCTGCTCCAAGATCGGCAAGTTATGACAGTTCACTGGAAGCCATCCCGTAGCCGTAGGCTGGATCAGTAGTGCAAGGACATTCAAAACCCAGAATTTGCTATTACTGCTTCTGCCAGGGCAGTTGAGACTGCTGTCGTAAGACCTTATCACCCTGTCGACAAACGGATGCAAGGGACGAGTGATATCGGCGATTCGGAACAGACCCGTTAGAAGTGGTGTGTTGAAGATCCCGCCGGTATACTCATGCTCAGGTCTCAGACCTGATCCTGTGTCTACGACGTGGTATGTCATTCCTCCAACGGAGTCCGAGTGCAGGTAAAGACCCGAGTAGAATTCATTGGGTTCGGGTGGTTCCTGACGGCTTTGGAGAATGACATAGAGTCCGCCGACTTTGAGATCTGCAAGAGACATTTCGAGCGATTGGCGGATGGGGTCTTTAAGTTTGGGCTTGTTGGCAGTTTGCTTTCCCTGCGCGTTGGGTAGGCACGAGTTGGGTAGAGTGCATGCTAGCTCGAGGCTTTACGGTGAATTTTTAATGTCAGGTACTTAAATCTCCGATGGACACGTTTGTCAACTGGCAGCTCATGTGCCCAGGCATTTGTACCCCCCTATGGTCTGTTGCACATCAAACGCGCTTGGTGATGCCGCAGGTCCCAAGTCAATTCGAGTGCGGTTCAATTTCGATATGCTTTTCTTAAATAGCTAGGAATCTCTAGGGCAGTAGTAAATTCTAAACACATCATTTTATCTCCTAGGCCAGCTACAATTCCACTTTATATTTATCAATATGGTTGGTATCAGTAGAAAAGAGCTTAGTATTAGTTCTCCATGCCCCTCAATTTCAAATTACACTCGGCCGTTGGCGTGATGCCAATTCCTCCACATTATGCACCGGCTTTCGTTAGTTCTAGAAATTTTAGTATGTATCACGTTTGTGTGACCTGGCATTTGTCACTAGATATTGTGGACAATGTCTACCAATAGTGTTTCCTATCACATCCCTTTATGCGGCTCCTCGGTTCATCATCCCATAGTTCTTTCGAAGCGCTGGAAACATAGTCGTACTACTTGCCGGATGCTGACGGATGCACGATCACCAGAGTCATGATCAATCACAGACCGTGTATCCGTTTGACAGATCATATCAGGCTTCCACATTGAAAATCCAACTAATGCAGCCTCAGTGACTATCAGATCACATCTAAGAATATTGGAAAATTTCAATGTTGACCAGATAATATCGGAATTTTATTTTTTGCGAGATATTGGAAGAAAGGAATTGAGTTCCGGTCATCCATGGGAAGGGAATCAACAGAGTCTCGTCTAAGTCAATATAGGCATCGCGCCCGGGGAAGAACCGTGGAAGACATTTGTTTGTTGTTTTTGGAATATTCTAGAAGTCAATAATTGGGAAAAGAGTCCAGTGTGAAAGAACAAGAGATGATGAAGTTATGTTATATGTTGTAGATGACTGCCTAGTGATCTACAGCCAAATGTGACTGTACATATTCTCCGGGGATCCAATAAGTCGCGGGGTTACCTGTCAAAGTTAATATAAGCCATGGACAAGACCTTAAAGAACATCGAAGAACGGGAAATACGGATCAACCTCCCGATCTGCATTTGCATCTGTCAAAAAACGGCGTGACTCAGACCTTTTCAGGTTAGTAGGCACATTAGCAGTAAAAAGATTAGTCGTCATTAAATAGATTCAGGGTTCTAAAGGTGGGATGTCATAATTTTTCCGATCTATCCAATCATGAAAAGTGACAGAGGTGTGCGGGATGATGCAATTATGCAAGGCGGGCGTCTACTGCAAGCCAGGCCAAGACGAATATGCGGTGTCGAGGGCCTAACTAGCCCTACAATATATCGACCGATGCCCCTAAAAGCGCCAAAGAGGGACCAATCTCCACTAGATCCACTTCGGAAGAACTTGTAGATATTTTAGATGTTGTACATGTTGTAGAGAGGTATAAGTAATTGCGACCTACAATGGAGTAGTAGATTGGTAAAAAGGAGAAGTAATATAATTGAATCCCCGCTTTATATTGTTGTTGATTGCACGTTCCTTAATGGGGCCGTGGCTTAAGCCAATCACCCTATACAATTTAGGTAAAGATTGGAACAATTAGTAAAGTAGGGGCTGCTATAACTATACACTCAAGTGTATATCAAGATACAAAACAGAAGAATAGAAGAATAGTAGTATAGAAGAAAGAAGAAACAAGACCCCTACTATGTAATATAAAGAGCTTGTAAAAAAAAAACAAAAGCAACTTCAATGGCGCGTCCCCTTTTTCTGACCCAATCACCTTTTTTCTCCCCACTACTTAGGTATCTCCTGAATTTCCTTTCGCCCCTTCTTTCTCTTCTCTATTTTTTCTAGTAAACAGATCTCTTTGTTTTATTATATATTTTCTGTTTGGTTTACCCCAGACGTGGAAAAAAAAAAATCAAAAATCTTTGGGAAGAAAAGAACATCTGGAACAACCTTGGAAGCTTGGTTTTCTCCATTTATTTCTTCCCGCTCCAACCTCTCCCCCCTAATTCTCCCACCCTTTGTTTTTTTTTGGAAAAGGACTAAGGTGGATTTCGCTTTAAATTATCTTGCGATCCCTTTTTTATCTTAATATCTCTTTTTTTCGTTTCACTTTCTCTACTTGAAACTCATAATGGCCTCAAAGGTGAGCAGTTTATCCTTGTTTTGGGCATTCCAACAGCTAACCCTTATTTATCAGTTCCTAAGAGAATACAAGCTCGTGGTTGTCGGCGGTGGTGGCGTCGGCAAGTCCTGCTTGACTATCCAGCTGATCCAGAGTCACTTTGTAGACGAGTACGATCCAACAATTGAAGGTGAGTCCCCCCCCCGTTTCATCAGCCGCGCGGAACCCATCGCGTCTTCCCCAAGGGTGTTCGAACAACATGGCTGATTCGGAATCCTCTTCCGCAGATTCCTACCGCAAGCAGTGTGTGATCGATGATGAAGTCGCTTTGTTGGATGTCCTGGATACAGCAGGCCAGGAGGAATACTCCGCTATGCGAGAACAATACATGCGAACCGGCGAGGGATTCCTTCTCATCTACTCCATTACATCGCGCCAATCCTTCGAAGAAATCATGACCTTCCAACAGCAAATCCTGCGCGTCAAGGACAAGGATTACTTCCCCATCATTGTCGTTGCCAACAAGTGTGATTTGGAAAAGGAGCGTGTGGTCTCCGAGCAGGGTATGTGGTTCCCCCCCCTGAAACTCCTAGTCTCAAAATCCGAATCCCAAATTCCGAATCCCGCTAACAATCACTCCAGAGGGCGAAGCGCTCGCCCGTCAGTTCGGTTGCAAGTTCATCGAAACCTCCGCCAAGTCCCGCATCAACGTCGAGAACGCCTTCTACGACCTCGTCCGCGAGATCCGTCGCTACAACAAGGAAATGTCCTCCTACCCCTCCGGCTCCGGCGCGTTCGGTGCCCGCGCACCAGAGGGCAAGATGGACGTGAGCGAACCGGGCGAGAGCGCCGGCTGCTGCTCCAAGTGCGTCATCATGTAAAACAATACCAAAAACGATCCGCCGCGCGAATCCCCGAAACCAGAACGGAAAGGATTTTATATCCCTTGGGAAAGATATGTTGTTTTTGGCCTTAATCCTCAGATCAGGGAAATACGGAGCAATATTGCAAGCTCGACAGAAAAACCAAACCAAACCAGAAAAAAATACCAAAGAAGTGGCATTGTCGTTTGTGTTACGGATGTTTGTGGGTTCTTCAAACTCGCATTCTTGATGACTGCCGACCTTGACGCCCAACCTCGTCTCACGAAACATTTTGATTCCCCTTTTGTTGTCCGATTGCGTCTTTGTTTTAGTCCCTTTTTTGATTTACTGTTCAAGTCTTTGCGAAAGATCCCTGGTGTTTATCTATCGCCTTTTATCATTATTTGTCGTTCCACACGACACGGCTGTCAATATATGTTCTTTCATGGCATGGTGGATTGCTTTCCATCGTTGCGACATGTACCTTGGTTTTGAGCTTGTCCTGGTATGATTGTTCGAGTGCTTTGCGTACCATATATGCCCATCTACCTAGGTATCTATCCCCGATAGTGCAATCTACTCGGTTCGGTACCTTATATCAAGGTTCTATGACCTCTTCACAGGGCTGCTATGATCTAGATCCTGGGTGTTCTGGATGCATCAATCTCACTTATAGCTTCATGATAACCTAGCCTGGTCAACATTTCCATGTTTGACTCTAAAATACACATATCAGATTGCTATGCTCATGTGCCACACGTATTTAAACGTCGCAATGTATGTAAGAACCAATCTACTGGCTGAAAACCTGATCCTGGTCGGACGGAGCATCCAACTCATCCTCCTTGGTAACAAGCTTACCCTGAACATTCTCCTCAACCTCGCCAACCAACGACTCCATGTAAGCCTTATCCGCCCCAACCAAAGTAACAGTATTGCGCTTCTTACCCCACCGCGGATAACTGCCAACCTTGATCCCCCGAGACTCAACCTTCGCCGCAAGCTCAGTCAAGTACGGCGCCACCGCACTCTCCGGCAACGGCGTGCTAATCATCAACCGGAACGTCCCTTTACCCTCAGGGTCCGTCAAGCGGGGAATAAGGAGCGGCTTCAAGTTCTGCAGCAACCGCTCGAAGAGTCGCGGCACGCCAGGCAGGATATGCACATTGCCATTCACCACCGCGACCGGCACCCACAAGTCATCTGCGACGAACACAGCCTGCGACTCGGCGGGCAGCTTGGGGTCGAAGGGCAGCTCGACCATGCGCAATTTAGCAGTCAGGCCTGGTGATGGTGTTTCCCAGTCGAAGTTGAGTTGCATGGGGTGGGGTTTGGAGAGACGTTTCATGCGCTCGAAGGCCGGCTCGTGCAGTGCCAGCTTCAGGTTGAAGGCCTTGGCAATTGAGGAGTATGTGATATCATCGTGTCTGTGACATGTGTTAGTTGTGCATGGGGCGGAGCTGGGGACGGGGTTGAATGCGGAGCTGGGATGGATGTTGTACGCACGTGGGTCCGATGCCGCCGCTGGTGACGACAAAGTCGTAGCGTGAGCTCATGCGTCGTACGGCTTCTATTATATCCTCTTCGTCATCGGGGATGACCTCGACTCGCTTTAGGTCGATGCCGAGCGAGAAACAGAACTTGGCGAGGTACGGCGAGTTCGTGTCGATGGTCTAGGGTTGGGGTAATGTCAGGATCCTGCTCGTGGAGCCTGTGGATATTGAATTACCTTTCCGCCGAGAACTTCATCGCCGATGATGAGGCATGCTGCCGTGTGGATGGGCTTCGCGTTCGCGGCTGATGTCATCGCGGGCGGAGCGGAGCGAAGGGACAGGGATGGGGTCGAGAAGGAGGTGGTTGGTTTATAGGGACTGAATGGACGCGAGACGTGTCGGGTCAGTAGATTCAGTCGGTTGAGCATGAAGATGTAGGTGGAGGAGGTTGGGTCTGGATTGTTCAAAGCGTGGAGAAAGTGAGGTGGGGGGAAAGGGAAACCTCCGCCCGCATTTCGGGCCTCACATTCCTAGAGCCTTCAACGTTTTTCAAGTTGGACATATCCAGTGTTATCTTTATCAGTGCATTTTAGCGCTAAACTCACGACATTGTTTACTTGATTTCCCTGCGTATCCGACTTAACGTCCAAAATGGTGAGATGTCCTTCCGCGGTTGAGTGGCATAGCCAAGCTGCTCGCAAGTATCAGGCGCTGACTTATGGTAGTCTGATTCACGACTATATTTGTTCTCTCCCGAGACCAAGGAGAAGCTGCGCAAATTCCGTCTGGGCACATCGAGAGCCAAGGATGCGCAAGCTATCATCTGTATGCGCCCCTAATCCTGCTTTCCCACGTCTCCCATATTTCGACAGAAGCCGGGCTATACAGCACGTACATAGTGCCAGTCGCAGCCATACCGGTATCATTTTCTGCGCACTAGCTGACGAGTACCACATAGATATCATCGATGCAAAGACCCAGGAGATCCGGCCCCAAGACGATGAAGTCTACTCCAAGATGGAAGATCTGGCCGATGATCTCCCCGATTCCTCGCCCCGATTCATTCTCCTCAGCTACCCAATGACCACGGTAAGTTGTCTAATCCGTATGACACACATTGTACTAAAGAAATTCCACAGAAGGACGGCCGTCCCTCAGTCCCTTATGTTCTCCTCTACTGGCTCCCCGAGAACTGCAACCCGATGCAACGGATGTCGTATGCAAATGCAGTGGAACTCATGCGCAGCAGTGCCCAAGTCAACCGAGTGATTGAGGTGGAGGCGGATGAAGACATCATCGACATCAAGTCCAAGCTGACTGGGTCGGATTAAGGCACCCAGGGGCTAATGCATCTCGTGATTGGAGAGCATGTGGGTTGGAAACATATACCCAAGGCGTGGGATTTGTAGGGCGTTTTTTTATTTCCTTTTTTTTACGGAATCGCTGGATCCGATTGGCTTGCAAATGCAGCCCACATGGAAACACTTTGTGTCGGTGTCGAATGTATTGGAATTCGAAATCTGACATGCGCCTAATTGCCTAGACACTAAATCCCGGCATTTCACTCCGTCGATCAAGAGCGTTGTTCAACGCGATTTGTGATCTATCGGACAGTTCTTAACGGTTCGTTTGTCCCCGCTAGTGGTAGATCTCGCGAGTTACGAACTCCAGGATTAGTCCTGTTTTAAGTTTGTGGATGAAAATGGCCAAGGCCTGTCACCGGGGTTGCCGATGCTCACCTGGGCTCAGCCTGGGTTGCAGTCAGTTGACTGTATGGCCTAGGTCTTGATGACAGCTTGTAATGATTTGGGGTTACGATTACTATCAGCCAGTCCTGGAGGGGCGATGGGCCCCAGCTAAGCCATATCCACAGATGCACACCTGGGCTGATTGATACAACTAGACCTAATATTTACTAGGGAATCTACCTTCGCTTTCGAGCGCAGAATCCTTCGAGATTTTTGGGGTCGATCATCGTAGGCGGTAGCTTATACGCTCGTATGATTTCCGCCCCGCTGCGTATGTGGCCGAAAAAGACTCCGAGTTTTTTCATTGATACAATTGGCGGCTTTCTCTTGCTCAGTTACAATGTGTGGATTGAAGTGGACATGCAATATCTGGCAGTGGTTGATTGGTCTGTAAATGTGATCGCCCACTACGAAAATGTCCTTTCTCTCCACCGTTCGCTAATTTCTTGTTTAGAATTTAGTAGGTTTGGTGTCTGTGCAGATTAAACATGTCTATAAAATTCTCAAATAAACTTATACTTTACTATGTGCAGTTCAATGTTTTACACTTAGGAGAATTAATTTTTTTCACTTATACATAGTACCAATGGGGTGGTACAAGGGTCCGAGATGGCGGTGGAAAGGAGGATGTGTCATCCGCCTTTACGTAGCTTTGGCCCGGGGGCCATTGCCCCGGGAGTGATCATGCATATTTGGAACATTTGATATGCAGTGCACAGGTACTGGGAGTATAAGTACTGGTAGATAAGAAGATACATGCCTGTGCAGTGGGATATATACAGCATACAGAATATACGGGCGTATTTAGGTCTCTACTCCCGTACACCTGGGTCATGCTGCATAAAACCCGGGATAAGTGCATATGTTGCACTATACGGAGTATGATCTACTCCGTAACCTTGGAAGTAGATTTTCATTTGAACGGGGGTATACAGAGTATATATAAATACATATATCTTATAAGCCCCCAGCCAATACCACACTATGTATGTATACAGCAAGGCTCGACCTCCACTTTCTCCCTCCACAGGGAAATTTCGATAATTCGCTTTTATTTTCCCGAGGGGCTGGCTCTGCCGAATTTTATAAAAAATAAAAAATAATATAATCAATTTTTAAGCCCACTATTGCAGGGGTAAGTGGATTGGCTAAGCCATCGGGATAATCGCCTCTCTGAACAGTTGCAGTAGTGCAGTACCGAGTCGAACTCGCTTCGATTTTCCCTCTGTTAAGAGCACAGTTCATTATAGTTTTTAAAATTGGAATTCTCCTTCACGTAAGTTACGAACTCTCCGTATTTATACTTTTGTAGTTTGCGCTTTGGGATCCCCGTGTCATGCATCACGCATAGCCCCTAGTCCAAAGGAGAGATCCCCGTTTGGCTGGACTTTGCCACACAGATTCTGCATGGTTTTCTTCACAGTAATTTAGTCAGCATAAAGGGAATATTCTCTGGAAATAAGAATCTATAATAAGTTATAATACATCATAAGATAAGTACATATTCCATGTTGTACCAATGTATGGAGTACATGCAACAAAAAAAGAAACTTAAAAAGCTCACGATCTCCACGGCAATTCAAATTTCTGTTTCAAAAGGAAGTTAATGCCCCTCAACCATTTCCGTGATAGACCAATAAGTTAACTCTTTTTGGAAACGCCCGGGATGGCGGGTGCTGCCGTAACCAGAGATGTCTGGCCCACTGGGCTCGAGACCTGAAATGGAAACTATCTACGGGAGTACACAATACAACACAACTCTATGTTGTACGGAACGTACTTTTGTATAACACAAACGTTGTCGGGAGAAGAACCAATGACGTGCCAAGAAACAGGGGGGACCCATGCTGTGTTACCAGTTAAATGGACATTTCCCGGATACCTAGGTATAAGATACAACAGAGAATCTCCTGAGACTTTCGAGGCCAAAGCCATTTTATTTTTTTAAATGTCACCGGGTTGGAGGAGAAAGAGTGGGGAGTGCACATCAGAGACTAAATGGGAGATGTCAGAGTTACTAGGGCTATAACTAGAGGTACATGATAGTCAGTATCTTTTAATAATAGTTATTATGGAGAAATACTTTAGTCTATGTACCTGATTCGGAGAAATACATAAATCTGAAGAAAAAAAAAACATAAAAACAAAAATACATTTCAAGGCAAAATAAAAAAATGAAAAATAAAATAATAAATAATAAAAAATAAAAAATCCCAACCCATTCAGAGAACCACAGTCTCGGAATCCCCACGTCTGAGCTTTAGACCTTTTTTTATGTACGCTACTTACCCTCTCTGGTCCACGGGTGATATTCCCTCTCTATAATAATAGGATTGTCCCTTTTCCCTTCTGGCCCTATTCTTCACACTTCTGACTCTGGCTCTGGATATTTGCCATTTTGAATAATGTCTCAAGATGATCGTGGAGATAAGCCCGAGGGCTTCTCTAAATACCTTAAGCGTATGAAGACCGTCCTTCGTCCTCGGTCAATTTCCAAACGACAATCTGTAGCTGGAGTAGTCGCTCCTGCCGAAACGTATGATATACAGCATTTTACTTCAACATTATATACTAACATTACTTAAATACAGTGCAAAAGAAACTGCACCAGCTCCGGCACCAGCATCAGCTCCTGCACCGGCTGCAGTACCAACACCAACACTGGCACCAGTATCAGCACCGGTATCAGCACCAATATCAGCACCAGTATCAGCACCAGCACCAGCCCAGGATATCACCCTCCCAGAGCCAGTTATGTACACCGACTTCAAGACAACCCAGAATGAAAAGGCCCGCGCTCTCTTCGCTAAATACGGCCTAACCATCGACACCAGCGAATGGAAAACACCAACCGACCTCCAGGTAACCCGCGTAACGAAGCCAATCCGCATGCGAGTGCGCCGTACCTGCCACCGCTGCGAAACAACCTTCGGCGCAGAGAAAGTATGCGTCAATTGCCAGCACACTCGCTGCACAAAGTGTCCCCGTTACCCTCCCGCCCGCAAGGATGGCGAACCCCGCAAGCCCAAGATGCCAGAGACCTACGAACGACTCTTCCCCAGGACCTCGCACCTCAAGCTCAGCACCACCAAGGAAATTTCCCTCAAGATGCCGTCGCCTACGGGCGGCGCCGATTTCGTCCATCGACCAGTGCGCCAGCGTATTCATCGCTACTGTCACGTCTGCACTTCTCTCTATACCCCCGGCATCAAGGAATGTCCGAAGTGTAGCCATGTGCGCTGCAAGATCTGCCCCAGGGACCCGGCTAAACTCGATAAATACCCTGATGGCTATCCGGGTGATGCGGATCCGCCTAAACCTCGACCCGAGCGCACGTGGAAGAAGCCTCGTCGCAGAATTCACTATGAATGTCATGTCTGTCAGACTTGGTTCCAGGGTAATGTGGATACTTGTTCGAATTGTGGTCAGGTGAAGTGTGAGAAAACTATACGAATCCCGTACGTGATGACAACCCTATACTATATGCGGGATTACTTTGCTAACGTTTATTTTCTTTTAGAGCTAAAAAGGTTAAACCAGAAACAAGCCCGGAGGTTCTGAAGAGTCTTGAACAGAAGCTAGCAGCTATGGCGCTCGAACAAGAGCCAGGTATTGCCGAAACGGCCTGAGCTTGGAACAGTCTACCCGATTTCTCATCCGACCAACACAATCCTTTATGATATCCCCCGTTTCCCCCCTGATTTTGTCTCCACGTTGTTCATACTGTCTCAATTTGATCTATCCCGATGATAGCTTTATTTTATATACCGTTGGTCCTACCAGGACAGAACATACATAACTTACACTTATATCGGATGGTATTAACTTGCAATGAAACCAATATCCCTGACCGGGGTCACTCTTCACCAGAAACTACCAACGCCTTTTCCCGGTTTCGAGGTTACACATACATACGCATGGATCCCGATGTGTACATTCCCATGACGTCCATGACGTGCATATCATTTATTACACATATTTTAAATATCGAAGTATGGCTTGGTGTACACGTAAGGGAAGATAGTCGGATGCGCACATAAAACTCGGCACAGGACCTAGACCAGGAATTCTAGGATATCAGACGTCATTATACAATTCGCAGACATGTGATATACATACACATATACACAATCCATACTATGAAACTGTACATTCCAGCAAACCCCTCCAGCTTTATTCCCAATCAATTAATAAGTCCTACGTCATGCCTTACCATCTGCATGTGCAATTGCCTAGTACTCCTACATCGTGCGTACTTTCTGCCTTCTCCGATCCCAGCAACACAACTGCAGCGCCTTGTTCCCCGGTCTAAAATGATGTGGTGGCACAGCGCCACGGAAGGTAAACACAAACCGGAACTCTTCCGGGGATGCGCTAGATTCGGCCGGGACATCATACGACTTTTGAAACAGTGGATTGAGTAGGTAGGCGGGTAGCAAACACCGTGTGGCTCCGTTTGGACGGTCCGACCCGTTTTGATTTTGTATATATGTGGATTGTACCCTAGTTGGGGGTGGTGCATGAGGAATTTACCGAGGATTTGGTTTGCATAATGCGCATAATATATGTTTTTACAGGGATTAGATGGTGCATAGTGGGGGAATATAGTGTATAGTGGTTATTGGTTTAGGGAATTCTAGCCCGCTAATAGTCTTTTCCGACGTGAAACTGCTTTTGGGAGTTTTGCATCCGATGACCTTTTTGACCTTCTCTATTTGGTCCAAATGGCAAGATCTATATTTTCAATATCTAAACAAAAGTACTTTACCCCTGTCAGTTATTGCATAAAAACGCATAACCGGAATCTCGGAGACGGTTACCCGTCACAATTCAGATTGTTGGGTCGCGGGGTTTGCCTCAAATCCCGCTGGATACGGACGGAGTACGGCTACTTATATCAGGATTCAATCAAAAGTACCTTTAGCGCATCCATGTAAATAAGGGGGTCGCTTAGGAGTGAACAACCCGGTTCCAGAACACCGGGAATTGAGCGTGTCTTTTTTGTTAAAAAAAAATAATAATGGCCGGGGCCTGGAGACTATGCATTTCAACGGTCAACTAACCTAATTAAGAAGCTATTGCGGTCTCCATTGCTCTACGCGGTGAAATGCAGAGATGGCAAAACGATCGACATCCCACTATCACTAGGAATAAATAACTCCCCTACTAGTATATACAGTACATAGTCGCCACAGTTCAATGTGAGCCACGAAGTAGATCTTGGATCGACATATGAGAACAGGCTGTCATGTTGTAAATATCTACGAAGTAGTGCCAGCCTTGTATGTAGCCAATTCAATCAGGTTAGACCGTCCTACTACATCTAGATCTTGGCACGTCAATACCCACGATGTCGGATGCGCTATGCACCATGGAATATGTACTATTCCGTACCATATTCTAGTTTCGGGAGAATGATATTATGCCGGATCGCACATCTTAGTTCCGTATTCCGTCCGGAGTACTCCGCATAGAGGCATCCTTCTTGCGGTAAATATGACAAATATAGGAACAGGGGTCTTCGATAAGTCTAGATTCTCTCCACCTGTCTTTACCAAAGTACCGGGTTTAAGAATCGGAGCTGTCGTATCTCCAGAGACCAGCCGTTCAAGGGATATATTTTCCTTAATCTACTTAAAGTTTGTCGTGGGTCAGAGGGCTGATTTAGAGTAGATCCTCTTACCGAGAGAGGTGTAGTTATGTGGTCTCTTCAGCTTGGTGGATTCAGTAGTTTCTACTAGTTTTACCCCTTGTCGAGCCTATCGCGCTTTTGATTAGCAATCTATGTCGTACGAATACACACAAAATACAATGATCGACTCTCGTGGTTTCAGGGGAGAGATACAAATAGTCTCAATTGAAAATGTGCACCTTCCAGATATGGAAAGGGTGAAGAAACGGGTGATGTCTTGTTCTTATCAGTCGTATGATCGACTCGTCAGACTATTGACGGTTATAGATCAGAGATTACCATCCCCTTTTCGCACGCACGTTAACGTTACTTGCAACGCGTCCAACACGTAACCCACTAGATTCATATTGATTATTCACATCCAACGCTAAGCCTTGATCCTCCGACTTAGCTGCTCCGTCCCCGCAGCCTTCTCAAAATCATCCACACGATCCACCCGACGCCCTAACCCCCGTCTCAGAATCCAATCCTTGCTACTAATCTCCTCTTCGGTCTGATCCAAAACAGGAATTCGATCAGACCCCTCCAACCGACGCAACATCACACTATCCTCGGGTCGTGCAAAGTACACAAGACTATACCGCGTCGACTCAGCCTGCAGCCCCGGAGGTGCCACAACGCGATGGATGTTCGACCGAAACAGACCGTTGGTAAACTTAACCATTGCATCACCAAGGTTTATAATGGCATGACCAGGTAGTGGGCGCACATATACCCATTCGGCATCAGTACCCGGCGGAAGCACTTGCAGTCCGCCCAGTCGGTTGAAGAGAACAGTCACGCTTCCGAAATCGGTGTGTTGGCCCATTGCCGTACGTCGGTCGTCTACTGGCTGTGGTGGGGCTTTAACGAATCGTACCTGGTTGCCGCTTACGGCTTGTTGGCGGTGCAGATTGGATAGAGTGTCTTTTGGTAGGGTGAGTTGGTCGTTTAGGGTGTTCAGAATTAGGGTTACGATTTCATGGGACCCTTGCATGAATGAGGCCAGTTTAGATCGGTTTTTATGCAGAATCTCTGGGGCTGGGAGGGGATTGGTAATGCCTAGAATGTCGTCTTTGGAAACCTGAGATAGTTGAGCTACGAAGTTCAGGTGGGTGTTGGTGTTGACGTACATTGTAGAACTCGTTTCGGTCGAGATTCCCTTGTTTGTCAACCACTGCAGCTCCTTGGGCTTTATATCCGAAGTATGAGTTCTGTGCGCTGAAATCATACTGTGTTTTCTCGTCGGCGCTCAGCTCGAATAGGCTCTCGCCGACTTGGAATAGATTATCTGCGTCGTCGAGGAGTGAGGTGCCTTGCTTTGAGTCTGATAAATCGAGATAGAAGAATCCGATATCGGTAGATGCTTGGAATAGTCTTTCGTGCTCTGTAGGGTCACCTGCTAGCAGCTTTCCTGACGATAGTCGAAGAAGGGGCGCTGTAGAGACGTCATCTGGGAAAGGTGGAATCCCTGGGAAGTTGTTTGGAATGTCTTTTTGATTGGCCTGGGACTGCATGTTGGTATAAACAAAATCTGGGGAGTTCCTAGTAGACAGTAGCTATCTCAAAGTTTTTTTAGATGTGTCAAACTACAAACCTATAGAAGGGTCTGCGATATATAAACCTCAAAGACGATTGATATATGCGGGGAAGATCAAAGAGCCGAGGGACGATTTAACCCCATGCTGAAATGAGACAGTCTAACATCCGAGAATAATTAGAATGTAAAAAATAGAATACAAAACATAGAATAAGTCCAAATAATGTATACAAAGTGGTTATAGCATAGATCTATACACCGTAAACGGCATATCTTATCGTGTGACATCAAATAATTTTTCTCCAACCACAACATTCCCCCAACTCCAATCTCCCATCCACAACCTAACAAAAGAATTTCCAAAATAAGAGCCAACCAACATCCAAAATAATCAAATGGCCTCCCCAGCCCCAAAATCCCACATCGCCCACACCCTCCTCTCCCGCGCCCACTCCCCAGACAGCGCAACGCAACAATTCACCGAACGCATCAAACAAAAACCCCTCTTCCTCCGCGCAACCTCCCCCTCAGCCTCGGACAACCGCTCCCGCCGCCGTCTCCACCGCCTCCGCAAGAAAGACTACTTCCTCCGCCACCAAAAGCCGCGCCCGCTCTCAGCGCGCGAAAAGCGCAAATCAGGCTTATACGACCTCCCCAAGGAAGAATGCAAATATGCCATTTTCAAAGGCCTGCATGAGCTGTGGGTCGGGTATATGCAGGAGATCCTGGATTTGAAGGGCGCGCCACATGGGCATGTTTCACCTACGAGTCATGGGAGTAAGCTTGTTAGTGCGGATTACCATGGGGCTGAGGTTGAGGTTGTGAGGAGTGGATGTGCTGGGAGGGTTGGTGTTAAGGGGATTGTGGTGCGGGATACTAAGTTTACGTTTGTTATTGTTACTGAGAAGGATGAGATGAAGAGTGAGTTTGGGGAACATCAGATTTATGGTGGGGATTCAGAGGCTGACTTTTGTATAGCTATACCCAAGGAGCATACTGTTTTCAGGTTTACGGTGCCTTTGGCTGTGGAGGGTGGAGATCAGAAGCAGGATGATAAAGCTATGCCGTTGGTTTTTGAGCTGCATGGGAACCAGTTTGAGAATCGGGCTGTGGATAGAGCTAATAAGAAGTTCAAGTGGAGGAATATTGATTACATTTGAGTTGGGGATCCTGAGATCATTCTGTCCGGTTTTTGTCGATTCAATATCGATGGAATTGATTGCTCAATTGTGAAGCGGCCTCGAGAGTTGCAAGTCGATCCTGTCATGAGGTTGATACTACTGAGAGTATCTGGGCTTCGAGCTTCATGACTATACTTTGCGGAGACACGCTGGTGTTCCATGAAGTTAGACTCGTTCTTGTTTCATCAAGGCCACTGAATGATACCACAGTGATATCGCAGAGCGCAATGTGGCATCCCACACAGCAAAGGAAAGAGCGCTGAACGCAAAGTTGCAGCTCGAACCCATCAAAACGTCGGGGAGGACGGCCAATTGGAATAACGATGTTTATGAACAAATTTACCACATTAATCGCCTAGAGATGTCTAACAGGCGAAACATACCATTTATAACTGTGACATGATCTATAGATTTACCAGGATAATTGTAATATGTAAATGTTTATTTGATGAAGAGTTTTCTGCGAATGGAATCATAGTCATATGGTATGTTATTTCGCGTCGGGCAATGCACGAATAGACCAGAGACATGACGACCCTTCTTAACCACACGCTGTTTGCCCTCTAGACCCCCGAACCGAGTCGCTCGAAGGGAGCCCCGATGGTAGCCTTGCTGTCATGATAGAGCACCTTTGGGGCGGGTATGTCATCTGATCTTCGTTGATCGAGGACGATTTAAACCGCCAGCGAGGTATTTCTTCCCGGTTCAATGAGACCAGGCACAGTAGAAAGTGTGCATCTGGTTCGAGTAAGCGGAAGGCAGGCAAGGACGACCCAGTAGCGCGTTGCATGAGCCATGCAATCCTTGAAAGGGCAAATCGAAGCCATAGGCCTGATAGATGGGATATCAAAACAATGAAGGATATGAAACCCTTCACTTCCTTGATCCTTCACATTCCAGCCCATTCAAGACTGAAAGCCCGCACAGTATCCACACGATCAGCCTCCGAATCAACCTCATTGATTCCCTTTTGTGCTCCGCCGATCAAGAAACCCTTCTTCACACCGGTGCCCAGTCTGCCGCCGACAACGAGATCCATTATATCGATACGCTGGTCCCAGTCGTAGGACACCACGAGGAAGTGCGAGTGGAAACGAAGTGGGTCACCCGGGTAGGCCATGTACTGGCACCCGAATCGCAGACCGGGAGAGAGGAAGTATCCTTTGGAGTGGAGGTGGGCGAAGAGAGGATAAGAGGGTGGCACTGCGGGTGCGGCAAGGTGAGTCGATGGTGGAGGTGTGGGAAGAGGCGGGTAAGATGTTGCGGGTGTAATGGCCGTTGCGACCTGCAGGGGTGTGTTCATCGAGCCGGCGGATGGAGACGATGAGCGGGCCTCTGTGTTGAATAGGTCAACGATGGCAGCGTTCTTCGGCGACGAGGCGGAAGTGGGCTCATCAGGAACCGGAGCCGCCTGGGCGGCAGCACTGGCTTTGGCTTTGGCCTTGGCATTTGCTTTCTTTTCTTCTATTTTCTTCAATGTCTGTTCCCTGTTGCGCTCTTTGCGGTCCGATTGGATGCGCGAGATATGCAGGCCTTGGGATTCGAGGTCGCGGAGGTACCGTCTGCGATCCTCTTCTAAGAGGGTGTTCATGCCGTCGTGTGCCTTGGCTTCGTCTACGATGCAAGCTACACCCTTGTCCACTAACAGCCGTGCCTCCTCGGGCATTAGCTCGAGTGGGAGACCCAAAAAGACATTCTGCTGTGGGATCTGAGGCAGAGTCCCGATGAGCACACCGCAGATGTGATGCTCACGTCGCAGGTACGTCACGGCGTCAATTGAGAACAACAGGTATCTACCGGATACATAGGAGATCGGAATTGGAAGGTCTGGTTGGAAATCCATATTTTTTTTCTTTCTGATTTGAGATTTGTGGGATTTTTCAAGAATTCTATGGCAAGGACTGTTAGCACTTGTCCAAAATGCAAAGATGCAGGCAGCAAGGTAAATTTTGGGATCGCAATTCATTTTCCAGTACGTTTCTCAGCAAGCGCTCAGTGACGTATCAAAGAGCTTCAGGGGATTGACAGATTGTAGTTAAATAATCATGCGAGTGGGGGAGATGGTAGAAGACGAGAGGGAAAGCTTACCATTAAAAAAGTATTAAAGTGTCGAGAACATAAAATCAAACACCCAAGATCTTTGGATTTGACCAGCAAAGCCAGGGTTGATTGCAGAAAGAAAAGAAGAAGAGAAAAACCAAAAAAAAGAAGAAAAGGAAAAGCTGAGCTTATACGCTAACCCTATTTGGGAATAGTCATCTTGGCAAGCGAACTGCTGAACATCATTGTTTATCATCATCTTCATTGGCATTCGTTGAATATTCTATATTTCTTCTTTTATAAGGCATCATGGGTTTCCTACTACTGCTGTTCCTGGTATTCTTTGCACCACTGCTGCTTTTTGTCGGTCAGTATCACGCAGCATCCTGAGATAGCTAGTCGCGACCGCATTACTAACACCGAACAGCATGGCTTGCAGCTTCATCGTGCCTGGGAAATCGCCTCCGTTCTATGCGACCAGTAATGGACGGATATGGAGCGAGCTACCTCCGCACAATGGCCAATTCAGGTCCTGCCATGTCCGAGCAGATCGAGATGGACGATATGCTAGCAGAACCAGGGACCCAACGACACTTTGAGGAGGATGATTGAGTTGGGGTAACCACAGAGATAATTAAGCGTCTCAGAATTCGAGATCTGATTTCTTGGGCATTCCGCCTGGGGCCGACGCATCTTGCGCTTCTGTGTCTCCCTCGGCTGGTGGCAGACTGAACGGTTTAATCTCGAATCGCCGACGGCTCAGAATAAACGCCCAATCCTCTCCAACATTCTGATCGCTTCCACCTCCACGCTCATGCAAAACTGGAAGGCGATGCGTCTTGAGCATACCCTGCGGTGGTTCTTCCTGTGAGGTCGCCGCTCCCGAGGTAGCCATCGCATCCGCAGAGTGCGGGAAGGGACAAAGCTCGATGACCCCGTCACAGAGTAGTTCGATCCAGCGAACCAGCCCCGATGAGCGGGGGTAGAGTGACAGAGGAATGGTGATCATTGCGGTCACGCGCGTGTTGTGCGCACTCATCAGTGCCTTGAGAGCGTGGAAGAACTGGATCACATGTTCGGGTTGGCAGGCGTTCGGCGGGTAAATTGTGGGGTTGAGTAGTGAAGGAATGACGATACGGTGGATTGTATTAGTGTCACTGGATGTGATTGAGGTCCGGAGTCGTTTGAGGATGGCGAGGAATGGTGACTCTTTTGAAGGCATGAGTGGGATGAAGGACATATTTGTGATGGACGGATGAGTGAGACGTTTCGTGAGATCAAAGGCATGACAGAAAGCGGGCGCTTCTTTTGCTGCTGCATCCTGTTCCGCAGGATTCGTAGGGGCTATATCTATCAGCATATCGAAGCTATCAGTAGTCTTTTGTTTCAATACTCACCACCCCGCGAACCAGCAACAGCCCCAAACTCGCCCAATCGCTCGTATCGCCATGCAATCTTCATACGATCATCCTTGCGTCTGTCAGATCTCTTCTCATCCAGGGACTCCGCCGAGCCGATCAGACCAGGCAAACTTCGGCCCCATTGCTCTGGCACTCCAACCACATGGACCTTCTGGTCTTGGATGACACCCTCTGCGGCATAGTAACGCAGCAATGCGCCGGCAAAATCTGTAGTTCCGTTTTCTTCAACCAATAAGAGTTTTCCCATTGGAAGTCCTGCATGGCCTGCAAGAAGATTATCTAGAGAGCGAGTTCCTGTCGAGGTTGTTGGTCGTCCATCATCGGGGGAGGGGCGAATGCCCGGCGTGCTTTCTGGCGTAGCGGGCTGTGCGCCAGCATTGGGAACAGCGTTGCGGTCAACTCCAGGAGAAAGACCAATGTTTCGTTTGCGAAAGGACATGGCGAAGAAGTTCAAATGAAATAAAACCAACCCAGTAAAGCTTTAACTAGGGAGCTGATGTCAAGCCAACGAAATCGTTATCGGCGGGGACCAAAAGGCGGCAGAAAAAAAAAGCTTCAGTTCTCCGATCAACCTCTCCACCTCCGACTCCAACTCTTCTCTTCACCACTCTCGCACTACCAACCAGCCATTGCGGGCCTCTGAACCTACGATAATTTGTGTGCGATTGTCTGCGCATAACCTGCTCTACCAAAATCCCCATTCCCTATCCATAGACCGAAAATCCAGCGGTCGCAACCTTCATCATGTCCGACCCGCTCCTCTTCGAAGATACCTTCACGATCACCTCGATCAACGCCCAGAAGTATGACCGCGTCTCCCGTCTTACTTGCAACTCCAACGATGCCTCCCTCACTTTCACCCTCGATGTGAACACTGAGCTGTACCCATGTGCGGTCGGCGAGTCTCTGTCCCTCGCTCTGGCCTCGACTCTCTCTCTCGACGGCAAGGAGGACACTCGCGCCAGCTGGAGGGAGGTCAGCATGGGTGAACAGACCCTAGCGGATGACTACGATTATGTTTGCCACGGCAAGGTGTACCGCTTTGAAGAGGGTGCCACTAAGGATACCATGTGAGTTTCCTTGATGGGTCAGTTCTTTGGTTCTTGCGCAAACTAACGTTTACATTCTAGGGCTGTCTTCGTGTCCTTCGGAGGTCTGCTGCTTTACCTGGAGGGTCCCTACAAGAAGCTTGCTCCGCTGAGAATCGATCACGTGTACTTGCTGCTTAAGAAATAGGCTTGTCATTGTTGGAATTCTCTGTTTTTGCTTACGACCTTGGCACAGGATGAGATGGGATCTTGGATTGATCTTGAGGCAAAGCCCAAATGGGGGAAAAGTCGGTGTATTTAAGCCGGACCGATGTTCATATCGTTATGGGGTGCAGCGCAGGCGTTCTTTGCATTTTGATTTGGGAATACCAATAGATTATCATAACAAACGTGATTTTCATGGGATTGATGAGATGGGCCTTGACCGTTCGATAACCAAAACACATCTTGGGGCGGGTTGACTCCGCATAGAGCTGTAATTGATGGCAGCCGCGCAAGTGTGGCTTGATCTTTTTCCTGGCAGTGCCTTCAAGATTCAAATCCCTAACCGGTCCAAGTCTAGTGGCTCATTTTCATACTTCCTCGCGCTTACAGTAGGTGGTAGTGCGGTTTTTATCGTGCTTTCATCAAATCATTTCCTATATGGACCTCACCTGGGCATGTCGCAAGTCTTACAAAGACTGCCTTGATTGTACAATTTGGAAATGAACCCCTCGAGTACAGATCTGAAAATGAAGTCTATATACCATATGTTCAACATATCTACATGTGCTATATGACTCAAATTATCAGACAAATAATCTACCTCGTGCAATGCGAAGCAGTCGGGTGCTCCAAGCGCCGATGCAATCTCGCAACAATCTGCAAGAAATCCGGCTCATTCTCCGGCGTCAACAGCCCATGCCTCACAAAGAAATCAATCATGATATTAGCACAATTAGGCTTGAACTCGCCACGCGCCAACGCCGCCTGCACCTCCGAAACCGTCATCAACATGAACTCCTCAACCTCATTATCCCCAGGTTTCGGAATAGTCTCAGCATCAAGTTTGAGATCATATATATACTCAACCTCAGGCTGAATGAGGCCCGTCTCGCCGCCCGCGCGCACATCCCGCACATGCGCGTACGTAACACACCCCGTGCAGATAGTCGCAGCGCGCACCGCCGCCTCAGGCAGGGAAGCCTCTTCCATAGCTTCGCGGACGATACACTCGAACGGCGTCTCGCCGGTGCACATGCCGCCGGCGACGGTGTTATCAAGGAGGCTTGGGTATGTCTGCTTGTTCTTTGCGCGACGCGGGACCCAGATCTTGATTCCGGATTCGTCTTCCACGTAGCCTGTTAGATGGGCGCCGTAGGAGACGATGCCGAAGAGCGGGGTCGCGCAGCGCTCCATTTCAAGGAGGAATTCTCCGCCCGGTCCGTAGACGGCGTATTTCTCGTTGCGCCAGCCTTTCAGAATTTCGAATTTGTCTTGCTTCACGGCTTCGGCTATGTCTGTTTCGACGAGCTTGCTCCGGTGGGCGGGGGTGGCTCCGGCGGGTGTTACGAGCGTTACGGTCTGCGCGGTCGAGTCGATGGCCCAGCATTTTTCCGACCAGGGGAACTTCTCTACTACTGAGTTGAGGATGTACCCGAGTGTACAGTCGTATCCAGATACTTTGAACGCATGGTAGTTGTTCAGGTTCTCGGTGTATGCGGCGCGATCATCCTCATAGGAGGGGAAGCTGCGTTGTGTAAGACGAAAACGCGAGGGAGTGATCGAGTCAGGACAGCTTTACTTATCGCATTCAGCCACCAGTTCTAAATTGGATTTGCCCATGATTTCAGAAATATATCCCAAATGTAAAGTCAAAAGTTAACATGTCGGACCTTTGTTTAGCCAAGCCAAACCCTTATCGGGCCGTAGATAAGGGCACCCCTCTAAATGTCACTTTCGTCATCGAAAAACAGAACAAAGAGAAGCTTGAAGAAGCTTAAAGAACTGTACAGAGAATAATTCAACGCCCTCAACCCACAATATCCGCTTTACCGGCTGCTCAAGCTTCCCCACACAACCACACACCATGTTCTCCGTCGTGGTCCCAGGCCGGCCGTGTCTAACAGACATCATCGCAATAGACGGCCAACCAAACGGCCAAGCAACCAAATTCGCCTTCACGATCCCCCTCGCTCCATCTCTCAGCGATATAGTCGTCTTCTTCCTACCAGGAACAACCCTCCCACCAAACACCGCCGCCGCAATCTACGCCCAACTCCCAGACCCCCAAACCGGCGCAACAGGTGGCTTCCGCTTCATCGGCGCACTAGCAAATGAGAAACCCTCAGGAATCTTCACCATACGTCCACCGAGTACAACGCGCTGCTCAGAAGCCGAGGAAGAAGATGAGATGCTCGACGAGGCCGGCGCTGCAGGCGTCATGACATTGGGCATTTCGATCGAAGAAGCGCAGAATATCGCGCCGCAGCTGGCTGCGCTGGAAGCGGAGCGTCCTTCGGGTCAGACGTCTACGGCGCTGGTCCCGCAGGCTGCGGGACAAAGACAAATCTCGACGAAGGTGCTGGCGCAGCGCATCATTGGGAATGCGTTTAATTTCCTCGCTAGCTTTGCGGAGAATGATAAGGGGCAGGATGTGGTGCCGCTTAAGAGCTTCCATAATTGGTGGGCTAAGTTTGAGCGTCGCATTGAGGCTGATCCTACGTTTTTGGAGCGCGAGGATCCTACTGCTAATGTATGATCTTGTGCATGTGCTTAGTATTTGATCATTGGATTGGCCAGTGATTCTTTCCATATTGCATTTGTTCTCGACTTGCTCTTGGCCGGTGTGCGAGGAGTACATGACATCCCTTGCATGTGTTGGTTAACGAGTCTCTTTGGTGTTTTTGAACTGATGTCTGACAATAGATATCCTGCTTTTTTTTCTGTGATATGGAGTTCATCTTATGTATTAACAGGGAGTATTTTGGCTCTTTATTGATAATAAGACTTTTGGAAAAGCAACTGAAATATGAAGCATGAAACATGCACGCATTTGTACTGATATCAAGTATGTACTAGTTAGGAAAAAGCTATATATACAATCCTGGCCCTGACCAGATTTTCCCAGGAATATAACAGAAGGACATAACAAATTTCATAAAACACCAGCCCAAATCCCTCGGTACATTATCTTGCGCCACCCATAACACGCCAAAAGAGGAAACAAAAGAAAGAAACATCAAGTAATCAGCATGCAGTCGATCCACGCGAGATATTCTGCAACGACGCATCAGGCCTCAACCGAATACCAGGTGAATAGCAAAGGCTATACAACTCATCGACATAACTCGCAGGTGTATTTTCCATCCCACCAGAAACAACCACCTTCATATCCCGATTACTGAGATTATTCGGATTGGAATTCTCATGAAGATGGGTAAAATCAACGCGAACCTCCTTGCGAACGGTGATATCCCGCAACGCAGTCGCCGTAGGATCCATAAACGACTCCAGGGAGTTTCGCGAGCCGGAGCCCGATGTCGAAGGCGGCAGGCTCTTGCGCGACGACCATAGACGCAGAATGGCCATTTTGGCAGTAGAGGTGAGATCGCTCTCGCTGGCAGTCGAGCCGGAGCGCACGTCTGTGCAGAAGAGTTCTTGGCCTAGTTCGCGGGCGAAGTCGTCGCGGTCCGTGAGGGCTTCGTTTATTTGTTGCTGGACACGGAAGAGGCGGAAGGGCGTGAAGGTGTAGTCCGGGTTAGAGATCTGGGTGTCGAGTGTGCCGACGACGCAGAAGGCTAGGAGGGTGCAGCTGTTTTGCACTGCGGTTTCGGGGTTGGAGGGCCCGCTGCTGGATGGTCCGCTGCGGCAGGGGGCTGTTAATGGGCGGGAAGAGAGTTGTGCTGCTGCGCGCATGTCTTCTGGGATGGTTTTCGAGAGGGAGATTATGGCTTTGGTGAGGTGGGTGCGGAATTCGGATAGGGTTGGGAAGGCTTGTGCTGCGGCGGCTGACTCGAGATATCGCATACATACGTCCATGGACCAGCCTTCCATGTGGGAGATGAGTTCTAGGTGGTGGACTTGGAGTTGTTTCATTGGGAGGGTTGAGGATGGGAGGGGGTTGCCGACGCCCTTTGCGGTGAGGATCTCGAAGTGATCGTGGATTGTTGGGCGCATCATAAAGGAGACGAGGTGGACTCCCTCGTCGAAGCCGCGATTTGAGCTTGCGTAGTCGCGCATATCGCGGAGAGCGGTGGTTAGGTTTGCTTCGGGCACGTGGATGCGTCGGGAAAGCATTCCTGTGACATGCTCGATGGTTGCGAAGCGGAATCCTTGCGATTTTAGGCGCGCTGCTTCTTGCTTCTGTAGCTGGCGAACGGTGAACATCACTTGTCCCTTGCCAGTGCGGAGGGACGAGCGGCCCATGGCTCGAGAAATTCGGGAGATGGGTATAGCAGTGGAGAGAACATCGTCGTATAGTGTACCGAGGTCTTGGAGAGGCAGACGAAGTTCATCTGAGAGCTCTTGGGCTGTGACACAAAAGAGTTGCTTGAACAATGTATCAAAGTCAGTTTGCAACTCAGTATCCTTGTCCATAAACACTCCTCGGGATAGCATGTGTTTCTCGATGGCGCTTTCTTCGGAATCAAGGCGGTTTCGCATAAATGGAACCAGGTCTTTCACGACGGGCCAGTTCCGAGTTGCTCTAAACGCCCATAGGAAGGTAGGGTGGGTACGAGTGAGATCATCGTCTTTGAATGTCTAGTTCGCAGTTTGTTAGTCAAGGCTCCTGTAGTCTGGTAGCTAAGAGACATACCCGTCCGATATAATGATCAACAATCTTCTTAGTAGGAAGCATAGCCTGCGTCGTAACCATGATCCGTCCAGAGGGATCAAAGTAGGCACAGGCGAGAACAAGCTGATGGGCACGTGTCGTTGACTTTCTGCGATTTCGGCCAGCGAGAATAGCGCACATCGACAAAATCAAACAAGCAACACAGGCCTAGGCATCTGTTAGTTTCCAGCTAACACCTTCAAAGAAATGTCACATACCAGAACAGTGCAAACAATAACAACCTGACTCCTCGACAACTGAGTTCCAATCATGATCCTGCGGTCGTGATCCTGATAGATCGTTCCAACGGCCGCAGTCCAATGCATGCCCGAGACAGCACATGCCAATAAGCAAGCGCAAATTCCTCGTCTCCACCAGCTATCAGTCCAAGTTGCTCTCCAGCGGAAGAAGATGCCCAGAGCAACAGTACTGGAGAAAATAGCAATTATCGCGGCGCCCACGACGTTGGCGACGTGGTAGGAGCACCTATAGTTTGATATTCCGAGTTGACCGACGTAGTGCATACCACAGACAGAGCTACCAGTGAGCACGCCTCCGATGGCGATGCGAAGATAGCCTGCCTTCTCCTCGACCCCCACGGCATAGAAGGCAAATAGCAGTACTATGACGGGGAGTACGAAAGAAGTACCCGTGAAGGCGACATTATACATGACTTGAATGTCTGCCTGACCTTCACCCAGGACGATGGCACGATTGCCGATAAAGTGCATACACCAAATTCCTATGCCGCCCATTGTGATTGACGAGGTTAGGAGAAGGTACCTTGTAAATCTTTTGATTAGTTACATGATTTTTTGAAATGATGGAGTTGGTATGGAGGTTTAGGGCATACCAGTTGAATAGACCGGACCTCGAGGTCCGCCGGTGGAGCAATTCCAATGTGGTTGCACATCCCATTGCACTGATCACATAGGAGAGGATTATGTACCCCGCCAGATACGTGACATGCACCGGCGGTTCATGATTGTCTGTGGACATTGCGGAAGAAAAAGAGGGGTAGGTGTTGGTATTTCGTTATTAGAGCATTGGGGGAGTTGGGCGCGTATAGTTGGTATAGTCGAAGACGACTGTTCTAATCAATTATGAATATGGCATGGGGATAATAGTATAAGTGTGGAGAGCAAAAGCAAAGATGTAGAAGGCCACAAAGTCCCAAACAGGGCCAGAGGTCAGCGTCTTATAAGCCCAGGCGCGTTTCAAGCCGCAAATTATAGATCCGCGGTACAAGAAAAACTTCCTAGTCCCAATGAATTGACGTGTATTAAGATGGAGCTCTAGTCCGATCTAGATATTAGCTCCACCAAAATTGCCATGCCTTCAGCTGCATTGGCCTTCAATGGACCTCATGCCCACAAGGCGCACATCAAAATACACCAAGAAAAACCTGGAAGTGGATGCCCAGACGGACTTTACAGAATAAGTTCAGATAAATTAACTTGGTCCAATAGTATGGAATAAACAACAGGGGTGCGATGGCCCCAAGGCCCCAATGCCTCATTTAGCTTTTTAATATATTAGGTATCACAGCCGAGGATATCCTTGGATCTGATGTTGATTCGCTTGAGATCGAGATCGGACTAGATCGGATCGGTCCCAGTAGAGAGCTATGTGGGTAGGGTTGGCCTTTTAAGCGTATCAGAGACCTAATACAACGCCAGTTCGTAAGCATCGGATTTTATTCTTCTCATTCTCTTTACACTTTCTCTTTTCATCTCTGATGGGGCTAGATCAATCCTAGCAAGTAGAGTTTACTCGGCCTTCCGATATTATCTATCCTATAATATAAAGAGGGATCTTCTATTTAGATTAATTGTTGGAGCTTCGGACCAAACTAACAAGCGAATTCAGCTACACATCCAAAAAAAGGGGTCCACTTTAATATCCAGATCTCTTCCTCTTAGAAGTATAATTATATAAAAAAAATATAGAACCGTTCGTCCGAACAGGTTAAATGACGAACATATTGATTGATCACATTGGGCCAACACGAACGCCAACACGAAATGATACAAAATAGAAAATAATAGCAATTTAAATCGGAAAATCCGGGATGTGCCGGAGATTCCTACCTAGGTAGTAAGTCAAGGTATATGACTAGTTAATTAATTTAGAAACTTGCCTCGGCGAAACCGAAACCATAAAAAAAAAAAAGAAAAGAAAAACAAGGGTGGGCCATATTAATGTCCCACATAATAGATGTGCAGATACGATGTAGATTAACCGGGATTGACACGGCATATCCCCAGTTTTTTATTTTCTTTTTTTCCTGATAGATCAAGGAATTGGCAGGGCTGTCTACTTGTCTCAGGAAAGATAAAAATCTGATTCTTCGAGTCTCAGATATCGTTTAAGAAACATCTTTGCACGGGGCTTGGCGTTAGACGCCTTTTTTGCCCACTTTTGAATGTTTTTTTTTTTTTTTCTTTTTTTTTTTGGTACCGTATGTGGAGAGGTTCGAGATGCTAACCTTGGTACTCTGAATATATAGGTGGGTGTGATGGATCAACTATTATCTATTAAGGTAAATGTACCGACAGCACAAACTGTCAATCGCGTGGCCATAATAGGTTAACGCAAGGTCTGCGTTATGTCCCACAGTGGCTTGTGCAGGGTTTAGTATAGATCACTTTAACTCATTTAACAACCTCTTTTTTGCCTTTCTCCCTTACAGAGTACTCTTACTAAAATTACCCAACAAGGAAGGTCGAAATCAAAATCAAGGATCAAGATATACTTGTCATTGAAGCAGAGAAAGCACCTTGCGTTCTATCAACTGCATATCTAGGACGATTGGTTCTCCGTATTGCACTGAACTTGTCTCCACTCGTTCTTCAGAATAGACATGTTGATCTCGTCCCACCACTCGCCGTCCTTGTAATGGCATTCCCTCCTTCTTCCCTCCAAGAAAAACCCAAGCCTGTGACACAATACGCTCACTCGTACGTTCCACGATAGAACATTCATCTCCACCCGATGTAGACCCACACTGTTGAAAGCCCATTCCAAAGCCCAGTTGATGGCCTCGGCTTCATGGTGTTGATACCTCTTTAGGATCCCGATTCCCAGCTTTGAGCATCGATGATGTGCCATATCTCGATGAGAAGTCTCTAAGAAAAGTGTTCCGAAAGGTACCATCTCGTCAGTGCCCTCATCTAGTCCGTAGATAATCACAAACAGATGTGAGTTCCTCTGGAGATATTTGGCAACGTCGGAAGTGAAGTTGAGGTCCATAGGTCGTGGGGTTGATGCGCATAGGTTGATTATTGAGGATGAATGTCGTTGAACAGAATTGAAAAACTCATCATGATCTTTAGGATTGTAGCCGATGAATTCTAGGTTCGTAGATCGAAATGCGTTTGGGGGAAGCTCTCTGCTAGATGAATCTGTAGAGGTGTTCGAATCAGAATCCATACTTTTCATGTTGAAGAAAAGGATATGGATAGATAGAGATAGTGAGAAAGATGATGGAAAAGTTACAAGTGACAGTTTATATAGACAGCTATTGAATGTTTGTCGTTCTACAAACACAGTTCTTCTCTTGCTCTTCACAACTACGCCACGCTGTTCATGTTTGCCTTCTTTCCATACATAATGTCTACCACGTGATTTTTTCTGCCATATATCCCCCCTACTTCATTACTTCTGGTTCACATAGTAACAGAAGTAAAGCCATGGCCAATGAGCAGTCGCGATCTAATGTATAATTCCAGGTGTTCCGTTTTTGGGTTAGCGGACCCATAATAATAACGTCTTGTAATTGGTTGCCTCGGATCTCACGAGCATGTACCAATAGGAAGTAACATCTTTTACATCGGCTCCACTCGTATACAACTTTAACACCATCCACGTGACTTTGTTGCATACTTGCCGGATTTCCTGTCTGATTTCTATTTCTCCAGACATTAAGAAACTTCATCAGATTGGGAAATGCGCCGATCAAGCCATGCTGCCACACACGGCTCAGTTGAATATAATACCGAGCTCGAGGTTGTCCTGGAGAGCCCTGCTGATGGGGAAGTCAGCTTGGCTTTCCCTGAAGGCGGCCGAGAGGCATGGATTTGCTTAATAGGGTCATCTCTGATGATGTTCCCATCATTTGGTTTTCAAACTGCAGGTGAGAAAGATACCCTCTTGAGTTATTCTCACACTGGACACGACAACTCACCCTTTTAATGATCTATTTAGTCGGATCGGTCCAGGATTATATCAGTACGCACCAGCTGTCCGAATACGGGGATCGTGATGTTGGTTGGATTACTGCAGTACTTGTATTCTTGACATTGTTCCTCGGTGTTCAAGTCGGACCGCTCTTTGATCGCTACGGGCCTAGAGTCTTGTTGATCTCTGGTTCCGTTACCAATTTCATTTCCTACCTTCTCCTCGCCGAATGCTCGAAATACTGGCACTTCATGCTTTGCCTTGGTGTGCTTTGTGGCATGTCATCTGCAATTATAACTACAGTGGCAATTGCAGTTCTTAGCCATTGGTTCAACCGAAGACGCGCCTTTGCCTCTGGAATTTGTATGGGAGGATCATCAGCAGGCGGTGCGATTATCCCCCTGATGTTACGATCATTGTTTGAACACTACGGCTGGAGGTGGGGTATCAGGGCTGTGGCTTTTATGGCTTTGGGATGCTATGCGGTGGGTATTGTACTTGTTCGAGGCCGCCTGCCCATTGGGAATAAGAGCAGAGTGACTATCGATTTTGCAGCATTCAAGTCACCCCGGCTTTGCTTCCTTGCCCTCGCCGTCTTCTCATTTGAGTTCATCATATTCGGTTGTGCTGCTCTTCTTCCATCTTATGTCCGCTATAGTGGTTTCTCGGTGGATTTGCAGTTTTATTCCCTCACGGTCCTAAACAGCATGAGTCTTCTCGGGAGAGTTCTTCCGGGGCTTGCTGCTGATCAACTTGGTCGATTCAACGTTTTACTGTCGTTGGTTGTGCTCACAATTATAATAATGGCTGGAGTTTGGTTGCCATATGGGTCACACAGCGAAGGTACCATATATGCAGTTGTCGCAATCTTTGGATTCGGTTCTGGAGGATGGTTATCGCTTGCTCCCGTCTGTGCAGGCCAGCTTTGTGACACGAAAGACTATGGACGATTTTATGGTACCATTTATAGCGTTGCCTCGTTCGGGGTGTTGCTCACTGTGCCTGTTGGAGGACAATTGTTGCAATCGACCACTCCCAGGGTGCTCATTGGCTTTTACTCAGCCGTGCTGCTTCTCGGGCTCATCAGCGTTGGAATGTCTCGATGGGCGCTTTTGGACTGGAAATGGAAATGGAAAGTCAAGGTATAGGTAGACCAGATGATTACTTAGTCATGGCCTTGCATATCACCATTCGTGTTGCGAACCTTCTGATTTGCGTCTGTTGTATTTCTACCTTCAATTGCAATTTAACTAGTCACTCTCCGTAAAAAAAGGCTCTATCTCAATTCCATTTCTTGTATCTCTCAGAAGACCCAGAAGCGAGTCCGAAGAGCTCCTGATCTATCTTGATACTATCTTCGTATCCCTATCTTGCCCATGAACAAATCCGGCTTGCCATACCATGCATTTCCCGCCTATTATTTACAATTTGTCACGAAGGCAAGGGTGAAAGCCCTAAGCGCTGCACTGGTGGCAGACATACTTCAGGATATCAACGGCACAAAAGTGGTGCATACCGGAGAATCTGGCGCGAACGGCCATCGAGTGAATTGCATCATAATTTGAGATCCTTCCTCTTGTAGGTCCGCGGAGACCTTTCGTATCCGTTGGTCCTCGGGTACGTTGATGTGATCTACAATGATTCCGACATTTTGCTCCTCGATCTCGATCATTCGCTGCGCACACAGTCCCGAATATCGGTCCTGCCAAGCACCATGGTAGAATGGAGACTGGAGCATCAAGGAAACAGCCTTCCTGCGGATGAAGGGATGGCGACAGCGAGAAGCGGCGAGGAACATTGGAGGTGTGATTCCAAGATCGAAGCTGAAAAGCAGGCTGAATGCCTGCGATTCTCTCTTCCACATCTCGGTGACGCCCTCGGCGAGGTTGACAATGGTTCGGAACTGGTCGGTATAATGATCGAAAATACTCTCAGATTGCGAGTAATATGTTTCAGCAATAATAGAGCAGGTATGGAAGTACAGCTCTAGCAATTTGCGTGTGCATTCTCGTATGATTGGGGACTCGGTCGGGAAGTCTGAGGCGTCTAACGCCGCTTTCCACTGACGTAAAATGGTGATAGGAGGTTGCAATGGCGATTGGGAATCTGAGGTCTGCTCCTTCTCCATGTAGGAAAAGACGTAATTCATCGCTCGGTCAAAATCATTCCGGGCAGAATCGAGGGAAGGATATAATGAAGGGATTATAGGAGGTGGTAGACATAACGGAACGCCGAGGTTCATTAATTTGTGGCGAGAATCCATACATATAGAAAATTGCACCCGCAAGCGTTGGAATATTGGTGTTATTTGGTTGTTGATAAACTGTAAGGTTGGGCGAGAATATTCCTGTAGTTTGTTATAGGCGTTGGTGCGATATCTCCACCAATACAGCAGCCTCAGGCCGGCTGTGAGATGGAGTAAACATGCAGCATCACCGCTTCGAAATTGTTCGAAGCAAACGAAAAGGAGACAGAGAGTCATGGTGATGTCAGGTCGTGATGACATGTTGGGAGACTCGGTCTGAATGGATTTAATTGCGGCTGTATAATGTTTCAGAGCCAGCATCTGGGCCATGATCTGGGCGTGCTTTCCTGATCGGCGAACTGAAGCACAGGCATCAACTGGCTCTTGACTTTCATGCAAGGAAGCTAACGCAGTCAAGGCGTGCTTGACCGGCGCTTCGCTATGGCCAAGCTGAAGAAGGATGGAAATCCAAGAGCTGGCATCCCGATGGCCAAATATTCGATGGCTAGTTCGGCTGCGGAAATACAAAAAAGCTCGCCGCTCTTCGTCGTTCAGACAATCAGGGAACAGGCTGCGGCTAAGGGGGACCGGGTAGCCCTCACAAATCCTTTTCGTTGCTACACAGCGCAGACAGGAAGGTCTCTGCTCATCACATTTGACGTGCCTAAGAGTAAACTGTTAGTAGTGCCGACCTCCTGTAGCTAGACTTGATGAGCACACACACCGGGATCTGGAGACTGTTAGTGATAGGCCGAATGGGTTAATTCAGGATAACGTACTTGCAGGTGAAGCAGCCGCTCCGGGTCTTGCGACCAGACCTCATGACGGCTAAGCCAGCAGCAGGTATTTACAGTTGCACGTTCATAGCCCAGATGGATTTGTGCAGGCAGGTTACAAAGTCAGGGAGCGATCGCAGCGAAGGAGGTTCGTCTCGCTGACAGCAATGCTGACTAAGGCGTGGCGAAACCGATGATTACTTCCAAGGTTGAATTCGAAATGGTTCAAGCGACTCTCTAAATCTCCTGTCTTCGATCATTGTACCTGCTTCGAGAAGCTCCAGGAAATGCGGTCCAGCCCCAACCCCTTTCTAGCTCGGAGGACGTCAAGTTTCACAGTGCGCTTAATTTTCTAATTGATCAACACCTTTCTCATTGGCCCGGGATGTGCCGTAGCGACCCAAGAAATCAAAACCGTTAAACTACACAGTATGAGCCGAAGTCTTACGACAGAGTCGGGTTTTACCCGCACCCATCTCAAATATATATCACCACTTTCAACTATATGTACACTTGGCGACGATTACCAACGATGCGGTATATAAAATCTTCCCTTGACACCTTTGCATATGTTCTCGTCTAGGTACGTCTATTCATTCTCATAATGTCAATTCTCCTCTCATCCTCACCATCGGGGGCGGTGTCATGAGGCTTATGTTAACACGGCCTCAGAGAAACATTCCTAATACTATCCAACTCCTCCATCAGTCTGTTGGACACTGCTTCGGCCGTGCTAGAAGGACAGGGGGCTTCCATAGACACCAGTCGTATTCTGCGTGTCGACTACGTAATAAAGTCGTACACCAGGCTCGTGACAGATGAATGCAGTGGTGGCGGGCTGAGAGATGAGTGCATCCACTTAGCCCATCGGAACTCGGGATCCTTTCTGTGAACGACCAATTCATACTGTGATATGTTACGGCATCATAACATCGTAGACATCATAGAATGAACTTGCGCAAAAATAAGTGCTTGCTGACTCCTGTATCTGACCAGCCCTGGAGCATCTGGGCACAGTCGTTACCCATCTTGATGCAATATACGCGTCAATATAGTCAGATGGAATTGTCTTGTTTAAACTGTCCCCTGACCATTGCGTCGATGTCAGAAGACGTTGACAATCTAGATCATGGCTATAACGTTTTCAGAAGAGCTGTTAGATGAATGTCATCATCTACCGCAGCATCTAGACCAAAGGAGCATTGCGTCGATGTCAGAAGACGTCGAAAATCCATATCATGGCTGAACGTTCTCAGAAGAGCTTCTAGATCTAGGTTCCGTCGATGTCAGAAGACATGGGATCTAGATCATGGCTGAACGTTAGAACTGTTAGATCTAAGCTACGTCGATGTTAGAAGACATTGGATCTAGATCATGACTGTAACGCTTTTGGAAGGGCTATTAAATCTAGTTCATGGTCTACCACAGTATCTAAGTCAAAGGACCGTGGTAGTGACCCATTGAAACAAAGAAATTACGTGAGCAGTGGACTGACAGACAAGTAAACTAGACGAATGGGAACTGAATATGAAGTGTTCGTAGGATCAGGAAACATTAGATCGATTGTGAATAGAATACTACAAAGAAGTTACTAAAAGCTAGAACCCTCAAAAGGGTATGATTTCTGCCCGTTTTGACCGCCATCCTATGACGACGTAGCTCGCCACATAGCTTGAACGTCATAACAGAACCAGCTCGAAGTGAAGGTTCCATGGCTACAGACAGAGAGGAATATCCACAGGATTGGATTACCCGCACAAGAACATCCATGGGAATCTGTCCCTCTCTTCTATAAAAAGTCACTGTACCTGCCAAACCTGATCAACATCGTACCTACCAGAAAAACAAAGATCGTACAAGCCCCATAACCTTGACCTTGATTCTGTATTCAACATTCTCCTCTATATAAGTATGAACAATATCTGTTTGCCTGCTAGGGAACTCAGCCGTTCCCACATCACTTCATACCACTCCTAAGTATTAACAGCACAAATGTCTCTACTCACTACTCACTTTGGTTCAAACCACTGTATCGGAGGTGGCCTGCTCTCCAACAACCCAACTACTCGCTGTCAGCAGCTCTCCAAGATCAGAGATTACGCCAAATATGGTCGTTCCAGTCCCAAGAAAGCCCGGACATTGAGAAAGGCAACCTACAAGCAGAAACTCGAGCGTAGTAAACTCCCAAAAGGCAAGGAGCACATCCTGCAGGGTTGCATAGTACTCGTCTCATTAATATACAGCCGCTTCCCATGCCATTGACGCAAACCCCAAACAACTTGGCGGTCCGAGAGCCTTCAGGGTTCTATTGGCTGGGAAAGACGCCGTTGCCAACCGCAAAATCCACGATCCGTCTTCGTTCGAGGATGAAGGGGATTTCCTCTACTTTGCAGCTTTCGGCATACCTAACCGCCCGATCAAATTCAACAAGTAAGGAATTCTCTGACATGCTAGAACCCTTGCTGAGCCACTGGCTAGTACCTGGATCCAACCGGAAAAGATTACGCTTTCTGCGGAGAAGAACATCTACACAATTTCCACTGCAGATGAGAATGGAAAGCCTGTATCTCTGTATCTGAATTTTACCCTGCTGGAAAAACCCACAGGCTATCTTGAGGTGTCAGAGGGTGGATATGCGCTCCTCCTCCAACCCTATGCCGTCAGTTTCAATGTTCAAGCGTCCGCCAATTGTGGCGCGTATAAGTCTACGGGCAACCAGACGCTCGCCTGGGATGAGACGTCCAACCAGTGGATCTTCGCGACGTGGGATAGTTCAATGATATTCTCCTATGACACAGTCAGCATTTCCGGCCCCTTCGGGCCCAATCAAGTCAACGAGGTCGCATATACCGACATCCAGGACGATGATACCAGCTTTCAGCTGACCTCGGATCTCTACCCCACCGAGTACAGCTGCATCATGGACGGCACCAACCCCGATGGCAAAGTGTACTGTCTCACTACAGTGACTGATGCCAGCTACGTGCCGCCACCGCCCGAGGTGCGCGCGAATAGCGATATCAAATCTGTCTTCCCGCTTCAATCTCTTTTCAAATTCGACACGTATGGCATGTCGTTCACCGGAGCCTATATCGTGCCCAGCAATCAAGTCTACGGGGTCATCGGCACAGGCAACCTCCCAACCCCCAAATCTACCGAGTCCATCTTCAAGTCCTCGCTGGAACCAATGCCCCATGCCTTCCACTTCCCTGACACTCCAGATGCGACGTCCCTATCTGTCACGGGATTGCTCAGTCTTAATCCCATGGAGGACGATCCAAGCAGCCCCACGGGCTATACCGATGTGGTCTCGCAGGCGGCTAACAGTGATTTCAACGACATCGTCACGTTCTACATGGACCCCCAGATCCGCACAACGTTTGTGCAAGCCGCTCCCATCACACTCAGCGACCCCACCGTCCTTGCTATTGCCACGGATAGCCCCGATAACTCGTCTTTCTACACTCAACTGCAAATGCCCTACGTCACGGCTAGCTTGTCCCGCTCGACCCTGGACCAAGCGAAGCAGTGCAACGGATTGAGGGCGGAGGCGCAACTCCAAGGGATCCCCGCCGAGTCCCCCGTCTACCAGCGCCATTCCGATGCTCTTTACCGGCACCGCTTTCTACTAAATTTTCCCACTTTGCAGCAGTATCTCGACGATCAGGCTAACACGGACTACACCGCCGACATGTTAGCTGCTGCGGTGTATATGAAAACACAGATCGCGCAGGCGGCAAATGGGATGGGAGATAGCGGGGATCCCACGACAGCGGCACAGAATCTCAAAAATGCGCAGGCTGATATCGACTCGCTGTGCGCCTGGGCCACTGATCAAAAGCTCTGGTGGGCGTTTAACCTGTATTACTGGTGTACTCAGTACTATCTGCCAAATCTTTATGCGCAAATCACTAACGGTACATTGTCCGGTACCGTGTGCCGCACGATGAAGGCACTATCCGGTACCTTCGGCATGCTGGAGGGCAGCGCCCAGAACCCTAACGGCAAGTCCTTTCAGGAGGCCTTCAACGATGTAGTGCGCGTATACCAGATGATTAGCATCATCCCGCAGTTTGTCGACGTTAACGGTAACTCGGAGGAGTTCGACAGCATCTTGAAGGCGATGCTTGAGCAATTCCACGAGGACAACTCTAATAGCCTGGATCCTAACATCATGCAAGAGGCTGAAAATGCCGAGATGCTGGCGGCCAATGACGCCTTGCGTGGGGAATTCTTCCAGAGTCTTAAAACGGCGATGGTGAGTAACGGTGCGCTGGGGTCGTGGGCCGGGGTGGTCCAGCAGTGGGGTTATCTCAACCAGATGTCCCCTTGGTACCAAAAGCTCGTGGGAGCTGCGGGTGTAGCCGCGACCTTCTTGCGCAGCGTATGCGGGCTGCTCTTGATCTCTTCTATGGTTTTAGGTGGGGGCTGGAAACAGATGAGCCCTGAACAGAAGGCTGCGTGGATCGCCAGCGCAGCCGGCGTGGCGCTAACATTTGCCATTAAGGCTATCCAAGGTGCCATTCGCGTGACGATTTTCTGGGAGGATATTGGCAGCTATGCGGACTGTTTAAAAGCATTCTTTGGCTTCGATAGCGTGTTGAAGGAACTTCCGGCTGCTGCCTCTCGGGCAAGTCGCCAACCCAACCCAGAGAACGAATTTCCTACTTGCTAACTGTGCAAATCGATAGACCGAGAGTGAGTTCGCACAATGGTTCGTGCGGATGGGACCCGAAACGATGCAGATTACGGAAGATGCTATTACGGTCCCAATGAAGATCTTCGGCCGCTCAGCGGGCGAGTTCCTTACCAATGCTGTCGGGACCATCCTCGCCGGGGTTAACGTGGTGCTCAGTATTATCGACGCCGTCAAGTCCAATGATCCTGTGCAGAAGAGCATGGACTCAATGATGATCATTTCCAGTGGCCTCCAGATCCTGGCCACCGCGGCCGGATGGTTGGTCAGCGCCGAGATCGTGACTGGAGAGGCAGCTGTCACCATCTGCGACAGCGTCGCCGCCTGTGCCGGCCCGGCGGCAATTATCTTTGCAGCAATTGGTCTAGTGATCATGATCGTGATGATGTTCTTGCACAAAGACCCGCCCAACCCGGTCCAGGACTTTGTGGATAATTTGCCAGCCGGGCTGAAGATGGAATACGATACCGACATTGACTACTTCAATATCGTACCGCCCGACAGCTCGTCCACATCGCTCAACGGTGTCTCGTTCGAGCATCTGTCACTCGATTGGGGCCATAATCCATGCCTGCAGTTAGGCTCCGAGAATGCGTCCATACCTGACCAATTCGCCATCCAGGCCGCATCCGCCGTCACGTATCTGCCAGATACCTGCTGGTCCATCTGCACAGACTATCAGGGAAACACCAGAGTGTTCACATATGCCCTCGACGCCAAGCAAAACAATGTCACAGTGTGCCTTACACAGGCCAGCGATGGATCACTGCTGGCCGCGCCCCCGCCAGCCATGACAACCGTTGACGGTAGCGGCAACACAGTGCCCGTGGATCCCACGTTGTATGCAAAAGAGCTAGCAACGCAGCAATGGAGCTTTACCTGCCAGTCCACCCCCACAACTGTCAACCGATCGATCAACGGCAAGGACGTGCCCTATACGGTTTCGGCCGAGTTTGAGATCTCGCAAGGCGGCCAATATTTATATGCCGACGAATCGTATCAAACTGGGAACACGACTATTGGGCTACGGAGCATCCCAGACACCTGGATCCTGACCCTGCGTCCGGAGGGCCCTTCTCCCTTCACGTACGTGCAGCCCAACTGGACACTGACAACCCAGAGTACCGACGAGTCCAACTATGTCCTCTTCTCTGGGCCGACCTCCTTGCCGCTGGAGTGGGCCGTCACACCGGCGTTACCCGCTTTCCTTCAGTTGGGCGAGTCGACCACCGACGGCGGCACTATCTCACAGGTCTCCGGCATTTCCCCCACGGTGATGAGTGCTACGACCTACACGGTGACGGCCAGCATTACCATTATAGAAAAGATCTACCAGCAGACGAGCACTTTCTCTATCACCGTCACAGATCAAATCACTCCACCCAGTACCCCGGTACCTAAAGCTACACAAGGCCGAAGTATCACAATCTCCGACGGCGTCCCTGGCAACGAATCCACGCATCCACCTCCATCGACTGCGATGGGACCTGTCGCGGGACAGGCCGCTCAGCGGGCACCTGCCAAGGAAAATTCAGATGGCATCGAGACAGCGTATGAGCGGATGATGGCCAATGCCCCACCGTTCTTCAAATGGTACCAGACGCCGGCTGTGCCTCTGTCACAACATTACACGGCGTCAGCTGCCATTTCAAAAATGCAGAACTCGTTGACAGGATGGTGGCGCGGTGGCAACTTTGAGTCACTCTACTTCACCAATCCCTCCGCCGGCCCGTCAATCCAACCCGGCGATCCCTGCGACTATCACGACGCCGCAAATGCGTATGTGGCGCAGGCAATTAGCAACGGCGATGGCTATGCAAAGGTGAGACGGGTAAATTGGAGCTAGCAGCTAGTTTCTTCTAATGGTTTCTAGCTAGCCCTATTGTAACTGGAGCGCAACGCAAGAGACCATTGACACTTTCAACACCGCCCTGTGGGATTGTAATATTGATCGCTACATCGAATGGCTGCAGTGGAGCGGCAGCGCCTCCGTCACCGGGGGGCTATGCACCTGCGACCAGTACATCAGCTCCATTAAATCTGCGGACTGGCTGTCCGAGAAAGCGGCGGAGCAGGCTGACGGGCTGTGGCCCGACCAAAGCATGGAGATGTTCTTCCATTTCTTAAAGCTAGCCGCACTAGGTGCGACAGAGGATCAAATCAGCGATATCTACACCGCCATAACCGTCCGCACTGCGCCGTCGCAGACAGTCCTCGATCCAAGTGGCTTCTCCGACATCACGCCATCCACCTGGCAGTCCTATCGATCCTATCTGGAATCTGGTAATATCCAAGTGTCGCAATTAAACGTGTCCAACCTTGGGGAAAGCCGTATATGGTACGAGGATGAAGATCCCGTCCCGGTCACAATGACAAGCTATGCCGACACCGGTTTTCTGCGTGACACCGGCTACTATCAGGCACCACCATCAGGATGCTGTCTCCGCAGCACAAGCCAGGTGTTAATGGAGGATGGTAGGACGCTGAAACCGATAGCAGCCGTCAAGCCGGGTGACTGTGTGTGGAGTGTGACTGCCAATAGCGCACGACAGGCACCACAAGTAGCCTTCATCTCGCAGCCGACTCGCAATCGCAGGAACTTGTACGCATACTCCTACATGCCTGACGTTCTTTTCACCGACACACATCCGCTTTACCTTGGAATCGATGAGCACGGATTTACCTTGATCGGATTCGTCGACGTACAGAAAGCCCTTTCCGTCAATCCCTTATGGGCATCCTTCACCATCGAATCTGTGTCCCGCGACGAGCTGATTATGGTAAGTCCAGACCAGAACGACGAGACGCTATTCGACCTGGTCTTCGATCAGAGCACGGATTGTCTAGCTTCGCCTCCATGCTCGCTGCCCACCTACACGGTCCGCAGTAACAACGGGCAGGAGCTCCGCGTCTGCAGCGAGGCTCCTGACCCAGCCATGCTTCTACCGATGACGGCCTTTGTCCTGGCCGTGGCGAAGGAATTGGGTGCGTCGAGCGATACGCTGGGCTTTTTTCCCGATGGACTTGCCGCTGGAGTTTTGGACTATTCTGCGAGAATCCGACGACACCGCTCCGTCTGTGCCAACGCAATCGTGACTGAGAGTGATGCAGAACTAAATAAGGAATCGCTTGGCATGTCGACCGCAGTTGCGGTCCTCTCTGACTCGCAGCTCAGCCCCCAAGTCGTGGCCGACTCAATGGAAGCACTCATTATGTCTCTGGGTCTATCAATGCAAATCGCAGCAGACAATGGCTGGCAGCAGATCTCACCAGCCCTCAACACGCACACCGCACCGCATTTATATTCAGTTGTGTCAACGCATTTCCTCCAGTTGACCCAGCCAGCCCTACTCACCCGATCTGCTCAGCTCCCGCGGGCATACCATCAAGTTCTACCCCTATTGCGAAAATCTCTATTAGACCCGTCAGCCACAGTTGATGTCCAAGTCTGTCAAGCAGACCATGCCCCTACGCGTCGGAGGGCTCAGATTCACAGGCTAGGACCGCACTTGTTCCAGCTTCGTGCGGACATTACAATGACAGAGCAGGAAGCACAGCCGACAGACCAATCGTATACGGTGACGCTCACGATAGGGTCCGACATCATTCTCACGGCGACAGGTAGTCTCACCCCCGACGCGGATGCGCGCTGGCCTGTTTATCTTACCCAGCTCAACGGTGCTAGCCAGGAAATGTTGCAGGATGTGGGGACTTGGCATGTTGGTTCGCTGATGGTTACTTCAGGGACGGTGACGCGAGAGCATCTCAATATCGCGGAGACTTGGGGGTTAGTAGATGATCGAGATGATGGTGATTGTATACGACCAGAGGTTGTGTGGAGCCGTGCTACTAAATATGCTGACTGTTTAGGACATGCTGTTGGAAGAGATATCGTTGCGTCGGTTATCGGTGGTGTGTGAACCTGTAATTGTGTCCACAACTTTCTTGTGGTTTTTTGCGATGATCGCAGGCTTGAAAAGTTTAACTGTATCTTGCGATATGAGAAATTGTTTACTGCTGACTTGCAATACTGTTTTTTGACAGGTTATTCCAAACTTCGAGTCTTTTTGCTGTCGAAGGTTCACCTAACATTTTCAGGTATAAAAGTGAATATCAATCAATCCCTTACAGCTATTTGCCCAGCTATACTCCATGTTCTCTCCCATCTCAGCATCGTATAATTCAATGTTTGTCAAACCAATCAGAGATCAAATATGGGGGCATATGCTGTATACTACCGTGGTACTATAAATGATCCGCATATAATGTTCTTCTATAATCGTTCTACGATTGTTCTGTGGGGAATGTATGCAGGCTGACGCACCTAATCTGCACGCAAGCTGTCAGAATTCGTATAGAACTACCTTTCCCAAAAATACATCTCATAAACCATACCCGCACTCTTTCCTCTCCATCACACAGTTACCTTACGTAGTTATAAGAAGATATGTAATCAGCATTCAATTAAACGGCCATTCCTCTAAAAACCATATGAACAAGCCGAAATCTCAATCTCCGTCAAATCTATTCAAGGATAGCCTTAAGACCAGCCTGAATAGCAGGCGGGTTGGCACCCTTAACCTCAGACTTGCGCTCACCACCATTGTAGAAGTGGAAAGTAGGCATAGCGGAGACACCGTTCTCAGCAGCGACCTGAGCGAGCTGATCGACGTCGACCTTGTAGAAGCTCACGTTGGTGTGGGTCTCGCTGAGCTTCTCCAGTTGAGGGGCGATGGCCTTGCAGGGACCGCACCAGACGGCGTGGAAGTCGACGACGACGGGGCCGGTTGCGTCGGTGACTTTGGTCTTGTAGTCCTCGACGCTGGGGTTGTTAGCTTTGTTTTAGTCTTATTTGAATTGGGAAGAATATGGAGGATGAAGGGATATCAACGTATGGAGAATGGGAGAAATATCAAGAACAGATATCGACGAATATGGAGTGTGATATCAAGGACGATGCAGGGTGATACGCGATATGTAGACGGGTGACACTTACGTGGTGATTTCAGTGACAGCCATTTTGAGAGAAGAAGGCGTGAAGCGCGTGATGGGTGTAGTAGAGAATGATCTGAAGGCGCGTCCGGAGAGTCTTGTGGAACGGAGGGCGAACTGTAAATATAAGTATTTCGATTGGAGGGGCAGAGAGTGAGGGGCGCTAGGTTTTTATAGGGCAATGACGTTCCAGATGGGAAGATTATGTAAGACGCTGAATAATGGCAGGATTGCACTTGCAGGTGCAAGGTTGGAGGGTATCCGAGGTCTGTCCGGAAAGCTCTGGAGGGATTGACGGGGATTATTCCGAGGTGAGAGACTTACCATTGTGAGATTTGTCAGTTTATTCTTGTACTGGTAGATATTAGGATCTCGAGGAGGTGAAGATAGGGGATGACGTGCTTTCGGGTGCCGAAGTTGCTTACGAATAAGATGGAGTCTGGAACTGTCAGCATTTACGGCATATACTACAACGGGTAATATCAATATCATACAAACAGGCATATTAGATATTCTTATAGTAATTCTTAAAATTTTTAGGAAAGATACTAATAAAGACTATAGATCAATTAGATATAAAAACCAGACCAGTAATGCTGCGTTTTAATACATAATGCCATGACTATATCTCAATGTAAGCTAAACACTGCTTGATGCAGAAATTGATATCAGTAATTGCCGAAAAGAACATGTCTTATTAACAGCATGGAAGAAGAATAGACCAAAGGCCGAGAAACCACCTATATGCAAAGAAAAGCGCTCGAAGGGGAATAAGAATTTATCAACTTTGTATTCAACAGGAAAAGAAGAAATAGAACTTATGCATATGGTAACGATAAAAATGGGGCGATGAGGGGGTATCAACAGATTGAATCAGAATGAGCTCGCAAGGGCGATAATGGGATACAGGGCAGTGGGAATATCAGAATCGTACAGATGGCCAAGGAAACCCCGAGGCTCACGGATGGATATTTTGACAAAGGAAAGGTGACAAAGGAAAGGTGACAAAGGGAAATGACAAAGGAAAGGTTCAAAGGGTGGCAGATTGCGTTGAGTCATGACCATGCTCGATGGGCCAATCATTGGTACCTGTCTAACACGCCATGACACAGAGATAAATGAGGTAATGGCAAATGGTAGATCCAGATCGACTGGTATTAAATGGCGAGTGATCACCAATACCCAGTCTATTCGGCATAACCAATCTCGGCTCTCGCGCTGGGGATCCGCCGCAATTCAGAAGGACTTGTCTCCTCCATAATGTAATCTTCCTCTGCGTTGATGGGAGTTAATGAGGAATACCCTCTGAGTATTCCTTGCGTAGACTTGGGGCGAACTACCGGGTTCACCAGAACAGGGCGGCGGCCAACCTCGTTGTGCCATCTTTCAGCGGGGTTGGGATTGCCTGTCGAGTTGTCTGCAGTTTCTGGTTCGAGCTCCGGTTCAACCATATTGTCGCTCAGACGGCGGGACTCCTCCAGTGAGTCAACCTCTTCGCGGGCATCTGCCGGGCCCTCCACAGAGTCTTGGCCAAATGAGTTCAAATTCGATCGAACAGGACTGCTGGGCTTTTGCGATATCCGACGGAAAAACTGGCCTGACATCCAGGATCCCTCTGAATCAATGGAAGCCAGGGATTGGGAAAGTGGCACATTATCGGCCTCGGTGTCAATGCTATCGGTAGCCCACGACCGATGATGGCTTCGGTTCGGATTTTTGATGTCCACACCGGGGCTGGGTGTTGGTTCACGCAAAAAAGTCTCATCTTTCTCGACGGAGGACTCTAAAACTTCCTCTGGGATATCTGGCGACTGTAGGCGAGAATCAGGAGGCGATAGCGGTTCGTCCCCAAAGTGTTCAGTGAACTTGGATTGAGAGCGTTTCAGGGTTCCACTAGGCATCAGAATTCTCGGAGGGACAATCGAAGGCGGAGGGGGTGATGATTGGGTCTGGATTCTGTAGAAAGATTCATGCGAGGCGTTGGAGACTTCCGGGGTAGTGTCGTGGAATCGTTCTTTGTAAGTCCGCTTGAGGCGAGAAGAGCCACGTCTGAATAGGGATGTAATGGTATTTCCTCGGCGACCGCTGGTGTCGGAAAGTCGGCGTTCGGAGTCTACTCCCCTGGAGATGTCCGATGCGGAGCTGGGCCCTAAGACCTGCGAATTGGTTGGACTGCTTACCCCATGTCGGACTGATGAATGAGACGGGGAAAGAGTAGTCCGGGACATGGTCATGTCTTGTGACGGGGCGAAGCTAGGACGTTGAGCCAATCTTCGCTCACGAACTGAACTATCATCAGCATTGCCAGCCATGCGAACGCTTTCCCGCGATTCGCGTCCAGTGTTTTCACTGCCTTTCGAAGTTCCCAGCAACCACGATTGATTCTCTGGCGCGACAGCCTTCGGTTCCTCAACTTGAGGGGTGGTCTCTTCGTGAATAAGGTCCTCGGGTTCAGCAACTTCAGGTATGGGCGGCTCTGGTTGAGCGATTTCAGGTTCGGATTCGGGCTCGGGTTTGGGGATGGCGGCCTGGACTTTTTGTTCCTCTGCCTGCTGAGCATCAGCTCTCTCTTGCAGCTTACGCCGAAGCCTTTCCTGGTCATCGATCTGCTTCTTCTCCCGGCGGCGACGGTCGCGATCCAACAGCTCTCTCAAAGCCCCAGCATCTAATGAATCAGCGAGTTCATTAACTCGTCGCTTGGAATAGTAGAACTCTTCCTCGGACATGGTCAGGGCCTGAAGCCTCTCTCTTTCCTGTCGGCCAGAAGCGGCCGGGTTGTTGCTTCTGGCGGTCTGCAGGCGAGGTGCTTCCACGTAACGAACGACAGGGCGTGGGGTCAAGGCAGCAAAGGCGTTAACCTTGTAGGTGTATGGGTCGGATATGTCAGATGTGGAGGAGGTGGCGGAGTCACGGATGGAGAGGCTGATGTCAGACATGTACCGGTCGGCACGCCGACCATTTGCCTTTCGGCGGCGTTTTTCCAGTGCATAGTCTCCGCCAGGAGATGACCGATGGGGAATATCGATGGGTGTGGATGAGAGCATACGAATCTCACGCTCGCGCATGATCTCGTTTGCTTTGCGTTTGCTCAGTCTACGTCGTAGTTTATTCGGGCCATTTGAGTTTTGGCTTGGTTTTCGCCTCAGCAGAGAACCGGTTCTTGAGAGTGGAGGGTCGCGTGGCGGGTTCCGTGACTGATCAGCGATGGAGGCAGGGCGGTCTAGCGATGAGATAGGTCGAGTTGGCGGCACGAGGGCCGAGCTGCGCCGGCTGTCTGCAGCATCCCGTGTTGTGCGGTTTTGGTGTTTGGAGGGTTTACGACCCAAGGTAGGCTCGACGGTAGGTTCGGCAAAGGTTGAGTGAAGGTCAGCAGCTTCAGCACCGGTCACTTGGATGGTGTGCCGCTTGCTCTTGCGATTAAAGGGCCATATCGCCATGGCACTTTGGGGGCACAAGCCCAGGGACAAGTATCAAATAATGTCAGTGCGCGATAAGTGAAGTCATGGAGGGTGGAAAGGGAAGTTGAAGAATGTGACTGGAAGTCAGGATGACATAGGCATGATAGAAATAGAAAATGGAATGAAGATTGAAAGTTCCAGTTGGAGGAAGGAGAGAAGGAAGAGAGAGAGAGAGAGAGGAGAGGGAAGAGAAAGAAAGAGGCAGAAAGGCAGAAATGCAGAAAATGGACCCAAAAGGAAATCCCCCAAAAAAGGCCCTTGTTTTGGTCACAGACTTGGCATTCTTTTCTTTTTTTTATTTTCTTTTTTTATATAGATTTTCTATGTTTTACATGTATTAATATTAGAACGGGTACCTGGGTACCTTAAGTTGTACTCGTTAAAAAGTCACACAAAAGTCTAGATTTTTGGAAATTGGCAGGGCCTGTGGGGGAATCCACTTATAGTGGACTATCATATAAACATATCCCTTTCTTATATTCTTAGATTTTATGATATGTTCCATAGTACTCTGTAGGGTATATTATAATCTAATAAGTACTATATGTACTATGTAATACTATAAGACTTCACTTATGCATCTACCCATTACCCTCGTGCCCTCTCATATTGCCAAGACACCGTTTAAACGCCCAGTGGATCCCAGCCCAAGACGGGGGAGCCATTTCGTTGGGTTGACACGCGGGAATGGGGTCGATCTTACGCACATTTTCACACTTTTTTACACTTGGACCTATAAGATCGTCAAGTTGGGAAAAGTTTCTGCACAATCAAAAGCTAAGGCTGCACTGGCTATCGATGTTTGTGGGATTAATAGACATCCACATACTGGAATGGGGAAATGATCAGCAATTTTCCTCAAAAGTCTTGGTTTCTTCTATAGGTAATTTAGTATTAGTACGGAATAATAATACATATTCTACATAGTATGGATGTTTTATTGTTCACGTTCTGCCTTGGTTCCATTCATAATCAAGGGCGTGTAAATAGTACGAGGCTAATTATAGCTTGAGAACTGAGCCACTATTTTCCAATGTTTTAGATATCTAGGACCCCTTGCCTCTACCCATTTTATATTGATATATATTTCCCTTGTATTCCATAGATCTGTACGGAATACCTTACAACAATAACGTGGCTTACTAGTAATCTTTCCTCCGTACTCCGTAGAACGGACAAAATGGCCACTTTTGGCGCCACATCCGTCACGAAGGATCACACCCCTTGACCGCCCTCTTCCCTTCCACTTAGACCCAGAGTCCCCTTGAATTATCCATGGATAATATATTCTATTAATAAAGTTGAAATTTAAGAGAACTACATGTAGAGTATAGCTTAAAACGTAGATCCATGAAGGATCTAGTATGACAAATACATGCATGTTTCACCCTTGACTTCTCCCCAACTTCCTCAACATATATCAAATTCAACCACAAGGTCGTCACCGGTATGCTCCAACGCAACTTGTTTCCAAATTTGCAAAACCTCCTCGTCTGGTTCAAATGCTTTGGAATCAAGCTCATTGAACCAGGTCGCCTTCGCCACTCCGTTCTTCACTCCATACCGAAACTGGTATCGAGGTCGATTCGAAATGTCCAGGAACATAGATTCTAGTTTAGGCATCCGTAAAGCAGCCTTGCCAGCCGATAGATAATGTTGATTGAACAATCCGTGCAAGGGTTTGGTTCGAAATAGGTTGCACCTGCGGTCCTCTGGAGCAACCCAATCTCGATCGGTATCCTCCATATCATCATAGTAGGACCCTAGACCATCTGAGTCATAATTCTCCTCGTCTTCGTCCTTTTCAAACATCCATTTCCCACATGGTGTGATAGGCAAATACTCAAAGCTCACATCAGTTAGATGGGGCCAAAATGGAGGTTCGGGAGTATCTCCATCTAACGGCCAAAAAAATTCTCTTCCTAGAACACATTGACTTCCACCCATCACCTTCAATTGTTGAGAGAATTCTCGTAGGCGCCAGCTTAGAGGATCCGGGGTTCCCTCTACTGTTGAAGCTGCTGGGGGAAAGCTTTCGTCTTCTGGGGTGAGATGGCAGAAGTCAAGGCTGAGATTGCCTATACTAGGAGGCCAGAGCTGAATAGAGTCCGCAAAGTCTATATTTTTCATCAGTATATCCACTCATTCCTGGGATTTGTATACATACCATTCCGTCGAAATTTTCTTATTTGCGGGTTCCATTTGCAATTATCATCTAAGCAAAGCTCCAGATCGTGTAGTCGAGGCAACTTCGACGCGATAAGAGAAGTAGAGGCTGGCTCTAGTTTCCTATGACCCATCGCCCCCATGATATCAAGATACATAATTATAGGGACAGCTCGACATTGAGCACCGACAGCTCCCTCGTTGAATTGGAGGTACGATCTTTCATGTCGCATGTCCCAGATGTCATCAGCTAGGATACGTGGTTCCCACCCCCGCTGCTTCCTTATCTCTGGACCTTGGGCGCTAATATCGCCGGGTGACTGCGCCCTAATCGAAAGAGTAACGCCTGCTTCGTTGTCCGGCCATTCGGATAGAGTATTGAAAAGTGACTGGATTGAAATGGTGAAGATATTACTATTTCGCTGCATCTCTTCTTCATTTTCGTACCGTGTGCGAGCCTCGCCATCATATGACTCCAGCTCCACAATCAGTTCGATTTTCCGTACATGGTATCTTCTTTGTCTCCATAATACTTGGTCCCATGGAAACTGGTTAAATTCCGCTAATCGCTTGGCAGTGTTGATTTTGATGCGTTCGAAGGTTCGCCTCTCGACAATTGCCTGCCAGTCGCGGTTGATAGTAGCATATGGGGCAAGATTGGCATTCTCCTTTCCAATGATATACTCTAACACAATCGTTGTCAACTCTGGTGGTAGTTGGAACCCCATGCCTCCAAGCTGTCCAAGGAAAGTTTTGAGGATGCAGGAAATGTCCAGGTAGGGTATAGCAATTTGAAAACCCCAAGCAACGAGATCCGATGCGATATCAGCAAAAGCGACTTAGAATTGCTATTCTCGCTGCCTTTTCCCGACACTAGCCAGATTCGCGCGGGGGATGCAAGTATGATCACCACCGCTGACTAGTTCATTCAGTGTGAAAGTGAAAGACACTCAGTTGCTCATGCGCTTCCTCAACCGATTCGGCTCTCGCTCTAAGACACTATAGTTGCGGCTCTTACGTCGACTCAGAAGGCGTCTGATAGACCAGCCACTGTGGCAGTGGACGTCGGATGTAGACCGCGGACCGGAACCCTGGGACTGCGGCCCTAGGTGGAGCTTCCGGTGAGGGGGGCCTGTTGTTGACGGTTGGGCATCCATGTTTCGGGACCGTTGTCCAAGTACGTAGCGTATTGAAATGGGCGGGGATGGTATGGTACCGGCTGTTGGAAGTTGGATGGTTTGTTTAAACTTGCTTTTGGCGTTCTGGGGTGTTGAGAGAGAGCGGGGTTGGATCTTGTGGGGCAGATACTAAGAGTGACTCCAAACATTGCATGTAGAGGGTTCAGATCTGCCTATGCTTGACTACTTTCCGGTTGTTCCAGGCGTACCCTATTTTTGATGTCAAGTGACACGATGGTTATGCAGAGTCTGATCCATTTTTGAGGATTTAGGATCTCAAAGTATATAATCTTACCTATGGCTACAACGATATATATACAAGAGCAAGATAGCATCTAAGGTTATGATAGGCAGTATTCAATCTTATAATAAACATCTGATATTATACTGTGATAAAACTTGATATCCATGTCGATAGTCTCGTGATTAAGGTTCATGTCAGGCTCGCGTGATATATATTTTGGGCATTGTATATCACTTGATATCCACAAACTATAGAGAATGTGATTTAAAAATGCAGTAGGAATAATTCTAAATCCATCACACCCCACACCCTAACTGGCGGAATAGTCCAAATTTCCTCAAAAATCCCGTCTCAACATCCGTAATGGATCCGTGATGGATCGGTGATGGACCTGGCGATCTATAACTTCAACAGGAAATCCCCGAGATATAATAAATCAAGATTGTTTCATCCCCAATATCTGGAGAAATACCATGTGAAATATTCCAACCCCGCATTAGTCCCATGCTCCGAGGGTTTTAACGGACTCGTATTGGATGGAAGAACCCGGAAGAAAGAGTGTCAGTTGAAAATTTTTTAATCCAATCTGTCAAGTGTCGGTCTGGCCGTGTTTAAAATGTCTGAAAAAGCATGAGATTCCAATTCCATGAAAAGAGTTCATTTGCCTTTTTTCTATGTTTTCCAAAAGAGAATCTGATATAACTATATTCTCTCAACCTCCTTAAATCAATCACTCATCGGAGACAATACCTAACGTCAACGCTGGCAATCATTTACTTGAACCATCTGGTCGCCTGATACCCTTCCTTTCTCATCACACATACATACACACATCACTCGCCTTCACCGACTTTCTGAAATCTATCATGGCAGATTTGTGGATATTTGTGGCTCTTGGCTACTTGCTGCTGTATGCATTTGCGATGCAAACGCAGGAATATCTTTCCATCAAATGCATTGCCAATTGAGCCATGGTGCAGCGAGAAAACGGCTGCCCTGCCTCGCTTCGGTTCCCTTATTATTGAACAATTTGTTTCATGCTGGCTGTGGGTTGGCGTTTGCGCTTCTTAAGGCTTGAATGCCTAATGATTCACGCCTCACGACATACCCGAATTGTTTTGATGAACCGAGAGGTGAGGGGATAGGACAGTTGGCTATAGGCCTAGGCGGTCTGGATAGAGAATCTATCTACATACAGACCAAACGCTAAAAGGGCTTCCAGCATGTTCAACATATGAGACTGCGAAGGGGCTCCACTATAAGAGAGTCTTTGATGATTATTGATGATGATGATTGCACGAATTTGACAGGCGTTTGATACCAGGGAAGGCCAGACTACAATTTTGTTCGTTCAAAAGACTTGAGATTCACATGTTTTTGGGTTACTTTTTGCGTTCAATCAGCCTTTTGTGAAGAGGAAAAAAATCCCCAATTAAAAACTATTCCATATTCATGTCCATCCATACCAAGGTGTCCAACAATAGGAATAGAGAGAGGGGCGTGAATTGCCACTGCTCTGCAGTTTATGTTTGTTCTGCGTACTGGAGACAATGTGATAGATAGCCACATTGGATTAGACGTGTGAAGAGGGGCAAATCCCGTCTTGTTCGCTTGCGATGATCCTTCCACATGGTAGGGCCGCATGAAATGCATGTGTCACATTAAATTATTCCCTGCCATATCATCTTGATGAAACTTTCCAAGAAATTGGGAAATGTGTATTCTTCAGAACCAGATTTTGATCAATTCCTCACTGACAGCACTGGGCGTCAAGACACCGCTATCTGTGATCAATGCAGAGATCAGGTGGGGTGGAGTGAAATCGACTGAGTCGCAAAGTGGGAGCTTGATTGGGGCGTCTCCATTTGTGTCAGTGGAGGCCTGCTGCTTGCGCTCCTCTGCTAGGTCTTCCTCGGACTTGAACTCCAGAACCTGCTGGTCAATTGGTAGGTCGTACTGTCCAAGAGGATACAAGCGAACGAACTTGTGGCTCTCTGCTACCACATAGAATGGTTTTCCAATGGCCTTGGCAAGGAGACCAATCTGGTAGGTTCCCATGCGAGACACAATGCCTCCATTCTCCACCACACCCTCCGCACCCACAATAACCATATCAGCCTTTCCAAGAGAATATGCCACCGCTGACTCGGGAATTGTTGAAACTGGCACACCCTTTGCTCTCAGAGCACGAACTGTTTCCATACCCTCTGGTTCTTCATTCGGGTGGTCGCAAGTCTGGGAAGTTGAAGACAGAACGTAGATAACACGGAACCGCACGGCGGAAGGACCACCTTCCTCATCTGCGGCTTTTTGCAATAGCGCTGCGACAGCTCGGGAGCCACCATTTGTAAGAATGGTGCTGCCATCGCGAATGAAACCACGGCCGAATGCTGCGATTTTCTCTCGGCTTTCCTTGGCGCGTCGGATAAACAGCCGTCCGTTTGACAACAGATGCGTACGGATGGCCTTAAAATCACCTGCCGGACCAAGTTGTCCAGGGCGTTGTAGTGTGGTAATGAGGTATCGTTGGAACAGATCGGTTCCGGCAGAGAGACCGATAGGGTTGGGAATGGATCGTTTTAGGTGTGCGGTGGATTTTTCGAGTAAATCCAAGGTCTCTGATATCGTTGAGGAGGCTGACTGTGTGAGAAGAAGGACCAGAGCTTCAATGGCCGCAATAGGCATGGTGAGGTCGGGATCGGAGCGGAGGAGTTCATTGTAGGTTGCGACAATGCTAGAGTAACAGTGAGAAGACGCGAGGGGTTGGAGGGAGCACACTTTACTTACTCGAACGGTTGGGTATCGGCCGCAGCCGCATCTGAAACGGTAGAAGCCATGCTGTTTGAGCGTTGATGAGGTGAAAGTGCGAACAAAGCCAGGTACAAGGAAGAGAAAGAGTCATGAATTCTGGATGTTTGCCTGGTTTGCATACTGCCCCTCCAGGCACTAGCCCAAATCGGGCGGTGTGCGGGATTGTCTCCAAGTAAACAATCAACCCCAATCCATAACAATTAGCCTGACCACTTTGTCAATACGCCCCTTGCCTGGTGACAGGTTCCCAAACTATCATGTCGCGCAACTCCACTGCGATGGGGTATAACAGCCGTATGAGCCAGCAATTCCAAGGCACCCAGCACCATGGCCGAGGGCGCAAGAAGGAGGACGAGAATGACGCGCTCATGCGTCTGGTGAGCTTGATTTTTGCCGGAGCTTGTGTCTGATACTAATGTAAAGTAGCCCGACAAAGAGATTGCAGGATGCATCAACGATATCGGTATACCGTTTACCCTCGCCGACCTGGCTAAACCAAACGCCCAACAGATCCAGATGGTGTTCGAATGGTTCGCAGAGCTGCTTATGAACACGACCCGGGAGACAGTTGAGCCCGCGATGCATGCAGCTGCAGAAGATATATGTGGCGACTACCCTGATATAGTTCCCAATGACACGCGCAACCTCATGGGCTTCTTCATGATGCTCCGAAAGTTATTAGCGGAGGTATTTGCTCATCGCTAGCTACAAGAACTCTGAAGAGTATGCTAATGATTCTGGGACTAATAGTGCGGAGTCAACGACTTTACCTTCACAGACCTGACAAAACCGACGCATGAGCGACTCGTCAAAATCTTCTCATACTTGATCAACTTTGTTCGATTCCGAGAATCGCAAACACCTGTGATCGATGAACACTTCAATAAGACAGAGAAAACGAAATCGCGCATTGACGAACTTCTTGCGGAAAATCAGGAGATGGAATTAAGGCTGAGGGAGATGCGACAGGATCTCCAATCCAACGAGGCGCATGTGCGGGAGAAGGTTTCCCGAAACGATGCGCTCAAGGCGCGGCTATTGGAACTGGGTCGAGAGCAGTCACGAGTCGCAGAAACTCTCGATCGAGTTAAGACGGAAAGAGCTCGGCGGCAGCAGCAGTTGGAAGAGAAGACTGAACGAACCGTCCGGTCCCGACAAGAAGCGGAGAAACTACGACCTTATGTGCTCGAGTCACCGGCTACCCTCCAGTCCTCACTGGCTGAACTATCCGAAAATCTGATGCGCGAAAAAGCCTCTATCGATGCGATGGAGAGGCGGGCACGTGCACTGCAGACCTCGTCGGATACGTTCACTGTGGTTTCCAACGATGTACAGGGGTGTGTTAAATTGCTCGATGATATTTCGGCCGAACTGCAAAAAGAGGATGAAGAGGAGTCTCGTGCTGCTAGAACTGCAGAGGCCATCTCGGACAGGGGGAACAGCGTCCGCGAGGTCGAGCAGACCGAGAAGCTCTTGCAGCGTCAACTTGCCCGTTGGGTCGAGCGTATCGAGGCACTCCAGAAAAATGCACAGGAGAAAGCCGAACTTGCGCAGGCACGCATGGAAGAACTCAGAAATGTCCAAAAACAACTCCGCGAGGAACGTGCGGAGAAGCAACGTGATATGGAGCGAAGACGTATTCGCATTGAACAGACAGAGAAGAAGGTATGTTTTACCCCATGTCATAGGGGAACATTGCTAACACACTCTTTAGATGGTCGACTTGAAGGAGAACATTGAGAGCGAGATCCAATCAGCTCACGACCAGTACCTGAAGCTAGAGTCACACATCAAGCTGTACATGACAGAGATGGAGAAGTGTCTATGATCAATCGGTTGTCATTTATATGCGAAACAGGAGTTCAGCGGTCAGCTATAGGATACCCGGACAGTACAAATCCATTCTCAGGAGTTTTATTATGTTAAAATGTCATGTCTGAGTTCAGCATTAAGCGTATTCCAGTCTTTCCCAGTTCAATGATTCTGGTCAAATTCAAACCAGCGCTCGGCAACCTTTTTCACGGTGACACCCCGCCCACCCAAGGTACTTTGGTCCGATCGCATTCGAACCGACCCATTCAATAAGGGAACGTTCACATCCCATAGCCCTCTTCCCCAATCAGCACTTGAAGGGTTCAAGGCATTAATGCACTCATAGAGTCGGAGATCCATCCCCACCCTAGAAGAAGCCTCAACGGCAGAAGCAAGTGTTCTTGAAAGTCCCTGCGCCGAGAATTCCGAAGTCTGAACATGCATAGCTATCATATCAAGGACAGCAAGGAGTTGTCGGTCATGGGAAACCGATCCCTCCTGGGAAGCCACCCCAACAGCAGGACCGAAAACGGCAAGGTATGCCCGAAGACTCTCTAAACTCGGGCAGAATGCCAGCCGGATCTTGCTAGATCTTGCAAGCAGGCCGATAGTTTTCGTAAGCAGGTCATGCTTCACGGCAGTGTCTGGATCGGCGCGCTGTGAGCGAATAGCAGCTGTGAGTCGCGCCAGGAACTCGGCTCTGGTTGCACAAACGATGAGATGGGTATCTGAGTTGCCTTCAAGTAGTTGCTGCAAGAGATCGGGCACCAAATCGCAGTGAGCGATCGTATATGTTGGACTCATTGCGTGATGCAGCCAGGCTGTAGCTCCCACTTATTGCCCCTCCGAGATCATCAACAAGAAATAAATCATTTCATCATTCAACTCATAACCGTCAACCGCAAAAAGCCATGGTTGTGAATCTGAGTCAGGTGGTGTGTAGATAGTAGAACGTTGCAGATCGAAAGCGGGCGAAGAGTTGCGGCATCATCCACCTCTCTTCCGCGGAGCTGCTCCGCCTTTCCTCCCCTCACCTCTCACCCATTTCATCCGACTCGCCCAAAGCCCTTGGACTGGGCGCTCAGAGACTGGGAAGATGGAAACAATTTCCAGGATATCCTCGATGCTGGAGACAGGTATGTAGGGTTGCAATCCGCTCTATTTGGCCTGAACTGACCGTGGAACGTCACTGTGCGCATAGCTCGAGAGCTCACATTAGAGGCTGCCCAGTCCGCTGCTATCAATCGGACCTCAAGCACGGACTATACTTCGCGAACATACAGCCCTGCACACATCAAGAAGCTGCTTGATAGTCGCCATGAGCGGGAAGTCCTGGATGGAATGCGGAGGGTCATCTCGGTACCGAAACCATCAGCAAGAACTATGGAAACTGCAATGGCTAACTCAATTTGATGTTATAGTTGATGTATCGATCCGAACCCTCCCTTACTTTCTTTTCCGCAGTTGTCAAGAATGTGGCCAGCGCCAACCTCGAAGTCAAGAAATTGGTTTACATCTACTTGGTCCATCATGCGGAGGCGGAGCCAGATCTGGCGCTACTATCCATCAACGCGATCCAGAAATCGCTAACCGATTCAAGCCCTCAGGTTCGGACAATGGCACTTCGGACTATGTCGGGAATCCGGGTTCCGGTGATTAGCCAGATTGTCTCGCTGGCTATCAAGAGAGGATGTGGAGATCTGAGTCCACATGTGCGCAAAGCGGCCGCTTTGGCTATTCCGAAATGCTATCGTCTAGACCCAAACACACTGCCACAATTGATGGGGTATCTTGAAACACTTTTGGGTGATTCGCAATATTTCGTCGTCGGCCCCGCTGTCGCGGCATTCTTGGATCTGTGTCCAGATGAGATTGACCTAATCCACAAGAACTATCGCGGTTTAGTCAAGAAGCTGGTTGATATGGATGAATGGAGCCAGCTAGCAACCTTGCGCCTGTTGACATATTATGCGCGAAAATGTTTCCCTCGCCGAACTCAGAAGGTTAAGCGCACAGCCCCGGAGGCATTCTACGATGATGAAAAGCAGCAACAGGCAACAAATGATGATGTCGAAGAGTATGAAGTTCCGGTAATGGACCCTGATCTTGAGCTATTACTCCGAGCCTGTAAGGTTCTGCTGCAGAGCCGAAACTCCGCTGTCATTGTCAGTGTTGTCCGCTGTTTCCTTTACCTTGCTCCATCAGAATATATTGCGTCAGCGGCTGGTCCACTAGTGGCTCTTTTACGAAGCCCGCAGGACATGCAACTTATCGCTTTGTACAATATTGTCGCCGTTGCTCTAAGAGCTCCCAAGCCCTTTGCGAAATACACGGCCCATTTCCTTGTTCATGCCAACGATCCGCCACATATCTGGCGCCTCAAACTGGAGGTTCTAACTATCCTTTTTCCGCATTGTGGAAAACACTGGAAGGGCGTTATAATCAGCGAATTAGAGCACTTCTCTAAAGGCACAGACCCAGAGCTGGTACGAGAGAGTGTACGAGCTATTGGGCGTTGTGCGCAAGGGGACACAAGCACTGCAGGCATGTGTCTGCATATTCTTCTCGGCCAAATATCTAGTCCAGACGGAAACCTCGTGTCAGAGGCACTGACTGTCATTCGTCACTTGATCCAACAAGATCCAGCCTCACATACAAAGACCGTTCTCCAGCTAGTCAAGCACCTGGGTTCAACAACCCACCCAGATGCACGAGCCACCATTATCTGGCTGGTTGGCGAGTTCGCTGGAATCGACCCAGAGAACAATATCGCGCCTGATGTCCTCCGCGTCCTGATCAAAGGATTCGCAGATGAGATGGAAATCGTCAAGCAGCAGATTGTTCTCCTCGGTGCTAAGGTGTATTTACATCATCTCTTACAGAATCCACCAAAGGAACAGTCGGAGCAACTCCCATCGGTATCATTCCCCGAAGCTGAAGCCCCCGCCAAACCCCAGCAGGATTTCCACAACGAATGGAATGACCATGGGAACGATGAGCCGAAAGACGCCGAGCGGAATGAAGAAGGAGAGGAGAGCCATCAAGAAAATGACGGTGCTCAAACGAAGCAAACAGAAGAAGCAACCGAAGACCGTATCACGTTATTATGGCGGTATATCCTCCTTCTCGCACGCTACGACATCTCCTACGACCTACGTGATCGGGCACGTCTCTATAAGAACCTCTTGGAAACGCCGTCTTCCACCCAACTTGCCAACCTCCTTCTCCTAGCACCAAAGCCAGTACCCCACGCCCCCAGCCCATCTGAGACGCGCAAGGACCTGCTCATCGGCTCTGCCACTCTTGTCGTCGGCTCTGATGCTGGTCACCATGGACTTAGAGGCTACACAAATCTCCCAGACTGGGTTGAGCCAGGCCAAGAACCTGATCCCAGCCTCCGTACCGAAGATGTGAAACCTGACACATCCAGCAACGCCGCCTCCATGACTGCAGGTGACCGTCTTGATAGAGCACTTCGTGAACATAAACCCACTTCTGTTCCAATCCGGGGTCCGGCTGTGCCTGTAGACCCGACTGGCAAGAAGACTCTTGATCAGTGGCTAGAAGAAGAAGAGGAGGAGGAAACCGAGACAGAGACAGAGTCTGAAACGGATTCTGAGGAAGGCGAAACTGATTCGGAGGAAGAGGAGACAGACTCGGAAGAAGAGTCTGGCTCGGAGGAAGATGAGTCTGAAGCAGAGACTGATTCGGAAACCGAAGCTGTGAATAAAGAAGCACAGACGTTGCTTCATTGAACTTGTCCGAATGATGGTCACATGTATAGATGCTGGCTTTATTGGACAACATTTTGGGTATATTGAAAATACGAGAAATGAAATCGAATGAGAGTAAATTGGTTCATGGCATAGTTTAGGGGGTTATTAAACAGACTGGTTCCCAGTTTTTAGTATAAGAATTTAGATCGTCTTTCTTCTCTTTCTTATCATCCGTCTACTTAATAACATGCTGCCCATATTACCTGGTTGATCGTCTTTTGGCCGTGCCAAACGCCTAATAGGTATTGCATGGACATCAAGGGTCACGGATTACCACACTTCGGCTAATTGCACATAGAGGGAAAACAAACGGACAAAAAGGAATTCATTTGGCCAATAAAGTACAAAGTCTTATAACATCTCCCCAACAAAATATGAAAGAAACTCCCATTTCCGCTCCCTAAACCCTAGTGTTTCTCCCCTAAACTCCAACCCACTAATACAGAATAGTTTCATTTTTGTATGTCTTTTAGCGTGTTCAGCGCAATTAAGTAAATGACTTCAAATAGGGCGGCTGGCCTAATGGTAAGGCGTCTGATTTCGGCTGAGCATAGCTCAACAAGTTCTCAGAAGATTGCAGGTTCGATCCCTGCGTCGCTCATTAGAAATTTCGTTTTTTAAGAATGAAAAGTATTTTTATTTGATGAATTCCTTTTCCTACACATCATGTTAGTTGGAAGGTGACCTTTATTTTGGGATAGCATCCATGTGTGGTAGACCCCCCGTTAACTAAAGACCATCACTATAACATATAGAAGATAGAATAGGGCTGCTAAAACTTATAGATGGTCAGGTCACTATACATAATTAACGAGGGTCATCTAGGTGGCTGCATGAGCCAGACCGTAAGTAAGTCCACGGGTACTCGTTCACCTGTGGTTGTGTATTAGGTATAGATACCCTGTGTTTTTATACAACATAGATTGAACAATCAAGGTTTCTTTCTTCTCCCTCTTTCTAGTAGCCATAACAACCTTTGACTGAATTTACTAGATTAGCTAGCTCCAATGTAATAAGAAAGAATTCAATTTAGCACAGAACTGGTCAACATCAAACAGGCGAGACGGAACGTGGGTCCTATCTATAGATCCGGTCTCCCCGGACTCCCCGACTCCCCGGACTGCCAGTTAAAAGCTGAGATATGTGCCCTCATCAGCCTTTTTTTTATGTAGTACTATGTACTACCAAGCTACCTAGGAGATATTGTTGCCTAGTTGGATAGGATTTGTGTGCATGCAAAATTCCTCTCAAATCAGCAAATATTCTACAAACATGGACATCTCCCGAGTGATCAAGCCCTGGAAACTCAACCCTCAACGAACCTTGGTCTTTGTGAACGCGACCATTGTTGACCCAGCCGAGGATAGATTAATCCAGAATGCTACTGTCCGAATCTCAGAAGGCAAAATCATTCAGATCGTCACAGACGGCTCAACTACAACCACAGATGACCTCCCCGAAGAAAACGTGATCGACCTGACAGGAAAATACCTCTGTCCCGGTCTGATCGATTGTCATGTCCACATCGCAGTAGTCCCCGGCGAAGCTGATCTACGATCCTACAAAGACATGACCGAACGAATAAGTCTCCTGCGCCAACCATACGTGCTTAAATCCATGCTAGACCGCGGCTTCACCTCAATCCGAGACTGTGGCGGCGCAAGCCTCGCAATCAAAGAAGCCGTCGAGGAAGGTGTCATCCCAGGCCCTCGTCTCTTCATCGCCGGGTACGCACTCTCGCAAACCGGTGGACACGGCGACCTGCGAGGATCCCACGACACCAAACTCTGCTGCGGTGGGTTTATCTCTGGAATTAGCAGAATCGTCGATAGCCCAGCGGAGTGCTATAAGTATGCGCGCGAGGAACTGCGCCAGGGAGCAGACTTCATCAAGATTATGGGCGGTGGCGGTGTTGCCAGTCCCACAGACCGAATTGAACATGTGCAGTTCTCCGACGAGGAGATTAGGGCTATTGTCACTGTTGCGCGGAACGCGGGTACATATGTCACGAGTCATAGCTACACGCCGCGGGCGATTCAGCAGGCTATCAAGCTCGGGGTAAGGGGTATTGAGCATGGGAATCTTATTGATCTTGAGACGGCGGAGATGATGGCTGAGATGGATGTTTTCTTGACTCCGACGCTTATGACGCATGTCATGTCTAAGCAGATGAATTTCCTGCCTGCTGATGGGGCTGCTAAGAATGAGGAGGTTCTTGAGAAGGGATTGAAGGCGATTAAGATGGCTGTTGATGCGGGTGTTACTGTTTGTTTTGGGACTGATCTTCTTGGTCCGATGCATTTTGCTCAGAGTAAGGAGTTCTCGGTGCGGAGTTCAGTTTTGACTCCGTTGCAGATTCTACGTAGCGCTACTGTCAATGCTGCTCGTCTTGTTATGCAGGAGGATAGGCTGGGTCAGGTTCGGGAGGGATTTGTGGCGGATCTTTCGATATTGGAGGGGAATCCGTTGGAGGATATTACCATTCTAGATCGAGTGGAGGAGAACGTTCTAGCTGTGATTAAGGATGGGAGGGTTGCCACTTCGCGATGGGACAAGGTTAAGGTAGATATCTGATCTCAGGAAACAGAATGCAATTATCAATTATATAAATGATACCAGAGCCCATTATATGGCCATTTGAATGATGTTCGCCCTAACATTAGGAAGTTTACATCGCTATATCCCAGACATTGTATGAAAATCTGGCTAATCCCGTTCGGGTTCGGGGCGGGGCGGTTCCCGAGATCCACAAACTCTAAATATATTTCCCAAACTTGGCCATTGTGTTGATATCTACTGCTGTTTTACATCTTTTTATGCCAATTACTATGTTAATATATATGCACCCAAGATATATCAACACAAAGGTAGACAGTAACTATTCATATCAAAAAACCCACTATATGCACACTTTGTATTGAGGAAATAGGCAGCATGCATTACACACCTTCCTTGCTTGTCGAATCCGAATTATTGTCTTCATTTCATGTATAATCGGAGCTGGAAGAGTAACTAAAGATGTGCTGCAATGAAATGTAATTTGGACTTTATATCTCTGTTTGTACCTAAAAAGCTTCCCTGTACTTCGGTCTTTTTTATTTAGAAGCGAGACGAAACCACCGTTATGGTGAGAAATATTTTCTCTACATATTATTTCAGCAAGAGTCTCTATAGACAAGAAGTTGGAGTCATTAATTATGGGCTGCGGCAGCGCGTACTTGTTTAAAAAGATTTTGATTCTGATGCAGTTGCAGATGTTGATAGTCTCTATATTCGAGTAGTTGCTGACATGATACAATTTGTTAAAAAGCCAAATTTCCTTGCAAGTGTTCTGTGAATTTTGGGACAGTGAAGTCAAGAGAGTCTGTAGAGGACTTTTGCCCAGAGATGTTATGCGCGTTAATATGTTCGTCATCCCCGTCACAGTCTGAGAGAGATGACATAAGATTACTACCTGTGTCCAATAGCGATTGAGTTCAATCATTGGTAGACTGTAAATCACTGCCCGAGGGGGCTGAGAAAGGTGTCATTATGTCGTACATATGTTGTAGTGTAACTAGTTAGTTCACCAGTTGGCTATGTATAGCCTGACGATTCAGGCGCCAAGTTCCAAAGGCGGTGTGGATTTAACCGCGCTGTGCCTGAGCTCATCCCGCAATTCGGCCCTGATGTCGCCTCGATCTTGAATTCCAGAGCCTGCTCTCCACACCGGAACGAGGATCGGCTGCACTCAGGATGCTTGCTGCGAGATTGACGCACACCTCTTTTCTATTGTCGTCTTTTTAACCTTCCATCTCGATCTTGACCTCGACCTCGGCATCGTCTCGAATATTACTTTCCTTTAGCTCTCGCACTGATTGATCTACCTTGACGCAGTGACCAAGTACAGAGAGCTATCCATATTTAATAAGGAGTGCCATCTCTAGAACAAATTGTTCTGGCTCATTTGTCTTGAAGTTACTGTATCTGTCTCTTGCCACAATGCCTGGGTTACCCAGTATGTGCATGGTTTTTTGATGCCCTGATATGGCCTATCACCGAGGTTATGCTGACCGTGTCGCCTTACAGCAAATATCGACCTCGATGAGTGCATCGCCCGACTCTACCGAAAAGAGCTGCTCGCGGATTCGGTGATCGAGGCTATCTGCCTCAAAGCGAAGGAACTTTTGATGAAGGAAAGCAATGTGGTACATATTGCTGCTCCGGTTACTGTGGTCGGCGATATCCATGGTCAATTTTTTGACATGATTGAGATCTTCAAAATCGGCGGTTTCTGTCCCGATACAAACTACCTATTCCTTGGTTAGTAACATCCGGAAGACGCCTCGTTCGAGGATAAAAGCAGGCCTCGGGCTTGAACATATTTGTTGCTCGCCTTTGGAGTGTTGCTGATAAGATAATCGACAGGCGATTATGTCGACCGCGGCCTGTTTAGTGTGGAGACCATCTCACTTCTGGTGTGTCTCAAGCTACGATACCCCCAACGAGTGCACCTCATCCGCGGTAACCACGAGTCGCGTGGAGTCACCCAATCATACGGCTTCTACACCGAGTGTGCCCGTAAATACGGCAATGCCAATGTTTGGCATTACTTCACCGACATGTTCGACTTCTTAACACTGAGCGTTGTGATTAATGATGAGATATTTTGTGTACATGGCGGCTTGTCACCTTCTATTCATTCAATCGACCAGATCAAGATTATCGACCGTTTCCGCGAAATTCCACACGAAGGTCCTATGGCCGATTTGGTCTGGTCCGACCCTGATACAGAACGCGATGAATTCTCACTCTCACCCCGAGGTGCTGGATACACTTTTGGAGCACAGGTTGTGCGGAAGTTCCTAGAGGTGAACAGCATGTCCCACATCCTACGCGCACACCAATTATGCCAAGAAGGCTACCAGGTTCTTTATGATGATCGACTGAGCACGGTCTGGAGTGCACCAAACTACTGCTACCGGTGCGGAAACCTCGCGAGTGTGCTTGAAGTAAGCGATACTGGCGAGCGATTTTTCAATATCTTTGATGCGGCACCGGAAAATGATGCCCACCGCCTGGAGCAGCTAGGTCAGCAGCAGCAGCAGATCAAGGATGGCTCTAGTCCAATGGTCGACTACTTCTTGTGAATCTCTGAAACTTCTCGTGATACCCATTGGCTACTGTTAATGTTTTGTTTGATGTTAATGTTCATGTATTTCAATTTCCTTTTTTTACCCCCCGCACTAGACAGGAGTTCGGGATAAAGCTGTGCATTCACAAACAGCTAGATGTGCTACTTGGCATCTGAAATGAAAATATCATACACCAATAATAGAGACTCAGTATGACGCATAAACAACAAAACTGGGGTCCAAAGCATCCAGTGGGACGCATTCTCTAACAGTTTTTGTTAAAAGAAACTCATCACGCTTTGAAAACAAACGGCCGCTCAATAACTCAACGAGATAGCTCTCTCAACATATGTTTACCAGTCCTTGGCAATGTCAAAGGACCACTCGAACAGCAGGTGAGTGTGCTGGTCATCATCGATGAACTTCGAGACGGCGTTGTAGTGACCACGGGCGATCATGCCGGACGGGGCCTCCTCCTCGTTGACTAGGAAGGGACAGTTAGTAAAAGCTATGTTTGCAAACTGAGAAGGAGAAATTAGATCAGAATACTCACATTCCTTGGAGTAGTCAACCTTGGAGGTGGTGTTGGGTGCATAGCTGCCCAGCATCTCCTCATCCTTGCTAACCCGGATTCCCTTGCGCTTGACGACCTGCAAGTACTTGAGGCCGCTCAGGACTTCATGGTGGACCTGGAAGGTAACCTTGATGTGGAATTTAGAACCCTCCTTGATCTTGAAGGGCTTATCCTTGAGGCTGTCAACAGAGCCCGGGGAGGACAGGTCAATAACAACATCCTCACGCCCCTCAACTTGCAGAGCTAGGGACTTGATGATACACTTGCGAGGATCGTTAGGATCAGCAATGGGGTCACCGGAGTTGAGACCCAAAGAGGCCTTCCAGCGGTTCATAGCTTCATCGTCGGCGTCTATTGCGGGGGAGAGAAAGATGGTTAGCTGGGAAATCGCCGACTAGATATTGCCCATGAATTGTCAAAGAATCAACGTACCAAGCTTGTTGTACTCATCAAGGGTCTTCTTTTCTCCGACCTTGAAACCCTCAGTCTGGCTGGCGGCGAGCTCGTCCTCGTGGTTGTCGGCCATTGTTTACAGATTTAGAAGGCGGGGCACGGAACCAAAGATTGGAGTTCGGGGAAGAATTGCGAGAAAAGGCGGGGGGGAATTGGATGAAGAGGAAAAGAAAAAACAAATTCGAAATTCGAAATGATAAAAACAAGAAGGGCTAAATATCGAATCGTCTCCTGAGACCTGGTGGGGGTGGAAAGGCGGTGGGAGAGGGGCGAGGCTATTCGGATTTCCACTTTTGTATGCACATGTTTACGCATTGATCCTGCACGGTTATATTGACAGTTTTCTTTGTCTATATATGTGAGTTATGCTCTCTACTGGTGATATGTAGATGTAGATAATTCGAATCATCTTACTCCGTGCACTTATGTTGACCCCAATTATGCCACTATGCCCCAAATTTGGGTGTGGGGGCTGAGGATCATACAACTAGCGGTATGTAGTTCCGACCTTGATGCATCTGGGACATGTAGACTTTATTTGAAATGTAAAGAGTACATATGTTGTACATACTGGAATAGATTATGTAGATTATACTCGGGAAAAGGGTGAAATAGTAATTTACTGTAGTATGGAGGTCTTTTCTATAGTCGAACTCGAAACAAGAAACGAAACATCAACTCGAGGAAGGTCACGGGGAATGTAAATGTCACGGGGTTCAACGGATAAAATACATTGAGGTAGATCACATACGCTGTATTGATGTAATTGGCCAATTAAAGCTCTCAGATACACCCCATGACAAGCTAATTTCCGGACCTTACCGGAAGGAGTCAAGCTTCAGAACGACGCAACGATTATTCGCGACTCGCATCTTCTCATCTCTCCTGATTGTCTTCTTTATCTTGGGTTGGTCTTTTTTTTTTTTTCTTATCAATCCTCATTTCGGTTGCGCACTTCTCTCTGCCAAGATATCAGATCTGTTAGTGGTAATATTTGATTCTTGATTTTTGTCGCTTGACGCGCCTGCTACGTGGCCATCGTTGGCGCATCTTTCCCTCAATCCCCCTCAAGACTCCGCAAGATCTTCATTTTCACTTGACTCGACATCCCACCATGTCGCGAACCCTCCCAAAACAGTTTAATCCGCACATTCTGGCCGAGCTTGCTCCCTCCTGTAAGTTCGAACACTGGCGCGTGGGCGCGCGACCGCGCGCATCGGCTATCTAGCCGCCTCGTGCACCCTCAATGCCTCCAGGTCATCGCTAACAATTTCGTTTTTCTCTTGGTTATAGATGATGAGCTCCTTGCACGCCGTCGTCTTGGGAAGACAAACCTCTCCGTCAAGCCCGCCCAGATTGGCACCTCGAATGCAACCAAGCCGGAGAACCTAGGCGTGTTTGAGTACGCTCACCTTCGTGCTCCGCTGCCCAAGGACCTCGAGGGATCTGAGATCTTCCCTTCCCACAGCCCTCAGCAGCACCCAGAAAGCTACTTCTTGATGGTGAGGCCGCCCGTTTTATCTAATTTGGAAGCCAACTTTCACTAACTTTGGGCTTCACCATTACAGCGCCGCAGTAAAGATGGGTATGTCAGTGCCACTGGAATGTTCAAAATTGCATTCCCCTGGGCCAAGGCCGAGGAAGAGCGGACAGAGCGTGAGTATCTGAAGGCACGGGAGTACACAAGTGAAGAGGAAGTCGCTGGTAATGTGTGGATCACTCCCGCGTTTGGTATGTTCTCCCCGGGACGTTCTCTCTATCAAACCAATGCTGACTTTATACCTAGCCCTTGAGCTTTCCAAGGAATACCAAATGTACGAGTGGGTGCGAGCACTGTTGGACCCCACGGACATTGTTCAGAGTCCTTCCAGCGCAAAGAAACAGATTACTCCCCCGCCGAAATTCGAAATTCCCGCCGGTGAGCCGGCCATTCGGCAACGCAACCGCAGAGGTCGGTCCGCTTCCCCAAGCAAGACGTTGGCGTCTCCTCGGAAGTCCCGCACCACCCGCCTCACCAAGGATGTCACCAGCACTCCATCTACAACGGCCGCAAATGCTAGCCTTCAGTCTGCATTGGACACAGCTTCAGCCTTGTTCTCGAACCCGATTCCTGAGTTGGTAGCTGCGGATGCCGAAACGGAAGTGACAAGCGGATCTCCTGGAAAGAATATCAGAGCGCGCAAATCAACAAGATCTGCTACCGCCGAGCCCGAGGAAGAAACCAAGGAGGAGAAGAAGAAGGAGAAGAAGAAGGCCGAAAAGCAAGAGAAGAAAAAGGACGACATCAAGGAGGAGGCAGTTGAGGCTTCAGTGGCCGACGATGTCACAGATGCTGTTAAGTTTGCTCAGACCACTGTTTCCCTCGATATGCCCTTCAGTCTGCCAGAAGTCCCATCTGCTGCTGAGACCGCAGAGATGATTGCTCAGGCTAAGGACATGGTGGAGGAGGCTATCAAGGCGGAAGCCGAGGGTTCTACCGCAGAGTCCACATCTGTGAAAGTGACTAAGAAGCGCAAGCCAGAGGAGGACGACGATGAAGAGACATCGGCCGAATCTTCCCAGCGGGCCAAGAAAGCCAAGGTGCTCGAGAACAAGCTCAAGCAGGAGCGTGTCCGTAACCGCTCTATTTTCGGTGTCTCCGTGGCATTTGCCCTTGCGTAAGTCATTCTATGGTTGCAAGGACCTCGAATCAACACTAACATCATATCCAGGGCTTCCATTCCATACTTTTTCTAAACGGAACGAGGTTTTGCTTGTCAAAGTCTAGTCTGTTGAAAACTTTGGTCTCTTCCTTTCAGCGCGTCTGTCGCTTGCGACAGCCCAGCTACCCAAATATTCGCTTCTGATGCCCAATTCCCCTTGTCGTTATCATAAATATATTCCTCGCCGGCGATCCTGAATGCCCTGTGCCTGTTATTGACACCATTTTCTAATATCTTGCCCTCTCCTTCCCCTCTCCCCGTGTTTTGCACCAGACTTGGTTATTTGGATTGCCTCTTAGCTCATTTCATGACCCTTACCCTTGCTCTCCTGATACCAACTTCCCCTCTCCCACCGTCTACTGCCCTGTGGCAAGCTTCCAAGTAGTCAAAGACGATTCGCTTAATGACAGTGATATGTATGCTTTGTTGTTACCAGTTCACGTTTATTGTATGGTTATAACCAGTATATTGATCTAATGCAATCTTGGTAGAGCTGATATCAAGAACTTTCGATGTATCATGTTTGGGCTATTTCGCTCTGAGGTGGAAGTGAGGTTTACCCACTGAGAGTAACCACTACAACTTTTAGAAGGTGTAGATGGGACTCGAACAATATCGATAGTCCATGGGTGTCTGACGGAGTACTCCGTAGTTTTCAGCCAATGGCAGGCGAGTAAATTAAATGCAAACATGTAAAACATCTCGAGCTCCGCACCCCGATAACAATTCCAATACTTCTTTCGCTCCTCCTTGCATTTGCACATAACTCGAGGCTTCTCAATTGACCGGTAACATGTCGCTCCCCGGTCTCGAGCTAACGCAGCCATCGGAGGAAAGATCGCTGGCACCCGCGCCACCATCACAGATCAGCCTGGCCCCGGGCTCGGAATGGCGGTTTGAGGTCGCTTTTGGGCATATTATCAAAGTCAAGGTATGCTATATTCTTTGATATGATTGAAATCCTCCCTCTGACTCAAGTTGTGCAGCTTCTCAATGGAACCGCGGAACTCTTCGGCACAGAGCTTGCCGAATCCCAAACCTACACATTCACCGGCACAAAGGCGGCAATCTTCACATGGCATGGCTGTGCACTTGAAGTCACCGGTGTCGAGGCAGCATCGACCACAACTGATGGAGTTACCCCGACGGTGGGCCACGGCGCAGGAGGTTGTCAGAGCGAATACACGGCCGAGGAGACGCCAATGGTAGAATATGCCAACGTCCACTTTGCGCTGGAGACAATGCGCGAAGAAGCCCAATCGATAGGCAAGGATGGCCCGCGCGTACTCATCCTCGGATCTGAAAATACCGGAAAGACCACCTTGGCTAAGATCTTGACCGCCTATGCGACGAAGATTGGCCGTCAGCCGTTGGTCGTGAATCTCGACCCTACAGAGGGTATGCTTGGCGTCCCTGGTACACTGACCGCGACTGCCTTCCGCACCATCCTAGATGTTGAAGATGGCTGGGGAAGCAGCCCAATGTCTGGGCCCAGCCCTGTACCCGTCAAGCTGCCGCTTGTGTACAGTTACCCGTTGCAGAGCCCGCTGGACGGCGAAGGCGTCGTGTACCGCCCAATCGTCTCGCGTCTCGCACTATCTGTCACGGGCCGGATGGCCGAAGACGAGGATGCGCGCGAAACGGGAATTATCGTCGATACACCCGGAATCCTTGGCACAGACAAGCCTGGCACCATGGAACTCATTAATCACATTGTGACAGAGTTCTCAATCACCACAATCCTGGTCCTGGGTTCGGAGCGTCTGTACAGCACCGTTGCCAGACAATACGACAACAAGCCCAGCTCCAGCGCAACAGCCGCTGTCTTCGACGAACACATCTCCGTGGTCAAGCTGTCCAAATCCGGTGGCTGTGTTGACCGTGACGATGCCTTCCGCAAGGCAACACGCGAGTCCCAAATTCGTTCCTACTTCTTCGGCAACCCTATCCCCTCCTCTTCGCCCTCCTCCGCCATCACTCTTTCTCCCCACGCACAGCAACTCGACTTCGCCTCACTCCCTGTATACAACTACACCGTCGCTTCAGCAGACGACGAAGACGAAGATGAGTACGACCCTTCCCAGCTGGGAACGGGCGACTCCTTCCTCCCCGGTGGCAGCGACGACTACGCCCCACAAGAAATAAAACAAGATCCGGACCGCGCCGCCCCCCTCCCTGGTGTCGTGGGCTCATTCTCAGAGCCCGCCGACGGTGCGAATTCGAACGCCAACGCCAACAGTGGCAGCAGTGTTCCGCTCAAGAAGGTCCTTCCACCCGCCCCCTCCGCACTGGCTAATACCCTCCTCGCAATCACACATGCACCAACCACGGCGTCCCCTGCTGAAGTCCGTGATGCGAGCATCATGGGCTTCTTATATGTCGCCGACGTCGACACGACCAAGGGTACGATCCGCGTGCTCGCGCCTGTTGGAGGGAGAATGCCCCCACGAGCCATTATATGGGCAAAGCGTTGGCCTGGGGAGTTGGTGGGGTTGGTTGGCTAGATCTATTTCTACATATTTTCTTTAGATATTTGCATATTTCTTCGGATATGGAGTTGGGGATTTAGATGTTTACTTAGCATGGGGTTGTGGCTCATTATTACATACGATCATTCTACAAGTGTCTGTTCATGTAGTTTGTAGTTTATAATCTTGTAAAATAGCGGAAACCATGACAACAAGTGTAGCCTAGGCTGTAATCTCCCATGAAGCCAACCAATTGATAACATCTCCTGCAAGTGTGGCTGTCTGGAGTCTCTCGGCAAAGAAGGATACCGTGCAAGGATCTGCTATGCTAGGATACACTCACAGTCTAGCACATCAGGACTGAAACCTAAGCAGAGTACGTTGGGTGATTCCCAGGTATGTGTGGCGCTCTGGGCTTTAGTAGCAAGCCTCTCACATTTCTTGTCAGATGGCATGTTCATCTGCTTATGTCCAGCTGACCTCTTCGTTGGAGTTCATTTCATTTTCTGGACCCCGGATTCCCTCATTCATCTTGGTCCGTTTGGTGATAGTAGAGGAAGAAGCTGGAGTCAGAATGAAGAGTCAACGAGGTAAGAATCTTATGCACATTGAGATGGGGTAGTTTATCTCAAGAGCGTCTGTTTATATAAGATAGCCGTAGTCTAAGTAGTTTTTCTCGTCAGCTTGGAGTTCGTAGCTCAGGTAGCCGTTGAATGAGTTGGGGTTGTGACCTAGCCTTCTCGCACGTTCTGTATAACCTGGTCTGTCCAAGAACTTGAGGTCCAAATGTCCTAAGTCTGGCGACGTTATTCTTTCGAGTTCATCGCGACAGTGCGTAGGGATCGCAATAAGTGCTTGTATAGTGTGGTACGACCAGCAGCGCGAAACGATCATGCGCATGGTCTGGCATATTCGTGTGGCTAGGGGCTGTCATGCTATTGTCATTCGTAGCCGTGTGCGGTGTGTGAGTGCACGTCGTCGGATTTGAGCATAGTGATCTCTCGTGTGTGGTCCACGCATAGAGGCTATAATGGTTGGTGTGGTTAATAACTTGAGACAATGTTGTGATCCGCGGCATTGGCGGGATCGAAATAGACGGAAATCTTTGTATGATACGCAAAATATGAAACTTTCTATAGTATAAGAACTATCAAGGGACTAAATAGTCCGAGATATAGAGATATAGCGATATATCAGATTGCCATTTGAGAATACAGAGAGGGAGATGTATAAAGTAAGATTGTAACTTATGAGGGACAGAGTATTTATACCTCAATCTAGCAAATAAACAAACATTATAGGAAAACAGCAGGGATAGGATCCAACATTTTTGACAAAGGTTTTCAGTATTTATGTACATTTATATCTTAGATCTCAAACGCTCCCCCAAAGCCCGATGATAGGTATTGATCTTAGCATACAGATATCTACCTCTAGTTCTATACATTTTCTCAGAGGATGATAACGTAAATACTGATACAATGACTGGGAAAGCACACTGGATTGTATTGGAAGCAGACTAGGAGAGGAAAAAGGAAGAGAAAGGGAAAGAGGAGAGAGGGCTATCTACTGCTCAGATTGCATATCAGGCGGTCCTAGTTGAGCCTCAACAGAGCAAAAGCTTTTGTCAGATAAGTAGTCTGTAAGATATGTAAAATAATTTATAGTCTACTTACCTCTAAGATACTAGGTTCCTAAGATGTTCAAGCGTAAAGTCGTCGGACGGTCCTCGCCTTTGTGTATTTATGTAAGAACTAATAATACGCTCTAACCTCTAGGATTAGCTATACGTCTTCTTATCTATAAGATATAGAGGATGATCTATATACGAGAGATTCTTAAATATAGGAGCGACTCCTAGGGGAAATTCCATCTGGCCTAGGCCCCCTCGATACAATCTTGTATAGTGCGGATATATGGTATATTTAGGTGATTCTCATACTCCTTTTGTACTCTAGGAGGGATAGGATATTTTTCAAGGAGTTTTTCTGGGTACGGCTGAAGAAGCACAGGTCAACTTCGACTTCATTTTCCAATTCAAACCCTCGCAAATAGCTTCCACTGCCCATGAATGCTCCGACTGACCATCATGGTCAACCCTCCAGCAATCGACATAATTGCCCCAAAGATCCACGTCGAGTTGAACCCGCTATTTTGTAAAATAGCACCCGCTACAGGCGTGCCAATCAAGTTGCCTATTGTCATAACAGCATACCCCATGCCCATACGGGTTCCAATCAAACTTCGATCCGGAGACAGTTGCACAAAACAAGTTGGGGGCAAGGAAACAAAGGCCCCCGAGAAAAACCCATAGAGCAGCGCGACAACTACCATACCCGCCAGACTGGATAGATTCACCAGAGCAAACATTAAAGCTCCGCACACGACGGTACATAGGGAAATGATGTTGAAGGGGCCGACCTGATTGGCAAAAAAGTTGGGAAATATGCGTCCGAAAACCGACCCGGTTGTAATGATAGAGAGAAGGTAGAATGCCATTCCATCAGCAGGAATCCCCTTTTCTTGGGCGTAGGTTTGAATATAGAAGAAGGGGATGTTTAAAGAAATGAAAGTAAGTAGACCACCTATAACGAAAAAGTCATATGCTGGTTCTTTGAATGCAGGCAAGTCGATCGGTTTCCGCTTGTTAGGGTTAGGTATAACCCGGACCCTAAAGACTGACAGTGGGATAAGTAAAGTCACGAATATCACCAAGCCTATCGCTCGTACGGTCCAGCCAAATCCGATTTGGTTACACAATTTGTGGAAAATGATTGGATATAAGATCCCCCCTGTAGATTTATTAGTGATTGTTCGACTTGTTACTGAATTCATCCTTACCCAATCCACTTCCAGCGGCGGCTATGCCATTTGCAAGAGCCAATCTGGAGCTGAAATAGGTGGATAATATTGCAACACCTGGAATGAAAACAAGTCCCACTCCAATTCCTATACAAAAGCCTTGTGCAAGTAGTGACTGATAATATTCATGAGACAGACTAGTCATCATTTGGCCCAAAATTATCAAAAATGATCCGCTGTACAAAAGTGCATGGAAGTATCCAGCATCGTATAGCGGCCCAGATATAAGACCGAGTATCAAGAGCAGAGAAGACTGAACTGATCCTATCCAGGAGATATTGGAGGAAGATGCTGCAAATAATTTCCCGGTCTCATAATACGTTTGGTAAGCTCCGAATGTATTCAAAACTCCCCTAACCCCAAATATGTTAGTGGATGTGTGTTTTGAATAAGCATTCAAAGACCACAGGGAAGGCCCACCAAGTGTTGAAGAATATGAAGAAAGTTCCAAGTACTTGTAGCCAAGCTTTCAAACCACCATTCGGAGCAGTTCCAATTTCGTTGGCCAAAGCCTTTGGCGTAGTTTCCAGAGCTGGCTCTCTGGCCAAGAGGTCAGGAATCGACGGATATGCTTTGGTCTCCTCCATGCTGGGGAATGCAATTCAAATGAATAATTGCGAGCAAGAGGCAAGACCATTGACTCTTAAACGAGTAGTTACTTATTTCCCCAGAAATAAGGCCGATAGCTAAAGGCAAAGCTAGCTACTGTCTTTAGCCACGTTTGATGGCATCGAATCCGTTTAATCATGACTAATACAGCTTTTCTGCCCAGATGCCTGGCCAAAGATACAAAATTACCCCACCAAGTTATCGAAACGGCAACCGCCGCCTTTTAATTGATATACGGAGCTCGCCGATAAAACTCCCCTAGGGTAGGAGCCCTCTATGGAATTTTCGGGGATCGCCGACTCAAGTTATGTAGATCCTTAACCCTCCATCGACTCTTATCTTCAGCTCCGTTTGGAATATCCACTACGGGTCGGCAAGGGGCGTCCCGTCTCCCGCTCTCCGTCTCTTGGCTTGCGCATTCATCCTCGATCCTCCTTTGGCCCCCACCGTGAGCCCTGACATCCCTGTCCGGAACTGCGGAAAGTGCCTGCCTGTCACTTAACCCACGGCACGGTTAAATCCCTTATCTGCTGACTTCCGCTGTAATCCGTAGACCATGCCGAATATGGCCAAGACGGCATTCCGAGTCAGAGGGGAGCGTCGACCGCCGGTCAGCTTACGGTCCAATTCTTGATTCTCCGCTGGCTCCCATTCTCAGCCCAGTCAACGACGTCCAGGCCGTCCCTTCCAGCAGACCCCCTTCAATGAAGCCATTTAAGACTTGGAATAAGAACCTTGGTCTGCTTCTCCAAAGGATGACTTTTCAGCCATGTAATCATATCTCTGACTTCTCTTGCAGGCATTCGTTCAAAATCTTGGTCTTCATTTTGTTAACACGTCAGAACCAAGCATTTTCACTTTCAGATGAGAGGCTGCACAGCAGAGCCAGAAATACCATGCGCACTATCATGGTTGGAAGAATAGACCTTTCGCTTCGGAATCTAGCCCTGAGACTGACCCACGCATCGTCCCGTTGCGCATTAGCGTATGCGCGAGCCAATGTAACAATACAGCAACTGCGAATTGTTTGACTTGGAAAAAAGTCCAGGTCTCATCTTGTGATAGTTATTCTGCTATCGTACTTTGAAATCTCACCTCACAATGGAGCATGAGGCTTTACTTGGGTCCAAATTACAAACCTGTGTACCTATAAAGGGGATGGGAAATGTCAGCATACAACCTTTAATGCTATACAGTTTATTTCGCATCACTCCGACTTCCACGTCAAAAGTCACTTTACTCTACTTTCACCATGACCATAAAACCGTACCAGGTAGGGGTCTTCAAGTCCCAGAGAACAGATGTCCTCATCGTAGGTGCTGGTCCTGCTGGATGCATGGCTGCCGCAACTTTACAAAGATACGGTATCGATTTCTGTTTGATTGACAAGCGGCCTACAAGAACTCAAGCTGGACATGCAAGTGGTTCGTGAATGATATACCTTTCTCATTAGTTTTACGAGAGTTCTGATTATTTGGGAAAGCATTTCAACCCCGTACTCAAGAAATACTGCAGACGATGAACATACTTCACGACCTTGACAAGAAAGGACATCGTCTTACTGAAACATCCTTTTGGGTCCGTGATGGTGCAGGGACGTTGGTTAGGAACTTCACTGGCGTTGAGGTAGTCCACGGTAAGTTCTATATGTGAGAAAATGAATGCGATATTGAATTAACCTAACTTCTCAAGCTACACCTTACAAATACCTTTTCAATACCGACCAGGGTATAACAGAAGCTATCTTTGAAAAACATCTGATATCCAAGGGGCAGAAGGTGCAGCGTTTCATGGAATTGCTTCATTATGAATACAATCCAGACGAGCCTGAATGGCCGCTTACGGCATACATTAAAAATAATGCCAGCGGGGCCATCGAAGCTTGGCAGACGAAGTATATCTTGGGTTCTGATGGGGCACGAAGTGCCACACGCCGAGCATCGGGTATACAATCATCCTCGCAGGGTGGTGAAGACGTTTGGGCTGTGGCAGACGTTTATGTTGACACGAACTTCCCCGACTACAGGCGACGTTGCGCCATTCGAACCCCAGACGGCGGCTGTATGCTGATTCCTCGCAAGGATGAGGGGCTCCGAATTTTCCTTCAAGTGGATGAAAAGAATCAGGAGAGCCTCGACGCAAGCAAATCTCATGTACAAGATCTTCTCTCTGACAACAGCGCTTTCAAACTCACCAAGACGGTCCAATCGCACATCAGCAAAGTAATTCATCCTTACCAAATGAATATCACAGATATTGTCTGGATTAGCCAATATCGAGTTGCGCAACGTCTCGTTCATAGTTTTTGTGACCCGACAACCCAACGGGTTTTCCTTCTTGGAGACGCATGTCATACACATAGCCCCAAGGCAGGACAGGGAATGAACGTCAGCATTTCTGACTCATATAACCTCACGTGGAAACTTGCACTTGTTTTGAAAGGTTTCGCGAATGCATCCTTGCTCGACACATACGAACAAGAGAGACTTTGGGTTGCGCAACAGCTTATCGAGTTCGATGCCCTGTTTGCCCGTCAATTCGGACAGAAAGATAAGCTTGAAAGCCAAAATCTCCGTGAAACATGGGAAATGGGACATGGTTTCACCAGTGGTTGTGGCTATAAATACCCTCCAAACTCGCTGGTTAATCCGGTCGTCCGAACGCCAATCAGCAATAAGGCAATAGAACCTCTCGTGCCGGGCAAGCGTCTTCTACCCATTGATCTTATTCGACACATCGACGGCAATCATGTTCACCTGCTTGACATTATGCCGTCCAATGGCAGATTTCATCTCTTCATTTTTGCAGGTAACCTTCTTCTTTCGCCGACTGTTCAGAAGCTCGGAGAGTCATTGGATTCTCCTCAGTCTCCAATGAGTCTCTTCAACCTCCTACCATTGGAACTTATGCAGCGTTTCCACCATGAAGACATTACCACGGACCCAGTTTCTTCCACCAACAGGTCCTATGTTCTTGACCTTTTCCTAGTTCATTCACATAATCATCTCGATATTCCATTGGGAAATCTTCCGCCTCCATTTTCCACCAAATGGCCGATGCAGATATATTCTGACAGTGTTGGTGCCGCCCAAAGTCAGCTGGGCGTTCCTGAAAATTTGGGTGCCTTGGCTGTGGTGAGACCAGATGGTTATATTGGTCTTGTCACTGGTTTGGACAACCTGGAAGACGTAACTTCTTACTTCGACGGTTTCATGTCTAGGCGCATTTAGCGAGGATGAGGATACTCCGGATGGCAGAGAGATCAAAGCCTATGTGAGAAGCTCGAGAAAAACGACCAAATAGCCTGCAACTCGAGGACCATATCTGAAACTTTTGATTGTGTTTGTGATCGTTATCACTATGTTTGAAAGAAATGTTCTGCAGACGATTAGGAATTTCATGCCTTCATTCACAGAATGGGATATTTGATCAGAGTGTCTATGCTCGATTCATCTAGTCCTGTGACAAGACAGCTCTGTCCATGCGAATAGTCCACGCTATATCCACATATAAAAATACACAAGATGGTACTTTTCCTGACGACTAACTTGAGCATTAGGTACATTCTATCTCCAAAATGAATATCTCATATATCATACGCTTAATCCCCACAGCCCGGCTAGCGCAATAGTAGACTTCTAGTAGTTCCACTCTAGTTAGAGCCTGTATGGATTTGACTTGATTCAGTGGGCTAAATAGCTCTAGGTTATTCCGAGTAATTTGATTTCATGTATCCAAGGAGAACGGCCATAAGTCCCGGACTTCACCTGCGGTTTTGTTAAGATCCGGCTTGGAAACATAGTAATCGAACAACATCTTGTTGCGCGCCTTCATCTCAGTGAAATCGCGCTCTGGAGCAATCCAGCCATCATCATCAGTACCAAGGATTTTCTTAACGAAGCTGCGTATCTCATGCCATTCTTGATAGACCTGAAACTCCTTCGTATGTGCAGCGATCTTCTCGTTACTGAAGTTCAGCGATAGATCTCTTTCAAATCCCAAGTCCTGCTGCTTGCGGAAGAGTTTAATCAACGTTTCCCGGAGAGAGGGGATCCCCTCATCCCAAATTTCAGAACGACGGAAGAGTTCCTTTAGTGTATTTAAAGAGATCTTCTTTGGATATGGGATTTCCTATGATTTTGTTAGCGCTTCCGAATTAGGAACTTTGTACATAGGTAATACCTCGAGACGTAATAGATAGGTGTCTTTTGGATATGTTGGGAAACAGGCTCCCATAAGGACGTCGAAACCTCAAGACTTTTATTACGACTTGCATGGCGAGGATTTGTTATAAGATCTTGAACAGAGCGTTTACAGATGACTTATCCCCTCGCCCCTTTTCAGGGCATATTGAGAATCTTACCTAAGTACATATCCCTGCCAGGTGCCCAGGTGCCTGCCAGAGGGCTGGAAAGGAAACATTGACTATTGCTATTTTTAGAGGTTTAACAAGTTTTATGGGGTCTATTTGAGTCATTCGAGCTATGTTCTACCTAGGTAGACTCCTATATATATGCTATATATGCTATGCTAGTACAATACAAAACAAAACTCCCTCCAATCGTTGTACACAATGTTCCCAAGTATACATGCTTTTCCGAAAGAAATCAAACCTGAAATAAAACAGACGACCATCATCCACAAACCTCATTCCCACCTCCTCCACTCATCAACAGCCTTCCTCATCTCCTCATCACAATCATACCCCTTCACCTGAGCAAGATACAGCTCCTCCTTCCGATCAAGGAACCGTTGCGCAGCCTCAACCCTCCTCTGCGCAACAGATCTCAACATCTCAAAATCATCCCGAACAACCGCCTCGCGGAACTTCGCCCGCATACGCGGCGAGTAAAGCTGACAACTCGCCTCACGAATCCGACCAGGCGCATCACCTGGTAAAATCCGCATCTTCGTCGTAACCATGCACGCAATACGATGATTCGCTTTAGCCAGCGGCCAAACAACCTCATCATAACAGTCTTCGCACACACACATCTCCGGTAGTGACGGGATAAAGTGCCACGTACTAAGAGTAGGTCTATCACGCCGACAATCACGCAACACGACCTTGCGCCGCGCGTAGCTGAGGAATTCGCGTGTATCCGGGCGGCGGGTGCGTGAGGAGTCGGATTCAACGCGGGAGGCGGATGCATCGAGGAGATCGATGAATTTGACGAATCGCGGGCTCGATGTCACAAAGTCGCATACCCGTTCTGCTGGGTCGGGGTTTAGCTGGAAGGTATCGCGGTGGCTCGGCATTAAGATGCGGATGTTGCGCGCACAGCTGCTGCAGACGTTGAAGCCGGCTAGGTCGCCGCCGCTCTCCGGGTCGTAGATGCGGTACCAGGGTTGGTCGGCGACGACGCGGCCGGGACAGGGACGTGTGCCGGGTGGTGGACGTGTCATTTGGTAGAGGAGCTCTAGGCTGTCGTGTTGCTTTTTTATCATCTGAGCCCAGGCGAGACGGGTCCATGCGTTGGCGAAGGCGCATCGTGTCTTTTGTCCGGCTGGCTTTGAGAGGCTTGGGGTGAAGTAATCTCGGTAGCGGGACTGTGCGATTTGGCTCATGCAGGACGGGCAGATGTCCAGATGGGTGAGGCCTTTGAGCGTGTACCAATCCTGGTAGCCCGCTACGGCGATCGTCCGCGGACATGGAGAGAGACCGAGGCCCACTGAGTTAGGGCGCTGTGGTGATGTGCCTGGGGGTCGAGTCGATGCGAGATGGGCCACCGTCCTGTCAGGGTTGAGTTGGGTTGCGACTTGAGTTGATGTCGATTTGACGACCTCGGGGGTTGGTCGTGAGGGATGGCGAGATACAGACATCGACCGGGTAGGCGGCGTTGTCACTGATGTCGCACGGGCACGTGAAGCCGGGGCCACTTCCTGCTGTGTTGGCTGCGTCGGGACACGCTGAGCCTCACGCGAAGGTGAGTGCGATGCTGGAGCAGAAGCAGGAGCAGGAAGGGGCATCGAGTTGTCGACTGATTTGACAGGCTTCACATTTGTAGGAATTTGCCGCACCTCCGGGTCCGACATGGATCCCGGATCCCGCTGTTCTTGTCTCTGGCGAAGCTTCTCTTCAATGCGTTCTGCGAGGGTAGGCCCAGTTGGCAGAGCTGATGCAGGAACAGTGGGCACAGGCGCCTGGGGCTGTTGTGGGAGTGGGCTGTTGTATGTGGTGGCTGAGTCTGACAAGTACCCCGAGCTAGGCTCCCGTCGAAAGCGTTCCTGCATTGGTCGTGTTGCTGAAGGTGCATGTCTTGCGCTATTGGATCGCCCAATGGAAGCCTTGGGTGGTTGGAGATGGGCCTTGTCATGCACGGAAGGCCGAGTACCACTGCGATCCGGCGCACTTGGTCCACGGGAGCCACGAGACGTATTTTGAATTGGCGGCCCATATCTGCTGGAATTGCCATCCCGGCCGTGGAAAGGCGGGTGGGGTTCCCGCTGGGTATTAAGCTCACGAGTGGGCTGTTGCTGAGCCGGAGGCCGAGATGGTGGGCAGCGTGGCTGACTTGCAGTTGAGGGCGGCGGACGTTTTGGCGGATCATCTATCTCAAATCTAACAGTGTTCCGAAAGATCGGCTCTTGAGCAGGAGGTGTCATTGGCCCTGCACTCTCATCCGAAGACACACTGGGAACACTGGCGGGGGAGGTAGACGATGGAGGGAGCGGGTCGGTGGAGACTAGTATGGGATACTGATCGACTGCCCCTCTTGAATGCACACCGTCGACCCCGGGTTTATCGCCAAGTTTGGAGAGACCGTTTAGCTCCTTCGAAAGGGCCTGGGGTTCTTCCTCGACGCAGGGCGCTGGAGGCCATTGCGATCGCGCCCGTCGAGAGCTGCGAGAGGTAGTCATTTCTAAAATATTGGTTCGGCCACACAGAGCGGATGGAATATGATTGTTTTAGTACGTTAACCTGGTGCGTTGACGTCTCGTGGAATAGCTCGGGAAATGTGGCTCATAGTATAAATGGTTGGACTTGAAAATTAAAAAAAAAAGTTGCAGGGGGGCAGCAAACTATGTCACGTATGAAAGAGAGAGAAAAATTTTCAAAGTAGACAAAGGTGCACTCTTTAAAGTGTGTGCGCGAGCCGGGTGTACAAGGGTATATAAACATTGGTGGATCGCATCGGGCACCACCTTGAGGGAATAGACCTCTGATAGGTCATTTGAGTGATTGGGCAAGAGCAAAAATACAAGAATAGCTTCAGGCTGAGAAGTCACGAGGTAAGTGGAAGCCGTGAAACGAATGGTCGAGTCACCGTCATCACAAAGGGGTGTGGCTATGGCAGCCTGTTGATCATTGGGCACGAAGTGGAACCTCCCGGGTACTGCCGTTGCGTTTCAGGTCGATTTATTTAGAATCAGATCAGACCACTGGATCATTGGGCAACAAATAAAATTGTTCCACCCGAGTTGCTCAGGGGTTGACGTGTAGGAAACATCAAACTCATTCGAGGCTAATGCGTAGAGTCTCAAATGTCTCAAGTGAATGGAGCGGGGAAGATATCTTCGATCCAAAGGGTTCGTGATGCAGTCAGCGGCAGATGATACAAAGTCGGCGCTATGTCGCCATTGTCATGCAGGCTAACTGACATGCCGGGGACGTGGGTCGTGGGAGATTGGCCCCTCATGGGGCTCCGGGTGGCTTGCATCTCGCTTTTGTACGGAAAACCGAAGCGCCAATATAATCAAACCACCCCTGGGTGAGATTGGTATGTCTGAAATGGCATAGCGGCATTAAATCTGTTGGACATCATTGTTCCTCGAAATCGCATGTTGCAGCCCTAGAGGGCTGTGTTGCGTACGAGAATACCCAAGGACATGCGCACGGCCCGACAGGAATGGCGTCATAGCCCTGTGAAATATTTGATAGTCAATATGTCAATCATATTGGAATTTTGGGGAGTGAATTTGTATGAAGCGGATCATATTCAACTTGTACTCTGTAAAAATACCAAGATTGGAATTTGTTGGGGGTCTTTTAGAAGAGAAAAGAAAAGCGCAACAATTCCGCTGGACTGTGGAGAAAGGATTGCGGGGATCGATGACAAATATAGCAGATGTCCTTAATATCTTCTTTCCCCCCCCACCCACGTAACTTCTTTAATATGTTTCGATCTCTTCTACGCAGTAGTCCTCGACTCACAGTGCTTCGCAATCACATTGCCCCTCCACTCGTGAACCAATTCATTCCAATTCGCAGCATGTCCGTCCCAACAACCATGAAGGCCGTAGTGGTCGAGCAGACCGGCGGCCCTGAAGTGCTTCAATTCAAGACTTCACACCCAGTCCCTACACCACAGGCAGGACAGCTGCTAGTGCGCAACAATATTTCCGGCGTAAACTATATCGACACCTACTTCCGGACAGGTCTATACGCCTCACCCAAGCCCGAGGTCTTGGGCCGCGAGGGCGCCGGTACTGTCGCTGCTGTCGGTCCCGAGACTTCTGGCTTCCAGGTCGGCGATAGGGTTGCCTGGTTGGCTACTGGTGGGTATGCGGAGTACACTGCAGTGCCGGCGACCTACACTGTGAAGATCCCCGAAGGGATCTCTGATGAGGAGGTTATGGCGTCGTTCCTGAGTGGTATGACGGTGCTAGCTTTCGCAAAGGAGACTTATCCCGTGCAGAAGGGCGATTGGGTGCTTCTCCATGCTGCAGCTGGTGGTGCCGGCTTCCTTATGACACAGATTTTGAAGACTATGGGTGCCAAGGTTATTGGCACCGCTGGCGGCGCAGAGAAGTGCGAGCTTGTGAAGAGCCTCGGTGCTGATGTGGTGATTGACTACCGCAGTGAGGAGGATAAGGACTGGGTGAAGAAGGTCAAGGAAGTTACTGGTGGTCGCGGTGTCGATGTTGTCTACGATTCTGTCGGCAAAGATACCTGGGAGGGAAGCTTGGAGGCTGTCAAGCGCAAGGGTACTATTGTCTGGTTTGGCAATGCCAGCGGCCCTGTGCCCCCGCTTCCTCTTGCGTATGGCTTTTCCCTATCTACATCGGTCTTGGCTAGTGATACTCATGATATTTCAATAGGAAACTTACCCCCAAGTGTGTTAAGGTTGCTCGCCCATCGCTCTTCGGATACATTACGACTCGTGAAGAGTTCGAATCATACAGCAATGAGCTATTCGGCCTACTAAAGTCGGGCCAGCTCAAGACCAAGATCCACAAAATCTATCCGCTTGAGGACATTGCTCAGGTGCACAAGGTATGTAGTCTATGTTGTTCTTTGTGTGGAAGTTATTCGTGCATTCTGACCCGTTGAACAGGATCTTGAAGGACGGAAGACCATGGGAAAGCCACTCGTGAAGCCTTGAATCAGGACGTACCTTTTCAAATAATATGAACAAATTATGATCTATAGAATCTAAGACTACAATTCGATGGTGTGAATATTTGTTAGATATCCATATGGTTTTCATTTCTGGTTCAGTAAAAGCTATTTGGAAACATTCGGGCAGATTCGCAGCAGACTCATCACATAGTAAAGAGATAGCTGCACTCAGCGACCTAAGGCTCAGTCACTGTCCCCGTTCTTCTCAATATCCTCCTTCAATGTCTCGGTTGGACCCTCACTGGGATCTCCCTCGAGCTCCTGGGTCTTCGAAATTTCCTCACCCGGAATCTGGGTTGCCTGGCCGTCGGTTTGTCCCCGACTGGGCTCTCCCTCAGCTTCCTCCTCCTTCGCAATCTCCTGCTCGCCTGAAATCTCTGTTGCTGCAATGTCAGCTGGTCCTGGAATGGGCTGTTCCTCAAACTCCTGCTCCTTCGCAGCCTGCGCTGCTCGCTTGGCCAATTCCATTTCCGCCCTCTTCTTCGACTCCTCGAGAGCCTTCAGATTCTCGACCTTGGCAATTTCTATCTTCTCCATTCTTTTCTTGAGAGCCCACTCGATGACCTCCTGTGGGAGAACGGGCTTAATTCTTTCCGGATTCACGAAATAATCGGCCATCCGATTAGCGCGCTGCAAGCGGTTCTCAATCGGCTCGTTGCGGGGTTCATTGCTAAGGCGGACGGGGCGCGGCTCTCCCTGTCTCATAAGTGGCTCGCCTCTCTCCGGACATGGATCCTTGGGCAAGTCCAACAATGTTTTGATTTCCTCCATATCCCAGCCGAAGGCCTCAAGGCAATGGATTATTTCCCAAACGCCTCGCAAGGGGTGATCGTCCGCCGAGACTCTAAATTCGAGATCGTTTGCAATCGTGTGCATAGCCCACTCGGCAGGGGTGGGCTCTGGGGGCTCAATGATAGAATCCCTTGCACGGCGGCGTGCAGCTTCCTCCGGGTCGGGTATGAACTTGATGGGTTCGGGCTCCACATAGTCCAGCATCCAGTCATTGTGCATGAATTTGTAAAAAGTTGGCAGGACCGACATGATTTCATCAAAGAAGTACTGCCCGAAGCCGGTCGAGTAGACGTTCGTGATGATTTTCATACCGGGCAACATATGAACGAAGAAATCGGCTTCGAGGAGGAATTCGAACTCGTAAGATGGAGCAAGACCAGCATCCCAGTCGACCTTCTCCCAGGGAGCGAGGTCAAATTTACCTCTGGCGGGATCACGGAATTCTTTGGCTCGAACCTTGCCCACTGGGATTAGATCGGGGCCCAGCTCCCTGTAATACGCGATGGTTTCCTCGGTAGGTTCTTCCATGGAGATGATCTCGAAGCCATCGATGTCTTCAACCTGCTTGGCCTGGATCAGGTCCATGTCGGCGAGAATCTTAAATTTGCGAGCAGTCAGTTCATTCCCGGCAATTGCGATGCCATATTTGACGACTTTGCGAGCCATTTCAGAGGTAAATGCCTTTTGATCAGCATGTCGAACGTTGATCCAAACATCGGGATTATCCACATCGTCGAAGTAGTAACCGCCAAACAACATGGAGCAGCCGCGATTGAAGTCTCCGGGGCCTGAATGATGGACAATTTGATGGTTCATCCATAACTCCTTGGCAGCCCGATCGCAAGTCCGTCGAGCCTCCTCGAGATCCTCCTTCTGCTCGGGGCAAACGTCATGATAGAGCAAGTAAGTGAAGAAATTCTTCATTGTATCAGTGCAGATTTTGATCTCTTCCTCAGTGTCAGGGTTGTAGTAGCTCATGTAGTAGGCAGTCCTATCAACAAGTTAGCATATGTGACTTCAAATAGATATCCATATGTTTCAATACTAACAGGTAGCCAGTGGCAACATCGTTAAACGAAATTGGGTATGGCTTTCCCCTCTTGGGAAAGATGGCCGTGGTGCAGCGAGCTTGCATTGCCTCTTCTTTGGTCATCTCCTTTAATTCAGAAGGAGTCACTCCCTGAGAATGATTGGGGCCCACGCTGACACCACCGTACTGCAGGTACTTGAGAAAAACCTTGCGTCTGTAGGGCTCAAGGCGCCGCTTGTACAAGAAGCGCTTGATGCCCTCGTCGATTCGACTAGATAGGTCACATTAGTAGGTGCTATGTCGTTGATAAGACTGAAGAAACATACTCTAGAATTGGCAAAGCACTGTCATTAAGGGTTAGATACTGTCTCATTTTGGGGAGCACATGAATATACGTACGGATCATAGATCTTTTTGTTCTCCTCGAACTCCGCTGGAGTAATTGGTGCATCGGCATAGAAGGGTTCAAATCCAGAGGGCGCGTTCTGTATAGATTGTTAGACAAATCCGGACGGTAAGCATCAGTATCACAGTCTTACCTCCCCCCTCTGACTCTTGGGGCGTCTCTTGTTCTTCTTCTTCTTATTCGAAGTACCAACGTCCAGTTCCACATTCGCAAGAGCCTTTTCCTCATCTGGATCATGCTTGAATCCAATCTTGGGCGCTTTCTCCGAGACTGCACTATCGTTCACATCCGAGGTGTCAGCAGTGCTCTCCGAATCTTTAGTAAACGCGGAAGGTCCAGGTGCTCCGGGAAGTGTTCCTCCAAGGTCAGCCTCAGCTAGAACTTCTGAAATATTTCTGTAAGACCCATCGGGCTTCAAAGTACTGTTAGCGTAATGTCTTAACGATGAAGTGATTGGAACCTCGTCAGACAGAGTCGGGAGGCTCACATGACGCTCAGTTCCAGATGCAACCTTCAACTTATCAAGCTCAGCCGGGGTAAGGAAACGAACACGAGCCCTAGGCCTTTCAGATGGTTGACCCTGCGTGAAAGCTGGCTGCAGATTAGAAGATTCTTCCTTTGTAGCTTCGGTATGCTCTTGGTCCGGGATGGCGGGGCCAAGGTGAACAGTAGTACCGTCACCAGCCGCCATGGCTTCAGTGGACTTCGTAAGCTCGCGGGGGTTACTAAACTCTTGTGAGTGAGTAGTCTCAATAGACAAATTGTCTGGATCAGGACTATCATCCATGATGAATGATGAAGGTGATGAAAGAATGATGATCCAATGTGACGCGAGAAGCGATGATAAAGGTTGGAGAAAGGGAAGTGAGAAAAACAGAGAAGAGAAGAGAAGAGACTTGATGGTTGGAAGGGTCCCACCTGAGCAATGGGTTGCTTAGTCGTGTTGTTTGAATGGCGATGAGAACAAACCAAACTAATGATTTTGTCTCTTCCACAGCAGATGTTACACGGTAACTATATTATCATATCGCATATATCATATCTCATATAGTATGAACAACTCTTCTCCAAGCGCCCGGAGACATGCCGGACAGTTGATGAAAAGTGGCAGGCAAGCTGCCGGTTCCAAAGATTGAGTAAGTTTTCCCCTTCCCCTTTCAGGTGAAGATAGGTACCTACCTTTGGCCCATTTGGGCCGGTGTTGAGGAAGGAAGAAATGAATAAATAAACCAGCTCGACAGGTGGGGCTTTTTATACCCCAGATCTCGGATTATATATATCCCGAATTGTTATATTTATCCGGCGGTGTCCCTATGTCGGTATGCTTAACAGACTATTGGGGAGGGAGACGCTCGCACAATAACCACCCTCATTGTAGCCTACCTAGGTATTGAGGACAATGCATAATTAGCAAATGTCACTACCTATGTAGGTATAGTGTCACAGATCGTTTTCTGACAAGCTGATCTACAACATAGTCTCGAAAGCCTATGCAGATGAGTTGTATAGATCATTCACGGATATGGGGTTAGGGCCGAAAAATGACATAGCCCCCTCATCTCCGTTCCAGCCGTGATATCTGTTTCAATGTTCTTTACCTATCTCACTTATTTGTTTACATTTATGTAATTCTCCTCATCCAATTGCCAACTTTGAAGGCCTACCTGTGAACATCCTTTATCTCAGGGGTATTTCACCTGTGTTAAGTCCGAAATACAGACCTCAAGTCAAGCCGAGTCATATCAAAATGTCTTCGAAACAAGAAAGTAGAAAGACACAGCTAGGCAACGAGGACCTAGTACCTTTTGACCATGCTGCTGCGGGACAGTAAGTTTGACATTCCCGCTCTGTTCCTGGCGTGACAACCCGCCCATATTATCCAACTTGGCGTGCAGAAGAAAACCACACTGCCGGACTTGAGTACACTATTAAATGTATAGCAATGCTAACAAATCATTTCTATCCAGCGAGGGTGTTCGCTGTACGCCTTCTGGCGCCCTGATTGCGAAACCATGCACGCGACAGGAGGTAGAATTCTACGAATCCAGCGCGCTCCACCCCGCATTCCAGGAGTTTATGCCCCTCTACGTCGGATCCCTCTCATCTTCTGAGCAGCAACAACCGCTGGCGATTGCTGCCGCCCGCGAATCTGGCGCCCTTCCACTCCCTGAGTCGGGCGATGTAACTACCGATTCCTCCCTTCCTAGCCAACCTCCATCCCGCACAGACTCCGCCCACGAAGACGGCGCTGCCCCTGCCAAGGAGGAAACAGCATGGGTACCCTCCGGAGGCAAGAAAATCGATACTGGCTTGTCCATTGTACTGGAGAACATCGCCTGCGGGTTCCGTCGGCCGAACGTGCTAGACGTGAAGCTCGGTGCGCGTTTATGGGACGACGATGCGCCGCTCGAGAAGCGAAAGAAGCTTGATGCTGTCTCTAAGGAAACTACCAGTTCTAGCCTTGGATATCGCATTGCGGGCATGAAAGTCTGGACTGGCCACAATGGGGAAACTGATGAGGGCGACCGGACGGATCCGTACGCTACGAAATACGAGGGCGCAGAGGGCGAAAAAGGTGAAGTAATCGAGAAGGATGGCTACCGCCGGTTTGACAAGTGGTATGGTCGCTCTTTCAATGAGGGTAATGTCAAGCAAGGCTTTGAAACATTCCTTGCTGGCGCAAAGGCGGGCAAGATCGACCGATCGAAGATGGTCGCCCAGCGCCTAGCTGAAGAGTTGAAAAACCTGCAGCGGGTTCTCGAATCTGAAGAGAGTCGGATGTACTCTGCCAGTGTGCTGGTGGTCTACGAAGGAGATGTAGAGGCCATGGAGCGCGCAATTGAAGAGGAACAAAAAGCCCCAGCACCCCGTTCTGAGGAAGAAGAAGAAGAGGAGGAGGAGGAGGAATTTGAAGTTCCCGAAGAAGCTCTGGAAATGGTCAACGTCCAGATTGGTGATGGAGTGCCTCAGCAGGCTATCAATATCAACATTGATCCCGATACCATGCAGATGTCGGACGAGGACGATGAAGAGGATGAACCCCCGAAAGTCCATGCCCTCCGCGTCATTGATTTCGCACATGCCAGTTGGACCCCTGGACAAGGCCCAGATGAGAATCTTCTCAGGGGTGTGCGCAGCCTCGTCAAGGTCTTTGAGGAGCTATCCGAGTAAAATGGATATAGAATCGCATGTGCCCACAGTTGCTGGCAGCCGCTGGGCGCGATACTACCTTGCAGATTTTTGTTTGATTTGAATTAAATTCAATTAGCTAGATCATATATATCTTTATGTATCACTTAGCCAATGCATTGCATTCATTCTTTTAGTATTTGGGCCGCATTTAAAATTGCTGACATAATCTCGCCGAGACTTCGACATTCGATCTTCAACATCGCGGAATCGCAGCTGCGGAAATCCTCAAGCCAAAATGTTCCCCACACGCGCGCTTTTTGGCCGGTCGGTCTGGAAAGGTGAGTCTTATCAGACCTGGAAGATTTCTATTCCAGGATAAATTCCTAAGATCCCACACGCTAACACTTACAAAAGGCCCAAACATCGTTCCGTACGTGACATCCAATCCAGCCGAATAGATACCAAACACGCCCTGCCTTCGAGCCTAGACAATATTCCCATAATGGAGCTATCTTCTACTGGAATTGAAAACTGACTTGATGGTCCAAAATAGCCTTCCTCTCCCACGCACTCTCCCCCCTCCACCCAACACACCCCCGATCCGCACCACAAAACGCGCAGCAACCATTCTCCCGAACTTTGTCGGTCTGCGCTTTGCCGTGCACAATGGCAAGACATACGTTGAGATCCAGGTGACAGAGGAGATGGTCGGACGGAAGCTTGGAGAATATGTTGCGTATGTATACATCTTGCTACGCCTGCCTGTTCACGCATGAGCTTGAGCAGGTTCGGAGTAATGCGGCCAATTGCTAATATTCTATTTGTTTTGTAGGACCCGCAAGCGCTTCACATACAAGCAGTCTAAGAACAAATAAACGATTCGCATGATCGCCTGGTGCAGAGACCTATTTGCGCTCGGAGAGCCATATTGCATCTTTATTTTGCCACACTATGTACAGATATATCGTTGGGGTCCATGTGACATTAGCTGTTTTTTGGGTTGGAGTTCAATATACATCTTTTTTTCTTCTAGATGCAAACTGCAGATCGTAAAGTGCAATGCGATTCGTATATAATATCGAAATATAGAATCTATATAGGAAAGTAAATGTCATTGTCCTGTTGTTCACTTATCCTAGTTCAATATGCTATGCTCTTACATGTTCTAGCACATATTTCCAAGCCATACATGAGAAATGTTCATATCATTCCATGACTAGTTCATGTAGCATTGCATACATAGGTCCTAGTAACCACAAACACAGTTCAAAGAAGAAAAAAACGCCATCCATTCGATCCGCCCACCAGCCCAGACTAGCAATGCAGTCATGATCCCAGGTCACTCAAGACCGTTTGCACACCATAACGCCAACCCTCAAAACGCAAAAGACAAATGAGAAAAGGTGCAAATAAAACCCAGGCCATAAATGAGAAGTCCCCAGAAGAAAGTTTCCATCACCGCACTACCTGTAGAACTCGCCTCGCTTCACGCTGACTCCATATTCCGAAACTGCCATTCCCAAGTCCTCCATGGTCAAAACAGTGCGTCCTTGACCAGATCCACCAGAACCGCCACCTCCAAATCCAGGTCTCTGGATGCCAAGATGAGTGTTGGCTTTGCTACTCTTTCCACTGTCACCGCCAGGAGCTGGCGCACCTGCGCCGGCCGGACCACCGATACCAGCTGCGGCTGCCAGACTGCCGATGGGGTTGTTTGCGGAGGAGCTGTTTGAGGCGCGGATGCGAGCGAACTGGTACGAGTCTGCTGCAATGTCTGAGACGAACTTTTGAGCGGCAAGAGCCAGGAGGCGCGCGAGGTGAGGTGGGGTTTGGCCAGGGCCTGTGCCTGGAGGTGGGAGGCCGGCGAGAGTGAGGTAGTGAGCGGTGACTGCATCCGGAATCTAGAGATCGAAGGTTAGTTTTCTTACTTTTCCTTTGGTTATATGGTGGATATTGAGTCTTGTCTCGGTGGTCTGTCACATGTGGTGCGAAATCTTGGGGTAGATCGCATGGTGGCGGGGATGTCGTGGTCCACGATGTGACCAGGCGATCGGGAGAAGCTCAGTGAGATCGCAGTGAGGTCTCAGATGTGACTTACAATTGGTGCATAGTCATCCATCTTGCCGAGGAACTCGCGCAAGCTTGTCTCTTTCTTGGAGGGTTCAGGCGCGGGGGCCATGGGATCTTGACCAGGCGCGCTGGCGTTCGCGTTCGCTCCGGTCTGGTTATCGATATTCATCTCGACGTCTTTTTCGATGGAAGCATCAAGATCAGGCTCAGTTTTGATGGTATCTTCAGATTGGGATGGAGGAGGATGTTCTTGTGATCCGTTCTGAGGTGTGGATTGGGGAGGTTGAGATGTTTGAGAGTCGGCCATGGCGAGCAAATATCGGCGGAAAACCCCTGCAGGTATTCAATTGAGACTGGGCAAACTTCCAAGTACAAAGCCAATCAATGTTATACGTTCGTTTATAGGGAGATTCAAAGTCACACGGGTAGTGCACGGACCACTTTCCCTATGTAGGACCTCGAGGCCTTTTTCTTTTACTTCCCAGGCTATCTATGTCTATGTAGAAGAGTGTTTCTTGTTTTCATTATTCATTTTGACTCTATGGCTATGTACTCATACACTTGGAATGCAATAAAAGCAATCGCCCAATCCGGCGGCAATGTCGCAATCCCATAGTAAAACAATGTGGTCCCCGAAGGAACAAATCTCAATCCACCCCTAGACTCCGAAACGAAAACCCCCCAAGCTCAAAGCTTGCGGATGAAAAGCTAATTCAAAATGATAAATGGTTGCGCATGGCAATTCTCTACTGCCCCAGCTGCATGTGAGGATCGATGTGGTCCGGAGTTTGCTGAGCATGTTGAGCATGCTGAGGGTACTGACTTCCGTGTACCTCCTGGCTCAGAGTCTGCATGAGGTTTTGTTCTGCGGTTTGATCAAATACAGATTGGCTGTTGGCATCGGGTGGAAGGCTAGGCGAGGCGGACATATCATGACCGGACACGGGTGCCCCATGGGCTCCAGCAAGGGCCATCATACCCTTGATTCCTTCCACATGAGCCTTGTCTTCTTCGCCTTGCTTCTTCTGTCTCTCACGGGCTTCCCGCTTGGCTGCCTGGGCGGGAGCGCGGGTTTTCAATTCGCCAGTGACGAACTTCAGGTAGTATGGTACCTCAATTCCACTCTTCAGGAAGAAGAGCTTCAGGTTGCGAGCCTTGTCCTTCAGTTGCACCTGGTTGCGATCTTTCAGTGCTTCGCTGATCGTTCCACCAGGTCCAAACATAGCAAGAATCTGACTCCAGTGGGGACCCTTAACGCGGTCCAGGCCGGCCATCAACGCATTCTCTTCTTCAGTAGTCCAGGGTCGACGTTGACTGGGAAGACCGGATTTGCGGCTAGTCGGAGAAGACTTGGCAGACGCGGCCATTCTAGCACGTTCGTAAAGAACCTGGGTGGGCTGTGACTGAGAGTAATGGGGGATCCCCGGCATGTATCCATGGTTAGATGACATTCCATTCGCTCTGGCTTGCATAGCTTGTGCTGCATTGGGGTTATATTGCTGGAAAGTAGCCTGCAATGGGCTCTGCTGGAAAGTCAGGGGTGAGGCCTGTTGTGTTTGATAGCCTCCAGGGGGTGTGGGACTATGATGATATTGTTGGTGGGCCGGCTGCGGCTGTTGTGCTGCGGTGTAGCCGTGAAGATACTGGTTCTCGGGTTGACTTGTCTGTTGTTGTTGCTGCTGCTGCGGTTGATGCTGTTGTGGCGGCGGCGGCGGCGGTTGGTGTTGGGGTTGCTGCGGTAGAGGTGACGGACTAGCTTGAGACTGGGTCTGTTGGGGCTGTTGCTGATGCTGTTGCTGCGACTGCTGTTGAGAGCGTCGGAGGCCATGGCCCTGCAGGGCAATCTGTGCAGCTCGAGCAGCACGCGCGACAAGGTCACCATGCATGTTTCGGTCCACCGGGACTTCAACTTGTTGGTTGAGTGAAAATTGACCTTGGTGGGTGGTGTTGGGTGACTCGTGAGCATCGCCATTTGAACTCGAAGGCTGCCGTCCCTTAACAACTTTCTTTCCCTGGAAGATATTAGTACAAGCGCGACATTTGAGAATATAGAAGCAATAAACGAACCTGTTGGGTATTGATGGCGTCAAAGTTCTTAGAAATGTAGGAGCTAAGATCGCGGAGGAAATCTTCCCAGTGGTATTTATCCGGCAGGGCATTCAGCGCTTCCTCGTTGTTGATCTCATTAAGAAGAATGTCACGGCGAGAGGTGAGGCGGTTCACGAAATCCGTCTCAGATGGTGCCAGCTGTCGGGTACCAGGACGTCTCGCCAACAATCGTTGTTCCATGTCGTCCGGGAACAGATTGTAGAGGAGCTGTGTACGGGTGAGAGATTTGTTATGCATGGCTGCGATGAAAGCCTGCGTCTTGAGTTCGAGGTACAAGGCACCTTGAACCTTCAGTAAACGACCACCTTCAGGGACAAATACGTCTAGGAAATGATCGTTGAGGTCTGCAAACCCAATTTCTTGAGATCCGAAGATACTCGAGACAAAGGACGCCAGGTTCGCTTTGCGAATGACATCAACTTGAGAAGGGTCTGTGATTTCAAGATCCGTAGGCTGAAGGAACGAGTGTTTGACGGTGTAGACTCGCTTTGTGTGATCAAACAAGGAGCGCATGGTGGCATACGCTTGGCCATTTTCAGAGTCAGGCTCTGACACCATAGCAGTGAGGTCTTGGTATGTGTTCTTGGAAAGGAACGACAAGATTTGCGTAGACTAGGAAGTGATTGGGCAAATATTAGGAGACAGAGAACGTAAATAGTAGTAGTATTACTCACGAGATTATCCAGGATAGGAAGACTCTGAATCTTGAGGTGAGAGTTCGCTTTGAGGAAAGCAAAACCTCTGGCTCCTGGGAAATCATTCGATGGCGGTAGTTCTTGAGGTCCCATTGCGACCGTTTGCTCCTGGCGCTCTGTATGATCCATGATCTCGGAAATGATTGTGGCAACGTCGTTGTTGAGATCTGAGGTACCGTCCTGGGGGTTCGGGAGCCCGGTAGGGGTGTCATGAGTACTATGCTGAAGAGTTTGGTTGACATTATGATCGGTTTGCTCAACGGTGTCAATGACACCTTCGCTGAGAGCTGAGGCCAACTCCTCTTCGATTTTGTGGCCAGGGCCATGCTGATCCGCCATCAAGATGACTTGGTCGGGCAGAGAAATATCACCGTCGGGGCCATCGTCCGTACGGCGCTTTTTGGTAGCCGGAGGCGAGCCATGTTCCTCGTCATCAAGGGAATGGGGCACTTTTTGGTCTATTGTACAAATTTAAATAGTAAGTATTGATTCCAAGGTTACATTGAGATCCATTGGCGGTGAGGGTGATCGGTATGGGTAGTGAGGTTGGTGAACGGGACGATCGGATGAGGCGCTTGAAGAGAACACTTACCAATGTCACCTCCGTCGGAAGGGAAGGGAGGAAAGTCAGATGTTTCCTGGCCATCGAATGATGGCCGCGCGCCTCGAGTCTCGACCATTTGGACGAAGCGCCTGTCTGGGGTCGGGGTATCAACTTCCGAGAGCAGAAATGAGGGCTTAGGGGTAGGGCGCATTTGTAGGGCTTGCGGAAGAAGGATGGAGGAGCGAAAAGATGATTTTTCTGCCGGGCGGTGGTATTTTGGGGAAGATGGGTGGAAGCGTGGGTTTGGGAAGGAAGGTGCGTGGGGAAAGGGTATATGGAGAGGAACAAAAGAAAGATTAGGGAATAGTGCGTGACTGAACTTTGAATTATGCGTACATTTACAGTCACACAACAAAAGTACCTAGATACCTATTAACACCGGAGGATCGATATTCTGCCGGCAATTGGAAATCCACCAAATCATGACTTGTAGAAATAGGACGGTATAACCTTATTAGAAGGCGGTACCAATAAGGGTGCTAAAACTTCTTCAAAGTCACTGTATGTACAACATACATTGTTAGTATGTTGTACGGAGAGTACTCCGTACACAAGTATCCTTTTTGTGTGTTTACTACATGGAAGGTACCATCGTTAAATTATGTAGAATAGCTACATATGTGTAGCTTATATTTGTCGGTTTATATACATACCTAGCATGAAATCTGTCTCTACGTTGTAGTCAAATAACCTACATAGGCTGTTGAATCTGAATTATTTCTTATCAACTATGAGATCGACGATAGCGCGAGGCGTTCTGCCGAAGCATTGGAAGGCGGTGTGATTCAAGACCGCTTTCAGGGCTTCCAGGTCTGTAAACGCCCAGGCTCAATAGCTGCATATGTAATCTTCTTGCTTTGGATTGGCTTGTATGGAAGAAAATACCACCTACGTACGTATGTCCACGGGTAGATACCATTAAAATTTCTCATTCAGAGAAACCAATGGTAGGTACCTTTATTATAACCTTACCTAATCAACATGTACCGCCCGGGCGACATCCAGGGGCTGATGCCGGTTTAAGACTAGCGTATCAGGTACCCCATGAAGATTTGTCTACGAATGATGCCTACATTTACACCAAGCGAATTTTTTTGGGGACATCCTATCATGATATATATTCAATTACTAGAGTAGCATACAGGTAAATTGATATATATCTGGGTAGTGTGTAGAAGTTCCACTCGGATAATTTGTGTGCGTCATCAATTCTATATCCCAAATCGCATGCAACCCTAAGTCTACATACACTTATAAAAAAATGTCACTTTGGTATCAAATTGCCCGGGGAAGAATAACCATACAAGAATCTGACTATGGAAGATTTGATCATGATACTCACTGAACCCAAAAATCGAATGAAGTTATCCTACCGAGTAATATATATCCATGACTTGTAAGATCCAGCCATGCCGACATCCACATCCACTAGATATCTTTAGCCCCAAGGGTTCTTAAATATCGTTTTTGATCACTATTCAGTTTGTTTTCAACTGAAAAACTTCGAAATTTCCTATGTATGCTTAATGTCGTCAAGATTCAGACCATTCCCATCATCCGAGGAACCCGAAAGTTACAGTGCCTTCAGTTTTGACTTCCACGAATAGAAAGCCAGTATGCCTACTTCTGGTAGGTACCTAGGTCGTACCGGTACCCAAAAGCGGATATATCATAGTATGGGTTCCTGACATCCTGATAGCCCTAACACTACCATTTGAGTTCTGGACCATGGAGGCCCGAGTGCCTTTATTACAGAGGTTGCCCCGTAGTTCGTAGGATCTGCCCGGTGTCAATCAATCCAGTCGACTCTTACGGTTCGATGCTTGGAAGACCATGTTGATATACGGCCTACCCATCGCTCTCCTGGCCCTGCAGGGCCCGGCAACGGTTTCAGCTCAAGATTCCGACTCCACCGAGAAAGTGTGGGGAGTCTTTGCATTTACTGTCCACGGGGACAGCAAGCCTAGTGTGCTCACTAGCTCTCGGCCCTTGACGGACTATGGAGCCAACGAGCTCGCCGCGGCAGCATCGGCTTTTCGGTACCGCTATGTCTCAACACCCGCAGGCTCTGCAACTGGAATCCAGAATATATCTCCAATCATTCTGGACTCGAATGACGTGGATGTACTCTCAACAACGGGTCAGAACATTGTTGGATCAGCCCAGGCATTCATGCAGGGACTATACCCACCACTCGGCTCAATGAACATACCGGGTAACCAAATTGCGAACGGATCGTTTGCGCAGGCCCCCTTGAACGGGTATCAATATCCTCGGATTGTGACAGTCGGCGAGGCAGACCCTCAGTCAGTTTTGGTTGAAGGTCACGCAATGTGTGACATGTATCATGCCGCCGAGGGCGAATACCGTGGTAGCGACGAAGTGCAGGATATCACGCGAGATACAGAAGCATTCTACAGGAGACTGTGGAAACAGGCACTGTCTGGCGTCTATGATTGGTCGTCTGCCACTTACACGAACGCCGTGGCAATCTCAGAATATTTGGATTATGAAGCTGTGCACAATGACAGTTTGCTGGAAAGTTTACACGACACCGACATCATTCGTGCTCGCTCGCTAGCGGATCAGTACCTATGGAGGACAAACAGTCAACAGTCAGCTTCTAGCGGGTCTATGATCGGAGTAGCCAGTCCAATCGCAGGACAGACATTGGCATCAAGCATTTTGGAAGCCTTTGATTTGAACGTCCAGGAGAGTGGCACCCGTCAGAAGATGACACTGTTGTTCGGTGGTGATGAACCAGCCGTCGCCCTGTCGTCTGTGATGGGACTCGCAAGCCAACACCAACCCAACTTCTATTCCCGCCTGGTACGAGGTGGCTCATTTGTTTTCGAGCTCTATAGCTTCGAGAAAAGAAGCAACTTGTACCCGTCATACCCTGGTATCGACAATTTGTACGTGAGATTCTTGCTTCACAACGGGACCGACAACACCACCGACTTCCAAGCGTATTCCCTCTTTGGACACAGTCCCAGTCAAGCCGCAATTCCATACACCGAGTTCCGCTCCGAGCTGGAGACATTTGCCGTGGCTTCAACCCAGGAATGGTGTCTCCGCTGTAACGCCCAAACTGTCTTCTGCAATGGAGTGTTAGACCAGAGTGGATCTCAGCCATGGAAGAAGAACAAAGGGATGACTCCCGCTGTAGCTGGAGTCATTGGTGCTGTTACAACACTTGCCGTTGTTGGGCTCACAGCAATCATTGCGTTTCTCTTGTGTCGTGCTCGCAAAGGAAGCCCCAAAAAAGGAAGCCTGGGAGGGTTCAAAGGCTCTGGTAAACTTGCCAGTGATACTGATGTGACGTTCGGTGAACCCATATGGGGAAACTCAAAGGCCGAAGATACGGAACCATCCAATGGTCTCGCCGCTGGTGTGGGGGTTGCTGTACAGGGCCATGAACGAACTGGAAGTTGGGAAATGGGGCAGGGGAAAAAAAGGAATGAAAATATCCAGCCCGATGGTGTGGAAATGAGGTCGCCTTTTGAGGACCAAGAAGAGGATTGGCATATGCACAGTGGTGTTCAAGCTGTGGAAGCCCGGGAGAATGTTTAAGACTGTATTATGTCGTCGTCGCCTATGTGTACAGGTGTATAGATCGTATTATGTATGTCGTCGTCGTATTTTAGACAAAACATCTTTCGCTTTTCCACCCTTTCGAATTTGTCTTCCAATTCTGACTTGCTTGAAATCCTTCATGTTTAGGGCTATAACGGCCAACATAGACGCGTGCTGAATTGTAACAGACGCGTTGGCTGTCGAATATCGACCTCGTGACTCCGATCTCTGAATAGCCTCGAAGCCCTCGTTCCTTCTCCATTGGCTATGCTCCTTCCGCCAGAATCCCATTAAACCTTCTCTTTCATCAAATTCGTTCATTTCCATTGCTCTAAACAGGTAAATATTTCATCCCCATGAACAAAATGAGGTATAACCTGCCAACACTGTTGGCATTGTGCCAAGACACAGGTGTGCACTGCAAGTGGACTAGTCAAGCAAAATACTGTGAGTATCCCTTTGAAAATGCCCTTCATCGTCGATGCTCTTCACCAAAGAGATGAAGACCCCATTGGGTAGTTGGTGTGAGCCTCCGTACACCAACTAGAGCTGCCATGGGTCTCAGGACCAATTGCCTCTGCATAACCCAATGAAAGGAATCTTGCTGACCATCAACAAGGCAGGATAGCGCGTCCTGTTCGAAACAAGAAGCCTATCCTTTCAGAAAATCCAAGAAATCGACCGATTAGAGAGCCAGTCAGGTCATCGCGACCGAATAAAAACCCAGCATCAAAAGCCCCCAAGAACCGCCCGACTCGTGCCAGCAAAAAGCCATCTGAGCCTGTGTTTCCCACGAATGACGCAGGATTTGCTCAATTTCTGGAAAAGCACACTTCCCCAAAACACCAGCGAGTCACGGCTGGGGGAAGAATAGTTCCAATGGAGCCAGCAAGACCACCACGTCTTGACGGATCCTCACCTGCGCCGATGGCCATAACAAATGACGACAAATCCATTGTTGCACATGCCTTTGTTGACAATCAACTTGTGGCTGGTGGCTGCAACAGAGCAACACAGGAGAACTTGACAATCGTCCGTTCCTCCACAGAGTCTGATAATAACTTGCATGAGACATTGCCGTCGCCTTTGCTGGCAAGCACATCTCAGTTCGCAGCTCCCGCCAATTCACGGGATTTGACTGTTTCTCAAACAATGGGATCAAACATTTCATATGCTGAATGGACTGAACACCAACCCCTAGACGGGATCGACCCAGAGTTCATCTGTGATACTCCAATCCAAGTGCATCGCTCTGAGACCGCTCATCAGGCTGAGGAGCGTCGGGCACGATGGGGCGTGATCGAGAATCTTATCAACAATGATGATACTGCGATGGCACAGATGTTGTCGTCCAGGTGCCCATTTGATATGTTCCCGGTTGGCGATTTTTACATTCGATATGTACGAGTGGCGTGGCTGTGCGGTCTTGACGCCATGACTGAGGCAAGGTCACGACTGAATAGCAAACTCCTGAATCATGGAAGATATCTGGAAGAGGTTAACGAGGCTATTGCGTTAGACCCACAAATTTCACCTGGCGATGCTCGTTATAATCTGCGTGTTTACAACATCAACGAACGAGCAAGAGTGCTTAGCGCTCTTGATGAACATGATATGCTCATGCAATATGCAGAGGCAATTGACATGGACAATATCAATAACTCAGGAGGAATTGTCGTTGATCCAGAATATCAGAGCCCCACCCATATTGAAGAGCAATTAGAAAGAATGATTGCTGGTGGTTCATATGTTAATCTGTCAACTGATGGTGCCAACGACTTTGAGCGTGCGAACACCAATCGTGGGGTCGATATTATTGACCCGGACACTGGCTATCCCATCGAATTCCAGAGGCAATCGTTTACGACAGCAAACAATAGCAGTAGCAATGGAACAGGCTGCACAAACGAGAACAATTCAGACTTCAATAACTTGCAGGTTGATGGAAGTTCAGACCTGCCCATTCGTGATCATGAAAATGAGAACACAAGCGGAAGAGCATCACTCTTCAATGAGATTCAGGTTGAGGGAAGGTCGGAGTTGTGGGTTCATGATGGGAATGAGACAAGCGGCAATATGCTTACGGGAAGCAATGACCCGTCCTTTGACGCTGACAGCCGATTGGGCAATCAAATTCCTCCAGGACTGGGTTCTGGAGTAGGAACCGATGAAATCATATCATGGATTTCCCAGGAGACATGGACAGAGCGTCGTCCGAGAAACGGAAGGCGCATCAGCAATACTGTGCCTCGGAACTTCGGCCGCAACAACATCTTCAACTACAGATTGCCATTACATTCCATTACTGAAATCAATCATGATGAAGATGCCATAGAGTTGGCTAGCACTAACGCAGATAACGGGAGTCCCACACCAAGCCTCATGTTCAGCCCGTAAGTTCTTGGCCCCAGATTCGCACCTAAAGAATACTAATCCCTAGAGCCGCAGTAATGCAGACGAAATGAACCATACAACCGAAGATACACTGACTCAGAATGAACCCCGCGACACATCAGCTTCGACCGGCTCAGAAGACGGGCAACAGATGATAAGAGATTCCAACTCCGAGCCTGGATTGACTGACTCAACAACTTCCCTTGAGCAACAGCGCAGAAGCGCTGGGGTGCTGGAGAACTTTTTTGATCTGTTTGTCCTGGACGTGCAGGGTGATTGGGAGGCGGAAGGACCTTCCCGATCACCGGAACAACCAGAGGATGGCATGAACCGCAGGTAAATCCCATTCATACTCACTTTTTTATGTAAAGGGCCGGTTCTGACGCATAGTAGCCTAAGTGGGAGCATCACCCTGACAATGAACGGCGTTGATTACACAGACGACATGTTGGATACACCCCTACTGCTTCGAAATAGTCCATTCGGTAGACATAGCCCATTTGGTATGAACTCATTGTCCCGGAATAGCCCGAGCAGGGTAATCTCGAGGTCTGGCGACCGCCGTAGGTACGATATACCTGTTGGTGGTCTCAGCAGCGTTGGGTCTCGTATGATTGCATCGAGTCTGAATGCCCGCCGAAGACATGATGCACGTGAAAATGTCCGAAACGCCCGTCACTCGCTCATCAGTTCAAGATTAATTGACGACTTGAGAGATGAAGTACCCGTAACCACTGTTCTCGGGTTTGACGAGCCAGACAGCCAGCGAAACACCAATTACACGCCTGTGTATCCACAGTTGATCAATGCCAATCTCAGACATACTGCGCCCGCTATTGTGAACACCAGCCGAATCAATGCTCATGCTCACCGTTAATACTATGCAACCATGATGTTGAGGAGTTACAGGGGATTTGGACGCTTGCCGAAGTGTTCCTGAAGCTCCCGAGGTTTCAGATGAGGAAAGCAGAAAAGGGAGAGAAAAGCATACAAAAAAAGATGAAAATCAATGGGTTAAGTTGAATTCGAGGAAGGAAACGATATTCAAGGGATCAAAGGTGAATCTGTACGATATTATTAGGTATTGATATCCTTCCAGCAGAATGAAGTATTATTATCACGTGAACCTGTACTTTGTAGAGGTTATTTATACTCGGGATGTCGCCACCGTCTCGGGCAGTGCCTGGATCTTAATCATTCTATATTTAGAATCTTGCTGACTATGATAGAGTCATATTGAAATGAATTCTTTTTGTAAGCACAAAAAAAAGGCCTTTATTCTCACGTATTAACCCTGACGTATGATGTAGTCGGACGTACGCCCCAGGTGGATTGCCCTGCCCATATTTTAGATGACTAAGCCTTGGCCTCCGCGTCCTTCTCCACTCAATTCCTCCTTGCCTCCTGTTTTCCCACTGGTTTCTCAATTCTTGATCTTCATTCTTTATTTGTTCTGATATGTCGCCTTATCCATGAGCCTAGTTATCGTGGCTTTTGTCATTTCAGTTCATTGGGTGGACATCCCCCGTCGTACCGCTTCTTACTAACAATTGCCCCCCGCGCGATTATATCCCCAGCCGGCACTTGGCATTTGGAAATATTACCGCCCTTTCACCCTCACGCCTTGCTTTTGCATCCCTCGGATCATCTTTTCGACGGGTCCTAAGTGACTGTCATCCCCGGTCTCGATTTTGATATCGATCCACCCAATATGACACAGCTCTTCGCCTCTAGTCCGTCCCCGGTGACAAATAATGAGAAGCGCGGGAATTTCCCCGCTCTCTCCCTTCCCTCGCGAAAACACTCCAATGAGTCTGGCCACTTGCCTACGAGAATCAAGAATTTTTTCCGTATCAACAGTTCAAGCAGCCACTCTTCCCCTCCCAACGCCTCTGGAAGTACCGAACGCGAACGGGATAGCCATGGGTTACCCAAGAATGAGAAGTCTGCTTTTCGGCAGTCTCGATTCCTGCCAGGCATAGGCCGCAATCGATCAACAACCGTTGCTAGTGAAGGCAACCCACTCGACGATGCGATGTCGCCTACCGCATCTGCCAATCCATACTTTGCTCATCAGGGCCAGCCGGCATTGCGACACCGCAATGATGGGTCAGTGCCTTCCTCTCCTCCTGACACGCCTGAGTTGCAAGTCACGGGGGTTTCGGCAGTAGAACAAGCGACCACTGCGAACAAAGAAGAATTAGCGCGCAAGTTACGACGTGTGGCTTCTGCCCCGAATGCCCAAGGCCTATTTACAAGTGGTCAGGGTGACCGTCCTCAGACAGCGGACCTAGGCAAGGAGCCGCTAGTGGAACAGTCAGGCGGAAAAATGGGCCTCGCGGATCTAAGCAGCGAGGAGTACAACCTGGCGGTACCTTCTTCACTTAGCTCAGATTTCGGCAGTAACGCTGCTTTCCGTCGCACCTATAGTTCGAACTCCATTAAAGTTCGCAATGTGGAGGTCGGCCCGGCTAGCTTTGACAAGATAAAGATGATTGGCAAGGGTGATGTTGGCAAAGTTTATCTGGTGCGCGAGAAGAAATCAAGCCGTCTGTATGCCATGAAAGGTTGGTATTTTACATTGGAGACTGTCCGTGCTATATACTAACTTGCGGTTAGTTTTGAGCAAGAAGGAGATGATCAAACGGAACAAGATTAAACGAGCTTTGGCCGAACAAGAAATTCTGGCTACGAGCAACCATCCGTTCATTGTCACCCTATATCACTCCTTCCAATCGGAGGATTATCTGTATCTCTGCATGGAGTACTGTAGTGGTGGGGAGTTCTTCAGGAGTGCGTTTACCTTTTTATCCTATATTCGACATCATCTTGAATTTCTTGCTGACCTGTGCACTTCTAGCTCTGCAAACCCGCCCCGGCAAGAGTATCTCCGAGGATGCAGCTCGCTTTTACGCCGCAGAGGTTATTGCTGCACTGGAATATCTCCATCTTATGGGTTTCATCTATCGTGACCTGAAACCAGAAAATATCCTTCTCCACCAGTCTGGTCATATCATGCTTTCTGATTTCGATCTATCGAAGCAATCCGGACCCGGAGGTGCTCCTACGATGATTCCCGCACGCAGTGGTGGCAACTCCACCACAGGCTTGCCGACGATTGATACCAAGTCATGTATTGCCGATTTCCGAACAAATTCTTTTGTCGGGACGGAGGAGTACATTGCACCTGAGGTAATCAAGGGATGCGGTCACACCAGCGCCGTTGACTGGTGGACCCTGGGCATTTTGATTTACGAAATGCTGTACGGCACTACTCCATTCAAAGGCAAGAACCGAAACGCGACATTTGCCAGCATTCTGCGAGATGAGGTGAATTTCCCAGAGCACTCGGGTGTGCAACAGACATCAAACCTGTGCAAGTCCCTGATCCGCAAACTACTGATCAAAGATGAAACTAAGCGCCTTGGAGCTCGCGCTGGAGCCTCCGATGTCAAGACTCACCCCTTCTTCCGACAAACGCAATGGGCGCTCATTCGTCACATGAAGCCGCCTATGATTCCCCATCAGGGTCGTGCCGGTACGGATACGGTGAACTTCCGCAACGTCAAGGAGAGTGCTAGCGTAGATATTGGCGGCACTGATTCAACCAGGATGAAGGGTGTCCCAATGGATTCGGGCCTCGCGACTCCAAATGGCGAACTGAATGATCCCTTCGAGGAGTTCAACAGTGTCACCCTTCACCACGAGGGTGATATGTAAAGCCGGGGTTCTTTTCTTTTTGTCACTTGTTTCTTTTATCCGATACACGAGGAAAACAGCCGGATGTGCGTCGGCTCGCTGACGACCATGATGCATTAACGACTGTATTTAGATGCTATTATTCTTCCATTGCAATCCTCGTTGGGTGTATGGAGTGTTTCGGGACTTTTTCTTGGCGGATCTATTCAAGCTTTTTCTTTTTTTCTTTCTTTTCATCCCATTATGACTTGCTGCTTGTCGCTTGCTTTGCATATTGCATTTTCTTCATATCCCAAGGCCTTGGATCGCTCTTGGTTGCGCCACCAATTCAGGCACAACATAGAATTGACACCAAACCGTTGGCATTGCCACATGGTTCGTGTCACACATCTGAGCTGTTGGTTTTCTTTTCTTTGCGTCTACCTGAAAACTGTGCTATACATTTGCTATTTGGCCTACTTCGCAGCGGAACGGCGTTATGGATTCACTTTTTCGGGTTACGTCTTCAGCGTGACATTTGTATGGATGAACTGATTAATGCGTGCTTTCAATCTCAAATTTACGTTTTCCAAGTTTTCACCTCTACTGTGTCATATTTCAGAAGACTCGAAGCAATTTCTGCATTTGGCTTTTGTTTCAATCCACTTGACGGTCTTTTTGTATCGTCCAGTGTCTCATCTCAAGCAGATACGCCTGTCATTTTGCGCCTTGTAGACAGCCATCAATTCATTGAAGAGTGCTGCAAAGCAAAGACGTTTATCCAAAAGGAACCTTCGTAAAGATAAGATGATCTCAAGCATAGCTTATAGGCAGATACTAATCAAGTCTATGGTAGGGCAGTGTAACCAGACTTCAGAATCCGTAGTGTTATTGGAAGAAAAAAAGGTTATGTACATAAAATGTGGATTTCGCTTGAACGATACAATATAATATCACAATTTCACAAGCTCAACCCCAAAAGAGCAAACGTCTTAATGCATATGAGGATCCGCCGCACAAGCCTTCCGACACTCCTCCAATAGTCTCGCTTGTCCGGCAACATGCGCAAGACGACCAATGACCTCCTTATTACCATCATAGAAGGTAAAGACCGCATATGGAATCTTCACGTCCTCACAGAATTCCTTCACAAACTGCTGTGTCTTGCGCAGATTGTGTCTCGGGATACGAGGATACAAGTGGTGAATAGCCTGGAACTGAAGACCACCATGGAAAAAGTCCAACCAAGGCGGGCAGTCGACGTCCATAGTAGTGCGGAGCATCTTCTGTGGGAAAGATTCCAGCGGACCAAGATCAGCAGTAGACATAGCGTAGTGCGACAGAGTGATCTGCACATGCAGCGGCGAAGTCACCATATGCGAGATCAGGACGAAGACAACACGGTCAAACCATGTCGGAATGCTACACCAGACAACGCCGTATCCGAACCAAATCCAGAAGAAGATGTGGCCGGCGAACTCGAACCAACGGTGCCACCAGCCGGCGCCGTGTTTCGGTCCACGTCCGACGATGATGTGCTCCCAGCTGAGGAAGTAGAGGTTGAAGCGGCCGAAGAGGAGGATGGGGTAGTACAGGTAGTGTTGGTATTTGACGGTTACCTGGGCTACGACGTCATATTCCATGATGCGGTTGTAGTAGGTGCTGTAGAGGGAGCTGAAGAAGCGGTGCGAGAGCGCGAAGAAGGGCATCAGTTCGATATCGGGATCGTGCTCGGGTGCGTTGGTCACGATGTGGTGCACGTTGTGGCTGCGCTTCCACCAGCCTAGGCTTAGACCGCCGAGGTAGTCGGCGATGATCATGCCGATAGTGGTATCGATCTGATAGTTGTGTGTGATACCCATGTGGCCGGCATCATGGGCGGAGAAGACAAGTTGGTGCCAGAAACAGCCGAGGAAGAAGGCAGATAGGCAGAACCAGGAATGTTTGAGGAAGAAGAGGAACAAGCCGAAGAAGAGGGTGTAACGACTGATTTCGATAGCGTAGGCTTTGTAGTTGCAGTTGTATAGTCCTGCTGCGCGGATGCGCTGGTGTAGTTCACGATATTTCTTTACGACGTATTCTTGGTGTTCTGCATCGAGAGGAGGGTAGTTGACTGAGTCCATTTCAATCTCCTCGCGAGTTCGAGCATCAATCACGTAGGTTCGCTTTTTGTCTTCTGTTGGTGGAGGGATGGCGCTG